ATAACCAGCTTCATTATATGAAAATTCAACAACATGTAATGCTTAAGGCATTTCAATAAAACAGTGCTGGAAATCTGAAAAAAAGGCAGCAGAGATAGTGAACAACTAAACACAAAACCAGGTCACTGCAGTCTTGCAGCCTTTCACAAGTTGTCCAGAAGTTTGCACTGGATGTACATTTTATATACAGTAACTCACAGTTTCCACACTGGGTCTTGTGGTTTGACCACATACACAATCTGCCGGAGGGAAGAAAAAAGTTTGGTAGATTTTCCTTTCTCCCTGTCTGACGGCCTTGGGAGTTTGACTTCTGCCCTGCCAGTGTTTTCCTCCTCTCCGGGCTTTGAGGGCTTTTCATCTCACCAAGGTGCAAGGGCAGCCATTTCTCTCCTCTCCCAGCCCCTTCTTCCCATCCAGCATGCACATACACATGCGGATTTCCATTTTAGCCATAGCATGAGATTAGCAGCTCCACCACCCCAAGGCTGGCTTAAGACAGGAGGGCAAACATCCAGCAGTGTTGGTGGGATGCATGCGGGGGAGAAGATCCCTGAAGACTTGTTTGAGGCCGCCTTAGATTCTACAGAAGAATCCTCAAAACACATACGTGGTTGTTTAGGATGAGCTGTGTTGTGGAGTGTCAATTTGTTGTCAAGTTGATGGCCTCACAAGTAGCCATGGCTTTGCACTACAAGGGAAAAAGATCTACTGATACTTAAAAGCGCCTGCTGCACCACTGAAGATGTTTGTTGTTGCTTTAGGCTCCTACATACTTCCATTTCAAGGTGGGATATTTAAGCCCCTGTCACGCCTCGTCTGCAGTGTGTAACACAAAGGCAGAGTGATGGGGTAAAGGCGAATCACCTCTGATCCATTCCTTGAGGTATAACAGAGGCAGAACAGGAAGAAGATGGTGGCAATGCAGGGCCCGGCTTTGCCAGCCCCAGCAGGGTGGAATAGCGCAGTGCGTGTGGCGCTCCACTATGCGTTTGCAGACTGTACCTCTGATACTTCTGCGACACTGCAATGCAAAGTGAAATCACAAACTAGGACACCAATATTGTGCTGTTTTAAGGATGCAGTGTGTTAGTTAAGACGCTTAAGTGGCAGTGTCTTTTGTCAGTGGACGGACATCGGCATATCAACAAATTATGTGTCATGCACCAGCGTTAGAAACTGTTTGTATCCTGTTATATTTTTAGCGGTCAGAAGAAGTCCTCCTTGCAAGGTGGAGATTTTACACAGTCTCTGAGAAAGATCAGTGACATGCAGTTCATACAACATCTTCCAGAAACATTTTAGGAGGGACTATTTGGATCCATCAAATCTCATTGCTCATGTAATAAATATTTAAAGAAAACTACAGAGAAGTGATGCATTATCATAAAAACTGTTATTTTAAAGCTTCTGTGAGGAACTTTCGGTTTGTGTCAAGTTTGGCGCCCCCTGTGGACAAAGCACACTTTGCTTGTCTTGTTCTCTTCATGCTAAAACAGTGACTTCTGACATAACTCAAGTAAATTACTCAAAGCGTAAGATTCTTATCAAGTACTTGCCTGCCGTTCACTGTAACATACCGGGGATTTGAAATTAAAGAGTCCTTTAAACTTTTGTATTTACCGAGTAAGAAGGGTTAATATGTCCTTAACACACCAAAACACAATCTATGGCCCCTTTACTATACATGCTGTCAACAGTTCTTCAATCTGTGTGTTTGTCAATAACTCAGCAAAACTCCATTGACACTTGTTGGGAGAGCTGCAATTGTGTTTATTGTGTTCACATGGTGTTTTTCAGAGAGAAAGGGAGATGGTCAAGGCCAGTTGTAAGAGTACAATAGAACGCAGTCCACACTCTGGCCTTGTGTTAAGTTAAGGCATGAAAAGCTCTTTCTGTTGGGTTAGGACAAGATAGTTGTTTTGTCTAGGTTTAAAAATAAACTATTTTAGAGATTTCAGCACTTACAGTTTCCTTGTCGTAATCGTGCAAAACTAATAAAATACTGCAATCACTTGGCTCAGATAGTTTTTGCAAGAGCTCCTTGAAAGAAATAGGCCTATAATCCTCATTTTATCATCATCTTGCTTCATTTAATCCAATTGTTTTGACAAGATTTGTTAATGAAGAGAATAGCAAACTTGATTTGGACAGCAAATAATTGGTAATATTACATACACAGATGTATTATATACACAGATAGGATATTTTAATGTATGCCCATGTTGCTATAAATTTCACAGTGATACCTTCAAACTGATTCTACACATGAAGTCGAAAAGTGTGTGTATTTTGAATTCTGGTGAGTGCAGAGCAGACATACAGACTTAAACCTGTAAACACAGCTCTTTGCAGAGTTCAGCAGGTTTACAGTACATTTAGACCTCCATCAGCTAAACCACAATGGTAGGACATCGGGCCATTTGACCACAAACATCCACTGAACCCATCAGACGGATCAGGCATCCTATGGCAATCCTGCCCGTTACAACTGACCCGTAACATGTGGCCCAACTACAACTAAATTGTGGTTGAATTATTGATACAGTGGCGTCGGCCGCTTTGCAAGTGGGGGCATGAAAGCGAGCCAACATGGGAATGGTCAGCTAATTTTATATGGAAGCCTCAGGGCACATTCCTCCCCGTGAAGACCAAACATATTGACATATGTGTGTAGGGGGAAAGGCTGTATACATCAGCCTGGTGTTTTAAGGAGAAAAATGGATAATATGGTTCCCCATATAGACCAGACTCCAGATGTTTTCGTCCCTTTTTCTGTAAATATTGTGGCAGGATCTGAGCATGCAGGCTCCTTGTTAATAAATGGATAGAAAGACTGGCAGCTTGGAGTAAAGATGTATGTAATATCCTTTCTTTTTTGCTTTGTTCTTTTAGATTGCTGCTCCAGGAATCACTACAGCTAAACTGTCAGTTTCACATTCATTTGTCAGACTAATATCAATACTGTATGGAGAAATTTTGAGGTGGATTGTGATGTATGAGATCAAGCCGTTTAGAAAGGTAGACCAGAGGGGGTTGGGGCTGTTTGCGGCTAAGCCAAGGTTGTTGACCATCAGTGAGCTGGGCGGCTAATTTCTCTAGAAGTGTCCAAAAGCCTTTGTGTCCTCAGTGCACTTTTATTTCCACCTTCTCTTGGAATTGTGATGACCGTGCCTCGGGGCGACAGAGACACCTTGAGGAGCGCCCACCTTTAAATCCGCTGCTCCATGACTTCAACCATGACCCCTCGCTGGAGGGATCCCTCAGGCGAGATTTAAACGAGCTCCCCCAGGTCCGCAGCGGCTCCTCTATTCACCGTCACAGTTTTAAAGACATGAATTGGCCCCCTCTGATGGCTGATAGTAAAATATATTTGAATCCTAAGGAGTAGATTTGGATAAATTGATATAAAAATGTACATATGTGGGTAAATGTGCTGTGACATATGAGTAAACAGTGTAATAGAGAGAGAGAATAGGATGGTTTTTGAGTGTCTGTGACAGGATGACAGAGGGAAAGCTGAGGGCCAATACAACCCTCTTTTTCTGTCTTTCTTTCTCCATAAAACAAAAGAGAATCCAAGAAATCAGAGCGCAACGACAGATGTGCTGTAATTTCATTTCACCAGACGACCAGACATTGTTCCTTTAATTGTATCATCCATTATTTTCGTGAAATCCCCTTCTTTCGGGGTAAATACTATCGCTTACACTTTTACAATCCTTTCCTCCCTCTCTCTGTATTGCTGTTATGGAGGACGAATGGTGAGAAAAGCATACAATATACAGGCTATTGATCCACGCCCATCACTGCAGAAAAAAAGTCAGTTCAAGGGGGAGGAGGGGAACGCAGGGGGGACTGGACACAGCGATCGATAACCTACTCTATCAGCCGTTTCCATGGCAACCGACCGAGCAAGGACAGAGGGCTGCCATGCATTTTGCACCTGTCTATTTCATATACCTATTGTGATAATGAAAGTGTCAGGAAAATGAATGCAAAGGTGACGTGGGGCTCCAGCCCAGCGTCAACTTCCACAATTAAAGAAATTACATAAAGGTTAATAGCTTACTGGAAAAGAGATGTGAAAAATGAGTGAGGCCAGGGGTGTGAGGGGGTGGATTTTGGTGACCTCCTCCCTCTCTCTCACTGATGTGGGGCTGAAGGACGCTTGGCGGCAAACTAGGTTGCAGCAAATAGGGTGCAAATCCGGGTTTGTAGGTTCTGGTATTTTTAGAAAAACATGCACAGATGACAGTTTGGATTTGGCAGTTGTGTCGTTCGGTGGAGAAGGGGCCTCCTTTGTGGTTGACCCCAATTTGGAGGTCGAGTAAGCATGATCAATGTGTTGGCCATTAGCTTACCTTACAGCAACTGTGGGCAAAAGAAAGAGATATAGCAGAGCGGCTAAAGAAATCTGGGGAAGAACAAGGGTGAGCAGGATGAAGGGAGAAACTGTACTTTTGGTCTAGGACCGCCAAAGCTTTCTTCAAATCCAAACCCACCAGGCTAATCCAGTCAGACTTTCAGAAGAACTTGACACCCAGACAGTCACCAAGCCTGCCTGTCTGTCTGACCATGGCGGGCATTGAACCTCCAGTCCTCTTTGAATCGTAGGATCCCCGGCTCCAGAGAAGTGGCGCTGAGCTGGGTCTGCCCTAAGTGAAGGGGATGGATATCATGATCCGGGGCCTGTGTTGATCATGTGCCGTATTGATCGCCAATCGAAACTACTGCTGAAAATGCAGGATTGAGAGGGAGAGAGCAAGATAGAGAGTGGGAGGGAAGGCAATCAGCTGTGGCTTCTTGCTCCAGCCAGTGGCCCTGTATCAGGCTGCTGTGGTTACCAACAGTGCTACTGATGAGGAAATGGCGGTTTCAGAGATAGTTGTGCACCACACATATGCATCATCTGAGTGTCCCCCTCTGGACTCGTCTCTATTTTCATTGATGCCGCACTCATGAATGACAAATCACAAACCGCAACAGATTTACTTGAATGACAGAGGAGTGAAATTTGAGCATGAACGCAGCATGTCAGAGATTGGCAAGCTGCACCACCACGGACAACGCAGCAGTTGTCCTGTAACACCAGAGGCACTCTGTGTTTTGTGAGCTGTGACAGCCAGCTATTGATGGGCACGTGGCTCTGCAGTGTTGTTCGGCAGCCACTGGCCACTGCTCTGACCTTTGACACCCCGCCTATGCAATTGTGCTCATTGTTAGGGGAGAGGGAGGAAGAAGGAAAAAGGAGCAAGAGGAAGAGGGGAGATAGATGACCCTTGGGTTCCTTGCATTTGGATTCTCCCTCCCCCCTCCCATCCCAACACTTACATCCATCCATCCCACCCCTCTTCCCTCACCCTTCTCCCCCCGCACACACTCCACCTTATGCCGATCAATGACAGTTTCATGTGGCTTCTCTGGGCCTGCAGTGACGTGTGTCCTATTGATTTATCGACATTACTCCAGGCAAGCAAACCCAGAAGCCCCCTCTCTCAGTAGGCAGCCCGGCTCCAGCCCAGCAGAGGCGTACCTCCCCCTGCGCCGGGTGGGCCCGTGCCAAGTCATCCAACTGTACCGGGGCTCTACAGAAGCAGCAGCGCATTAGCTGCACACAACCAGACAGTATTTCAGTGTGGATGCATGTCTGCGTATGTCACTGTGAATGCTTTTAAGCATCGACCCCTCCCTGCCCATCTAGTTTCTGCTTGTACCCCCCTCTCTCTGGCACTCCATGGGACATGTAATGGGGACAATGAGCGAGACACCCAGGCACTCACAAACACATTTACTGTCGCCCCTGATTTCCAGAGGCGACTATTCCACTTTTATGGTTAAAAGGTTCTTTTCTTTCGCCCGTGTCAATGTCATGCCTCTGTGGCCATGGTTGATCCTTGTGGCTATAGCTCTCATCTGCCCCTTTTCCTATCTTTACTGGGGTGGGGGTGCGAATCAGACAAGCCCATCCTTTTACACTCTGTCCCCTACACCCCCCCTTAGGCTCTCCTGTGTCCAGTGAAAGGCCAGTGGATTTAGAGAGGGGAGGGGTAGAGGGCAGCTGGACACTCCCCGTGGTCTTACTAGCTGCTGATATGGGGGTCGAGGAGGAGGGGAAGGGGGGGTGATCCAACACCATTAGGATAGGACTGCTGCGATGGCAGCTGGCCCTAAAAAGGAGGGAGGAGGAGGGGAGGCTCAGAGATCAGTGACCTGGCCACAGTGTCCAGCTGGGGGGTCATTTCATGGCCCACCTCCAGCCACGTGCTGGATGACCATCTGGGGAGCTTGAAAACCCCACAACAGAGGTAGCATCATCTTCTTAGTCGTGGGGATGGCAACAACAAAAGTCAAGAAATCTGTCGGCCTAATCTGGAGCGAGGTGGGAGGGGACACTGCAGCTGCCTGTTGTTGTTTGGCACAAGTGTGTGCATCTGCTGGTTTATGCAATGCACTGCAGTGTTTGCACCTGAAAATCTGCTACGATCATCTTATGTATTTGTAAACATGTCAATCAGACCCAAACTGGTCTGGGCATTCTGTGCAGCACCCCAGGATTTGACCCAGAAGTCAAATAGCAGAAATGCGTAGAATGCATAGACATCTTGCCTGATACTAGTGGTACGATTGATTAAAACACGCGGATAAGACCAAGCGGCTAATAAACACCATTAAAAGCCCAACTGTTCGGCAGTTGGTGCGAGGGGGGGCAACCATCTTGGATTTCAAGCTCTGGGTACCAGAAGTTGCTCTGAATTTCCAAGTAGGCGTTGGGACCTCAGGGAGTGTTCTAGGGGATCATATCTAACAGGCATCTTGGAAATTTGGAATTCCTAATATTAAATCTCACGGTCAAAAAAACAAGCCAGAATATTTGTAAAACCAGAGAAGTTTTGCGTAATGTGGTGTCTTGTTTGAGGAGCTTTTGTCTCAGTGTCTTATTTATTAGCTGTTTTTTTAATGGTCCTTTACTCTGACTTTTGGTGCTAAACTGAACTATTCTACGATAGTGGAATATCTTGTGTAAATATAGTTTAGACCCCAGTATTCAGAGGATCTCAGGGAGTCACCCAACTGCCCAGATGGACCACCAAATTCTCCTTTAGTTCAGTTTGATGTCTCTGATTGGAGAACAGATTAGCACTGGTTTGTTGTCGGTGCTAACCCCACCCTGCCTGCCCTTCTCCTCCTCCTCCACTTCTTCTTTTTACCCCTCCACCCTCAGTCCTCCTCTTCCCCGAGCCTTCTGTTTTAAACTGTTTAAGGTGATCGAATTTTGCCCATCCTCCCAATGTGGTCGGAGGGGATCAAGGGTTGCTGACCCCAGCCTGATTGTAAAGGTTGTGAAGGGGAACCTCCATAATAAATAGAGGTCTTGCGAAGAAGATCTGACCTTGTAGATGTTTCTATGAGCTTAAAAAATCACCATCTTTATTTTTTTGGGGGATCCTGTAATCCCTTTAACATTTATCATTGTTCTGCTAATGAAAGTGATCTCTGCGTTCATGTCTGATAGGTTTCTAATTAGATTCACATAGACCCATGTGAAAGTGGTCCAAAGGAGGATTGGGGTGGTGGAGTTATTGCTCCTAGAAACATGGAGGTGCTCCGATGTGCTGAAAGGAATTCATAAATGTGGTGGAGGGATGGGGTGAGCAGCAATTGTGCACCAGTGTAATCTCTGGTCAGCACTTCTTCATGGCCGATACTGCGATAGAAACGAGATCCTCTTCTGAAATTTGATTAATTGCTGTCTCCCCGCCTTTCAATCCAAACATTGGTGGAAATGGAGGCCGGATGACAGGACAGATACATCAGCCTCAAGAGCTGTGAGCCCCTGGCAAGCAGAGGCATTTCTTAGCCTGTAACAGGATATCCACGTACTGCGAGGTGAGGAAAAGTGAGAACTGCATCGTCTTCATTTGGCCATAACAAGGGAGAGGGGGAGGAGGAGCACAAGGAGCGGTAAGGGAGGGGGGAGTCAGTCAGCCAGCCAGGCAGGCAGCTTGCTAGGTTGGGCCGAGGCGTATCGATTGATTTCCCAATAGCCTCTGGTCCATGAGCGGCGAACCCTGGCCCTGGTTGCTAGGTGACCACACCATCCAAGATGGAGAGCGGGGTGATGAAGGGTGACAGCAGCTCTGAGGGTCAGCGGGGCCACTGGTCATTCTGCAGCTCCTTTGGGACGCTCCGGACATGCAGATAATGCAATGAAACTGGACCTCAGCTCGTGGAGAGAAATGAGCGAAGCAGAAGTACAGAAAGAGAATATCAGAGAGGAGAGGCTCGTCCGCCATCTTTGTTCTATCTGTCTGTGATCAATGCAGCCGCCCAGATTCGCATTGCGGCCATGCGTATATGACATATGTTATGGTAAAATAAAATTGGAAACGAACTATTAGACCAATTTTATGAACACCAAATGAGGTTTCGGGTTTCACACCGCAAAGTTTTCCATAAAAAATAGATTTCGTAGAAAACATTTATGACACCCCTGTGAATTTAAAGAAACGGATAACCATTTATGAAAATATTGATTTGATGAACAAACAGCCATTCAAATAGCCATTGTCCCAAACATATTGCCTATATCTTAAGACAGAGGATATGGCCTTTGCACAATCCCTGTTTAAACAGCCCGCAATTCTCATCTCCAGAAAAAAGCAATTTACTCCAATGCACATTCACTAAATTGCAAAGGAGTTTGAGGAATTTATTGCAGTGGTCCTGTCAAAAAAAAATATGCCACTTTGAGTTCTCAAGGTCCAAATCACGGAGGTAAAATTATTTATTTGCGCATTTTTATTGCAAAATGGTGAAATAAAGTACTTTATTCCTATTGATGAGATATCCTAAATGACAGGCATGCGAGTGCGACATGTCACAGGCTCGTATTAAGATGTGAGTCATGATAAGAATGCATATTTCCCCTCTTAAAACCTTTTTTTTTAACGATAAACTTTCCATAGAGGACCAATTAAATGCTGGTGAGTGCAGGCATCTCAAAAACCATTTGTGATCCGAACAGGACAAAAGAAAAATACTGTAAACATGAACTGACCATAATCTATATCACATATTCCACAATGATACATGATACCGTAGCGCTTTTCTACATATCGATTGTTCCACTGTGCGAGTGAAAAATGATACGCAGGGCAAAAGAGAAGAAGAAGAAGCAGCAGAGGGAGGGAGGAGGAGGAGGAGGAGGAAAGTAGAAGAGGGGAGGGGGGGTGGATATAAACTGGGAGACAAATGTAAAAGGATCTACATCACACTGTAAGCCTTGCACAGAGAGAGAAGTTACCAGAAGGCAAAAAGGCTCAGCACAGAAGGGGGTGGGAGGTTTTGTGTGTGTTGGGTTGAGGGTCACGGGGAGAAACCCATCCAGTCGGCCCTGAAAGGCCACCTTGCATTCTGGCGGTTGCCTGTGTTCTTCCTGTATGAAGGATTTCCCTTCATCCTGTGCCATGCCTCTCATGTCCTCCTCAGAAGGAGCCTGAGCGTTTTCATGTCTGTTGGAGTTCCATATCCCGAGGAGGGAGGACTTATGTGTCTCTGTGTGAGCGCTTGTGTATTTTCCTCCCTTCTATCTATTAATAATATTGGGGAGAGAGAGAGAGAGAGAGAAAGGGAGATAGAAGTGGATGTTTGCTTTGGTACAAGGCGAGATGTTTCTCTGTTTGCAGCCCTAAGCTGTGCGAGTATTCAGCTCTTAAATATTCCCTTCCCTGGTGACTGAAAACTATCTCTCGCCCTTAAGGGCTGCGTGGACCTCCCTGGCCAAATATCCACATACCTTTAACAGCAACTGGCAACCAAAATTCTTCAAATGGGAGGATTTAGGGCCTGAACGGCTGGAAAAGGTGTGAAAGGGGCTGAAAAGGAAAAAAAGAAAAAAAAACCGAAGTATGAATCCAGGTGTGTCTAAAGCAGTTTGGGAACGGTCTTTTAACACATTTATTATTTTCTTTGACCTGCAGGACTTGACAATTTTAGTCACTAGAAACCTTTATAAGTTTGATTATCTCGCACCAGAAATATTCATTACGTTAAACTGTGATTGAAGTCAAACAGAAAAAGACAAGGACCCAAATGCTGAAACAAAATGATTTATTCAAAATTAACTAAATAAAAAGCAACAAAAACTTACATAGAATGTCCAACAAAAAAATCCTAAAGTCAAAAACACAAGAGGCAAAATCCACAAGGAACAAAAAATCCAAAATCCAACAAAGGCAATAGGGAAAAAAACACATGGAGACACTGAAGACACTCGTACTCACCACACACATTCACACACAATGAACCAACAAAGAAACAGAGGAAGACAGGGACTATATATATATATACACACACAGGGAAACGAGCAATGAGAGGCAGGTGAGACACTGAGACACAGGTACAGACAATTACAGAGGAGGGAAAACTGAGGAAATAGTAGACTGGAAATACAGGGAATCAACTACTTCAAAATAAAACAGGAAACACTGTCAGACACAAACTGAAAACTCACAAGACAGGACTACAGGAGAACAGAAACACTAGGGAAAATCACAGAGAAATACACTGAACAGAACAAAACCAGGGGAGAACCAAATACCAGAACATATATCATGACAAGTGCAATTAATGGATATAGTGAGCAATAGTTCGGTTTGCAACTCTAATATGATAAGGGTATTATGAGCCTGTTGGCTTGGTTATTAGGGAGCATGCATTAATTATGTGTGTTTCTCGATTAAAAATATCTTAAAGCTTTATTCCCCTAATTTTTAAAATAAATGCATCACTTTAAAATACAAACACAATAACAGTGTTTATGCACAGCTCTTCTTTCTGGAAAAAAATGGTTAAACCTAAATGTATAATACTATACCAGTTCAACATGCATCTGTTTATTAGCTTCCATAATGGTCACTCTGCACGCATGTACCCAAACAATCTTGCTGTGCACAGACACACGCATACACATCAGAGCAGCCGATGACTCAAAAGAGGGGACATACGTGCATGTTTATTTCAATCACCAATTGCAACCTTTTGTGCAATTATGAGTGCACAATCTCATATTGGATTTATTTTGTTGCATTGAACTGTGCACCAAAGTTGCTACATGGGTGGATTTGGGGATTGCATAGCGGAAAAAAAGAGCGACAAACAAGGGGAAAAAATGGGATAGGGGGAAAAACACAACTTCAGAAATGATCGTTGCTCATTTAGGTAACCTAAAACCTTTAAAAATGTTCGTACAGCTTCTGCTAAAAATGTTGGTGTCAGTTGCGATGGCGATCTTAGCTTTGAGCGTCAAATAAGCCTGATAGTTTGATCCTGTCTCCTGAAGCCGTCAGTAATCCATGCCTGTTTTTATATCTGTAAAATGAAGTATTACAGTACGAGTTGTTTATTCATCTTTTTCGCTACACGCTGGTGTCAGTACTTTTCTCTTGCCTTGGCTTCAAATTGTCAAAAATGATCCAGTTTGATTTCTGCAATATTTATTTGAAACAGCCCTTTAATTCCTCATCTCTATAATTAAACCAGTTTCCACATTTCACCTCGTCCCTGAACTCCTGTAGCACACAGTCACAGAGAGTCTCTCAGAAAAGGTAAAATGTCAATATGGTGGCCTGGCCTTTTGCTCATAGAAGTGGAAAGTTTGTTCCCCGTTTTCTCTCAGCTGTAAAGATTTTAAAGGTCTGCAGAAACTGAAAACAGCAGCAGGATAAATTCATCGCAGCATCTCGAACGTAACGCTTACAGCCAAGTGAGAGAAGCCGCAAAGAGTAGGAAATATTCGTGGCATCAAAATCGTCGAACATTAAACGGATGTGGTGTGGAAAAAAGGGGTATTGTCCAGCTCCAGATTTAGTGGCCTCTTCCTGGACCTTTGACCTTTTAAGCCCTCTCCTCCAGGACAAAAGCCGAGGCAGTTCGACGGTCTTGAACATGGAGAGGCTGTTTATGGTTTTGGTTCAGAAGGGACGATAGCCAAGGTTATAGAAAAAGCAGATGGCTGTCCTCAGTAGAGCTCTGGTTCTGCTTGAGGTTTGCGGATCTAAGTGATCCTCGCGTTGTAATATTCGTTCTCAGACAGTGTTGTCCAGACTCCCTATGCGTCGAATAAGATGACGCCGTATGACTAGGAATTGATCCGTTATTGAGTGATTTAACAAAACGGCCACCCAATCAAATCCTCGCACCTGAAATCTCCCCTCTACGAGGTTTTGCCGCATCATTCCTTGTTTTTGCTTGTGTTACATCAAAATCTGCAGATGTCCTTTTCTTGTGTTTTTCTCCCTGCATTTGAACGATCAATAGAAGCTGTTTTCTTGAAGCATTCGTCTGCAGTAACAGCCTCCATCTCAGCGTTGGAAGTTTCAACCTTTAAGTTTCATCTCAAAGGCCATTTTTGTTCCTTGATGCTCGGAAGTGAGTCACTATTTACACACCTGCGCGTTCGTAACCTGGGAATCACTCAAAATCCTCGACTATCCGCTCAGATTTGACTGTTTTTTAAATGTTGTAATCTGAATTAAGTGGGCCCTGCACCCAAGATAGTCCTCCTCCAGTCCAGCTGTGTATTTGTGTGTGTGTGTGTGTGTGTGTGTGTCACCCTGTGTGTGTTTAGCTGGCGGAGAGAGCGAGGGGGAGGTGGATGGAGATGGTATCAATCGCCAAGCCAGGCCATTGAATGTATTGATTAGTTACCTTTCTTATTAACATGCTGATTAAAGAGAGAAGGCAGAGAGAGAGAGAGGGAGAGGGAGAGGGAGTGAAAGAGAGGCTGCACACACGCACACACTCCTCGCCTTCGCCTCGGCTCGGACGGATGGACGGAGAGGAAGCAGGAGCAGCGAGCGGCCGCCGTGGATGAGAAGGAGAGAAGGATGCAGAGTGGATTTAACAGCCGGGCGAGGAAGGAAAATCAGGGAATAATTGGGAAGAGGAGGAGAGAGGGAAGCGAGATGAGGAGGAGGATGAGGAAGAGGAGGAGGAGGAGGAGGGTGAGGAGGAGGAGGAGGTGGGGGAGGCAAAGGGGGAAGGAAGGGGGGGGGGGTGACCTGACTGGAAAACTAAGGAAGGAGAAAGAGAAACCCTGCTGCCTTTGATCCCCCACCGAGTTACACCGGCTGACTGGCTGGAGAGACTGACACACACTTTTGGGCTGTGAGACACACTCATCTGCACCCACACACACACACACAAGCTGTGAGGCTGACAGGCCAGAGCAGAAGCATGCATTACCATGGCAGAAAATAGCTCAGTGTGTGTGTGTGCTCGTGTGATCAATATGTAGGCTTTTTAAACCGTATTTTTATCAGCGAGTGACCAAGTTAAGCAGCGTGCGGTGAGGGATTTCTTAAGATGCACGCCAAGGTTTTCCGAGAAAGGCGCTTTTTATTCCGAGAGGGACCGGAAGGTGGAGGGCAAGATGGAAGAAAAGAAAAGAAAGGAAAGGAAAGGAAAGGAGGGAGGGAGGGAAAGAGGATGCAGACTTGTTTATTTGTATGTTTGTGTTGACGTGTTTGAGTGGGTGTGTCTGCATGTTTGTCAGTGTTCTCGCATTGGAAGAGGAGGAGGAGGAATTTCTGAGTGTTTTGCAAAGCAGCAGATGCAGAAACGGACGCATGCATGAGGTCTCAGATAGGGCAGCAGTTTGTACAAATAGCTGTGTAATTTTGCAGAGATCTGTTTACGTGACTATTATCATGTGGAGCCTGCAGTGATGACACTCCAGGCCTGGGTGTGTGCATGCGTGCTGCAAAGGCCTTCTCTTGCACATGTGTCAGTTTTTGCGGTTTGCTTTATTTTTATTCCCTTTAGATAATTGATTTGCGCTTAAATCGTTAAACTAAAAGATCTTTTATCTTTGTTCAGTTATAAGCTAATCCTCAAGATCATTAAAAGCTGCTTTATGCTGGTAAATTAAAGGGAACCTGCCCGTTTTCTCTGGTGCACCGTCATGCTTTATCTCTGTGAGAGGATGAAATCGCTGATATAATTAATTCAGTAAAAGTTTGGATGAAAAATATAGTTGATTCCCTTCAACGAGATGTTAAATTTTTGCAGTCTTAAACAAGAAAAATGACCAGAAATTAAAGAAGAAATCAAGGTGATGTTTAAGGATGACATTAGAATAACTCTTACTTTTAAAAATGTGTTGCAAAGTTATCCTTAAACCTAAACTTCTGTTTTAGTGATTAGACAGGGAAACATCCATGCAAAGTGTGCCGTATTTAACCCCTGAATTGTTGCAGCACGCTCATCCTAAACATCCATCCCCCAGAGGATCAAATCAAATATTTGTGATAAATACTGTGGTGCATTTTTTTTAACTATTATAACATTTTCAGGGCGTTAAAACTGTACAGTTTATATTCCTGGATTAAAAAAAACTTTCATTTTTACCTGATATTGTCACTTGACACTAACAAAGACAAAAGCAGGTATTCTTGTTGGGATTATATTGGATATTTGTTCAAAAATAATAAATTGAATAGTATATGTGCATGTTATCATATATTACACACGCACATATACATATTTTCTTGTAATGAGGTACGGTTGTAGCACATCTATATGCTGTTAAATCAAAGAAAGAGACTTCCAAAAATTGCAGATTTTTTAGGTTAGGCGCCGTGAATGAAAAATGAGGTTTCTGCAGAAACTTTTGCAGCCGTCAAAAAGTTTTGTGTTGAATTTTTGCAGGTAAAATCAGCTGATCTAGACCATATCCAACCTGCAAATCCACAGTCAAACGTAGTGCTCTCTCTCCCTCTCTCTTCTCTCTCTCTCTCTCTCTCTCTCTCTCTCTCTCTCTCTCTCTTTGCACAAAGTATTTATAAAATTTCATCCTTGGTTTTAAAAGGTCATTTCTCATTTCTTACTGGTTTAAAAAAAATCCAGTAAACTGTAGAAGAGGTGGCATCATCGTGATGTTCTTCACATTTTTAGAAAAACTTCTGCACCTGTAGCAGAACATGCAAATATGCACCACTTTGACTCCTCCAGCTGTATGACTAATGATGGAAAACCACTAATTGTGTAACTTTTAAAAACTTCTAATGAGCACTGACTCCGGGCTAAAAGAGAGAGAGAGGGAGAGAGAGAGAGGGAGAGACAGGCCTAGAGGAGAGGAAAGAAAAGAAATAAACTCAGACAAGTAGTGACTTATCGACCTTTGCTCCCCCTTGAGCTCCATTTTTGCATAAATTTAACTCTGTTTCTGCCCCGCGCGGCTCGGGCCACCAGATAATTTCATTTGCATAAAGAATACGGAGCCAATTACTGAGGGAGATATTTACATTTTATATGAAAAATAGTTGTAGGGCAAATGGGAAGCTGATTAAAATGCGTGGATCGATACTGGCTTGGCGCGCACCCGAGCTTGACGCGCGCTCACAATCACACAAACAAACAAAAAACACTATTTCTAAAAAAGAAAAAAGAGGGGACTTCAAAATAAAAGGTTTTAATTTACTAATGGCAAAAATAGCCGTAATGTAGCATTTCACGGTTTACTCTTAATGTTTTCTCTAAAATGACCAAAGATAAACTCAGACATAAAAAGTAAACCTCTATATCTTATGTTGCTTCTTGCAGGTGAAACTAGTTTTCATCACTTTGTCTTCAGGAGTGTCTGAATGCTTTCTGCACATTATTGGCTCATGTGCAGCAGGAGCCGAATGCAGTGAATTAAAGGAGTGAATTTGCATTAATCCAGATATGATCGATAATAACATTATTCACGCTGCGAAGTCAAGTTCCACATCATGGCGTACACGATCATTACGACTGCAACTAAAGCTGCAAATAATGGAGGAAAATAATGTGATTACCATTCAGTCAGTGTGGCTCCAAGTTTCCAGCAGCAGCAGCAGCCTCATGGTGTGTGTGAGTGAGTGTGTGTGTGTATTTATTTTTCATTTACCTCCATCTATTCATTTTAATTTAACAGAAAATATCATTTTAATTTCTGTATAATTATCTCAGCACCTTATTTTTATCATCTCTGGCCCATTTTTCTTTATTATGCAGACATTCAAATATGAAAAAAAGCGTCTTTAAATGTATTTTTTACAACAATATAAATGTGAAGAAAAGAAAAGGCACACATTAATATAAAGTGTATTTTATTACATATATTTAACCCTCAATAAGAGTGTGTAGGTCTGTGCAGTAGGCCACACGCTGTTCATGCACTGCAGGCCTTCATGCACATGAACCTCTGCAGGTTCTCTGTGCTGAAATACATATATATTTTTAAAAAGCTCCATTAAATCTGTTTATTTTTATTTTTCTGTGTCATAAGAGGCCACATCTTAAATCTGAAGGTAAATTATAATTATGAATATTAATATTAACATTTACAGCTGCAGGTAAATATTCGCGTCACTCACCTTTGGAGTCAATATTTGGTGTTTTTTTCCATCGATGATCATTTCCACCCTGATTATCACCGTTATTATATTTTTAGCTCATCTTTTTTTTTCTTCCTCTTTCAGATCTAATCCGGTCAAATTAATTCAGTTATCGATTATTCACATTGGGATGTGTGTAACGCCAGGTCTCGTGGTAATAATTGATTTTATCGATTGGTTTAAGGGTGGGAGCGAAATAAAAAAGGGAGATGACAACAGGAGGAAAAAAAAGGAAGAGGGAAACACAAGAGTAACACGATTTCATTATGTCACATTAAAAATTACATAACTCTTTAAACCAGCGTCTTTCATTTCACAATAATGTTTTAAAAACCTTCACTAACCTATATTTTTATTTTTCTCGAATCGAAAAACGTCTTTTCAATATTTTATCTTGTTTTTTAAATTTATTTTAAGCTTACATTGACTCCACAGTGTAAAACACTCAAACATCAGCCTGATTATGCTCACAGATGGCAGCACTAAAGAGCGATAGGATATATTTTTGAAGGTTTATGATATACTTTATTATAAATGTGTGTTATATTTAAGCTAAAATGACGGATTTCCTAGCTCAGATTCATTCAGCTCTATATGGTGTCAGTAACTTTTAGTTGTTTTACTGTAATAGTAAAATTACGCAGCTGTGGCCAAAATTACGCACATGGATCAAAATACGCGAAGAGTTGAACTTTCCGTCTACAGATGCACGAATCAGGTTAACTTTTTTATTTTTAAATCTTTACAGTAAAGTTTGAGTTCAGCTTCACACCTTTACCACAAAACAAAATGCAAAATTGAACACACACAGCACACCGTAAAAAACGGCACAGACAACTTTATTACATAAGAGAGGATAAACAGAAGATAAACAGGATTTCATTTTCACTTTTCGACTCCCCAAAAAAAGTTAGAAAAACAGTTTTGTTGGCTCTGAAAACTCCTCAAACAATAAAAATAATAATTAAAAAAAACTTATTAGCATTATTTTTATCAGCACGAGGACAGGAGAGGCACCTGCCAGAATATATGTGTGTGTTTTGGGAATACACACTTTGTGGTGTTACCTGCACCAGTAAGTAAACAGTGAACAGACAGGTGTTTCTTTTTTATTTGAATATATTGAACATTAAATTACTGTCAGTGGGATTATTTTCGTCTTACTTCCTTCCTCATACCCTCAGATTAAAACAGATTTTATGGGATTTACTTTTTATCAGTACACACTGAAATCAAGATGACAATGTCTTTGGAGGAACTGAAAACTTCATAGTCCACTCCCATTCAACAAACATTAAAAAAGTCCCAATTAAGAAAGTCCTGTATCTGATAATAAAGTTAACTGCTCTTCTTCTGCTTATTATTCATGACTCTTGACATTTAGGACATCTTCTTCAACCTTTTGGGGACTTCAAACCTCTTTTGCACGTTTTTTAAGCTTTTATTGTCTTTATTTATGACGTGCAAATTAAACTAAAATGATATTATTGCTCTCAAGTTTGGACACTTTTGGTGCAGTATGGCTCTCAGTGATAACAGGGATAGTACATGTTATGTAAAAATCATTAACTTTGATGGGAGTCGTCCGTTTACCTTATCACCTTTATCTGCACTCGTGCTAATATGGAGGATCCCCACCTTGTGAATTGTTTTACTGTATATTCTTACTTTTCCTGCTTAAGTCTGGTTTCAGTTTATTTTGTCGTTTTAGTGACACAAAAGCTGAAAATTAATCACGATGTTTAAAAAGCGTAAACTTTTGTTCCCTTTCAAAATAAGAGCTGGAAGTGCCACATTGTACTGCTTTTTTGTGTTTTTATGTGTGTATAAACTTGACAATAAATAAAATAGAAAAATAAAGTGTGGTCTTATATTTTTGTGCATTATTTTGTACTACTCTCTGTGTCTTGTTTTGACGTGTGTGCGGTCATGACTGACACACTTTGAGGCAGAGAAAGTGTGAAGTGGATGTCACACCAAATGCAGGGTGCATTATTATGGTGTGTGTGATTAAATATGTCCAAATTAGATGGAGAACAAGGATTTATTCACCGCCATTAACCAAACCCTGTCCTCATGACTTGATATAACATGACAGGAAATCTTAAAAAAATTATTTCAGAAAAAAAACATTCATTAACTTTTCACTCAAACACAGAGTTAAAGCCATAAAAATTAAAATCCTCTTAATTTATTCACCATATTCCTCTTCTTTGACGCACGCTGCGTAAAAAGCGTCATTTACGCCCTTTTTATTCTCTTATTGTTTTTCGCTGCTGCATACAGAGGGGTCAATATCTCATTCAAACCCTGCACGTGCACTCCATTTATTATCATTTACCAATAAGTGATCACGTTTACTCGCTGATTAAACAGCAGGTTTTGGGGGGCGTAAAACGCTGTAAAGTCCAGGATGAATAATGCAGCCTGATGTTTCTCTCTATCACGTCGTTCCTGCTGCTGCTGCTGCTGCTGCTGCTGCTGCAGCTCGGGGATGTTTGCAGGCCTTTCGGGATCCACTGCTGCAGAAAAACAATCACGCACCTATCTTGCTTATTTTCTCTAAATAAAATATGAATTGATGAATCTTGACATATCACTCCTGGAAACTCATCTGCGCTCTGAGAAGACGTTTCTCCCCCCTGTGGATTCATCTCTCGCTGAAAACACACCCTTTGAATTTCTGCCTGATTCTATTTATCCCTCAGCAGCAGCACATGAATGGTCATCTCAATGTCACACCGATGTCCCCTGACCCTTGACCCCCTCGCTATTGGCTGCTTGTAATATCGGCGATGCAGGATTTGATGTAGGCCCGTACACGTCCCTCAGGATGGATGCATCATGCAGGCAAGCAAAACGGTTAAAATCTAAACACGCTCAGTATTGGCTGCAGATTAAAAGCTTATTCTACAGGCAGCATATTGAAAGTCACTTTGGATGAAGGAGCTGCGGCTAAATGGCTAAAATGCGAGTATTCCTCGGTTATATTTATGGCCCTGGATGGGTAATGGAAGGTTTGATGCTCCTGCTGCAGCTGCCCTCACTGTAAGTCCCTCTGAGAGCATCAGCTAAATGGCTGAAATGTAAATGTTTTGGCTGTAATGTTGCTGATCCTGCTGCAGGAGGGAGTGACTCTGGATGGGAACACAAATGGATATACTGGCATAATGTATGTGCAGCATGTTGTGCAGAGAGAAATCAATCGCTTTAACGTCAGGGTTGTATATTTAGATCACAGTTTCTCTCACTATGGCTTCTCTTTACGCATGAAAATAATATTTATATTTTTTTGTTGCTGAGTTATAAGTGTGTCTGTGTGACCCGGTGTTGACAAACCCGGACCCCGGACGCCCCATGGGGTGTCAGCTTCCCAGTGTAAAAAGTTTGGGGCCCTCGCAGCTCGGGTGTCAGCCTCTCTTCTCGTATTTTCCTGCCACAGAAGGTGAACTTTCACCCCGACCTTCCAGAAGGACCTTTTATTTTCGCTCTGTAGCTGTTGACCATTTTACCTCCAGCTACTCGCCATCCATACACGCATCCCTCCGTGCTGGCTGCGCGCGGGGCGGATCGATAGGGCAGCATCTGCTCCGGGAAGCCGGCGGTCCCACACCGCGCACCGCTCCGCTGTTTCCAAACGCCAGAACTGCTCATCTCTGAAAATTAAACTGACAGACAGATATGATTAGTATGCGCGCTGCTGCCCTGCTCTGTCTGTCTCCGTGCTTCTCTCTGAGGCGCGCAAACATGCACGCACAGGCCTCACCATGCAGACTAGATGTGTATTTATGCTCCTTGTATGCACACACACACAGGCGCCACTGCACATTAATGGGACACCAATCTCGTGAACGCGCTTATGCAAACATGCACGCACCTGTGAAGAAAAAAAGATGCATGCACAACATATTTATGGAGTCGCAGGTTACACACATTATTGCGCACTGTAAAGCAAGAAATTGCATTCTGCACGCACGCGCTCCCAGCAGGCCCATCCTGCAGTGTGTGTGCTCGGTTCTTGCAGCAGCAGCAGCAGCAGCAGCAGGTCGAGGGTCTTCTGGAAAAAAAAAAGGGTCGCATTGATCTTGCTGAGGGGACTTTCCAGACTGAAGTGATGGCGCTGTGAGTGAATGGAGCCGCGAGCTGAGTGCTGATTAAGAGCTGGGCTAAGCACGAGCGTCACTTGACAGCGTTTATTCCTGAAAGGTTGAAGGAGAAGAGGAGCCAGAGAGAAATAAAGGAGATGCAAAAAAAAAAAAACGAGAGCCTGAGAGTGAATGTATGGTGCTTCAGGTGGAGACAGTAAACGGTCTTTGACGTCTTGGGAACAAGATGGCGAACCATCAGAGTGGATGCTGATAGATTTTTCTTTTTTCTTGGATCAATAAGTAAGAGTGGCGATTTGCATAACTGCATATTCATCATTCATTCGTTTTTAAAAAATAATATCAAGGCCCTTTCATGTTGATTTTAGTGACAACATTTGATATTTCTCTGAAATAAAAGTCCTTTAATGAATCACAAACAAGACAACCCTGATTTTCTGCATTAAAATAGAGAGAATATTCAATTTAATCCCCATTAGAGCTGAACTTTAATGTGAGTCATGATTTAGGCCTCCTCATAATTCAAGAAACACAATCAATGTTGATTATTTACCTTTAAATGCATGTTTCACCCTTAGATTGCTGAGAGCAGGATGATTAGGTGTGTGTTAGTTAAGCAGAGGGACAGAGTGAGCAGGTACTGATTTAATGTGAGTGAGTGAAAGCAAGACAAATATTGCTAGGGTTAACAGTGAGTGACCTACAGGCCACTGTGAAATACAAAAATATGATCCTAAATTCTCATTTTTCAAAGATACAGACAAAAGACAGTGTAATAATAACATTTTTAATATAGTATATTACTCATTGATTTCATCATCTATTCAACTAAAAATCATTCATTTAAAGTCGAAAAGTCAAAATTTGGTGCCAAATAATGTCAGGTTTAACAGTAAGTGACCTACAGGCCACTGTGATACCAGAACAAATACAAAATTATGATCCTAAATTCTCATTTTGCAAAGATACAGACAAGAGACGGTGTTATAATTACAAATTTTAACTACTGATATAATGTGCAAGTACAGATATTTAACTCACTGATTTCACCATTTATTTGACTAAATATCATTGATTTGAAGTCAGAAAGTTAATATTTGGTGCAAAAATTGACCAAATGTTTGCCAGAGGATATATTTAGCCCCAGTCCAGCCTCAGTTTAGGTGAGATGTAGGATATAAATAAACAATAAACTGTAACGATTGTTTCAGCAGCATTGTATCGGGAAAATGTGCCAAAAAAGATTTGATTATCTCGATTAATCATCGTGATCCCGATATAGATCAAAATAAGAGAGGATATCGTTTTCGCCATAATCGTGCAGCTCTAATCAGCTCAAGTTAGAGATGATTTTTCACACTGACAAAAGCAGCGAGAGCCTGACTTGTTACATATAAAAGAAGTAAAGGACATTAGCTGCAGCTTGTAAAAATCCATTGATCAGACACAATAAACAGCCGAGCGCAGCAGAATGACCAGGATGTGCGCACGTAATTCATAAGTTGTGCATGCAATCAGCTGAAGAAGGCTTAACCTGTGGGGTTATGAGAAAGGGAGCATCTCCAACCTCTTCATCCCCTCCCTCCACCTCCGCCCCCGTCACCCACCCCCACACCCATCCCTCCAACCCCCCCTCCGGAGAGAAAGGGTTAATTGGAGTAGGAATTTCATCGCACATCTGTCAGATTTTTAAGGCCGTGACGCACTGAAAGCAGAGAGTCAATGTGAGCAAAAAGGGGGAGGAGGAGGAGGAGGAGAAGGAGAAAGAGTTGGTGGTGAGATCGATGAAGTGGCAGGCAGAGGGAGGAGGAAAATCTCACGAGATAATGAAAGAAAAAGAGGAGAGCTGCTAGTGTAGAGCGAAAAAACGAGGCTACAGACCCGGAGATTTTTAGGAGTGGGAAAACAAAGACTTGACCGGAGAGCGAGAGCGAGAACCGTCCGCCTGGATCACCGCAGATGGTTTTTTTTGCACTCTGGTTTCGGTGAATGTAGCACCCCGGGGCGCAGAGGACCAATTGTGTGAATCTGCAGGGCTGCTCGGCGACACAATCGGAGACATGCACAGGACGGACAACAGCCGAGGACGCGCTCTGAGAAGTGGGGAATAAAAGGTAGGATAAACCTTCACATGTCGATGGTTTCGGCTCCGGGTGGCCGTCATGTTTTTGTAGTTAGTTACCGATTTGCTCAGGTTCATTACATGTGGTGTGAATATGCAAAACGCACCGCTGATGTTGGGCTCTTCGCATGCGCGCTGCTTCAGTATTCATAAGTTTGCATGTATGAAAAAATCATTTCGGTTTGATGGAAGTGATGAAAACTGAGATTTCGTTGTTTTCTTGTGTGTTCCGCTCGATGTGTCGAAAATGAGAGCTAAATTGACTTATTTCCTTTTTATCATTTTGCATAAAATATGTGAATTAAGCGTTAAAGCGGAGCAAACTCACGGTTTAAGTTGTTTTCCTCTCTGTTAAAGATGAAAGTTTACAGACAGCGGAGTAACAGCGCCTGTCTTGTCTCACACAGGCACAAAAGCGAGGCATCTGCCGAGGAACAAACCAAAGAGACAAGAGCAGAGTGCTGCTGCTGCTGCTGCTGCTGCACAAGAGAGAATAAAAACCACAGTCCGAGCTCCTCATGCTGCTGCAAACTGCTTTTCTGGGAGTTTGAGGGAGTTTGAAGACAGTACTTAACGTTATCAGATAATTAATTAGACACCCCATAAGCCCGGAAATCAATTAATTCACAAATCAATAAATCCATAGTCTGGTGTAACAAGAGACCTTCCAGACTAGCTAGAGCGGCTGTTGAACAACAATAACAAGAGAAGAGCAACAACAACACAGGGTGAGAAGTACACATTTATTCGCTGAAATTGAAGATGGATGGGAGTCTAGGAGAGATGTCCCTCCACAGCCACTCAGATCTGGCTCACAGCCAGGACGGCAGGGCCATGCTGCACTCGCGGGACCTCTCAGCTGCTTTCCCCAGGCCTTCCCTCGGGGGACCCTCCATGTCTCTGGAGCCCGAGCCCCGTGCGCCCAGTTTCGACCACTCCATGTCCGCGTTGGGCTACAGCGGAGACTCCCCGTCCAGCTCGGGCAGCACCTACACCACCCTGACGCCCCTGCAGCCGTTTGATGACAAGTTCCACCACCATCACCACCACCATCCCTGCCTCCCCGTCAGCAATGTGATTGGCAGCTTCACCCTCATGCGTGAGGACCGAGCACACCTAAGCACCAACTTCTACAACCCCTATGGCAAAGATCTCACCATGTCCCAGAGCCTCTCGCCCCCCTCCACAGGTTCAGGCCTGGGCTCCTCCATGCACGGCTACGGAAGCCCCAATGGCAACAGCGGCCAGATGCTCCACGGCGGTTATGACGTCCACGGAGGGAGCCTATTCTGCAGGACATCGGATTTTGGCCGGGAGATGTCACCACCGGGCCTAGGAGGAGGTGACGTGTCAGTGGGACACCAGCTAAACAAAATGGAGGCTCACCAGCACCCCCCAAGCCATCACCCTCACCTGTACAGCCAGCACTACCAGCCCCACCATCACCCGAGCCAGCAGGCCTCCAAGATGTCCGAGCACCTGCACTCCTCATCCTCCGCCTCGTCCTCGCCCGGGGAGAGCATGCTGCCGGGCGGTGGAGGCAGCTCTGCCGGGGAGGAGATCAACACCCGGGACGTGGCCCAGAGGATCATCACGGAGCTGAAGCGGTACAGCATCCCCCAGGCCATCTTCGCCGAGAGGGTGCTGTGTAGGTCACAGGGCACGCTGTCTGACCTCCTGAGAAACCCCAAGCCCTGGGGCAAGCTCAAGTCCGGCCGCGAGACCTTTAAGAGGATGTCCCGCTGGCTGCAGGAGCCCGAGTTTCAAAGGATGGCCTCGCTCCGGCTAGAGGGTAAGATCAGGCTTTGCTCTTTCTCTCTCTCTTTCTCTTTCTTACACACACACACAAACACAAACAGACTCACACAGAATCCACAAACACAAACACACACGCTCTCCCCTTGTTTTCCCCAAACACCTCCATGTCTTCCAAAAAAACCTCCTCTCCAGCACTCAGTATGCAGCTCAGGTTGAGACATGAGGAAAAGCATCATACTGATGTTTCACCTCCTTCACACCACTGAGAACCAACCCCAGGTTCCTCTATTGTCTCAACACCCGGGTAAATCAGAACTTAACAGCACATTCAGGTCAGTTTGAGCAAAAAGAAAAGAAAAAAAAGGGGGCCATATGTGCCGTTCCTTTGTTTACTTAGCTCCCAAACAGCTCCTATTGATTAGTACAGTAGCAACAATAAAAAAGCCACAGACATTTGCCCTCTTCTCAAATGAACCATGAAGATCAGCGTGAGCGGCGGCTGGCAATTTAATCGCTTTTGAGCCCACGAAATAATTTGTGCAGATATGCCACTCTGGAGCGATTGATTAATTCTAGCAGTGATTTATATCTGCTCGGCGCGCGGCTGAAGTTGACTTGGCAAGGTAGCTGATGCAAATGAGATTTGAGCGTTTGCCAGACATCTTTTATCAACGTCCTCACCGAGGCAATTACCGCGCGGCTAAATACAAATGTTGCTCTGCTCTGAGGCAGCACCTGGCGCGGGATTCCTCACATCTGGAAAACGAGGGAGAGTGTGTTTCTCTGAGCTCGATTGATCGGGAAACAAATCGGTTTGGGAAAAATTTGAGCTATCAGAAATTGTGGGAATTGTTTTACATTTTTAGTGTTTGGATTATCAAACAAATAAAACAACGTGAAGATACACTTTTGGCTCTAAATAAAATAGAAATGTGTCTCTTAATAATCAGTGTTTTCTGCCGATTTGACGCGGTAAAGATCTTTTTTTTTTGTAATCTGCTGCTTGACATTTAATACTCTTTGGAGATGTGGGCTGAAGACATGGCAGCACGCTGTACAGTGCCGTGTTACACTGTTGTCCCTCCACAGGGACCGAGAGCCCATCTGATACACGGAGCACAGAAAGAGATCCAAGTGAACACAGTAATACGAGACGAGCACGGCTGAGAGTGTGTGTGTGTGTGTGTGTCTGCAAGTGGTGTGCTCACTGCAGGGGTCTGTGAGCGCTACGTGTGTGTGAGCCTGCCCAGTTGATCACTGCTTTTCGCTCTCTGTCAGCAGCTCGACTGATTAAGCCCAACAACACAATAGGGTTCATAGGTAATGATTGTGCACTCTTGCAATCCCTTCACAATTATTGATCTTTGATTGTTCGGCTCTGAGAGCACATGTACATCCTCCATTCAGCAAAACGTTACAGCAATCACACCCTAAACCCCTCTTATCTAAAGATGACTTATCTCAGGGTTTTGTTCTTACTTTTGACAGAAATGTGGTTTTGATGAGGCCAATCCTGCAACACGTGACTGCTTTGTATGCAAAACGCCTCTTCCTCTCAATCCTTCTCTCATGATAAAACAGCTCCTTTGTTCGTTTGTTCTGATCATCAATCATTCCTCTTTTATTTCCAGCTTCCCTGTTTCCTCTTCTTTACAAACACAGACGTTATTTTAACGAGTCAGTCCTCCACGTCCGAGCAGCCGATCAATCAGACTCATAAAAAATTAAGGTTCCTACACAGAGAAGTGCGCTCTCCCTCTCTCTCTCTCTGCCCCCACACACTCTGAAAATTGCATATTTACTTCTTGGCAAAGAAGCCACAATTTGGACAGCTCGGCACTTTTCTACATAACCTACTTTCCGAAGGGGGTTGTTGTGCTTTTTCTCCCCCCCTCTTGGCCAACCCCCTTTTGTTTAATTACAAGCCTCTATTGATTTCCATGGGAAAGAGCAGCACGCCTTGCCCACACACACCTCGGCCGCAACGGCGAATCGAGACTGGAATTAGAATGCGCGTTGCCCTGTGCTCTCCAGTCTGAAGATAGCTCGAGTGCTCTCTGCTTCACGCCTCAAGTTTTAAGATGATCCTCCCTAATACAGCACTCGCTTAAATACATAGAAGGCCCTTCGGTGTCAGGCAGCAGCTGGCGGTTATTTCCATAACGCTGCTGTCTCTTACGTTCACAGGGCTGCAGAGCTCTCTCAGTAATTATTGGATGAAGCTGCTGCCATTTTGTCTCCTCGAATAATTGTCTCTCTGCAAAGACATTTTGCAAAACACGGAGGAGGTGATCCCTCGGATTTATCCGCAGTATCTTGTGTTTTTTCCTTACGTGTGTGTGTGTGTGTGTGTATACTCTATGGATTACTGTATATGAGATGCATCTCTTGCCCAACCTCAGGCTGTGGAGGAGGCAATCAGGATTTAGTCAGGGTAGAAGAAGGCGGGATAAAGACCACACAGCCTATGCTTGGACACTTAAAGTCAAGGAGTGGGGAAGGTGGGGGGGATCAGAGACTATAACTTTAAAGATGATGGCCGAAGCCCTTGACTAAAGGTCTAAATGAATAAGAAAGGTCAATGCGGTTTACGTGTCGGCTCCAGTGCCTGCACCACCCCCACAGTAATGAAAGCCACAAAGCCTCCTCGTCCACCTCTCGCTGCTTACAGTCCACATCCTGCCAGCCCGGCTCAAAGGTCAGAGCCGATTTCATTTGCATATCGGGGAATTGTAAACAAGGCCGACGCGGCCTTAGCGGCGCAGCACCCAACAAACACGCTTGTTTTGTTGTTTTTTTGTGTGTGTGTGTGTGTTGTTTTTGTATCTGGCTCCTGCAGCTTCCCCGGCGCTGAAGGGGTTAACCAGCCTCTGTGGGTCGAGGAGTCTGAGCTGCACAGATTTAATCAATAATTTCTATCAGCCCCTGGCCCAAGAAATCAGCAGGGGGTGGGCTGGGGGGGGGGGGGGGGGTGCGGAGAGGGGGGGTAGGAGGAGAGGGGGTTGTGGGGGTGTTCTAGCTAGGAGGAGGAGGATGAGGAGGTTGGGTGGGTGGTGGGTGGAGGAGGTGGAGGGGGTGCAGGTTGAGACGCCGGGGGGTAGGGAAAGGGCTTTCGATCACGTTTCAGCAACACGAGACAGGGGCATACATCATGATTAGGGGCTGTTCCCACGATCATAAGAAGCCTATAGGGGAATATTTATGTCTCCAGGAGTAGCCCCGGTGCCGGGGATTTATAGCATGGTAATTGTGAGCCTTTTACACATGATTACAGCATAAGGAAGCATTTACTTAATGGTTGGTGTTATGATCGTCAGGAAGGGAGAGGGAGCGCCGAGGTGGGATGGAGAAAGAGGAGGAGAGCGCCAGGACACCCTGACTCCTCCAACAAGCCATAAATCCGCGCTACAAGCAAGCTAGCCAGCGCTATCATGTCATTCCTTTCATTACTACACGAGCTGAGAGTGCACCACTGTATATACCATCTATAGATGCGGCGGCGGCTCCCCCCTCCCAACCCCCTAGCCCAGAAATATTGATGGCAGAGATGGTGTAAGGCCTGTGAAAAATGTAGCATTTGGGGAGAAAAAAAATAATTTCACTTGTAGTGATATTGACGTGCCGTTGACATCTTGGCCTGTTCAGATTTTAATGAGACGTGGTTCGATAACTCTCAGAAATGCAAACGAGCTTTGGATGCCTAAAAGCTAACAGGCACCTGTAATCTCAAGTTGACAAGCGCACATCCCCGAGTCAAAACATTTCCTTCAGATAATGATTTTAGTGGGGAAGACACTCTGGGAAATCAGATTTATTTATGTACAGTGGGGCGCTTAAGTTTCAGAAACTTGACTGGATGTCAAAGCAATCAACGCCCGACTACATGAGCGTGATGCCGCCGCTCTGATGGTACTCGTGTTGGAAAAGCTGGCAGTAAGGTCACACTTATTTCTCAAGCGCTTTGCTAATGGCAGAAATTTGCGGCTGTGAGTTTGAAGAGCCGGTCATACAGTAAACATCAGCAGCAGGAGCAGGAGCCGCGCTGTGTGAGATGTTTCTCAATGGGGAGATGTAAGCCAATCAATCGATCTCGTCAGCGCTGCTTTGAGGGCATCTGTGGTTTATTTATTGTATGTTTGTGCCATGATTGTGTCTCTGTGTGTGTTAGGGTTTAAAATATGTGATTTCAAGGTTATTGCCGGCTGATATCTCCATCCCATCAAGTCATTTTTGTCAATAATGGAGTTCCATCAACCTTGTTTTCTTAAAACAAGGACAGTGCTGCGAGATTATATCTACCAATCTGTAGGAGAAGGCGGCAGGATGAGAGTTTGTTTTTGAAAATGAAGGGTTATTCTCTTGTTTTAGTCTCATTTCTGCCTCTTTTTAAAAAAAAAATATTCCCTCAAAAATTTCCTGAATTAGAAGCAGGTTGAAATAATCTTGCAGATTTCTTCCTGTAACAACATTTTAGACTCTTGAGGCAAAAAAAAAAAGTGGACTATTTCAAGAAAATACATATTAAAACAACGGGTGGGTTGGGATTTTGTTCAGTAAAAAGGTCAATTTTGTGCAATTATAATCTAATTCTTCTCAAAATATGTTAAAAATTCAGTTTTAGCTTTGCACTTTAACTCAAAAATATTAAAGATCTGAGATTTTAGTGCCTTAACATCCTAATTTAACGCTGCACTTGATTAAATATATATTCTAACGTTGAAACTTCTTTGCACACTCATATGAAATTCAAAACATGATTTTTTGTTGTAGTCCAGCCTCTGCACTGAGCCACTGCTCCTCCCTTAGTGTGTGTGTGTGTGTGTGTGTGTGTGTACTCATTTGTGTGTGGTGTGCACATACACCACTGCTTACTCTTAGAAACTCATTTGATACCATCAGCAAAACAGTCGCTCAGCCGCACAGTGCTGATTGAAACCTCTTAAAAGTGTGCATTTAGGTAATTGCACGACTCCCCCCAAATATGTTTTAGTCCACTTAAGGCTTCTAAACACCGTGGGCAATGCCGACTCTGCTTGTTTCACTCACCCCTGACGTAACCTGCCTTTAATAGAAAATAAATTAGTTCCCCCTAAAGTGATTATTACTCACTCGCTGCCGCCACATGTAAATGACTTTTATGAGAAACTAATGATGTCGAAGTGTCCACTAAGGGAAAAGGAAGGGGAAAAAGTGGGAGAGGATGGCGATAGAAAAAGAGAGGAAAAGAAGGGGTGAGGGAAGGAGGGAGGAGTTGGCTCAGAACACAAAGGCACAAGGTTGGTGTTGTGTTTCCTGTAAATACAGAATTACAGCGTGTTAGGGGGGAAAGGTCCAGCGATGGATATGCAGAGAAACATGCAGCCTGAATTCAAAATGCTCGTCTGATTCTCAAAATGGATCTGAGCCCAGCCCACGCACATCAGTCTATTTTCCCTCCTCACTCCACTAAACTGACTCTCCTTTTTTTTTCTTTTTTTTTTGCAGGGTAATTTTTGTAAATCTCAGACTTTTCGTGAGGAAATATTGATTATATAATTGGGCAGGCTGCCGCTGCTACAGTGGTGTTTAACCCAGACCCCGAGTTAGGTTTTTTTGGGTTGGTGTAAGCAAGACTGACATTAAAAAAATAAAATACAAGATGACTTCATCACCTCTATGGCCGATTAAAAACTTGAATCGCAGCCCGCTCTGACACTGAGCTCATTTAGCAAGAAATAATTACTTCTGCTTCTTCCTCTCAGGACCAAAGTATGAATAAGAGATAAGAATATAATGTAGGCCTGTTTAAAAGGGGCAAGCTTTAGCATTTAACATTAATTTAAAATAAAGTTTGAAGATGTTAGAAATTCAGTGTTGTAAAAGTAGAAGTGAAGAAGTTTGATTTTATTTTAACCAAACAATCATTTGAGTTTGGCTCATGTTTGGGCATCAGAATAACCTCATAAGAATACAGACAGAGACATAAACTGATATTATTGTTATTATTACATTATATTTAATTAAGTTTAGACTCATATAAACATGGAAAAAGTCATATTTTTAAGCACATAGCAGTTAAATGGAGCTTTAAGGTCTTCTGAAAGTTTAAAAGATTTAACTGTCAACTCTTAGAATAAAAAAATGAATTCATAAAATAAAATAAAAGATAAGATTTTTGGTTTAAATTGTTACATTTTTATTTATTGGCCCTTTACAGAATATTAAAATACATTTTAAATGTGATTTTCTTTTCTGCAGACATCCATTACTCTTGAAAGAATAAATATTTTTGGACTATTTCAAGTACGATCCATGTTAATAATCGCTATAGGTAATGATTCGGTAGTATTTGAATGATGGTTGATTCGTGAACAATCCAAGGTACATGTGATAATTATCAAATTTTATTTTTCCAGTTTCTTCATTGGAGCTGTCTGAAAGTAGTTTAACTGTCTTTGAATAACAAAAGACAGAGAAAGCAGTGGACAGGTGCAGATAAAACAAAGTGTAAATTTGAAACCTGGAGCAAATGCTGCTTTGTAAAAATAGCAACTGCGTTCGATTCACGCTTAAATATTCCCAGTAGCTCCAGAATGGTATATTTGTTTGAAAAGCCAATCCCTGGTTAATATAAACACTGCACGAGCCTGATAAGAACCACCAGGAGCTTTGGCCTGGATGTAAGCTATCTGTTTCATCCCAGCCGCCTACAGCAGCTCTCTGGCAATAAGGTGTGATGGGTTCAACATCTTGATTCCCTCACTGCACAATGAAACGAGTTGCTGATTCATCTCTTTTAACTAATCAAAGTTGCTTAGCTAATCTGTTTTCTTTCAACAAATCCACTTTCCCTCAGCTTAATCCATTTGTCCTAGTTAGGCAGCCAGTCTGTTAGCTAACCTGTTTCCCCTGTCCTTTTTTAATTTATCCTTCATCCGTGTGCCTGCAGCCTGCAAGCGGAAGGAGCAGGAGCAGAGCAAGCTGGAACGCAACCAGGGCCCCAAGCGCACCAGGCTGGTGTTCACGGACCTGCAGCGGCGTACGCTCCTGGCCATCTTCAGGGAGAACCACCGCCCGACCAAAGAGCTGCAGGTCACCATCTCCCAGCAGCTTGGCCTGGAGCTCTCCACTGTCAGCAACTTCTTCATGAACGCCCGCCGACGCAACCTCAACAAGTGGGCAGACGAGGGCCGTCCCTCCTCCACGGGGTCCTCGGGCTCCAGTGTTTCCTCCTCCGCAGTGTCCTGCAGCACGGCGTGATGGTGAACCGCCAAGGAGGTGCGGTGGGGAGGGCACCGAGGGAGCAAGGGGGCACATAGACTGGTCTAGGTAGAGATCAGCCGTAATAAATGTCCTCCTCGTTATCAGAAGGAGTGACGGAGCCAGCTATTATAGATGATTTTATGAAGACGAAGCATTTTCCCAAACCAAAGTTGAACGCTCCCTTGAAATGAAAGGGAGCGATACCCAGAGTGATATGAGCGCAGGACGAGGGGTCCTGCTTGTATAGTCAAGGGTGCAAAAATGATCTGGCTCAACGACGAGTCACACCCTTACATAGACATCATCTCATTGCATTATTTTGATTATCTAGATTAGAGATAATGAGGGTATTACAAATCAGGAGAAAGCATATTTTGGTGTACCTTCAAATCTATAGTCATCTCTCCAAACGTGAAGAATCAAGAGGTGCCGTTTGCTCACATCTGGAGAGCTCCATTGTGTAACTTTTAATCAAAAGTGTTCGCCATCATCCAAAGACGTTGATCTTCCCCCTACTGTTCCTACGGTCCTTTTTTTTCCTCAAGAATCAAGGTGAAAGAGGAAGAAAAGGCTTTTTTTTTTTTCTCAAGAACCTTTTCCCCTTTCTTAGCATGTGTTTCCATGGTGATGGTTCCCAGGACTGCGTGGCTTATTTCCAAGTTCCGAGCCTGGAATTATCAGGAGGGTTCTGTAGCGTCCATGACTCCCAGCTGTCAGTCATTAACCATCAACAGGAGCCTTTCCCGTGTTTTGTGAAGATGGTCCCACCTTGAATGAATCAGAGTTTTCAAGGGGGAACCGCAGTGCATCTCGCTGTACGCCAGGACAGAATCAATAAACACAAGCAAGAAGCAAAAACAGACTTATTGGTGCAACTGTCTAGCTTTAAGACTCTCAGTGAGCTTCCAAAAGAGAGCTCCACAGCCATTTTCTGACTCCAAATCAAGCCAAAAAAAAGAAAAACAACCTTTGAACACAAAGGTCTTTGGGGAAGAGATACACCTGACACAATGTATAGTGACATTGTAGTATTTTTTTCCACTCATTTCCAAACTACTGTAAACACCACTACTCCATTGTGAAATCTTTTTTTACAGATGTCTAGAAAATGGAGGAATGTGATTCTTTCAGCCCTTTTTGTACAGATTTCAAGCACATCGCTCTATTTATAGATCTTAACGCGTTGGAAGTGCGGGGCGGTTTGTTTCAGCCCTGCTGACGTACAAGGTCATTTTTTGGTCCACAAAGGAACGGCTTTAACATGCCTCCTTATAGCCAATAGTTAAATCAAACCAAGAACGTTTCAAATGCAATTGCTGATCTGATCAATGTATTTATTACTGCATTTGTGTATTTATTGTTTTCCTTTTTTCTTTTCTCTCTCTATTTATTTGGTTATTTATTTATGCTATCTATATACTGTAAGTATTTATTTAACAATGCTCTGTATGTCTGTGTGAAACTGAAGACTTTTTCTGATGGGCACTTTTAGCTGTAGAATCCCATCGTAATACCAAAGATTAACATTGCCTCCCTGAATGTACGGCCTGAATCCCTAAAACCCAGTACCCGATCCCACCTGATCTAGCCCCACTTACCCGCGTATCTCGTTACGTATCTCTCTCTATCTTCGAGGCCTGGCCTTTGTTTTTGTTTGTTTTTTTATTTTGTAGGATAAGGGGGATTTCTTTACTTTTGCAAATGTCTCTGCGGTCAGCTCTTAATGCCAAGGCCAAAGCTTGTTTGAATGTTGTGATAATATTTAAAATTAATAATACTATGAATAATAACAACAATAATAATAATTATGATGTGGCATCCCATAGGTTCACAGGTTGCTTGTAAAGTTGTGTTCAGACCGATGCCATCTGGCAGAGTGTTTCAAGTGTCTGGGGACCCACTTAAAGTGCCATCTGAAGGCTCCATTTTAGTACAAGTCCTTTAGGGTCACATGCAAACATGCGTACTGTGTGTCTGCCTGGGGAAATGCATGGTTGTGGCCCCCCACATGTCCCTCACCAGCCCCCTTCCCCAGCGCAGTGCAGACACTCCTGTCTATGTCCACCTCAGTGTGATCTCACCGTCCACCTCATGCCAAGCCCTTCTGCCAGTTGTCTCAGTTCCAAGAGGGGTTTTAGGAGTTGTCCATGGACCTCTGGGGTTTTTTAAGATGTGTTCCCCATTTCTGGGGGTTCTTGGGTTTATTTTTCCAAGTTCTGTCAGTATTTCGGACTGTTCCAGTCATTTATGGGTCTTATGGTTTGTGTCTGGCCTTCTGGATTGCTTCTCAACCTCTTTGGATCTCTGATTTAATGATTGGGTTTCTAGGACTTTTTGGGATGTTTGTTTTTGTCCTCCGGGTTCTGGGGTCTTTTGGGTTACATTGTGTCCTTCTCATTTCTTGGTATCTTTGGTTTATGTTACCAAGTTTTATCAGTATTTCAGATAGCCCCAGACTTTCAAAAGGTTCAAGGGTTTAACTCTGGCCCTCTAGTTTCTCTCTAGATTGCTTCTCATCCTCTCTGGATCCTTGATTCCAGTGTTACGCTCGTAGGACTTTCTGTTCTTTGGACTCTGATCATTTTATGAGTTTGTCCCTGGCCTTTTGGATAACCTTATGTGTCTTTCTAGTTTCTCTGGACCTTGGGTTTACATGCCTGGTGTTGTGAAGGTGTAGAGTTTTATTCTTGGACCTTTGGGAGTCTAAGTTGGTACCACTTGTCTTAAGTTTTGTCCCTTGGGTTCTGGAGGTTGCAGGATTTGTTCTTGGTCATTTGGGTTGTTTGAGATGTTTCCATCATTTCTGTGGGTCTCAGGATTATGTGCCTGGTGCTCTGAAGGTCTTGGGGTTAGCTCTTGGATCTTCGTGATTGTAATTTGGTGTCACTAACCTCTTTTGAATCTTAAGTTTTGTTCATTGGGTTCAGAAAGTCTTAGGGTTTGTACCTGGTCTGTTAGAGTTATAACAGATTGATGCTCATTTCCAGGGACCTTTGGTTGAAGTTCCAGGAATTCTAAAGAACTTGGTATTTATTTTGGGATCCAAGGGTTGAGGGTTTGTCTTGATTGTTCCTCGTCCTCTGTGGATCTCTGATTTGATTTTGTGGCCTTGTAGCCATTGCCCACAAAGGTTCAAAGAGTTTGTTTCTAATCTTGTGGGACTTTCTGGTTTGGTTGTTCTGGATGCCAGAGAGACTGACCCCGGCCTTCTGGGGTCTAAGGAGTTATCTCCCACTTTCTTGGATTCTTTCCTGATTTGATTGTGGGGCTTGCCGACATGGCCCTTGTACTTCCAAGGGTCTAAGTATCATTTCATCACCTTTCAGGAGTCTCTGACTTTGTTGCAAGGCTCCCAATGTTGAGGTTTGTCAAATTCCACCTGAAGGTGTTTGCATTCAGTCCAGATCATCTTGGGTTTTGGGGGTTTGCTCTGGATTTTCCAGGATTTTTGGAGTCTGTTAAACTTTGCACAGGCACATGCGATTTGAATTGTCAGCATTCTTCTTTGTCGATTCCCAAATCAGGAGAAAAATCACCCAAGACCCAAGTCTCTGACCCTTGTGTAAATGCTGCCAAAGAGTGGCGAAGATGGCTTGGCTGTTTTCCACAGACTATCTCTCTCTTTTTTTCTCTCTTTCTCTGACTTTACCATTGGAAGGGGCGGATTGCCAGGGCCCCCTTCACAGCGTGCACTTGAAAGACGAGCGGTCATGAAAGAGGCCATCGACTTTTTCGCAGACTTCAAAGAGCAGGCTTTTTTCATCCCGTCTCCTCTCTGGGTATCTGGTCTGGGGTCCGCTCTTGGCCAGACCTGTGGGCTTTAGGGGGCATTCAAAGGGGGCGGGGGAGATCAGAGAGGAGGCTGAATCATCCAGAATGAGGATGGTGGTAGCGGTGTGTGTGTAGGATAGGTGGGAGGGAGGTTGTTTGAGGAATAGGAGGTGTTGGAGTAGTGGGGCATGGAGCTGAATTAAACTTTAATGAGCAACAATTGTAAGCATGCTGAGAGCAAAGGGGGGTGATGGTGAGGGTGTGCGGTTGAGTCAGTACAGGGGAGGGGGAATAAAAAATAAAAGACTTGGGAGGCTCCTCTGCCGACCCCTGCTTACTGCTGTCATTGTATCAAAGCTGAGGTGACACCTTTCAGGTTGCTCTTTGTCTCTCTGACTGAGAGCCTAAAATGGAGACAGAGCTTTTTGTATTGAGCCACCTTCTGCTCCTGTCAAGTAGGAGAGATCTTCCCTTTCTGTACAGAAGGGAGGCAGGAGGGAGGAGCAGTGAGCCCAGTAGGCTGCTGCAGGTGTGATCTCCATCGCCATCCAAGCCTGCGGCACCCCCTAGTGGCTCTAATAGAAATTTGACCCAGAAACAAATCTGGAAGCCAAGAATGATGCAGAGCAATTCTGAGGGGAATGGAAATAATGAAATAGCAGAACTGAGAGCTAATATATACTTTCAGATAAAAAAAAGAGAAAAAAAAGACCAGAAAAAAATGTAATTTCTTTTGATAAACCAAAAAATAAACAACAACCAAAGATTGATGGGTTACTGCTGAATCAAAATGTATCATGGGTAGTTTTAGCAGTTTCCTATCAGAGCTACCGTAGCACTCAGAGGATTCAAAAAGCACCAGTGGGGTTTGGCGTGCTGACTATTTATGTTACATAAAACAGTATTATGTTGAACTGGAACTGAGAAACTGACATGAGGCAGTGTCTTCAGATGGAAGTCTTTTGACTCTGTAAACCCCAGTGTCCCCCCTGTCTGTCCCTGCCCCCTCCCCTGTGTGTACATGAAGACTTTACCCATCTACCTCAACTGTGTGAGATGTTGTGTGGCAAAGATATTCCTTAACCAAAGAATCCATCCTGTCAGGGTGTCTGTCTAACTATCTATCTATCTATCTTGTCTGTCCATCCGTCTCTTCTTCATGCCTTTTACTCCAAACCAAATGTGCTGGAATCAATCCGCAACAGGGGCGAACGAGGCCCCCGTCCAGCCAAAGCTAGAGTCCAGTATGCTAGAGTGTCCCATCGATCCATGTTCTGTATATAACTAAAAATCATTCTCAAGACCAAAAAAAAAAGGAGGTGACAATCCAAGCAAGGAGGATCTTGCTGTAATCAACGTTGCCTATTCCTTGTTTTCCGAAGACTAGAATCATGTGACTTGCTATAACAGAAAAGCCCAAGAATCAAGCACTCATCCCAAAATAAAAAAAAAGGTCGGAGGAGACAGAAGCTATTTTTCCACATTTGTAAGCCACCCCTCCCACCCCTGTTTTTTCCAAAATGTTTAGTGTAGTTGAAATACTGTTTGATCCCACTGTTGTAAGTAGGAATTAATGAAATCCATACAAAAAGCTTTAAACGGGGAAGAGCTGAGGGAAATATTATATTTGACTGAGTCTGACTTTCCTCAGCTTGGACTCGACCCACCATGCTTTATCGTGCCATTCTTGTCCATGTGTTAGACTTACTAATGAATGTGGCTAACCAACCAAAGGCTTTAAAAAAAGATACACAACACTTTAAACGTCAATCATGGTGGGACATTTTGTATCAACAACTAAAGAAAATCCCTTTGAATACCTCATGTGAAAATTGTTTGTTGTGATGTTGCACTAAAAAAATAAAAATGACTCATTTGTAACCCAACGCCGAACTCTGTTGACTCATTTCTGACCTTGTTGGAGGAGTTAGCAAGAAGCTCTGGAGGCTTTTAAAGGCCAGCAGCAACGTTATTTCTTTGAAGAAGTCATCCAAAACACTGCAATATATAACTGCTTTTTCAAAATGACTTTAGTTTCTCGACAAAACTTAAGAAACGACTCACTTCAGCTGTTTTATTTCTCCATTTGTTCCCATAACAGCTAGTACAAGGCCACGACTTGACAAGCAAGAAGCTGGGGTGAGCTTAATTGGATGACAACGCTTACAGTGATGCTGGTTTATTCTGGCTGACTTGTGGGTCTTGTGTATCATGCGAAAAGGGGATAGTCAAGAAGGCTGACAATCAGATATGAAAGATTATCAAGTAACTAAAAATGTCAAGAATTTTATAAGATAACCTATTAATACCATAAAGTACAATAATCTCTGGACAAAAATAAAACTTAAACATATTTTTTCCTTACTCAAAAATGATGAGTAAGTTTTTCACGGACATACACTTGGAAAATAGTTGGATTGTCTCACATCCATGGTTTTGGATATGACATAATTTATTCTTTTACTAGGATATTTAAATACATAATTGCTAATCACAGGATGTGGGGTTAGATTCATTATTATTTTCATTTAAAACTGATGTCTGTACAGATCAATATTTGGTCTTAAGTCAGCTATGCAGTATTTTGATTATATATCATTGTTTTAAGTTAATCCACAACAGATCTTCAATACAAATAGACACCACATTGGTGCTTCATCAAACAGTCATATTCTTAATTTTTTATTTTTGAAAAGATTTAACAATGAGTGCATCCAAGTATAGTTTGGGTTTGCAAAATAGCACTCTTTAATAAAACTCGATAAAAATGTACAAATTCAAACCATTGATGTCCTTAAAGTTATTCTAATGTGATGGGAAGAATTACCAAACAACAGACAAGTTTCAGCCATGCCTGTGAAACGATTTTCTTACCTTGTCATTGACGTCTTCATAAGCAGTTTCTACAGAAATACTAAGACTATTTTACCGACCCTATTGGAAGTCGTGTATGATTCCCTTATTTACTTCCCAAACCGTATGAATTTGTCATTACGTCGCATCTGTAACGTCTGTTATGATACGTGCTGTTTACATAAAACTCATTATTTTGAGGGACACCCATTGTAATACTGTTAAAACTTGATTTACCCACTCAATATAAAGTTGCAGTCTACAGGGACCTTGTCCGAGATTGATATGAGAAGCAGTTACACCCGATAACTTAGCTTACAGCAACTTTTTAGCTTAGGTACCTAGCTAATAAATAAAGTGTCCAACTGTAAAATTGCATCTCATTTTCGACACAAGCCAAATGAATGAATTAAATACAACTTCTTAAGCATCAAAGAAACTTTCTACACCTTTCCCCATCAAAGTTTGGTCATAAATAGCTTCCACCCTGAGTCTTTAAGCTAAGACTTGCTAACTAGCTGCTAGCTCCAGTCTTACATTTAAAACAAAACCATACAAAAGGCCTCTCTTCCCATGTAAGATGATGCTTTTTGCCTGCAGGCAGCTGGTACAGGATATGCTTTTACATCAGCATGTGTGCAAGACATGAGATATTTACCAGAAACACGGGTATTGATTTTTGGAGTTTCTTCTGTCGAACATGTAAAGGCTAAATTGACCAACAAGCCAATTTCCCAAAGAGTCAATGAAATCCTTTCAGGAAGATTTCACAGACAGACAAAACTGATAAATCAGATCCTCTTGTTTATTGCCTCTATAAACCAATCAGATGATCAGTAAACCGATATATTGATCCTCACCTGGTATGTCTGTGAATATCAGTAAGGTCTCTATCCATCTCTTTATTCAAAATTCATACAAATACAGACTCTTACAGAGATAAAAAAAAACAGCAGATAGTCACATAAGTCAGACTCAATGATAGTGAAATGTCCCAAGATTTGCCAGTTTTTACTCCAGGTTGTCAGAGGCGAATTAAAGTTAAAAACAAGTGCAATAAAACTATAAAATCATTACTGAATCAAACTCTAACAACACTTTACACATAAAAAGACGAACATTTAACACAACAGCAGTTCCCTTTGAAGCTACATGATGGGGTAGCAGCCGTACAGAGCGATGCCGCACTGGTTTTTGTTGTTGCGTGACATCCGGATGTAGCCCTGGTCTCCAAACTTCACTCCCCAGCTGTAAACAAGACAGGCAGGAAAACCAAAAAATAGTTAAAGGTGCACACTGCGTGTTATTTGGTGCATTTATTCATAGGGGAAAAAATAATTTAACTCGAGAGACATGGCCCAAGTTAATCACTTATTAGTGTGTCCTGTGTCCTGCGACTGTGGCGAAAGTACGGTGGGGTGTCGCGTTTCTTTTTAACAGGTCAGTAGCACTCATAAAAAGTCATGTCAAAGTAAAATTCTACGCAAGTGTAACATGGAATACGGCGCCTCGAGTCACGGTAGAAAGGGGGTATCTTTGCGAACAATCATTGTGTCCTGCTTCTGCATCTATCACTAACAGAAGAAAACTGTTCTTAAGACACAAACTGTGAAAAAAAGGTTAATAAAAACTGAACAGATCAGCTCAGGTCAGCAGGTGAAAACAGGCATATTGTTTGTTTTTCATGCAGGAAGCTTTGCGAGATAAAACAGCTTTTCCTCCATTAAACACGCAAGATTTCATTTGGACAGCCTCTACATGCTTAGCTGCTCCAGAGGCAGATGTTTGCAGAATTTAAAGTCTGATCCACCGCAACACTCGTGTCAGCAAAGTCAGTAAACCCTGAAGTGAACGGAGCAGCCTGCTTGTTGACACAGTGTACTTTCCCCGCAGAGATCCTGCAGTTTTACTTCCCTTGCACACTCTGCATCGTGGAAAAAAAACTTAAAAGCTTAACTCGATGTGACGAAAAGGTTCATGAAGTTGATGGAGATTTGCAGAACTTTGTTGTGGTTTAAACGTCTCACCTGTTCTTCACCAGCCAATAGTCCTGTCCGTTCAGAGTGCCGTAACCCACTGCTAAGACCCCGTGGTTCACATCCTGGGTGCAGCTCTGGTCGTTGTAAACTCCTGAAATGACACGGATACAACCAGAATGAATCTGTGTCCTTTCCTTTAGTGCCCGTTAATCTTTTCTAAACATCCTGAGTAACAAACCACTTCTGTAGAAAGCAAATTTGGGCCGTTTGGCATCAATCGCTACTGAAATGGGTCCAATCGTGGCGAGCCCCTCCTTCAGAGCGCCCTCATCCCCCTCAGGCAAGAAGCTGTACCGGGAGCAGTTGGCGGCGCGGTACACTGGGTTGTAGCGGCACTGCTGCGACTGAAGCAAGAGGACAAATATGGATTAGAGATGATGGATTTACTCAAGAAATACACTTGCTGGAGTTCCCAAAAGCGCAGAGCAACAGGAACGCCGAATAAAATCATTTCACAGACATCAGTCTTTGAGACGTTTTCAGAGACGTTTGATTTCCTAATATTCGAGCTCTTAGAAGGTGAGCCAGAGAGAGGGTTTTAGGAACAGGCATGACTCGCTGAGCTTATTAAGAGGATATTTTACATCACAGTTTTTTTGGTTAAATTAGAGCCACAACACCTCCGCGAGGCTGCGAAAGTCTGTCAGACTAACTCGAACCTGCCCTCCTCCTCCTCCTCCTCCTCCTCCTCCTCCACACAAACACCAACAACAGCGAAGCCCGGAGGACAAACACGTTGTCCGCTCCGATTAATTTATTGTTGCTCCAAAGAGACATTAACAGCAGAGCACAGACGAGTGAGGAGAGTGTTTCTGTCTGCAGCCTAAAGGGTCGGACTTAACTTTCCTTTACTCCCACATTCTCCTCTCTTACAGAAATTTCTAAACTGTAAAATGAGTTTGCTCTGGATTTCGATATGTTTCCACTTAAATACAACATTTAAATTTCTTGTAAACTAGAAGAACGACACAGAAAATCTGATCTCCTCCTGTTTTCTGGGGCTTTCCGAGAACAATAACTTCTCCTTTTTTTTAGAGTTTTTAGGATTAAAAGTTAAGAAAGTTATCCCAGGGGATAACCACTACGATCAAGAAAACACAAAGCTCAGAAACATGAGAAACAAAACCACCACTGCCGAGCAGCTGAACAGAAACTAAGGGTTACAGCATGAATACGTCATTAAAACTCTTCTTCTGGAAAATTCCGGTTTTGCGTTTGCGTGTGGACACAGATAACCAGAGTTCCCAAACGTCAGTGTCTGCAACAGCTAATAGATAAATGTCATATACTATGGACCCTTGTTTATGTCAGGCAGTGGACGGCACAGATACATACAGAATAAATGTGAGGAGCAAAGAAGGAGTGCTTTTGGGAATTTCCCCCTGTGGGACTAATAAAGGAATATCTTATCTTGCAGTGGGTTACCCCTCACCCCAACCCTTCCTCCACCTTTCTTGTGTCTTGTTGACTTTAAACTCCAAAATGATGCTTAGAAGCAACTCCACCTCTTTGTCGGTCCACACGATCTAACTACACAGCGCTTTGTTTCATGTTTGGAGAAGTGGCGACGAGAAAGGGAAGCTTGCTCTGATTGGATAGAACGGGTCTAACTTTTCGGCAAATACTACCAACCCCAGGTCTGTCATCCTTATAACCGCGGTCAACAGCACACTTCTGCGGTTTTGATGTGTGTACGTGAATTCTTCATAAAACAGAGGGGGTTGGATATTCGTTGATATTATATTGGTGTGTACATGCTCTAAGATCAACAAAAAACAAAGCTCAGAAACTCGAGAAACAAAACCACCACTGCCAAGCAGCTGAACAGACACTAAATAGGAAAACCTCCTAATAAGGAAATAAGTAAAATGGTCTGGTAACTTAAAACACAAAGAGCTGGGTGATAAAACTGGGCCCAGAGACAACCACTGAGAATTTATGGACATTAAACACAGGAAACATTCACACAACCTCTCACTACCTCTGACGGTGAGACGATGAGTCAGTACTGGGAGCAGATATAAGCTTCACCCACCTGCTCCAATTCAGGGCAATCAGGCACACACACACACACACACACACACACACACACACACACACACACACACACACACACACACACACACACACACACACACACACACCTGTCCCTGATCTCTGATGATCACCTCACCAGACTCAGAGAAGCAAAACTGAACCCCCCTGAAGAAAACCCAAACTTTAAAGCACAAAAACCTTCAGTTGGTGTTCTATTTAATCCAGGTTTACATTATTTAGATTAGATTAGATAGATTAGATATTCCTTTATTTAATCTGCTGTATTGAACCCCCTGATTCCCCTCAGAGCTGCAGGTTTTAAACACACTCACATATCCTGTGTACGGGTACGCAGCATCAGAGTCGATACCCTGGTTGTCGATGACGTATTGGAAGGCGTGGTGCATGAAGCCTCCGTTACAGCCACGGTTTCCATACTTGGAGGAGCAGTCCACCAGGTTTTGGGGGCTGAGGTCCACCAACTTCCCTGTGGTCTTTGCTAACTGGCCCTCCAAGGCCCCTGCGGCGCTGAAGGCCCAGCAGGAACCACAAGAACCCTGGAGTCAAAAATAGATCGGTCATTTACAGTTGGATCCTACGACTTCTTAAACACAGTTGAACATGTATGATAGAAAATGACATCCCCTCAGCTTCTAACTTTAGCTTGTTACAGACATGTATGGTTACCTGAAGGACATATCCAAATTTAAAGCCTAAGCTTGTCTCAGCTGGAAATACACGCAAAACTCTAAATGATGAGCAGCACTGTTGGTCTTTGTTTACTAACCTTTATAAAACATCTTAATGTCATCAGGTTTTCTAAATGTAATGCTGGATGTTTCCCCAACTAGCTCACTGTTGGAACTCACGCTGTCAAGTTAGAAGGGGTGCCACAGGGTTAACCCCCAATTTACACCGCATTAGGAATGGCTACAAGTAGGTTGTATCCTTCGATCGTAGCTGATCGTAACCATTCAAGGTAAAGTGTCAATTTCCACCGACGTCTTTCTGTTCCTATGTGGATCGCAAGAGTTCTATTTTTCCCGGACGCCGGAGCATGGCGGATAAATTCAGCAAAGATTAACCCGTGCTGGAAAGGAAGTCGGGCACAGACACAAAATAAAACATCCGGCTTCTTTTCAAAATAAAACACTCCGTGTTTCAGGAGGATGTATTTCACACCATGCAAACGGGCGGAGACGAACAAGTGAAAGGTTTTTAGACGTCATTTCACCCTGATGACACCATGGATGAGGAGATGCTGATTCTAGAAGTCTAGAATAGAGGACACAATCTACTGCTCAGGGCCCGTATGCACGTTGAAAGCGTTTAGCGTAAACGCGATTAGGGCTTAAACGCGTTTAGTTCCTATACGATTTTGGTATGCTCAATGCTGTAAACGGAACCGTATAGCTAACCGCGTTTACTGTGTCTTAAACGGGTCGAGTGACGCTCGAGTGACGGTTCGACTGACTGTCGACTGATCCACTCCTACCAACTCCCCACACACGTCTTGGAAAGAAGAAGTGGCGTGGTACCGTAAGGTTACGAGGACTTGTTGTAGTGGAGTGAGGGTGAATCCTCGGTTCGAAAGTTCAATTTCAGCGGAAATCTCCTGTGTGAGGTCGAGAATATGGTGCCGTCGAAATCTAAACTTACGGAACACTTCGTGGTCGTCATACGTGTCGAAGGGGTGTTTTCTGTCACGAAAAATCCTGTTTCGACGCAATTGTCGCCGCTGTCTTCCTTGGAACAACAAGAGTGCCGCCGTATTTAAACGCGTTTAGACCCGCTATTGGACCCCCAGAGGTGCGATAACTTTAAACGCGAAAATCCGTATAGGAACGGCTATACGAAGTGACGTGCATACCGACATTTTTGGCGTTTAGGAGTTAAACGCGTTTTGCCAAGCAACGTGCATACGGCCCCATATGGTTTTCCTATGTAGATGTATGTAGTTGTATATAGTTCTCGCGTTTCCTGCTGTCTGTAATCTGCGACGTAATTTGCCTCAGAAATGGATCCGGTAGGAATTGGCGTATGGCGAAAATTGCTGCTGTTCCGCTTGGAGCCGTTCCGGATGCGGTGGAAATCCTGGGTAAGTCCTGGGTCCACTACTTTTTACTGTTTGTACAGAATGTCCGAAATGCTGCTTTTCACCTTGGTGCGCACCTACGCCTGCTAAAGTGTGGATTTGATTTATTACAATTCAGCTTTATCACCTGCAAAACTGAAATCATCTTAATAAGCGATGAAAACATTAATATGGATCTGATCATATAAGTTTGTAAGAAGTTGTGAGGATTAAAATATGAAGATACTGGTATGAGAGTCTATTCAAGACTGAATTCACAAAACAGTCGTCTTACTCTTTATGAAACTCTAAGAAAACTAAAAGTATCTCAGTGTGACTCAACCCGAACACTTCCTTCCTTCTCTGCCAAATGTGAATGTGGTAAGAAAATGTTGCTCTCATGGCAACAACTTCCTCGTTCGAACAGCAGCGATTCTTGGGAAAAAGGAACAGGAGGATTGTGGGAAACGTGACTAATGTGATGATGACAGCAGCAGAGAGCTGATCACAGCGTGTTCCCGTCAGCTCTGATTATCCCTCCGCTGAGTCACAGACGGAAACAGAATCAGGGGTTTTCTCACCTGCATCTTGACTTTGGTCACACAGCCTCTCTCTCTCCAGTCCATGGTGTCGGGAGCGTCAGCGCCGGTCGCCCCAGCGAAGGGGGAGGCTGCCCTCTGGATGTCAGTGGGGGGAGTGAGCGTGGCAAACTGCTGCTGGAGCTCTTCTTCTGTCTGTGAGGAGGAGGAGGAGAACGAGGGATGAAGATTCGGTCCATGTAAACAGGGATGTAAAAGTCTTTCAGGACACAAGTCTCACAAAGTTTGACGTTAATGTTTCGCACAACAAGCACGAAAAGTATAAATGAACCTAAAGATCCTGTTAGAGACAGTCTGTATGGTAGAGCCATATTCCATATTTGTGTTTAAATTTCTCATGCAGTAAATGGATTTTGGGTTTATGCAGTTTTATTGTTTTTCCAGTAGGTGGTTCCACCTGCATGTGAGGCGTAGGTGTCTCTTTAACTTATATAGCGCTGATTAGAGGCAGATGTGTGTGTGCATGCAAGTTTTTGACCGTCAATTTATTATTATTATTTTTTTGCACTGTCAAGGACGAATCTGTATCTTTTGGTATCTTTGGTATGTTGTGAATAAACTCACGGTGGGTTATTCTTGCAGCAGACCCGTATAGCCTAATATTTATTGACAAGTGGCCCGTGAACGCGTCACTCCGATGTTAAGCCGGTTTCAGCCACGTCTTGGCTTGTAGGTTTATTGTTATTTCTAGTTGCAAGCAAGTCAGGATAATACATATCCTCTAAAGATTGTCTTTCTTTTTAGGTCAATTAAACTTCAGAAAAAGTCAAAAAATACTTCTAATCGAGTAACTTTCCTTAGAAAACCAACAGGCTAAAGACTCTTTGTGTTTAATTCAGCATTTTAGACGAGAAAAGCACCTTTAAACCTCAAAATACAAGTACCTGGTTTGATCAGAGTTAATTTCTTTCTTGTAAAATATTCAATTAAGATGTTTCTTTCAGTCAAGTTGATGTGGTTATTCTCCGTCAAACATGGTATTAATGTTAGAAACGAGACAATACCACTTCATAATTTTGAGTTTTTGTTTTTCTTTCCTTCCTCTCAGCTCACCTGATTGATTTCAAACGAGAAAAAAAAGATGTTTATGTTGTTAAAAAAAATATTTTCCAGCCTAAAAAAGTCCTCAGGTAGCTTGTGAAAAAGTGGAACATTTGATATTTGGGACGAATCAGAGACAACCAACCATCCACACTCACATCTACGGTGTAACCAATAAACCTCTAACCTTCTTCTGCATGTTTTTGGGATGTTGGAGGAAACAAGAGTACCTGAGGTAAACCACACAGAAACCCCCTGACCCGGGTTCGAACCCAGAACCTTCTTGCAACAGTGCTAACCACTACACCACTGTGCCGCCCTGGTCTGAATCAACAGCCTGTAATTTATTCTCTGATTTTCTGATGCTTTAAAAAGTGTCCAGAGTTCATCATTGACCTTTCGACCTGCAACTTTCTAAAAGAGCGACTCGTTAGAAAGAAGCTGCTGCTCACAGTTTATTGTTTCATTAATGAGGGAGTGTATGTGAGACTTTAATAAACTTTCTATTGCCCCAGAAAAGACTTCAGTGCCTTCATAAAAGAATAATACTGACCTGCAGCAGATGAAGATGTTTGACTTTGTTTTCGTCTTATTTCGGATCAGCTCTCTGCCCTCTGAGCCGTTTTACCGACTTCAAACTTTATTCATTTCCACTTAAGTTCCCAAAACTCCACCGTGTTTCTGTCTGGCCTTAATTAGAGATCGATAATCTGGATTCAAATTCAGTTCGGATGTTTCAAAATCGTTTCCAGCGCAGACTGAGGGGAGGTGGGTTAAGGGATGCAAAGCGAGCGGCGCTTCGTTTATATTCCGGTTTGCAGTCCGAGTCCTGCAGACATCCATTAGGTTAGCGGCTGAGTAGACTGTGGGCTCTTCACTTCATATGTGGAGTTCATCCTCTTAAAGCTCAGAGCATCTCATTATCCCAGACAAGTTCTCCGAAAACTAGAGTTTCTCAAGAAGAGTCAGAGCAGCAGCTGAATTTACTCTTTAACAATCTTAGACTCTGCAAATCTTTTACAAACATCTCAGACATCTAACCTGTGCTGGTGTTCGACTTGTTTATTCAGATTTATCTCTTCACTCTGCAGCTCCTCTCAGCTTTCCTAACCTGTTCAGCGAGTTTCAGCCGTACTTTCACCTTGCTTCACTCTCAGCGGTGGCAGTCAGCTGTTTTTTCTCTCTGAAGCTCCAAAAACAGTCCCTGGATTTAGGACGTACCAGAAACTGATCCAGGTTTTACATGTTTGTGCTGCACAGGCTGAAAAACAGCTGAGCTGAAAACACTGACGCCTCAGAGATTCACTCGTAACCTTTCACACAGATTATGACCTTGGAGAATACTCAGCTCTGATTGGCTGGAGGGTCTTAATTAACTTTTCAAGTAGTTCCAGTCAAATAATCATTCATGGCTCTAAATTAATGCTCTGCGGCAAGAGTTTGAGATGGGTAACCATAGCAACAGCTGCAAACTCTGGGACCCCACCGAGAATTTTAACATTTAAAAGACGTTTGATAGACGTCTGGGCTGAAATCGGTCTACCACTGGTCTAAAAATTAACGTTTCTTAGCTGTCTTATAGACTAAACTACACCGTACACTGATCAATGACTGTTAAAAATGTTTTAATCCAACATTTGTCCATCATTTATACAACTTACAATTAGTTTTTATTAAATATTTAATAATCAATGGATTAAATTCTATCATCTAGATTTGGGCTAAAATAAAGACTGATTACAGGCGGGAGAATTTCTGTCTGAACTTTAATATCGCAGGGTTAAAAAAAACTGCATTGTTGGTTTTTCCCAGTATCGTGCAGCCTGAGTTTGGACCCGCGCCGCCTGCTTTCTTCTGCTGCTGCTCTCCTCGCCTTGGCTTTCCATGCGTGCACATGAAACAGAGATAAGGTGCGCTCTCTCAAACTCAGTTATCAGAGGTCTAAAGCTTGTGGCGCCCCCTGGGGGACACCAAAAGAAAAAAAAAAAGAAGGTTTCTCCTGATAAACTTTGAGAAGATCTCACAGACTTTAATTCTTTCCCGCCGTGTCCCTCCTGTACTGAAACACATCTCGGTGCTGGAGTGACTACTCCCTGTCAGTCTTAGAGTCATATATATTTATCTGAATACTACATCTTCATGTTTCAAATATCCAAACAAAACTGCATCTAATTAAATCACTGGAAACCCGGAGTCTGTGGGTCCTCCCGGGAGTCCAGTCCTGTCAATACTGCGGCGTATAAATAAAACTCCACCATACTCTATTATAACGATTAGCTGCAGAGCTTCAAAGTTCAAAGTCGTCGTTCTGTTCCTGTTCGCTGTTTTCCTGACCTCCCATGATCATAAGTGCCGAGTGATTAATGAATAAAGGTGATAATCATGAATCGATAGCGGCTCTCCTCCGTGTTAAGAGCAGAGTGAAGGAGTTTCTCACCATGTCTCCCATGTGGTTCATGCTCAGATCGTAGGTGTGGAGCCCCATCGAGGCCTCCAGGTTGTGCATGGTAATGAGCATGAGGTTCTTCTCCCACAATTCCCTGCGGCGCACATCTTCCACCTCGAGAAAAACGCGTACAGGAAAGAGCGTGAGGTCAGAGACGGTAAAACTCAACTCTCATGTATGGATGGATTTCCTGCCGTGGAAGAATTAAGGAAAACTTTTACGGCGGGTTTATTTCCACTCTTTTACCTCGCTTTGGTACTTTTTCTCGTGCGTCTTCTTCCACAGATCCCAGTGGAGGTCCAGCCTGCTGTCAAACGTGGACGCCGCTCCAGCACAGAGAGAGACGAGCAGCAGGCTCCCCAGCATCAGGCCTGTAAAGACACAGACACACAACAGAGAGGACAGGAAATCAGCTGATCTTAGATGAGACGAGAAAAACAATCTGAGTCACAAATCAGAGTCCGCTCAAATTTAATCCAGAGCAGCTCCGCCTTTAAAAAGAGGGTCGAGAAATTTTAACATTTAAAAACATCATCAGAAAAAAAAAAAAGAGTCCTGACTCAGACAGGAAACGTAAAGACGGGGCTGCTGCATGAACAGGAAGTGGTTTACAGGCGGTTGGTTGCAGGTATGTGTTGCTTCAAATGTCTGTCCACCAGTGAGGTAAGAAGTCGACAAAAACACATCAACAAAGTCGAACTTTACATTTCACACCTACGAAGTTTAAAGTTCATGAGACTTTGGTGTGTTTGTGCGAGAGCAGCTCGAGTCAAAGACGGAAAAAAAGAGCAAACACAACTCACCTACTCTCTTCCAGCAGCTGCTTGTTTGTAGCGAGACCTCAGGCCAGTCCATTATGGATTACAGCGGGGTGCCGCAGCTCAAGGAAGAACATTTATGATCATTTCTTAATCATTTCCTTGAAGTAATAAACATCATATTAATCATTTTACAGACGCGGTAGTTCTTCTGCTTTAGCGTCTCGGTCTGATTTTATTTCCATGAAGAAATGATCATAAATGTTCTTCCTTGAGCTGCGTCACCCCGCTGTAGTCCGTAATGGACTGGCCCAAGGTCTTGTTGCAAACAAGTGGCTGCTGGAAGAGAGTAGGTGAGTTGTGTTTAATCTCTTTGCTAAAGCCGGAATATCCCTTTGAGAGTTCACGATCACCACAGTCTCTCTCCTGGAGCTCGTTCTGTCCCTTTGCTTTTCAGGCACACATGAAAATACCCACACCTGCCTCCTCCTCCTCCTCCTCCTCCCTTCCACCTGTGGCTGTCTGATAGTTTGACCTCTGCAGAACAACATCTAACTGAGTTGAAGCAGGAACTTCCTCATGCTCCTAAACTTCATTTGTGGGTTGAACGTTTACTTCCTAACATCATAAGTATTTTTCGTTCTCGCTCTCTGTTTCAGCTGATATTTTGTACGTCTGTCGGATATTTTGGGGTTTGTGTTTGGGTAACCTAAAGCACTTGTGTAACTCTGTGAGGGATGGTGGTTAAGAAGTGAGGTTACACTTCTTACACTGGAAGAAGATTCACCACTGAATACAAACATGATTTATTTACAGGCTCTCTGGTTTTATTTGAGGTTTTATTTTGAAGCTCTTTGTCTCTCAGCTTTGACTGTATGTGGGGGTGTTACAGATCTCTGGTGTGGATCAGCTTCACTTCCTGAAATATACAAAGTTATGAACTCGATACGACACAGCTGCTGCTGCTGTCACAAGACCAGAACTGAAACCAACGATTTGGCAATAAATAAGTCAGCGCCTCATTGTCATCAGATATCGTGTGATCAGGTGATTAATTTGACAGCAGGTCAAGAGCGACAAAAATGCTGACGGGAGAGAAGAGCAGCATTTTATTAAAGAGGTTTAAAGAGCAGGTGAGGAGGATCAAACTTTATATCAACAAAGTCTTCACCAACACAACTCTCAAGAGGCAGAAAGTAAAACAACAGAAACTTTTGATGCATAAAACCGTCACTATTTATGTCTAAGTAACACCAAGAGCACCACACAATGACTATTTAATAAGTTTGTGAAGAACAGCTGAATCAGAAACTCCAAAAGAGAGTTTTTATTTAGCAGCAAACATGCTGATTTACTCCACAGGAAACTTTGGAGGAAACAGGTTTTTCTGAGCGTTAATTTAGGATTAGAAAAAGTTTATCACACGATAAAAGCAAAAACAAAGTCAAGTTTTAGTCTGGAAGAAAACATCAAAGATTCATCAAATAAATCAGTTTTAAGATCAGACAGTCAGTGTTTTTCTGACACATTCAGCAGGTCTGAGGAGGTTGTGTAAATATTCGATTAGGTCGAGATGCTGAACTTTGTTTTTAACTCACGCTTCATTAAGTTTCTTTATGCTGTGTGTGTGTGTGTGTGTGTGTGTGTGTGTGTGTGTGTGTGTGTGTGTGTGAGGATAAACTGAGAGACATAAACTCCAAACAGCTTCAAAATAACCTCTTTAAATGAACAGATTTGTGTTTCGAGGTTTGGTGATCTATAAGAGGAATTTTCTAGCCTTACTAATGTTTTTAAAACTATCAGACGAGTATCTTTAATCTAACATACTTAACAAACTGAGGTATAAAACTCATTTAATAAGGAAAAGAAAACTCTTTAATACTTAATCAGGAGGATCTAAAACTCTGTTAACTTTTAACTTATTTGGACTTAATCCAACTAAAATGTCCTTTAGTCTGTGAGCTCTAATACTCCTCCAGGAAATACTACAAACATAAGCAGACACACTAACTGTGTTGAAGGGTTTCCTTTGGTAGAAAAGTTTTATAAACTCTCTAAAAAACAGAATTTATTCGGTTCACTTTCACCTGCAGCCTGAACACAAAGAAAGTCGAAACAGAAACGAAAGTAAAAGCAAATTAAAATGGAAATCTGAGTAAATCTTTCATAAATGTTGCGTTATGTTCAAAATACTTCAATAAAAACTGTAAACTGTTGGATAAAAAGAGTCAAACTTACCTGGATGAGTGGGTTTCATGTCTGTCTGTCTGTCTTGGTCCTCTGTCTCTCTCTCTGTGTCTTTGTTTCTGTGTTCCTGGTATTTGAGAGTTGATGTCACATGGTCTCTCACTCTCGTTTCTTCTTCCTCTTCCTCAGCTGATGACTGACTGCGGTCTCCACCTGAACAAAAACACTGAACTGAAGAGGAGGACGAGCCGAGAAGATGCGGAAATAATCAGAAAAACAGATTCATTTCACCTCCTGTAAATAAAGAAAAACATTGAAATACGAGCAGAAGGTCGGATTAATATGTTGGAAAGATATTCAAGAGGGTAGACTTTTACTATCTCACGATTTAAGGCTCTAAAAACATCAAAATATGAGCGAAAAAAGCGAGTAATTCAGAAGTCTAGTCCGTTTAAAATTGTTTGTAGCACCCTCTACAGGCGGAAACCTGAATTACATTAAAAATACACAAACAGAATGAAAAGACAGAAATGTCCTTTTTTATTCAAATTAAGAGTCTTTTTTATATATATATGAGGACATTGACGTCTGAAATAATTCGTGGAAAACAACAAATCAAACTTTGGTGAAGATTAAGAAAAAACAACACAGTCCAAAATTAAAATAAATATTAATCAATCAATCAACTTTATTTCTATAGCACATTTAAAAGAACCACAAGGGTAGCCAAAGTGCTGTACAATGACACATAAAAACAAATAAAACAATCAAAGAACAAGATAAAGCAAGCAGAAATACATCAATGCAAAAGAATAAATAGGTGTATAAATAAGGAGGCTCACAGCAAGTGCTAAGATGATAAAAAAACAAATTAACACTACAATGTACTAAAAGCCAATGAGTAAAAGTGCGTTTTTAAAAGGGATTTAAAAACAGGAAATGAGGAGGCCTGTATAATTAAGGTAAACTAATGTAATTCAACGTCTACTTTTGTCATGATTTAATTGATATTCATTCGTTTTATTTTTTAGAAATGACATTTTTAACTTCTACTGTTTCATTTTTTCTGTAATCGATTCTTAAATAATTTTTTCATGTTTTACTGATTTTTAATTATTTTATTACCATAGATTTCTCATTTAAATATATTACGAATATTTTATCTTTAATTTTTATTTTTTATTATGAGTATTTTAAATAGTTACTCCTTTGAATAAGTAATATGTTTCACTTTCTCCTTAATAAATTAAACAATACAGAATAAAAAGAAACCAATAAGGCATATTCAGATTATTGAATCATTTTTATAACAACTTATTTACATTTTTTATCAAGTATTTGAACGGTTAATTTCATTTTAGGATATACTAGGCCCTTTTATAAAATATCCTGCTAATATTAATGCTATTATTATCATCCTTGGTTTTGTGAGGATTGTTGCTGACCTGAGTTTTGTTATTAAAATACTAGCCCTTCAGGACGTAACATTGATTAAATAGTTTATAACACCTTGTCTGCCTCCTCTTTCCTGTCTTATTTTCTTCTTGTATTTGTCTCAGACTGAGAGTTGGTCAGAGGTTTAACTGTTTAACAGCCGATTGGATGATGGACGCTGAAGGCAGGGCTCTGCTGGTTGGTTAACACTGTTGCCTCACTGCACCACGTTTGGATGTTCTCGTCCACCGACTCCTTCAGCCTTCGTGTTATATCGTCTGTTTGTTTTTAGGGTCCAGAAAAATCAGAATCCTTCAGTCTGGAGACTTGATATGGTTAATAAGTCCGGTGAACGCTGCTCATTAGACTTCAATATTTCAGATTTGAGAAGCAAAACGTTTGTTATGATGGTGGCGTAAAAGGAAAGGTCACAGAGGTCACTGGATATCTCTGTAACTGCACTGAGAGATGTGGATCTGGACCAAAGTCCGGGTCAAGAGGAGCTGTTGACCTCTCGGCAGGCCAAAGGGAAAGGTCAAGAGGTCATCACTCAGCATGGCAGCTCGCCAGAAGAATCTCAATATGAAGTTTATGAAACATGGAATTTAAATGGAAATTCAGTGAATGAACATGCAGGGTTTTGGATGAACTTCTGTTCGCTGATTATGTCCGCTGATATCAACATTTAATCCAAGATGAATTCATTTATTCGTGATCTTTACGAAAATTAGTTTGTCTGGTAAGACTGTAAAAGACGAGGAGCCTGGAGACGAAGACCGGACACACTGGAAAGAGAGAAAGAACGGAGTTTGGATAAAAATCGCAAACGCTGCATTCAAAATGAAACCTTTATTCAACCTCATAGAAAACATCAGTTTACAGTTTTTGATCATCAGAAAAGTGCTTCACAGAAAAACAACAACAATGACAAAAGTCGACGTGATCGAGAGAAACGAGAGTTTGGAGAGACTGACTGCATCAACAGGAGGGAGGAGCTCCCATCGTCCAGCAATGTCTCCTGCCACCAAATTAAAACCGTTAATCTTTAAACAAACAAACCGTGTTAAAAAGAAGAAACTGAAGCTATCACAATCTCCCTTCAGCAGCAAAGTTTCCTTCAGACGTAAATGAAGTTCCTCATTCTGAAAATGTCCGTGTCAACAGGCTGAAATCATCGGCTGTGGTGTGTAGTGGTCGCTGTTATTATGTTAGGATGAACTTTTTGTACGTTTCTGTTTGCAGTAGTCTTCGTTCTCCCTCGTCTTCCTCTGAAATCCTCGCTCTTCTCTTCACATGACGGGGTAGCTGGCCAGGTTGGAGATGCCGCAGAGGTTCCCGCGGTTTCGTGCCATCATGATGTAGCCGTTCTTGCCCCAGCTCTCGCCCCAGCTGTCAGGGAACAGAAAAGGAGACGCCGTCAGAGATTGAAAGACAGAAAGAGTCGTCGAGCGTCGCCGGGAGTCGAACAGCGTTTCATCTCAAATCAACAACAAGCTGTCGTTTCATTTTGGCGGCTCAATGAGCCACCTGATGCTGGCAGACAGGTGACGTGACCCACCTGTTCTTCACGATCCAGAATTTCTTCCCCTTGGCGGTGACTCCGTAGCCCACTGCCAGCACGGCGTGATTGATGTCGTCTTTGTTGCAGGTGGGGTCGTAGTAAACACCTGAGCACACGGCAGAGACGAAGACAGAGTGAGGAAGAAGAAGATGGACAGCAACAGACCGACACTTTCAGAAAATTATGACCAAGACAAACGCTCCGAATATCAAAGTTTTCAAGGTTTCAGCGACATCATCAACGTCTATGTTATCTACGTTATCTACGTTATCTATGTTATCTACGTTATCTATGTTATCTACGTTATCTTCGTCTCTACATCATCGACTGAGAGGATAACCGAGTGTCTCACTGACCTCTCTGGTAGAACTGGAAGCTGCTCAGCGTGGCGTCGATGCCCACAGACACCGGACCCACTTTGTACAGCGCCACAGCCAGGGCGTGCTCGTTGCCCTGTTGGATCTCCTTGTAGCCTTTGCACTGAGCGGCCATTCCTGTGGAGTTGTAGCGGCACGGCTGGTCCTGCAGGCGAGAAAGATGAGAGGTTAAGAGGTCGGAAATCTAAACTTCTGATACCTGGAGATGAAAAATAAAGATTGAGACGATTTCAGAACCACAACACTCGATCACACAGGTTTGAGATCTGAAGGATTAAAGACTCCTCATATAAAAAGAGCGAAATAAGCACATTACAAAAATCTTATTCTTGAATACTGAACACCACTTGAAATTTTGGTCAAGATTTTGTTTTTCTTTCTTTATGTTCTGACTTAAAAGTTCAACACTAAAAAGTTAACTTTTGTCTAAGGTTCCGAAATAAATGAGGATTTGCAGCATTTCTGTTTCTTTTACTGAAGTAAGTTGAACACTAAACTTAAGGTAACACTGTAAGTCAAACTATTTTGTTTTTATTAAAGAACTTTTTGTTGTTTTGTTTGAGAACGTTTTGTGTTTTTATGTCATTTAATGCGTTACTGCCATTAAATTTAAAATAAACTTTCATTTTTACCAAACTGTGTTTTTCTATGTTGTGTTATTTTTAATTCAATGAGACTCAAACAGTTTAAAACCATCAAAATCTCTGTCCGTGAACGTTCGTCTCGTCATCTCTTTTTTGTTAAACGTAGGTTAAAAATATGTCGTCAACGCTGCAGAAACAGTAACTTTGATTGAACCCTAAATACTTGTGATATTTACCGTCACATCACATGACATTAAAATCTAATCTCTGCTCGTTCCTGGTATGAAATAATAATGACACAGCTTGTTTTTATCACCAGGAAGCAGTTGTACTTCCTTTATTCGCAGTAAGTTCCCTAAAGAGGAACTCATGTTTGTTTTGGAGGACAAAGAGGGACTTTTAACTTCTGGTAAATCATCTGTACTCGGTTAAATATTACTGCTGTGAGTTTAGGAGGCAAAGAGACTCTGATAATATTTCCATAAAACATCATCTCTGTGTGATTAATATAAATCTTTAACTCATTGACGTCTCTGTCCTGTTCTTACAAATGACTGGTTGGATGTGACCTCCTGAACAACTAAAAGAGGAACTGTTGACCGCTTCGGTTTCACTCTGTGTGTGCAGCTCATCTACATGCAACTTTTCTGGGAGTGGACATGAACTCAACAAATTCTGCTTTTTGAGACAGAAAGGAAAAACAAAGTTGGGCCAAACGTCAGGACAAAACCTGCAACACTGTACTTCCTCTGCACTGTCAAAGAATTCTGGGAAATGCAGTTCCTCATTGTTGGTTTATCCCGATCATCACAGAGGAGTATTTTGTAATCGGAGGTTTAGGTCGTGGTTTGCTGCATCAGAACTGAAACTCACGTGCGTGGAAATAAATGAGATCATGAGTGAAAAAAGGAACAAAAAGTTCTCAAAAATGTGGTGAACAAAAATGTAGAAAAGTAGAAAATCCCAGCATCTGTCAGCAAGATTTAAGACGACGATAAAGACTCGTGTGTCGGTCTCACCTCTCCGACGTAGGGGTACGTCTCCTCAGAGTCGATGCCTCCGTTGTCCCGCACATAGCTGAAGGCGTTGGTCATGTATCCTCCTCCGCAGCCGTCGTTCTCCTTCACGCAGTCCACCAGGTTCTGAGGACTGAGGTCGATCAGCTGACCCGTCTTCTTGGCCAGCTGACCCTCGAGGGCGCCGGCTGAGCTGAAGGCCCAACAGGAGCCGCAGGAGCCCTGAAGAGAGGGAGACAAATCAAGATCAACCAGAATAGTATTAGTATAAATAGATATTAATTCTATATTTGTGGTTAATTGTTTTGATGTCGTTAAGAAGAAGCAAATATGTCCCAGTTTTACTCTCTCAGATAAGAAGATTTCCACTTTCTCTGAAGTGTTACTGACAGAAAGTCTGCAGGGTTTGAGTTGTCAGTAAATCAATAAAGACGATCTGAAGACAGCGCCTCGAGCTTGAGGGGAAAAATGACATTTTTCAATATTCGGGTTCATTTTTTATTCCAGCGATTAATCCTGAAAATAATGAGCTGATAAAATCAAATTGTTAACATGACAGACCTCATCAGCCGAGGGGAATCAGACTGATTACTTAATGAGACGTGGAAAAAACACAAGGAAGAGGAGTTTTTGTCTTCTCCTGTCTGTCCACCAGGGGGCAGACTTTGACAACACAGCAGTCAGAGCAGTGCATGGTGGGAAGAGGAGGAGGATGACTACTGTTTGATGTCAGATTAAAACAAACATCATAATTACAGACAAAACTCACTTCAGGACATGAAAACCATCTCTGTAGTTTGTACCTTGAAGCAGGGGCGTGTCCAGACTTTTTTGACCGGGGGGGCTGACTCTTATGATTTACTAAAATTATGGTTTCATACAGATGTTCTGATTCAAGAGTATTTTTTTAATGTCAAAAAGCAGGATAAAGTTATTTTTATCATCCAAACTCAAATCTTTAATCAAGATTAAAGACGAAGACGCGACAATTTCAGATACTTAAAAACAGCCCCGATATATGTAGAGGGGTTTGTTTGCCATTTCTGCTTGTGTTAGTGATACCATAAAGCTTTTTTTGTTGCAGTTTTTGATGGCTTGATTCCTCTTTTATCCACCTAAAGCTCTTCTCTAATAAAAGTGATTAAATTACATTTTTAAAATAATGTTTTTTTCTAAAGTTGAACCTGCAAATTACTCCTCAATAACATATCTAATGCACTAAAGTATTTATATTAACACTGACTGCGCTTTTTTACAGATGATTCATGGTCATTTGTTTTTGACAGCTTTGACTGTCTGATGTTTGAATTTTGAGGAATATTTGGTACATGTGGAAAAGCTGGCCAGTAGATGGCGATGTACACGGTGACTTATTAACATTTATTGAGTGGTTTGTACGCACCCATCCTATCAAAGCTCATGCATTTAGCAGGAAACAGCATTTAAATTACTGTTCTCTGTTGAAACTACTGTGTATGAAAGGGTTAATGCGTCAGTAAACAGTTAAATCCAATAAATAAATGAAGAATAGCCGTCAGGTCTGCATACAGAGCTGATTTTTGAGTGTTATAATGTGCATCAAAAATGGATTATTTCAGCGTTGACTCAGAGGAACATGTCAGTCATGTATTAATGAGACTCAGCCGGTCTTTGGTCGACTCTCTGATCACATCTCCCCCTCGTTCATCACTCAGAAAAACAGTTTGAGGCTTTTTATTCCGAGCCGCTCCATTAAAATCTTTGTAAATGTGTAATCACATCCGCTCACTGGGGGATGTTTTGAATGCAGCTGTGGAGAAAGTCAAAATTGGCCTCGAACAAACAGAACATGAAAACAGTATTGAGTTTTGATAAAAGGAGCTGCTGGGGAGGAAGCAGAGGGATGTTAGTATTCAGAGAGTGAAGCCAGGCTGCTGCATAATTCAACAGGAGGCTGAGCAGCAGATCAATAAATCCTCTTTATGGACGCAGTTTGGATTTCAGCCACCAGAGGGCGATAAAACCCACTTTATAGAGGCTGGTGTTGGATTGACAGGAAATCTCGCTGTTATCTCTGGTGATAAACTCATGCTAACACTTTTAACCCCTAAACCTGTTTTCAGTCAATATTATTGAAGGTGTTAAATGCCTGAAAACATCCACCTGTACGTCTTGTGAAAAGTAGAAAATGTCATTAAATTTAAGGTTGCTCTCACTAACTGTTGTGTCCTTTAAGATTCACCTTTAACATCATTAAGTTTAGTTTGTTTTCTTTCTGCCCTCTCCTGGTTGTTTAGTGATACCGACACATAAAGAGTTCATTTCCTTAAGTGCTGATTTTGTGGTGTAAACCTCTCAGGATTGTTGCTCTGGACACAGTTTGTTCATAAATATTATGTTTTTGATTTTTATGAAGTTATAACCTCAAGAATATCAGAGTTACTGAAGTCCGTTCGGTTTAAAACCTTTGAATCCTGTCAGGTGTTAGCTAGAAGAGATTTAAGCTAGAGGCTAGCAGCATGACGAGGCATATTTTGTTTTTTCCTATTTTGTGTATTTTTTTTAATCCTGTAGCAGATTTTCAGGCTCTTAAGTTTTAAACTAACTCTGGAGTGAGATGGGGGGGTAAGGGTGAAGAATAATTAGTTACTTCAGGTCATGAAACTTGACTCAGGTGGACTGAAACTGTTTCTTTATTCACATTTTTCACTTTTGTTTTTTTTATCATTCGTCGGCCTGTTTTAACCTTTATCTGAAAATGTCGGACTTTTTTGTGGCTTTTTTAGCCGAGTCAAAATGACGTGCAGGAATTTCCTCTGCTATTTCGGTGATAAGAAAATCTACAAGGTCAGTAAACTAACTGGATCAACCTGCTGGAGAATGTGAATCACATTACTGTGAAACTGGAGTTCAGTTCCTTGGAAATTTTTAAAACTTTTTTTTGTATCTTGTAAAAAACTTTTCAGTTTCTGGTGCTTTTAAATTGTAATTAATGACAAAATCATAGAATTTAAGGCTCTGCGGTCACTTCATCTGGCATCAGATCATAACAGACAGAGATGGAGGTCAATTAAGTAGAAAAAAACAGTTTGTTATTCATGGACAAAAGTTAGTATGAGCGAACGGAAGGTCAAATACCTGGACGCACACAAACCATACAGGTTTAGTTAGTTTAGTTTAGTTAACTTTAGCTCTTTTGTAAACTGGGACACAATAAAACACTGGAAATATTGAGTTTGTCAAAAGAAAAAAAAAACAAAACAATATATTCAGTGATATTTTAGGTAAAGACGCCTTGTTGATCTTTATGAGCATAAAAATGATCATTCACTAATAAAAAACCTATCAAATAAACTGAACTTTACTTTTAACAAATAGTAGGATTAAAAACAAACACTTTCATTGGCAGCTTTAACTTAAAAAAAAAACACTTTGTCACGTTTTTTTTGCATCTAATTTACCTTATAAAACATAGAGGATCTAAGTGGTGCCACTTTAGAGAATAATCCTTTTGCATTTCAACACAAAATACAGTCATTTTAAGTATTTTTGAGTATTATGATTCTTAAATGTTATCATAAACAGGCTGAATTCGACTCCCTTGGTGGATAAATAATAAATTTCAGTTCTGATATTGCAAAGTTTGATGGTAAATACATGTTTAAGTGATCGCAAGTGTTTTTATCAGTTTAGAAAACATCAAATATGAAAGTCAAAAACTCTAAATCTTGATTTTAAAGTTTAAAGCTCTACGCCTTAAGGTTAAGTCTAAACGTCCTGCAGTTTCATCTCTGTATGTTCGTTCGTTCCGCCGCCGCTCTGCCTGCTGGCAGTAAAAGCACAGATGCATCCCCATATCTGAATCTATGTCCTGTCTGCTCTGCTGCAGCCTTGTTTACGTCAATAAAAGCCTGCTGTTCATCCCACTCATCCTGACTAATTACATGTATTAATGAAAGCGTCTTTTCATGTCAGAAAGTCCATTAGCAGTGAGAAGAACAGAGCGTCTCCTCCAGCTGCCTACATGACGGTTTCTGTCCTTTTATTCTCCCGAGCATGAAGGAATGTTTTCAGGTATTTTTCCTGAAGCTTTATTCCTTCTTTATTTTCAGCGTGGTGTTTGAATGAAAGCCCACCACAACACTGACTCACAGTTTTTTGGTGCATTTTCATAAAAAGGCTTTTGAATGTGGGCTGAGAGCTTTGTTTCTGTGTGAAGTGTCCCTGGACTAATTAGGACTGTAATTCTCTCAAAGACTCTTTTAATTTGTCTGAAATTATGCAGATGAAAGGTTTGGATATCACAACACTGTCACAGCCATAATTTTTGAATATGTGTCGTAAATGTTCTCCTTCTGTTAGGCAGATTGTTTGTCCTTTAAATGACGACTGTGGAGGAGTTTTAATCCGACCTGCAGCGCCACATTTACAGGTTAACGTGAAAAGTTGAACCTTTTTCAGTCAGTGCACGGTCGACCTGAGCATGAGGACTTTTTACTATCATGAATTAAAGCTCCTGACGGGAGTTTTTAACAGACTGTAACTGACGCCGATACTTCCTTATGATCTAAAAAAATCAAACAAAACCACCTGCGACAAGACGAAACATCGCTAGTTGTCATTTTTAATCCCTGAAACAGATTCAAGAGGGCTAAGAGTCTAAAGAAATTAAATTTTCTTCATTAACTTTCACCATGAGACACATTTGACTTCCAAAAGCCAGTAGGATGAGATAGTAGCATGACCGAAACATGCACAGGATGGAGTCACTTCAGATCAGGAGGTAAAAGTTCCTTACAGGAGCTTTAAACGTCTTTATCAACAGTAGTCATTATGCAATCGTGCAGCACAGTTTTACTCGGTTTTGACCATCTCCTGCAGTTTTTAGTTCTGAACTGAATGATCTCTGACCTGGTTCTTCACGGAGGTCACCATGCCCTTCTTGCGGTAGTCGACAGATCTTGGTATCGCCCCCACATGCCCGTCGTCCAGATCCACGGTGAGGCTCGGATCTCGGTTATCAGGAACCAGCAGGCCGGTCATCTTCTCGGACACTTCCTCGGATGTCTGCATGAAAAGAGAGGAATATTTCACTCATTAAAAAAAAAGACTTGAAGTTCTTGTTTTTTGTTTCTGGTGCAGCTGCAGCAGGATGAGTTTCTCGATCACAAGCGTTTCTCGCAGCAGTCAGAGGATGAAGGTCGTCGCCCTCTGACATTAGACGGTGTGAAACCTTTCCCGGTTGAATAATCTCCAGAGATTAAAATGTTTTGGGACAGGAACAAGAAAAGGAGACATGAGAGAGGGAGGATCTGATTCAGCATGAAGAGAAGAGTTTAACACGGTTTATTTAAACGTCATTTTCCTGACAGGAAGAGGAACCAGAGGGGTGACTAAAAGTTAAAACAGTCAATAAACACAAAAGAAAAAAGGAAGAAGAGGAAGAAAATAATGAAGCTGTAGGAAGAAAAGAGGAATTAAAAAGACAGAGTCCTGTTTCTCTGCAGGGTGGAGCAGGATTATCTGGTATTAGCAGTTATTAAGAGAGAAATCCTCCTAGTTTTGACGATCTGAAGACCTGAGAGCTTTTATGACGGCTCATTGTTTGAGCAGGAAGATGATTAATTAAAGAAAAACGACCCATCTGCTCATTTCTTTCATTTCTGCTGAAAGCTTCCTGCCACCTGTTCCTCCAAAAACCATAAATCCGTCTGTTTGTTCTGATCCGAACGTGCGTAAACGTTCCTGTCACTGAGAAATTAACCAAAGTATCACACGCTGGATCTGACGTCTTTGACTCTCCGCCCCCTGGTTGATTTACGGCGTTTTACACGGACTCCTGACGCATAAACAGACATCAGTAATGACCCGCTCTGAAACCCGTGTCCCGGACCTGCAGATGATTTAAAGACCTGAGCGAGCCGCAGGACAACAACCAGAAACCACAGCTGAGGTTAAAGTGGACTCTAAAAGACTCGGTCTGGATCTAAAGAGCTGATATCAGGTGGTCTGGCGTCGCTCAGGTTGAGCCTGGAGCGCGCAGACCCGTCTCAGACTCACCATGTCGCCAAAGTGGTTCATGCCCATCTCGTAGGACTGCATGCCCAACGCCGCCTCCTGGTTATGAGCGTCAATCATCCTCATGTTCTTCTCCCAGATGGCCCGGCGGATCTCCTCTTCACCCTGAAACCGACAACAACAAAAGTCACTTTCAATCAAAGAACTGAGATGAAACAGCAGCTTTAATAAAAACAGGAATAACGGTAAATCAGAGCGAGGAGGTAGAAGAAGAGGTAGAAGAAGAGTCACATCGAGCTACAGAGAGAGAGGTCATGACTTTGGAAGAGCCCAGAAGAGTCCTGGATGAGGATCTGAGGCTGTGAGGAGGGTAGACCGATCATCAGCCTTGTGGTATTATAGGGGTCGATATACGTGAGATAATCTGACTCCAACACAGTCTTTTTCTTCTTCTTCTTCTACTACTTCTTCTCTTTTTCTTCTACTACTTCTGCTACTTATTCTCTTCTTCTACTTCTTTTCTTCTTTTGCTACTTCTACGACTTCTTTTCTTCTTCTTCTACTACTTCTTCTCTCATTCTACTACTTCTCTTCTTCTACTTCTACCACTTTTTCTCTTCTTGATCTATTTCTTCTACTACTACTTCTGCAACTACTTCTTCTCTTCTTCTACTACTTCTTTTACTACTAATTCTACTTATCTTGTTCTTCTACTACTACTTCTTCTCTTCTTTTTCTACTACTACTACTACTTCTACGACTACTTCTACTACTCCTACTACTACTGCTCTTCTTCTTCTTCTGCTACTTTTACTACTACCTCTTCTCTTCTTCTATTTCTTCTTCTACTTTTACTACAACTACTTCTTTTTCTTCCTCTACATTTTCACTCTTCAACTTTGTGCAAACCCGATCACACTTTTATTTTTAGGTGGATTTGCACGATTGATCAGTTTTTTGCGGTCATGTCAAAGTACCCACACAGATTTTTGCCACAGTGTCAACAGGTGGAGGTGTGTACCTGAACGTTCTGAGGTTCTGACCCGATAAAGTCGAGTGTTTGAACAGCTGCAGACGTGAAAAGTATCAGAGAGAAACAGTCAGAGGAAGTGGTGATGGCGTTTATCAATCAGTGTAAATATTTAACGCCGTCATACCATCACGTTCTTCTGTTTCAGGCCGACCACACGGACTGAAACCTCATGAAATAACATCGGGCCGGTTCTGCGCTGGCTGCTCTACTTCATGTTTTGGCCCCAGAGAACGGAGACAGATGGAGTCGGAGAGGAGAGGATGGGAAAGTAAAGCAGGCCACGCACAATGAGACTTTACAGTGACTCTGATCCTCCGCCAGTTACTCGAGAAAGTTCATTTTCAAAAAGGCGGGCTGGACCCACTTCTGCCAAACGCTGTTTACTTCCTTTGATTCAGGAAGTCCGTTTGGGTTTAACCGAGTAAAAACCACAAACATTTCTCCCCCCGGCTCGCTGGTTTTCTTCTTAATTGGGGTTAACTCTCACTGTTCGAGGGCTGTTTGCTCATACAGCAGCCAGGTGTTAAAGAGTCCCATCAGCGGAGACCCCCCGACCCCTCTACTCTTCATTTTTTTAGTTTCATCTTTGGCAAATTTCCCGGTTTAAGTTTTTATTTCTGCTGCGTAAGAAGAAGAAGAAAGTTGGTGCTGAACCTCGGCGGTCTGCAGATTCACCTCCTCGCCATCTGTTCACCTCCGGGTAGAGGTCGCCACAGCTGTGTGCATGTGTGTGTGTGTGTTTCTGGGTGCAGATGTGTGTTTTTATTGGAGTGTGTGGACTCATGTGATCGTTAGTGTTATTTACATTCCTGTTCAGTCAGCAGAAAAGACGCCCTCTCCTCCTCTCTCTCTTTTATGGTGATTTTAATCAGTCCTCCTTTAATTCAACCCTCCTTGAACCGACATCTCTCTAATTGAATCAAAGTCCCTCACATCATTTACATTTTCCATTACTGGAATAGAAACTGAGAGAGACGTAATGATTATGGCCATGCTAATGGATATAAAGACCCCGAATACCAAGTAGAAAATGGATGTTTTTTTAGTTCACTAACGGAGCGCTTGGTTGTATCTCAATCTCATATTGTTATGGATGTCGACAATTTGCATACAAATGAGCGACATCCTCCTAGAGCTGACCCACATAGAGATACAAACATAGATGTTCAGTGTAGCTCTGTTCAGAGGGAGCCGGCTGTGTGGACCTGCACTGATTTCATCGGCCTAATTCATGAAATGAGGCTGAAACACAGACAAGCTAATTAAAAGGTAAAGTCGGCCTATTTTCCTCCATTCCTGTCTTTTCGGCCAACAGAGGAAACGAAACTTCGCTTTAAACAAATCGAGACTAAACGAGGTTTGACGACGTCGACGTCAGGTAACAGAGACGGGCGACAGCTGACAGAGAGCAGACGGACTGTTTATCGAGTCAGCTGGAGACACTGAGTCAAACACAAAGACGAACACGTGTTCAGACGACGAGAGAGGGAAAAGAAAGCAGGACAAACTGTGTGAATGTTTCCATAAATCACTGCAGAGTTTCTCCGTCATTTAACTTTAAAACTTTTACAGCTGCTTATATCTCTTCTCAGTAAAAGCAGCTCTGATTGACTCTCTTTTGTAGGATGAAAACTTGGTCGACTCACTTTGATTTAGGACGTGAACTAAGCTGTATTATCAAACTGAGATAATTGACAGGAAAAGGACTTGGATTTGTCGTTAAACACACTGAGTCACGGTTTTATCCGCCTGTCCTTCCTGTTTCGGGTCAAGTCAAGTTGTGTAACGTGTTTTCTCTTAAATGAAGTGAAAACTGTCCTCAGCATTAAACCAAAACTGATCAATAAAGAAGTAAATCAGGATTTTAATCATGAAAGCTTTGACCAATGAACAACAACAATAAAGGAGTAATCCGCGATTTATTCTTCAGATTTACTGTTTTTTTTGTAATGTGCTTCAGCTTTAAGATAATAGACTTTACTTATGCAGTCTAGTTTTTTTAATTTCTGTTTCTTTAATTCTTATTTAAACTAAATCAAGAAGTTCAGGTGCGAAAAGCAGCCGATACCGTCAAATGTTTTACTATCTTTTTTATGAGTATTTCAGCTCCTGTAGATCTAAACCTGCTGATCTCTTATTTTAAACAGACATTCTGAGGTGCACTCGCAGACTCGCAGACACTCACCAGGCCGTTGTACTCTCTCCCGTGTGTGACCTTCCACTGTTCCCACTGAGCGTCCAGAGTGACTTCGTCCAGATGACTCAGAGCTGAAGCTGCCAGCAGCAACACGCACACACACTGCAACATCCTGAAAACACAACAACAACAACAACGACACATTAATACACTTCAGATTTACAGGAACCTAAAGCTTCCATGAGGAACTTTTATTTTGCACTAATTACACCTTTAAGAGAGACCCTGAATGCAACACTGCGGTCTTTGGAGGTGACCTGGTGAAACCTCCTCACAGGAGCTCTGACAGGAGGAAACATCAGTGTTTAAAGGCTTCAGGTGGCTGCTCCTCTATCACATGATAATCTCAATCACTTCTTTTCACTCATGTGATAACTCGGAGGCTGAAACCGGTTTTTCCAGGACACAGATATCTGAACGAGGAGGGGAAACTCACATACTTGTGGTCAGAAAAATGCTGCTCTGAAAAAACACGCTGACGGGTTAGACGTAAACATACCAGATAAAAAGTCCAAACTTGTTGAACTGAAGAGGAAAACTTTTTATTTACAAGTTTGGAAAGTTTCCTCTCTCTCATCAGGGATTCACATCCTCACCCCGGACACTCACAGACCCTGAACTTTTCCCCCTTTTTTTTGCTCATCTGTTTTCCTGCCATCTGTCATCCATCACCTCCAGCCCGTGTGTCTCTGTTCTTTATGACGTCCTGTTTCTAATCTGCATTTCTGCGCTCTGGTTCCAGTAACAACCTCTGACCTGATAAACTACACCAACGTTCAAGAGTCTGCTTTAACTTTGAGGCCGGCTGCTCTCAGCTGCTCCTTCCTACACACACTGATTTCAAGCAGAGTAAAGTGTGACCCGAGGGATGTTTCACATGGTTTAAAATAACAGGGTCTCATGATCTATGCAAATAGTTTACAGTGAAGCTGAAACTTTGACTAAACTCTGCTCGTAATAAACTTTACCTTGACTCTTGTGTTTCCCAAGAGTGCGTCAAAGTTTCCCTGCAGCTCTGACTCCTCACAATCTTTCTATGGAGGCTCAGCAGGGTCAAAATCACTCTGTTATCATACTAGATAGATTGATTTTCAGCTGGTTAAAAATACACACGAGCCAAATTCAAAAGACAGAGATCTTACGAAGTTTGCAGCTGCATCTTTTCAGCTTCAGTTACATGCAAACCTCCTCATTTCAATCCAGTTCAACAAGATTCTTTAAAACTGAAAGCAAAACTCTGCATGAAGAAATCATCAAACCGTAAAGTTTACCTGAAGTCTAAAAGTCAAAGCGTTTGGCGGTCCTCTGAGTCTGACTGCGTCCTTCTTCTTCTGCTGAAGTAGGTCAGTGTGTGAGTTTATATCGGCTGGACTTTGAGGAAGTACAAAGTGGGAGTTCAGGGTTTTTGGGGAGGAGTTTCTTTTTTTTTCCAGGCTGGGGAATTACATCTGGTTTCATTCAACGAGGAAGGATCCAAAAACCAGATGATGTCAGGTGTCAGGTTACAGAGCTTGACTCAGCGCCCTGCTGCACACCGAGGCCCTGACTCAGGAAACAGAGGCTGTTTTTATGTTTGATTAAAAAGACATCTACAGCTTTAGTGTCAATGTTTTATCAGGTATCACTATAATCAGTCATTAACTCACACATGAGCTCCGCTGTTGAATAACTGAAGCATTCCTGCAAAGTCAGTACAAAGTTAAAAACAAGTCCAGTCATGTGATTTCAGCCGGCTCAGCAGTGGAGGATGTTTTCAGTCATATTTCATCATTAAAACAACACCAACCATCTTCAACACTGCTGCTTTCAGTATATATGTTTATCTATCTGTTTGAGTCTGAACTCTAAAAAAACGTCCCGCTAAAGTAAAAGAAAAGTTTGATATTCAGAGAGTTTACACAGCTTTCTTATCCACTTCAGGTTTGCTCCAATATAAACCAAAATCTTTCCCTAACCTTTAACTCCATAAATCAGGAACACAGGGCGCTAAAGTCCTCATGTTTATGTTTTTCCTCTAAAGCCCAAAGCGAACAGTCCGTCTGAAAACTTGTTATCGAAGCCGACAGCAGTGAATGTGAAAAACTCTGAACAAACAGACGATTCAGTTTTAAAGCTGATAAACAGGCGGCAGCAGCTGAATGAAAAAGAGTTTATCTTCCAGCAGACCAAAAAAAATGAGTGAAAACAAGTGATTCACTCCCCGGCCACTTTATTAGGTACACCCTGCTAGTCCTGGGTTAGACCCTCTGAGGTGTTAGAAACATCCCTCAGAGATTTTTGACCATAAGAACATGAGAGGATGATGCAGGTGGAGGTCTCCTCTTCAGACCATCATCTGTTAACGCGTCAGTTTCTGACAGACTCTGACCCGCCCGTCTGAAACCAAATGTTCTTCTTTCAAAGTCTCTTAAATCCTCTTTTTCTCTCATTATGATGCTCAGTTTGAACTTAAGCTAGTCACCTTGACCATGTGTCTAAACGCACTGGGCTGCAGCCGTGGGTGGTTAGCTGACTGGCTATTTGTGTCAACAAGCAATTGAACAGGTGTACCTAATAAAGTGGCCGTTGAGTGTCAGCTTTTTTAGTTTGAAGGACATCGGTCAGAATCAAACCCCTGTTAGCCAAAACAGAACCATGCACTGCAGCTGTTTTAATGTTAATATGGATAAACTTTGACTTCAGTCAAAAAATCACTTAAATAAGTAAAAACCTTTAGTGTAGAGGGACTTTTTTGGACTAAAAGCATAAAAAAAATCCATAAATGGCAAGGATATCCCTGCTATATGTCACAATCTGAGTTGAAGCTGCTGTGATGTACTGATAACTGCCTTTTAAAATGAATAAAATATTGATATTGTGATTAAAATAAGCATATTGTTATATTCTATGCAGGAATGAAAACAGCTCCTTTTTAAACTTGAGGAAAAATCATAGACAGAAATGTTAGTTTGAAAAATGAAGGTTTATCACAGTAATTGTAACTAAGTTTAATCTATCAGACCTGATCACTCTAACTTCAGTTTCCCACAGCAGCTCAGAAATAGATCTTTATCATGTTTATTTTCTCTGCAGCGTTGTCTGGTTTGACGATACTTCCTCATCCGTTAGTCAACAGCCGAATGAGTCATGTCTGTGTGTATATATATGAACGTGTCGTGTGACTCCAGCACTCATACAGCAGACTTATAGTCACTAACCTAAATATAAGAAGGTCCCATGTAGCTCAGCAGGAGGTTACTCAGACCTGAAATGAGGTCTTAATGGACAATGAGGCTCTGAATGGAGAGGGTTCAGCAGGTTTGGGATTGGAGGAACACGTGACGGCAGAGGACTCTTAAAACCCACTACCCCCGATACGAAACGCCAAATATTTATGGTTTTTAACAAGCTGTAAAGATTATAAAGATACAAAAGCCTTTCTAACTGTAGATAAATGAAGGTATCATCAGCATAAAGGTTAAACTAAAGTGTAACAGATTATAATCTAGATGGAGAATAAAAAAGGTCCTAAGATTGAACCTTGGGGCACACCATAGAAGTGACTCTAATGTCAAACTGACAAATAAAAACAACTATTTCCAAACATGTGGACGCCTCTGCATCCAAGTACGTAAACCAAAAGTCGCTAATGTGAGTGATCACTTTGGACTTGGTTTGGTCTCGATACTACTGCATTAATGCAAACTGTCTTGGAGGAGTACCTCCCACCAAACACCCGACGTCATTTAGACGTCTTTTTTTAGGCTGAATCATGTCGGCCCGTCATGGCTGTAATTTTAGCAAAAAAAAAAATCTTTGAAAATTGGGCTTCATTTAGACGGTCCAATGAAAGAGGATTAGTGCCACATGAAGAGAAAAAAATAATTATAGGAGGGAAATTACAGTCGAAATTTCAACATTATAGTCGAAATTAATGACTCGGCATCATCCGTGGAGCCTCCTCTTAGCCAGCCTGTCACCAGCTGGTTTCTGAAATCTATCAGTAGTTTAAATAAAGTTTTTAAGGTGACGTAAATTTGCACTTGCACGGTACGGATCGGGTAGGTAGCAATAGTAACGACTAACCGCTATAAAATGCATTGAAATACGAGGAGAGGAAGTGACGTACATTTCGAACATGCACAGTTTCGGCACGGACGCCATCGGTAGTGATGCCATCGATGATATTTCACCATGCTTCAGTTGCCATAGTGATGTTAAAGCACCTTATATTGACGACTTAAGGCTGGATCCTATCTGCTTTATAAAAAGAAAAAGAAAAAGAAGATGAAGTGAGTATGATATCGCCCCGAACAACAACAACACCAGCTGACGAGGACTCCATCTCTCTGTCTCTGGCGGCTCCTGTGGCCCTCAAGGTCACCACCAATCTCTGCTGCTGTGTGTGTTATGATCTCTGGTGTGTTAAATGAAGCACAGGCTCAACCTCTCATCACTGACAGCTCACTATCTATCTGATCGATGGCTGTTTCTCTTCTCCGTCCTGGAGAGTCTCCCCGCTGGATCTCAGCAGGCACCCGAGTGCACTTTAAGCCCCTTTAAGGCTCTTCCTCTCGGTTCCTCCGCGGCCACTTTAGATAATGAGACTCCTGGACAGCGGTGTCTTGATTGATCCATCACGCAGCGCCCACCCCCCTCCTCTCAGCGCCGGTGAACAGGCAGGAGGTCATGACCTGTGTGTAAATGTATGTGTGTGTGGGCTTGATGAAAGGGGGGGATAGATTTATAATCCAATGTTGCTCAGTAAGGCGGTTTCCACCGATCGATGGCACTATTTTTAACAGCAGTGTAAAAAAATCTATTAATACCTCCACATAAACTGATGTGGCGAGCGTATTTCAATAATCCAGCGGCTCCAGAGAGCGCGGCCATTATCTTAATGTTGGGATTGATTTTCCCTCTTTACTGGGAGAACTGGAGAGTAAGCGGAGAACTGGTGTGACCGTAAATTCCTCTTTTCTTCTTTCTTCCTCTTCCCTCTGCGAGGCCACATCTGTTTCCTATTTTGGCGCATACCGCAAAACACTCATCTCCCAGGATCCTCTGCTGCTGTCATGTGATCGACCTGCTGACTCAGGCCGTCACGGGGTGCGAGCTTCTTGGCTTGATGGAGGTTCTGAAGTAATCTTACATCACGGCTACAGGATCCCATTTTCTATATGCATCCCTGATCCATATGACTCCCCTGGGGACAGATTACATAACTCTAATGCCGTCCTCTGTGAGGATGAATTGTGTTTAAGCGCTCCAAAGCACTGTCCATGCTCGTCCACCGTGCCGCTGTACACAGAGACGGTTTAAATCCCGCTCTGAACTATGTGCACTCTTCAATGACCAGTTCAGAGATTAGTGCAGCAGACAGGGAAGAGGTTTTAAAGGCTTGTTTTGATTCCAGCAGATTAGACTGCGTTGTCTTTTTTATTCCAGACCCAGACTGTCTGTTTACTCGCCGAGGTCAAAGAGGCGTCCTCCAAACTGTAACTGATGTCGGCTCTTCTCTAAACGAGATTCTGCGTTTATGTAATCTATAAAAAGGTGACGCAGGGACACTTTCAGACACTTTTGATGATTTCCTGATGGTTTTTTTATGGTTAATATTATTATTTTTAATCCACAGCTGCTCTTCATCTGTTTGTTTCAAACTTTTAAAATTTAGTTTTAATTATTATTGTTTGTTTTTTTCAGTTGTAAGAATGTTTGGCTGCATCTTTGCATGAGAGGTGCCAATTTCAAGTTATTACTGTTTTGTTTTGTATTACTCTATATCAAAGCAAAGTGTGCTTAACACACAAGTGTTTAGAAGTGACATAAAGCAATAGAAAATTATTATTATTCTTTTGTTTTGTATTTATATATATCAAAGTGCACAATAACAAAAAAAAAAGTTCCAGTCAAGATCATGAAATATGGCATTTCCTTATAAAAATTACATAAAAGTACATCTCTTACTTCCAAAGGCTGAATTTGTTTTACTCATTACAACAAACTCGGCTCTTATTTCTAAAAACCTTTTGAAATATTGCAATTTTTTGTGTACTTTTCGGCTTAAATCAAACCTACTTTACTAAAAATAAAACCAAAAAATCCTATAATTGAAGTTTTTTCTTCTTTTGTTTGTTTGAATTTGAAAACAAGGCCTCAAAAATATCAGCCTGTATGTGAGATAATAAGCCTGAATTAAAGCTCCTGTGAGGAACTTTCTGTCTGTGTCAACTTTGGTGCCCCCCTGTGGACAAAACACTCTTTGCTTCCCTTGTCTTCTACATGATCTCTTTATCATTCTGACTCTTGACAGTCAAATTGATCATTTCAAATTGATCATCATCATTGGAAATATTTCTGCATCTATTGCAAAAACGGTCGCTTTGGCAACACCTAACCCTGTACACCAGTTTCAGGTATTAAAAATCACATCATACTCATTGTTAGTCTTGCTCCTGATGGTTGAGTTTGTTTTTGGGTATCATGAAAATGAATCAGTATGAATTTCAGATTGTTTTATAAACATAAAACAAAATCCCTATAGTATCTTTAATTTGAGCCAAATTCACCCAACAAGTCAAGAAGAGGGCCGTGTTTAAAGATAATACAGTACTGTCAGTTTCTTGATATAACATTTTCGTTTCCTAATCCACCGGCAGATTTATGGTTTTATTTTTGGCTTACTTTAAAACAAATCTGGGTTTTTTCAGGTGAGATGAAGCTTAGATTAGGCCTGAGAAGACACTTTTGACCAGAAAATAAAAAACAAAACTCCTCTCCAAGATTTGATTTTTTGAGATAACAGTCTGTATGTGAGATAATAAACCTGAGGCCTGCTGGAGGAAACTACATCCTTCAAACCTCACATTCTCCCTGCTTGGTTAAAACTTTTAGACTTGAGCTGTTACAGTTTGGAGGAATGAGTGTTAGTCAATAGATGACCAAAACGGTGCACCGTTATTTCTCTAGAAGAGAGGTCTGTGACGTGGTCAGGAGTCCGGCTGAGTCAGGCTCTTCTGATTCTGCTCATGAGATGTAAAATGATGAATAGCTCTGACGCTCTTCTTCTAACTCCTGAATTTACTCCGAGGTGTCGCTCCTTTTAGGACTGAGAACAAATCTGACACAGGCTTCATTTTACTCACATACAAAGAGGTTCAATAAATCAAACAGGAGAAGCATCTATCAGCTCTGAGCAGAGTCCACAGAGCGCCTGACTCCGGGCTTCAGCCGAGAGCTTCAGTGATGGATGGTTTTGAAAGTGGCAGCAGATGGAGGATCCTTGTAGGAGTTTTTCAGTCTCCTCGAGCAGAAGACTCAGATGAACGAGAACATTTAAGACTCAATCTGACCCCGTTATGCTAAATATTCAATACATAAATCTGATTACTTCACAACAGGACAGTTTGTTCGTTTTTGTGTGTCCAGCTGCGAGGAGCGGACCGTAAGAGCCTTTAAATTCTGAACTTCATCCAATCAGATTAGACCAAATGTAAAGCTGAGCTTATTTCCCCAAAAGAACATGGTGTCTCTTTTCTGGGGCAAAACAAGCCGTCTTTATTTGCTTTTCCCGAACTCGACATTTGGTTTTTGGAGGTAAACAGGATAAACCGGGAAGTCCATCCCATCTATGAATAAATTTGAAAAACTAGGACCTGTTTTTGTGAACAACAAAGTTTTCCAGCTGCTCACGCAAGATGATCCCCGGCCAAATAGGATGATTTTCCAACGACTTCTGGATTATTCTAAGGGGGTTTCCTCCTAAAATGTGTGACCAAAAAGAAATGTTCAACCTCATATATGTGTCCTATGGTGTCCTAAAGCTCGAATAATATGTCTGATATCTAATTTATAATGCCAGCTAAGCAGAAATGGAGGATTTGTAGACTGTTTGATTGGTAGGAAGGGTTTCGGAGAAAATGGGGGAGAAGGGGGTCACTGATTTTATTCTTTTGGGCTCTTCCTGCACATTTCAGCTTCATCAAATTTAAAGATAGTACCTCAAATTTAACTCTCAGGTCTGTTTTATTCTGTCTCTGGTTATTGAGCAGTAGTGTTTCCTGTTATTTCTTCTGTGCAAAACAAATACATACATGAATGGAAAAATGAATAGATGTATAAAAAAAGAAAAGAAAGAGGACCTAGATTTCAGCCCTGAGGAACACCATAATTCACAAGAGTTAAATTTAAAGGTATTACTGTTTAAGAAGTAAATAGTATATATTTTATAAAGATTAAAAACGTAGAAAGAAAGAAAGAAAGAAAGAAAGAAAGAAAGGACCTAGATTTGAGCCCTGAGGAACACCATAATTGACAAGAGCAAAATTTGAAGACATTACTGTTTTAAAATTATTATTTTTTAAATACTTTTTTACAAAGTACAAATGAAATAAACTTCATTGAAGTGCAAACTGAGGCTGAACTTCTGAACTTCTTATACTGGTTCCCATCAGAATTCACATGGACTCAGAGAAGTGCAGATTTCTGTAATTCCACATCAGCTCAATCTTACTGGTCAGGAGGTTAGAAAGTGAAAACCTCCCATGGAAAGTGACTCAAGCTATTTTTATGCGAGGACTGCCTGGAAGATTTCATTTTACAGTTCAGCAGAAACTTTGTTATTAAACTCAGTTTCAGGTCAAGTGAGCAGCTGGTCTAAAAACTAACACATTAAACAGACTCCTGAAGTAAAAGAAGATGTAAGATTTAAGGCTAGAGTGTGGTTGTGGTGCTGAGAATACTGTAGTCCTCTTTAAGATTCATGCCGGAGGTGTTCACTGTGTCCAAGCTGTACTTTCAATATGTTTCCCCGGATCAATACAATAAATCAGTGTCTACTTTCTCTCTGGAAGGGAAAACATGCACAAACAGGGTGATCACTCTCTTTAAAAACACTACCCCTCTGTGTCGGTGCATTATGCTCTCACACATTATTATATGAGCTGCTCCAGTGACAGATCACCTTTGAGACGGAGCAGTTATTCGTTCCTCTCCCTTTCAAATCAATCAGTACACCAAGCATGGAAAATGTTCCTGCAAGCTAAATACAGACATCCAGCTCCTGGTTTCCACTCTCACTGCAATATTAAACAAGTTTGTCTGCACTTCTCCACTATATTTACTGTTTTCACCCTCTGTCCGTCAGTGGAGAGTGTTTCTCTATCGAGTTTGTTTCTGGAGTCGTACCTAAATGGTTTTGTTTTCTAAAGAAGTAATGTCCCAGAGAGTGAGAGCTAGAACCACCATGGATTTGTAACCATTCAAACTCTGCCCCATTTCCCTTGATTGTTTTTGTACTTAGAAACATCCGAGTCTGAAACTAAATTAAACTCAAACGGTGAAGGTAAACATCAGCAGAGAAAAGGCAAATTGTGAATTTTGCTGAATGCTGCAGAAATGGTGGTGCAGGTAAACAGGGGAAGTCATTTTCCTCCAGGAAGTTTCTCCAGAAACAAACTGTGAAAACTTACATATGAACAAGACAGTTATTCCAGATTTGCTGCCCCTCAGTGAATCCAAATCCAAGTTAATCCAAGTATCATATCCTGTCATTTTATATCACATCAAAAAAAATCGCAGTGCAGCACAAGATATCAAACTGCATCATATTGTGCAACGCCACATCCTCTCCAGTCTTATGATAGTGCATGTTATCATATCCAATCATAGTGTATCCTGTTGCAACATATCCCATAATTGAGCCATATCAGGTTACAGTGCATTGTATTGTGTCATGTTGTATCATATCATATCCTACTGTTAAATATCATGATGTGTCACATGGTGTGATAAGGTATTGTGTTGTCATGTTGTTTTTGTAACATCATATTCCATGATAGCAGAGATTAGCCAATATTCTATCAAATTGTATCGTGTGATATGGTGTGTATTGTTTTATATCGTTTCGTATCGTATCCTATTGTTTCTTATTGTATCGTTGTTTTATATTGTATATCATTTCGTATTGTATCATTTTGTAACATGTTGTTTCGTAAAATATCGTTTTGTATCATATCGTATTGTGTCATATCTAGCCTGTCATATTGTATTGTGTATCCCGTTTCTTATCATATTGTATAATTTGTATCATGTCTTTTTGTACTGTGTCGTTTTGTATCATTATGGATAATATTGTATAATGTCATTTTGTAGAATTGTAGAATTTGTAGAATTTCATATAATGTCGTTTCATATTGTTTTGTATCATATTGCATTGTTTCATATCTAGGCTATCATATTGTATTGTTTTGTACCGTATCTGAATTGTATCATTTTCTATCATGTTTTTTCGTATCATTTCATATCGTGTCGTTTCGTATGATATTGTATAATTTTGTATAACTTCGTATCATATTGGATTATTTCGTATCATGTCGCAATATATCATATTGTCACATTTCGTATAATTTCGTATCATGTTGTTTCATATCATGTCACATTGTTTCATATCTAGCCTATTATATTGTTATGTTTTGTATCGTATCCTAATTGTGTTGTTTTATATCAGTTTGTCGTGTATTATTTCATATCGCATTGTTGAATAGCATTAAATGGCGTAGTGTATTCTCTTGTATTGTATCTCATCTAATTGTATTTTATCATATTATATGATGATTTCCACCCCTCTCGGTAAGGTCAAAGGTCAAAGGTCATCTCATTTATGGGCTGTCCTGTTAGTGTGTTTACAGTAAAAATAAGGGTTTGCGGACTATTTCTCAGGTCATGCTTTGTTCACTAATCCGTGAATCCCCCAGAGTGAGTCGGTGAAGGGACACAAAACTGTCCGACTAAAGTAGAAAAGCACCAGCCCTCCTAAAGAGATCCTGACTGATCAATGAAAGTCGTTTAATTTTGAGTTTTTATGGCATGTCTGCAAATTTGAGGCAGAGAAGAGCAAACTAAAAACTTTAAATCCAGAGTTCAGGACTGTTTTTCTAAATTTACATATTCAGTGAATAGAGGTCATAAAAAACAACAGGAGAGATGAAGAGAGGATGGAGATGTAGTGAAGAAGTCACTGCAGATGTTTGATTCACTGACGGCACAGCTGTAGTAAACACGGTCATGTGCACTCGGAGGTGAAGCGTGACCACTAGCTCTGGATCTCCTTACGACATCTGCACAGTCTTCATGTTTCTCTGCGCCGCTCTCTTTGGAATATCCCTCTTTTTGTCTCCGTCACGTGCTGACGAGAAAAATATCAACGAATCCCTTCAGAAACTGGCAGCAAGACAAAGTCATTCATGGTTCCTGGGATCTAATCTCTTTAAACAGCCGGGCTGCTGGGAGTCTGTGCTCTCCGCCGATGCACACATGTGCGCTGATGTTTAAGGGATTAGATTTTATTCCAAGCAGAGAGGAAAAAAAAAAGTATCACGCACACTGGAGTGGAAGCCCGATTCACAAACACAAGCTGTCGGCTCACATTCATAATTTTTCCAATGGCTGATCTGTCACGTGCTGAACCGTCTCCAAGTGCGCTCTTTAGGGATTAGCGGACACCGTGACATTTTAAAGTGCTGCAGCGCCGACGACTCTGTCCTTTAATTCATATTTTTAGATGATGGTCCCACACAAACTGCTGACGCTCGAAAATTAAAGGAGCTCAAGGCCTGTAGCGAAAGTGACACTCTCTTTATAGCGGCGCCAATATTTTAACCCCAAAGAAGACTTGCACGCTCAGCATCAGCTGAACTCTCATTAGAGGACGCAACAGCTGAGATTGCAGCGTGGATTTAGAAGCTAAAAGGCCATTGTACTGCTTTAGCGCAACCTCTGACATCAGTTGCGGCATCCATTCATAAAGACGGAGATTAACATGGGAGGTTTTATGCAGAGGGTTCAAAGTTTCTGAGAAGAGCTGCTCTGGAAAACTGCAGCAGAAGACAACTCATAAAAACCGACCGAGGAAGTATCTGCAGAAATATCTGATGCAACATCTGTGAGAAGAACAACGCACCACAGCTGCTGTTTTCTTCAGCTTCATGTCCAACAGTCGTCCCATTTGGTGCAAACATGCTCCTGTTATGCAATCACTGCAGCCTCCGTTTCCTCCTTACATCACCTCAGAGTGAGAAAAGGCCCGTTTGTTTGTTTGTTTATCACGGATGGGTGGACCAGATCTGCCAAAGGAATAATCCCTACATAATATTCATGGTTATAAGACGAGGCCCCGCCCGTGGATGGCAGCAGGATAACCAGATGTCACTGGCAGCCATTACAAAAGGATGAGCTCTCAAGACGCCGCCACCCTCCTCCTCCTCCTCCACTTCCTCCCAGCTCTCTGCGCCGAGGTGCCCGCTGGGATGGCGCCAGAGTTGCTCTGCTGATTCAGACAATAAATTAAATATCATATCAGCCAGCCGGCATTGTGGCTTTTTTACTTTATTAGACACTGCAGGTCAATCTGCTTTATCGAAGTTTGAGGTTATTGCTCTCGGTGGAGTGTGTTTTCATCTGTTATCTCGACTCGTCTGTGACTTTTCAATCATAAAATGAAAAACTTTAAGTGATTTGTGGCACAAAGTCCAAAAAAGTACGAACTCCGGTTAGACTGTAATATGAGATGATCTGCAAATCATTTAAACCCTACAGCCAATTTAAAGTCATCTAAGGGCAGCGTGTCAAAAGTTAAAACCAAAAGAAAATGAGAAAAGAAGAAGATGAAGAAATACGTTCAAATACACGGTCTCCTCATTTCAACCAACACCTCACAAAAGGAGTCTCTGGAAAAGCGGTGTAATCTGACTCTGTAGTGGAAATCACCACATGGGCTCAGATATACTTCTGTGAACATAATGCAAGTTAAAAAAAAACGTATCATACAAAGAGGAAACCTGTCCTGCTGTCTGACAAATCAACAATTGGACTTTCTTTTTGGAAATCATGGACACAGTAGGGATGGGAGAAAAAAAATCGATTCACAAGTATCACGATTTTTTGTTTTACAATTTTTATATCGATTTTTATGTTCAAAAATCTTTTTTTTTTTGTTTTAGATTTAAGAATAAATCTTAAAAACTGACTCACATATGATGTGTATTTTTGGGGGAAATATAGTTCCTTTAATAGTCAGAAGACAATCATAATCATTCAACTGTCTCACTGGTGTTAAAAATGCAGACGAATTATCGAGAAAATCAACAATATCCTAGAATCACCATTTAAATCGAATCGTCATCCAAAAAATTGTAGAAGAATTGAATCAGAAGAAAATCGTATCGTCCCAGCCCTACTGCACAGCTCTACCCATAATTTCCACCGCTTATGGAACGGAGGCGAAAAGGCCGTCGATCGGCGCTGATTGTTTCCATTCAAGTTAATGTGTCGATTTCCACCTGCTTCTTTCCAGCTCCGGGACAATAACAAACCACAATCTGCAGGTTTGGCTCTGTCGTAGAAGAGTCCTGCTCGCCTAAAATCCTGACTTGTCGCTCATTGGAAACTTTAATTGCACTTATGTAACAGGAGACCTCGATATGTTGAGCAGCTGAAATCTTCTATTAGGAAAAACTGGGACAACAGTTCGCTGTGAAGACTCCAGAAGCCGGTCTTCTTCGTTTACAGATTTTTGTTTTAAGACGAGGTGAAAGCGCTGAAAAACACACAAAAAGTGACAAATAGCAGGCTGCTGATTATAGTGTCTGCAGGTTAAAAAATAAGGATCGTTTAACTCCGGTAAAGTGAATCTCACCTCTTCAAAGTCTCTCTAATTAACTGACTCCAGTTAGTTCTTCAGTTTGTTCCATCAAATCAGGCAGAAAGGAAATTGAAGGTCTTAATTTTCAGCACAAATAAACAGCAAATCTCAGGAACAGAGAGGGAAACAGGAGAGGACAGTCGGAGGTAACCAACCTCACTAAATATCCTCCTCACATGCATATGGACGTCAGCTGTTTATTTTTTGCGGAGCCAAGCAGCCTCACGCTGTTGAGAATCTGCTCACGATTCTGCCTAATCATGCAGAAACAGCTCCCTACAAATGACTCTAATTTAAAGGATCGAGGAGGGGAGCAAATTAGGGGCATGGGTACAATCTAGTGCCGGTGCAATTTTACAGCTTATATTTATGATGTAGTTTCCTTAATCGCACATGCAGAGATGCACAGTGTGAATAATAAAGTTAACAGCTCCGCTCTCATCGGGTCTGAGCTGCTGTTAGTGTCAGGACTCAGACGGGAGCTCATCCACGGGCCAAAGGTCAGTCTTCAGGATTCCTCCTCCCTAATTGGCTCTAGTTTTCCTGTGTTGGTTTCAGGCAGTGCTGACCCCACTTGAGGGACTAAATCTAATTAAACCCCTCTGGAGTTTGAGAAGATTTCAGCCGTATTCCCAAAACTCTGGCTGATCCTGCCTCAGATGTTAATTTTCAGGTGTACCTTGGGGCTATACAGTCTTTTGCATGTAAGGATATTGACGAACTGTCTGGCCGACTGCTGTTTTTACAGGTTTACCTGCATCTTAAAACTCCAGAAATGCAATATTCATGTCTAAAAGTATACCCACATTTACTGACTTCATTTATGCAGCTTCATCTTTGTTCTTAACAGGGTTTTTTTTAAGCTGAGAGCGAACACGGCCGAGCTCTTAGACCAGTAAGACAGAGATACATCTGTTATTACGATGCCTTGGTCTGTTATAACTTTGTTTTAGTAAGTTATAACACTATTTCGGTCTGTTATTACTTTGCCCCATTCTGTTTTTACTTAGGTCTGTAATTTCTCTTCCCTGGTCTGTTATTCGCTAAGGTCTGTTATTACTTAAACCTGGTCTGTTATTCCTCTTTCCAGGTCTGTTATTCCTCTTTCCAGGTCTGTTATAACTTTGCCATGGTCAGTTACTACTCTGTTTTGGTCTGTTATTACTCTTCCCTGGTCTGTTGCTATCCTGCCGTGGTCTGTTATAACTGTTTTGGTCTGTTACTACTCTGTTTTCTTCTGTTATTACTCTGTTTTGGTCTGTTATTACTCTGTTTTGGTCTGTATAACTCTGTTTTGGTCTGTTATTACTCTGTTTTGGTCTGTATAACTCTGTTTTCTTCTGTTATTACTCTGTTTCGGTCTGTTATTACTCTGTTTTCGTCTGTATAACTCTGTTTCGGTCTGTTATTACTCTGTTTTCTTCTGTTATTACTCTGTTTTCGTCTGTTATTACTCTGTTTTGGTCTGTTATTACTCTGTTTTGGTCTGTTATTACTCTGTTTTGGTCTGTTATTACTCTGTTTTCGTCTGTTATTACTCTGTTCAGGTCTGTTATTACTCTGTTTTGGTCTGTTATTACTCTGTTTTGGTCTGTTGTAACTCTGTTTTCTTCTGTTATTACTCTGTTTTGGTCTGTTGTAACTCTGTTTCGGTCTGTTATTACTCTGTTTTGGTCTGTTAATACTCTGTTTTGGTCTGTTGTAACTCTGTTTTGGTCTGTTATTACTCTGTTTTCTTCTGTTATTACTCTGTTTTCGTCTGTTATTACTCTGTTTTCGTCTGTTATTACTCTGTTTTGGTCTGTTATTACTCTGTTTTGGTCTGTTATTACTCTGTTTTCGTCTGTTATTACTCTGTTCAGGTCTGTTATTACTCTGTTTTGGTCTGTTATTACTCTGTTTTGGTCTGTTGTAACTCTGTTTTCTTCTGTTATTACTCTGTTTTTGTCTTTTATTACTCTGTTTTTGTCTGTTATTACTCTGTTTCGGTCTGTTATTACTCTGCACACCCTGCAGCTCTCTGGCAGATTTTGAAGTACTTCCTCTGATCTGGACGGTCTGTTTTTCCTGCTCTCTTTTTTCCCTCCTCTTTGCTCTTTGTTGAGTCAGTTGCCTCAGAAAGTTGCAGTAAGCGTTCTGTCGTTCATGAAGGAAACTCTCTTCTCAAAAACAAAGGAAGCAGGAAACAGAAACGTCTCAAACATTCAACAAAGATCTAATATGACACAGCATTGTGCTGACTCTTTACAAACTGAACGACCTTTTTTCTGCTCAGCGATTGTGACGTCCCTCCTCCCGCCCGTCCACAGCTTCCCACCTGGCAGATGCTCCATGTTGCATCATAAAACGCAAGGCCGCTCGCTCTAATCAGAGAACCACAGGCAAATGGATGAGGATTAATTAAAATTGAACACGAGGTTGAACCCCAATCCGGCATCGCCTACCGGGAGCCAAATTGCAGAACTCAAAGCTTCCTGAAAAGCTGCTCATGACCTCAGAAAACAACCTCTGCGATGTGAGGAAAATCCTCGATTACAGAGACCTCTTTGGTTTAATCGAAGGAATGTAAGGTATTTCTCTGTTGAAGTACTGATAGGAAAAACATACTCAACTCTCAGGTGACTATAGTTGAAATTCTGTCCAACTCTGCAGACAGTCTCTGCTCTCTGCTGAACTCGTCTGCTGCTCACGAACGGAGCTCTGACTGGCACACATGTTTAAATCCGGAGGGAACGTCTCTTTGGATGGCTGACTTTGCATTTAGCTTAGGATGCATTCACTGTGAAAGTGTTTCTGCACCCGATTGCAACAGTTGAATGCTTGAATAGATTGGCAACCGCCTTTGAGATTTGTTTACTCCTGTTTGGTCGGCGAGTTCAGCCGGAGCCAAAGCAGCTGTGCCAAAAACCAGCAGAGCAGTGATGTTAAAAAATAACCGCAGAGAACCAAAGGCCGATCTGAATGCTTTATCTGAAAATGACTCACCTTGTTACCTTGATTTATTTCTAATTCATTTCAGGAGTACATGCCTCAGTGCGTCCGTTTTCAGAGGAGACCAGAACCGACGCTTTGCAAGAGCGAGTTAAATCCAACAGAGCTTAACCCCAAAAAGACGTTTAAAGACGCTGAAACCGACTAATTTTAGAGGGTGAGGGGAGGTTTTCTTTTGCTTCTGTTGCTTTAACCAATAAAAAATGACATTAATTAAAATAAAGACATTAATTTTTTAGACTATTCATGTCATTTCAGAATTACTACTTACTGTACTGTAATTTTTAGATGGCTTTAATTGTATATGTTAACTTTTCTAAAAGAAAAAGAAAAAACGATGTATGCAGGATCGCCATTCATCAACAGATAGTTTTGTTTTATTCTACATTTCCTTTGGCGATCAATGAGAGCCGTATGGAAGTAAATCTGTGCCATCTGATTTTGAATTTGAATTTTTAAAGCTGAATTTTTTTGCATCAAAATCAGACTTTGAATTTTAAAACCATCGAATTTCAAGCACGCATTTTTATTTCTTACACTTATTCTATTTCACAATGATGAAATAAATTCAGTGTTAAAATATTGATCCCTCAAAATATTCGTGTAGTAAAAATTAGACTTAAAAAAAAGACTGCAAAAAAAAAAAAAAAAAATTACACAAACCGCCCCAGCAAGAGCTGAAGGTCACTGCTCGATGAAGCTAGAAGAACCACATCATCCACAAAAAGCTGGTCACCCCCCAGCTGCACCCAGAAACTCTGTCCATAAAGGTTCTGAACAGAACCGGTGACAAAGGGCAGTCCTGGCAGAGTCCAACTCTCACTGGAAACGAGTCCGACTTACAGCCGACTTACAAGATCGCAGATACAAGCGGCCGAAAGGGGTTTCCTCCACAGGGTACGTCTGGGTACGAAGCTGCTGCCCCCGTGAACAGGACCTGGATGAAGGGGAAGAAAATGATGACGATGATGTCACAGATTTACTTCCATGGCGGCGGTAGTCCAGCTGTCATATGTCAACTCTGATAACTAACGCTAGATTGCTTCGTTAAATTCGTCCATGTTTTCTCCAAAGAACTACAATCCCATGAAACCTAATCCGGTGAAAACCGCTTCCATAATGTCCGGACCGACCACAAACTTCTACATCATCCCAACCAACTTCCAGCCAATCATATAGTGTGACGTCATCAATAGGCAGCCTGAACACATCATGTACCTCCACCGCCACTTAGCGTCCTTTGAAACCGATGAGTAACATGTTAAATACAGTCTGCAGAGAGAGTGCAGGACTCGTACCCTTTTGTTCCTCAGACCGATATAAAGACATTTTCTTTATCTACCCTCAGTGTTTCCGATGCATGACCGTTCGAGCGCCGTTAGGTCAGTTTGGAACAAGATCTGCTTTGATAACCTCACGCTATTCTGCTTTCCTCCCTTTCCCCGAGAACAAAGATGCAGCAAAAATAAAGGTCAGCTGGAAAAATGCATGTCAACTCCAGCTGTTTACTGTCGACGCATCAAATTTAAGGGCACTCCACTCAACTACTTCTTTACCTTCGTCTATTTTTGAGGGCAGGCCTTTAAAAACAGCCATAAACACTCTGACCTTTGACTCAGCCTGGGAGTACTGGTCCCTACAAAAACCCTATAGGCTGAAACGTGTTTGTTAAAGTGGGACGTGAGGTCCATGTGAAGTAGGTGAGCGCCCAGCCTGCAGGAGGACGAGGTCTCTGTTGGTCTGGCGGGAGAGAAAGGTCAGTCCAGAGGGGGAAGCTGAACTATAGGAGTGATGAGGAGTCACTTTGTTCTGAAGGATTTCTATTTCCAGAGCTGCTCCGATAAACAACAGAGTCAGGACATTGACTTCCAGCCTGAGTAACCCCGATGATCCTGGTTTAAAAGATAAATCCTTCACAAGCTGCCCGAGCTGACTGAAGTTCAATCAAACTAAGAAGCTGTAAGCGTTTAAGGTTAGAGATATTTCAGATGTTTCGCTCCCGTTTGCATTTTCAAGCCTCATTAACAGACGAGTGTTTCTTAAGTGTTTGTGCAGCAGCGTGTATCCCTCACCTCAACCACAGCCAGAGTATCTTCATCATCAACATCCAGCTGTTGTTCAATCACTGATTTGGCTGACCCATGCATATCGCCTCATCCTCCCCTCTAAGCTGTGACGGTTATATAGTGTCCTGGAAATGCGCCCGTACTCACTCACTCACTCACTTAGTGTTGCAGAGAAAAACACATATCCAGCTCGATGTTATCATATTGTTATTTACAGATCTTCCACCCTGAGTGAACTGTAAGTGTTGACCGTAAATAAAAAATAGATAAATAAATAAATATCTTCAGTGTTATCAGAGTGCTGTTGGGTTCACAATAAAGCCAAACACATTTACTCACTGAGCTCATACCTGATCGTTTGATGGTCTCCTGAGTGTTTTTTTCAGGACGTTCTCATCAGCTGTTTGCACTTTTATCTGCAGAAGAAATTATTGCACCTTAATGTGCAGATAACCGAGCGCACACTGGCCTTTGTTGGCTGAGACAATGAAGCACCTCACAGACAATAGTGTAATCAGAGAGGGGCGCAGAGGGCGATTGCCCACCGTGTTACCTTTATGCATACAGATTAAAGCCAAAGAAGAGCTCATTTGAATGTCAGTGTCATAGATAAACATTATAAAAAGGCTTGCAGTAGACATCCAGGGAGAATAAAAGGTAAATAGAGTACCCTTATATGCTCTTATGGTGTATTCATGTAAATAAAGTACCTCCTAGATGATCTTCTAGTGTATAAATGTAATAAAGTACCTCCTTGATGCTTACATACTTTACAAATATAAATAAAGTACCTCCTAGATGCTCCTCTAGTGTATAAATGTAAACAAAGTACCTTCTGGTTCCTCTTTCAATCTAAATAATGTAGATAGAGTACCCTCCAGATGACCCTCCAGTGTATTAAATCTAAACAAAAGGACATTTGTTTTCTTCTTTAGAGTTCAAAATGCAAAGAAGTGCTCTCTAGTTGCTTTTTAGACAATTAAATGTAGAAAAAGGACCCTCTAGAGACCATTCTAGTGTGTAGAATGTAAATTAAGTACATCCAAGGGGCCCTTTCAATGTTACAAATAAAAACAAATGGGCTCTTCTAGTAGATGAAACAACAACATCTGACCCTCTGAATACCCTTCCTGTGTATTAAATGTAAATAAAGTTCCTTCTTGTCACTTTTTTAGCAATCAAAATGTAAACACAGAGCCATTTATTATATTTTTTTATATATTTTTTAAGTGGATAAAAATGCAAAAAGTTCCCACTGGTTCCTTCTAGTGTATGACTGTAAACTAAGCGCCCTCTGGTTTCTCTTTAACTGATTAAAATGTAAACAAAAACCTGTCTGGTGTTTTTAAGCACATGACATGTAAACTAAGGATCATCTGGTTGCTTCTTGAAGTGAGTAAAATGTAAACAAAAAGTCCCAGAGTTACTTTTAATCAGATAATTTTTTTAAAAAAGTCTCCAGTTTCGACCATTTCTGTCTAATTTTCAAACAAAAATGCTACAAAGAAGTTTCTGGAAGAAGAGCAGCACGGAGAAGAAAACCAAACAGATGATGAGTTGCCTGATGATCAAAAAGACTGTAAATGTTCTCAGATCTTTGCAGTGGAGTTGTTGAGTTACATATCCTTAAAAATGGTGACCAAAGCTGCAGTAATGAGATGTAAGTTTGTGCATGAAACAGAATTCCTCATTACAGCAGAGCTCTGTGAGAAATTCATGAAAATCATCTCTGAGTTTGTTCAGAAGTAAAACTCAGAGAGAGTTTTACTGCTGATCCTGACTGTGTCGTTCAGTTCAGTTGTTCTGAATCATACTGTATATTATCACATCTTTTCAGTATTATCATGTTTAAATTAGAGGCTTTTTCTGCAGGTCATTGCTTTGTCTCTGTGCAGATGGTTGATTTTGCCTTTCACAGAGAGGCATCAAGTTTGTCTGTTTCATAACCAGATATAAACTCCTCACATTAAAGAAGCTGAAACCTGCAGCCATTTCTGTCTTTGAATTTGACTTTATAAGTTTCTTAAACCAGATTTGACCCTCAAATCTTCAAAACTCGGTCACTAAATCGACTTTATTTGGCAGAAAAAGCAGAATTTTCTCATGGATTCCTTTACCACCACTCAGTTTCAGCCTTTTTAAACATTGCCAGTTTGTTACTGACACCAGCAGTAAAAAGCTCAATGCCATTCACAGCTATTTACGGCTGCACTGACGGATTTATCCTCTGCATATCCACATCTACCTCCACAAAAGCAGCGATTTCCTCCAAGTCCACCTGTTTTTTTTTTCTGTGGTAAAGATGCATTTCTCATATATTCTTTTTAAAGTCCTCATAATTATGGCAATATGATGCTGATGTGCCAAAGGATGAAGAATCTCCTTGTTTGTGAAACCTGTACTGAAGCACAGTTCCTTCAAATGCTCAATGGCCCTAATTTGAACGACTTTACGACTTTATTCTCATGAATTAATGACTTTATTCTCGTAAATTCACGACTTTAATCTCTCAATGTGGCCATCAAAACAGGCAATCATTGGATGAATTTTGTGTTAAGTATCTGTACAGTCCTTTCCTCTTTTTTTATGTTGGATTTTACATGTTTAAAACCGATAAAAGTACATCTTTTTTAATATTTCTGTGCGGGTTTAAAGGAACAGCGTCGCTCAGTCTCGTCCATCAGATCTGCCACAGACTCCTGCCCCGCTACACCACTTGTGTCACGGGGATTTAAGCATTACTGGTCCGGCACATGGCGCAGATCCAGCTTTAAATCTGTGTGACTTCAGCTCCAGCTGAGCGTAATAAGGGATGGAGAGACGCGGAGGGCGCAGCATCAGCAGATCGACGGTCAGAGCGCACGGAGCAGCTTCTCCTCCTCCTCCTCCTCCTCCTCCTCCTCCACAGCAGCAGGAGCAGCAGCAGCGCTCACAACAACAAGACAGATCCGCACACAGGCGACCTAAATTATCGCAATTATCAGAGACTCCCCCGAGGTGTTCGGCAGCCGGAGAGGGAAATTAACGAAGAAGGAGGACGGAGCAGACTGAGACAGATGTTGGAGGAGTCTGTTCGAATGTAGACACAAGAGGAAGGAGAGGGAAAGTGTGCCGGACAGAGGGATGAACACGTTTGTCAGCTGGGGAGGGACGATGAGCAACAAAGAGGAGGAAGTTTTCTGTCCATCTCTCCTTCGGTGAAAGATTCAGCAGGTGAGTTCTTCTCAATTTCGCCTTTTTCTCAAACTACTTTACAGGTTTTACACGATTTTACTTTCTGTTTCACTTTGAAACTACAAGGATACAGAAGAATCGTTTCTTCTATTGGCGCCAAGGTGACTCCCGTAATGTGAGGCTGAAACTGAATTTGTAGACATTTATATCTGTAAAAGATTTAATGTGATGACTGTTATGACTACTCCTATCTGATTCAGTTGCTCCTCGTTTGTCATCACTAAGCCACTACGATAATCCTTGACCGTTTCCACCGATGCGTAAAGTGTGCCAAGCGTTTTTACGCAGTTATTGATCGACTCCTGCTTCGATTTCCACAGCCTTCATAATCAAAAGTGGGATCTGTGGTGACTTCAAAACGCAAATATTTTAACAACGTTATCTAAACTCAAATTTAAGGCGGGAAGGAGGTGGAAAAGATCGAATATCTGATATTCGAGCTGAGGTGAAGTTTCCGTTGTTGTTTTTGTTTCTTTAATTCATGTTACAATAGAGAAAAGTTGTTCGTTTTATTACATCTTTAGTGCAGATCGAGTCTCTGTGATGAGATTTTCCTTTTCTGGACACAAAGCTCTGCTGTGGGATCAGCCTCTTGTGTTGTAATTTCATACTGACCTATATTGATGATGATTCCCTTCACTGTTTTTTTCACTAAATCTCCTGAAACCCAGAAAAATCAGCCGCCTCTACATTAATGATGAGTCTGTAACCCTCAGTCTGACTTTTTATGTTGTTGTTGATGTTTTTGGAGAGCGACTCCCCGCTCATGTGAGCAGTAATCCTCTGGGTAGTTTGTTCCATAAACCTAAAAAGAGTCGGAGCAGACTGTGTTTTAACTGCAACAGAAGAGACCTCAGCGTGTGTGTGTGTGTGTGTGTGTGTGTGTGTGTGTGTGTGTGTGTGTGTGTGTACGGTTTTTAAATCCAGGGTTTTTAGCCTCACTGTGATTCATCAAACCTCTTCTTATCGGCAGTGATGACTCTCTGTGTTAGATTGGATTATGATCTCAACTGCAGTCCGGTGAGATCCAGTATCAGGGCTCAGAGGTGAGGTGGGACCATGCAGCAGCAGCAGCAGCAGCAGCAGACTGTCCCTCCTCTCCTCCTGTTGTCATAATGAGGACACACACTCGTCACATCGACTCCTCTGTGGCTCAGGAGGAGCAGATCACCATCGAGGGAGCACCAAGGATTTGACGCTTGGGATTCTGCCAAATGGGCAATTTAATCAGAGGGCATTTTATGCAGAGAAGTGTGTCAGTCTCTTTGTTAGAGGATGACTTATCTGCACTGTTATATTGGGCTGCTGCTCCAAACCTCAATGAGGGGCCGCAGGCAGTATGGAAGAAGTATATGACAAGTCTTTAACTAGTTTCCCGGCCGTGCTGTGGTGCAGCAGGGAGTCCAAGTTCTCCGTGTCTCTGCAGTGGTGTCTCACTTTGCAGTGCTTGTTTACAGCAGTAGAGATGCTGTTTGGGAATCAGGGGATCACCCGTTCAAATCCCGCTGTTACTCAAGCCTGAAATTTGGAATAGCGGGCAGTAAATATGCAGCATCTGGTTGGACTTTAAAGGATCTGTGAGGAGTTTCAAACATGAAGTACTTCATTAATCCCTAATTGCAGCTACGATCGCAGTCAAATAAAGGACAAAGACATTAGGACGCCTAAAAATGAACATATAAAACATAAGTAAGAGTATCCAGAACAGATTAAAATAAAAACACAAAGTTCTCAATCCAAGATATTTAAAAATGTTAGAAGAAAATGATCCAGTGTGCAAAAGTACCAGGAGGGCAAGTTGCTCTAAAACCCCAAAGATGAATAATGAGTTTAAACAGTTATTAATACAAATGCATGAAGAATTCATGGGCTGCATGTTTCCTAAGAGTTACTGTGATTTCCTTTAGTGAGTGTTGTAATGTGTCAAATACAGAAATTTTAAGACATTTTTAAAAACACACTTAAATTATTTTCTATTTGGATCTTTTAGTCTGTTTTCTGCTTTTAAACTGTGACTCTATTTTAGGACAAACTGTATTAAACACTAACAGGAGCTCTGACATCTGTGTGAGGAACTGGAGGGTCAAAAAGAGGGGGGAATAGGTTCAGATGGAACAACAGATCACTACATTAACTGTGCTGATAAAGGTACAAATACAACACATACAATCACTGAGTTTTATCTGCGTCGAGAGTCCTGTGACACTCTGTGGTCCGGCGGTTAGTTTAGCGTGCATGTTTACGTTCTACAGTCATGTTACACAGTTACAGACTGACAGCAGCTTGTTTGGGTATTTCACAAACATCCTCTGTTGTTATCTTGGAGTGTTTTTATGTGACGATGTCGGCTTAAACGTCCAAGTTTGAGACTTTGTTTTGTGCAGGTCTTCCACTGAACATGTGAGACAGTTTGCACCGTCTGTAAGTGGAGTTAAGTTTGTTTTTATACATTTAAATCGACTGTGAAGCAGTCACAGTATTCCTACAAGTACATAAGATACAGATAACCTGAAGTAGAATCAAAGATGTCAATGCACGTCGACGGATAAATGATGAGCTGTGAGAAAAGTCTAAAAGTGATGGAGTTGTTTTGTATCGATGATTTTGAAAGCCATTGTGCCGACCTAAATGCTTCATTATCAGCGTTATTCGCCTTTTTGTGTCTTGGTGTTTGTTAATGTTTCGCAGTTCGATGCTTTTGTACATTAAGTGTCTGTAAAGAGGGACAATTATTCTCCCAAGGTGATCACCTTTAGTCTGCCTGATACTGTGACTGTAAAAATCAGAATCCTAACATCATTTTTGAAGCAAGAACCAACCGAGTAAGCTTCTGTATTCGATGAGTCGTCTCTGAGTCTGTGTTGGATTTATCAGGTTTAGAAGCAGACATGAACTAAGTTAATTCTCCAACTCTAATCTTTGTATTCAAAGACAAGTCGTCCCGTTTCCCCTCATATATGTTCGGATCGGCTTGCTTTCAAAGATCTCCCAACCAGGGATGAATTTTTCATGTTTTCTCGTGTTTTTCCGAGCAGGAAACTTCTTGGCTGCAGATGAGTCACTCTTGAAAACATTATTTCTAAATATCTGTCCTCAAAAAGCCGAACGCTGCTACATATTCATCGTCCCATTAGCAGAAATGAGAGAACTGGCAGAGTGCTTCACTGCAGTTTTGATTTCTTTCCAACTGCAGCGCATTAATATCAGACTTATAGCTGAAGATGTTTGTGAAAATCTGTGAGCCTGCAGCAGAGCATCTGCACACTTACCCACCATGCTTCAGTCGTCCCACTGTGAGATCAACACCACTGTGAGCTTCAGTGCTCTTCTTGTTTTCACAGTGATAAATGTTGTTTCCACTTTGAGTCTTCGGATAAATGTCTCAGTTTTCTCTCCGACTCTCTCCAGGGTAAACTTTCCTTTTTTGCTGTTTCTTACCCTTGACTAGAAGTGTTTTCACATCACGATGAACTGAATCTGAGATTTCTTTTTGGTCGAAGCCAAAGTCCACAGACTTGAGTCCTCTCCAGGCCATGATGCCTTTTGTGGATGAAAAAGAAAAGATCAGACGCTCACTGTTGCTGCAGAAATGTTATCGGGGCATAAATGAGGAGTTGAATGCCACCGGCCTGCGGCTGGAGTCTGCTGCAGACTTTTGTTGTTTGGCCTTGAGAGAGGCTTTTTCATATCTGAGCTTTCTTTAATGCTGCATGTTTGCTTTCAGGCTCAGAGATGCGTGCGTCCTTTCCAGTTTGTTATAGCTGACCTTTTTATTGTATGGAAGAGTTTGAATGTGATCTATGCCGACCTCAGTTTTTGAATAAGATATAAGTTCGACTCAGAAACATCACAGTCTGTCTCTTTTTCTCCATACTGGCAGAACATCGACTGTAAGACAACCAACACTTTTTAAGATTCGTTTTTAGCAGCGTGTTGAACGTCTTTAACTTTACACTCGTTTATTTACCAGAAAAACAACCACCAGACATAAACAATCTATGTGCCACTTTAAATGCATAGAAAGGTGTTTTATTGTGTTACTGATTACGACTCTGGTCAGTATTCTGGACACACAGCGGGGCAGACAGGTGGAGCAGCGCCACATTAAAACAGCCTTTGTCATAACCATGAATTTAAAGAAAACGCTGGTCTACAGTTTAACAGCGGCTCCGCCCATCTAAGTTCATGTCACTAATGTCCTCTTCCCTCACAAGTCTGACGCCTTCAGCTACTGGAAGTGTGTAAAATAACAAAGAGATATGGTGCAAGAAAAAAGCTTTACAATCGCACAAAGCTGAAGCCTGAAACATACAGGATCCGTATTGAGCGCGCTCCGTCAGCATCACGTCAGCGTCGCGTCAGCGTCGCGTGTCACACAGCAAATAGGTTCCCATGTTAATCAATGAAGTACCGCATACAGGGCGCGTCTCCGTCTCAGAAGCGTGTCGAGCAAACACACAGAAACTATTTTTGCTGCTCTACGCTTCCAACACTCGTCAATCAACACAGAGAAGATCGTTCTAGACAGGAAGTCAAGCACAGAAACCGTGCATGTAATCTGGTAAATTTCAAAATAAAACACTGTATGTGAACTCCTGACTGTGTATCAGTTGGTGTAGATGAGAAATCCTTCCTGGTTCTGGATTTATCAGTAACACAGAACAATCTGATGGTCGATCCCTGATCCATGTGGACCCCAACAGGACTTTGACCTGCTAACTCTGTCTGAAGGGAACAGCAGAAAGGAACAGAGTTTACTTTATTAAACACGAGTAAACCTGCAAAAACACAAACTGGAGAAGAGTTTGAAACAGGAGCCGTATTTTAACATGGAGGAGATAGGCTTCATAACCCACCAGTAGGGGGAGCTCCAAATGTTTAGGGAGCTGTCATGTTGTTCATCGTTAATACCGTCTATAAGGGGAATATACAAGCCACGGCGTAACCTCAGGAGACCTCATCTGCCGTCCAATGACAGTCCAGCGCTTTATATCATCGCCGGCTCTGACTCCACGTGAACAAAGACACAGAGAGAGAAGCTGCAGCAGAAAACCTGAAACTTCTGCTCTGAGGAGTTTTACTGTCCAGACGTTTCTGGACGATAACCAGCAGCTTCTGTAGTTTGAGCTTTTCGTACAAAGTGGAGCAAAATGCAGATTTATGCACATTTGTATTTAGGACACTTAATCTGATTCAAAGGTTAATGAACAGCTTCACATCTTGGCAGCTAGTTTGCAGCCATGAAAGCTCTTAAATCAAAGTCTCAGACAAACACAAAGAAAGCGACTGGCAGGTTTACAGAACAGGAGTGTAATACTGACCAGAAGGAAGAGCCTGGAGGATCTGAAGAGGGAGACATAGTAGAGGGGGAAGAGTGGAGGGTGAAGTAAGGGCAGGAGGAACCTGAGAGAGCAGGAGACTCTGACTGGAGAGCTAGGAGAGTGTCAGTTTAGCAAAGTCTATGGACGATTTTTCTCCTGTCATGTCTTTTTGTCCTCAACAGTTAAGCTGATGAGGATTGATTTCCACTCGGTGCTGGCTTTACTGGTTCCCATCTGTCAGTGTTTTTTTTTGGTCGGGGCTTCAGGGCGAGCGGGGAAAGGTTGTGAATACCTGCCAAACCTAAAAGTCGTTGAGAGACTCCATAAACGGAAGAAAATAATAATCAAAAGCCCGAGTAAGAGACGAGCGGAGGGATATATAAGATAATTCAGAAGAAGAGAAGAAAACTGTAAAATGTAAACATGCACAAGAGTCGCAGCGCTGATGCTTCCATGGATTATAAGACATTTGAAATTGTTAGGTTATATTAGATTAGTTTAAGGACGAATGTATCACTCCGCCTACTTCCTAATGTGGGTATAAGTGCAGAAAATAGACCCAAAGAGAGAGGCCCCTTTGGACGGACGATATCCACAACCTTCCAAACCATCCATCAGATCATCAGAGATTAGTCGGGTATGTGGTGGATTAATTAAAAGGTTTGGACCGTCAGTGCAGTAAAGGTCAAACTGACCAAAAGTGCATGACTGAAGGGACAGCAGAGAGTGTCATCTCACTCCTGTCCTTACAGCAGGAAGAAAACACATCAGATGTAAAAGCTCGAAATGACTGTGTGTTCAATAACGGCTCAATTTCCACGCATCCATTTACTTTACCCATTTAACCAAGGTCAATGGGGCTGCAACCTATTTAGCATGCAATGGGCAGGAGGCGGGGTCTCTGAGGAGGTGACCCAGTCCTTGGCGGAGCTCTGAGGAGGAATTGTCAAAAGAATAACTCAAACGAATTGATTTGAAGATGTCACGGTTACATAACAACAGAGGGAAGTTACTCATACTGTACCAACACAGTATACTGGGTTTATTTCATTAATAAGAACATTTTGGTCTGTTTTTACACTATCTTATTAAAAATACAGAAACCTAATCACTACAGAGCGACTGGACTTCTCGTAGCTCAGGTAAAACGTGGCCTTGAACTGCTGGACTAATGGAGACGTTAGTAACGGTCTGCAGAGCACCCCGCCCCCCCAGAGGCAGTTTTATCATTTTCAGCCATACTGTATGAATAAAATACCACCCTCCATTGTTCTGGTGATTTTAACCAGTTTCTTACATTACCGGGTTCTCCTGAAAGCCCTGGAGAAAAGACTTAATTCACCTCACAGAGCGTAGACGCTGCCCCTACACTAACAAGAGCAGCTGATGTGTCGATTTAACCTGAGGATGTCTGCCTTTACAGAAATACTCTACAGCTACTATAACCTATCTCTAGATTTTATATTGAAGTGTTGAACTTTCTGTACTTAAAGTTTTGTAGAGATAAGAAAAGTTAAACAGGCAACAGTTGAAGAAAGTCGACCTTCTACCAGATACACCTCCAGTTCTTCCAGGGGGATCCTGAGGGTCCCATGCCAGATGGAATATAAGATTATCCCAGATAGCTCAGAGTCTTCCCAAACCCCAAATTTCCAGAATGGCGGTGAAAAGGCTGTATGCGCCGATCACAGCTCATTGTTTCCAGTCAAGTTAATGTGTCAAATTCCACCGGCTTCTTTCTGGCCCCCTGCGGTTCAGCGGACTCCGTAGCCAATTACCAGAGTCCTATTATTTCAGAACGCCGCAGCATGCTGCATAAATTCAGCACAGATTAACCCGTGCTGGAAAGGAAGTCGGGCAGAGAAATTGGGGGTAAGACCTCTTTTAGGTCGGACATACCTCTAACACCTAAACTGACGCTGTAAACCACCCTGATGCCAACAGAACCACATCATCTGCAAACCTACACTGGAGTCCCCTTATCTCCCTCAGGAATACCCTAACAGAGGCCAACACAGACCGAGAACATGTCTGAGAGACTTTTAAATGAATTGAACTGTAGGGCTGACAACATTTCCTCTAGCAGGATAGTCGCAAACCTGCAAACAAGACGGCAAACACTCCTAACATGAGCAGAAACTACGCTGCAGATTAGATAAACTAATGTTGAAGATTTTGCATGTGAGAAATGTCGAGTGTGGAGGTTTATCAGTGTCCTCATAAAGGTTTAAAGGTCAGGGACTGACAGGTTTGATGGAGCAGGTCCGTGCAAAAACCCACAGCTGCTGAGATAATTGAGCAAATAAAAGCAGAGAAGCTCAAAGACATGAAGAGCGCCTTTTCAAAGATACTTGAAGAGCAGCTGATCAGTCAGTCCTGCAGGGAGTCCAGTCTGTGACCTGCCAGCTACAGGAACCTGCCAATCTCCTCCCACACACGCTCAGCACCCGCACTCGGTTTTTTGCCTCTGCTTCCCTGCGGCTGGCTCCGGCTCAGATGGAGAAACCAGGTGGGATTGTGCATCAGTCCATCAGATTATCATGCAGGTCTGTAAGTGTGCCAAAGAGGAAAAGCTCCACCTGCTCACCGGGGAGGGGAGATTATGGAGATGATCGCTTTTCTCTGAAATAACAAAAATACAATAGAGATTTCTTTCCTCTCAGGCTTTACTCTTTTAACCTGCAGAAGACAAAACTCTACCAGCCGAGAGAAAAAGTGCCTCTGCAGCTGAGATTAAACTCCGCTGAGGGAGGATTACGGACATCAGGAGACTGAGGAGAGCCGACTCCACTTTTCGCACCTTTGCAACGTTTGGAAAAGTTCTGCTAAGTCAGCAAGAACTGCTTCAAAATGTGGCTAAAACAACTTTCTACTCAGACAGTCAGTTTTTTTTTAGAAATGTGGTCTTTACGGTAAACTGGACAACCACCACTGACAGCAAACGACCACGAGATCCGTGTTCAGACCGTTTTCACTTCGCCATGGCCGCCAAGGTGTTCGCTTTTCATTAAAGTTGATAATCAATCCAGGAATCTCTGCAGCAAATGCGTAAATCAGACACATAAACAACCCTAAAATATGAAAATAAGACTCTCCGTGTTTGTATAACTAGAGAAGAAAGCGGTCGGCAACATTCATCTTCTGATGGGGTCGTCTATCTCGATGTTACGGTGTGTCTGACCCTAGATTGATTTTACGTTGGGACATCCCTTTAACGCCACCAAAAAAAACTGCCAAAGTGAGCAAAGCCAGACCGGGTTCAACAAGTTAGAGGTGCTCAGAGCTCCTCTGATTTCTTAAAGTTGGAAATCTGTTTTTTGTGACTCAAGCTATGATGCAGAAAGGTTAAGGTTCACTGCAAGAAGGTTCCTGAATCAGGTTCTGGTTGAGTTTTGCAGATGAATTATGGTGGAAAAACGTGGTAAAAATATCCGTTTACAGCCTGAAACTATTCGCCAACTCGTTTGTTTGAAACTAAAAAAGGTGTTCTTGATATTTTAATGACACTGCGGCGGTTTACTAACACAGTCCTCCTATAGTGACGGTAAAACACTGATGATGAGTTTGATGCTGCGAATATTCGTCACCAGCCTGTAAACAGCAGCCGTCTGCTGTCCCACATTTCACTCCGTTTGTGCGTTCAGATCCAGTTTGATCCGTGTTTGACCCGTTCCCCGCTCCGAGTCCTGTTCCTCTTTAAAGCCTCACCCCCTCCTCAGCTCCTCTGATGTGCGTACGCCGGAGCCGTCGATGCACCGCGCCTGTTAGCTGAGACGACCTAATTTGTCACATCACATAGGCGCTGCGCTGAGACTAATTCCCTCCCCTCATTTATTCTTGCTATTATTAATATTGCAGACGGTGCACTTTGTGTGACGTGGCGCCGCCGAGCTTTAACTCTCTCCTCGTCAGAATGAGGAATTACAGCCGAGCGCTTTAACCGAACAAGAGCGACGAGGAGGATCTGTCGCTGTGACCCACTTCTAACACAACACGGTGTAAATACTCACACACACTGCATCTGTCGCTGCTCTTAATCCATTATTCATCTGGTTTTATACTTTCTCACCTGTAGGAAAATCACTCTCTACAGACGGGAACATCCAGTTTACAGTTTCGAAGAAATGAGGTTTAATCAGCGCGAACTGTCCGACACATTAGAGTTACGAAGAAGAGAGAAAACCCAAAACTGCCAAAGAGACGGACGAACTTTGAAGACATAAATCACATAAACCGTCAACTCTATCACCAATTAAACATTTTATCTTTCGTTAACTTATTGTGTGACGGCTGCCGAATGGCTTAATTTCCATTTATTAATGCATGTTAAATAAAGCAGAATATTACATTTAAACATTGCAGCTGTAGCAACTTTATATAAATTAAGCACTTTTATAGTAAGCAGTCAAGGACTCGAGTAAAAATGAAAGAAACTTTTAAGACTTTTTAGGCGGAGCAGTGAAAAGGGGTACAATAATCGACGCTCCTGCTGATATGGATTCAGATTTCTGCATCTTTCTGTGTTAAAACAGTCAAACTTTTTCAGTGTTTCCTACATGATTAAATAAAGTACTAATAATTTTGTTCAATAAGGTCAAAACTAAGAATCTAAAACTGCCCAAAGGTTCATAACTGCTGAGTTCATGTTCTTCAAAACCTCCCAGTATCGACCCGTCGCTCCATCATCACCTTCCTGTTAATCTATGATCCACATCTATCTGCTCCTCATTAGCACGACTCGGTTTCTGTCGTTTTCTTCGGCGGTCATAGCAAACGCAACAATGGAGGACATGGCGGCATTGGTATGCCGGCTGCTCGATCTATGACTATTTGTCAGCCTCTAGGAGGCGCTCTCATGACTCAAACGGTGATGTCACTCCTGGGCCAATCAGCAGCCTGCAGCGTGTTGACTTCACATTTTCAACTCGAGCGAGAAGATGCTACAAAAGTAGCTTGTGACAGGAGCTTTCACAAAAACCAAGTATAGTAGGAGCGAGTGGAAAAGCCTGTTAGTGTCACATAAACCTGAAAACACCTGATAAAGGAGGAGTGATCTGAAGGGGCTCATCTGAACTTACGGCGTAACATCAAAGTCTCTGAAAAGTTCAAAGGCTAAATTGAATCTTAAGTTTTTTCTTTATTAAATTTCATAACCTGATTTTAGGTCTTGTCCTTCATGAGTACTCCAAACTTTACAGCCGTAAAACATGTTAGAAGTCGACTGAAATCCCAGAGGTGGAGGTCTCCGTGGTTCTGATCTCTATCAAACTGGACGTTCAGAGCCGAAACGAATCGTAACACCCAGATGAAATAAATCTGTTTCAGTGTTCAGGAGCAGAGGCAAACAATTAATATAATCCCTTTTGTCACACACACACACACACACACACACACACACACACACAAACACACACACACACACGTTTCTTCATCTCTCCACATGTTTAACTCGTACAGACACACAAACTCTCAGGTCTAAGGATGATCAGGTCTTCATTTTCCCCTCAGCTCTCTAAAAAATCAGACGTTTCCTGTCTGACCTTCACTTCCTCGACTGTATGTTTATATAATGAGCGTTTATATTATATAATATGGACGCCAGGTCCATGAAGATTATGATGCAGCACAAAGAACTGGATTACGTGATGACAACAGATGCTCAATTTTCACCTGTCCACGAGCAGATAGAGAACCGAGTGAAGATCCAGATGCAGTAAAGAGATAAAATAATATAACATTACAAACCAGGAGGAGACCCCCTTCTGGAAAAGTCTGGATCTGCTGCTGAAACAGGGTCTGAACCGAAACACCAATGAAGCAAAATCTCGATAATGAAGACGAGGACGAAAAAAACACCAACAATGTTTTTACAGCTCGTCCACAAATCGTTGGTGTAAATGACCCACATCATGTGTTGGTATCACTTTTTTGTTTAAACACCACAAAAAAGATGCTTCTTTAACGGACTCCTGCCTATCTTACCTTTAATATTCTTCTCATCGTTTTCTCTTACGGCGTGTTCACGATGTTCATGGAAGTTTAATGTAACCGTTTTATAATAAAACGTTGTGAATCATAAGTCGGAGAATCAGACCGATGCTACACTTGGTTATCAATCAATAAACCAGACCTCACAAAACCTGAGCAGGACTCATCAGGCCGCTCGGTTTGGCAGGAACCAGCTGTTCCAGTTTGCTAACCTCTGCGCTGTTTCTAACTCCATGTTTCTTTGTGTTTGTCATACTTGGAGAGCCGCTGACACCGGACTGAATGTACGAGGCGTGAGGTTGTCGGCGCTCCTCCGTTAAAAACAGGCTCTGGCTCATGTCAGCTGTCCGGCTGCGGTCATACGGCGAGTTTGGATCTGAATGCTGGTTGATGACATGGACTTTATTTAACTCGTGTTTCTGGAACCGATACTCGCCCTGGGAAAAAGTTTGTTGTGCTCTCTTGCATTTCAAACATTCGGTTGGAGCAGGATGAGGCTCCTGACATGATCTTGTTTACAAGTCCTTCCCCCTACAAACCCGGAGGAGGGCGGGGAGACCGGGAGTCCTTTGTTTTCCAGCTCCGGGCTCGACAGCTGCTCTGCCAGAGAACCTTTTAATATTTGCTGCTTGCATGCAGGAGGTCTCGGGGGGCCGTCACACTGCAGCAGCAGGTGCCAGAAGCTCATAAAAAAGTAACACACAAACACACACACACTTTGAACAGAAAACACTCAGAGCAGAGACACGCTCACGCTCCATGATCCCCTCGCTGTTGTTCTGTTCCAGCCGCTTTAATTGGGGATTTGAGCCGTGCGGGTTCTTGTCTTTCTCACTGTGACGGGCTAAAAATAGATCTTTGACAAGTGTCAGAAAAGCAGCCGGGGCACGACTGTGCGGTCTCTGTCAGACGGGCTCCCTGGTGCAGGAGTGCAGATGAACCAAAGTCTGTCACCCTGCTGCTCAGGAGCGGACTCCTGTTTCTGTTTCATTCACTTGTTGCATCAAAAGTTTCTCTGATTAGATGCGGCCTGTCGCTCTGCTCGGTTACAGCAGGTCTCTGAGAAACCAGGCGGCTTTTAAAAACACAGTTTTCTGTCTCCGAGCACAAAGACAGATCCTTTCAAAGTCAATAAAACCACGACCCATTCACGGAGAGAGCCCGAGTCAATTGAGAGTCATTCCCTCTTCTCTCCCTCTGGCCTTGTTACGGCGAGATAATGACATCTGTCACTGCAGCTCTTTGTTGGAGCAGACAGCAGTTTGGTGAACGGCATGAACACTTACAATCCTCCGAGCTGCTGCAGGAGACCGCCAAACGTGAATTTTCCAGTTCGGGATCAATAAAGTATATCTATCTAAACACACACACACACACACACACACACACACACACACACACACACACACACACACACACACGCGCGCACACACACACACACACACACACACACACACACACACACACACACACACACACACAGAGCATGTAGCATTTAGCATGTTCATTGTTCATCCATCATTTCTCTGCAGAGCGGTGCAGGATTTCCAGATCTCACAGTTTAATCGTCTAAATTCTCTTTGCTGGTGTCTGAGCCCATTATTGAGTCTGTGGGTGTTGAGAGTCGACCTATTTATGCTTTGAGAATCTCCTGGAGGTGTTACGCTTGTTAATAAAACACACTAAATAGCCGCGCAGAGCCGCTATTTTATTCAAAGCTTCATCTCGGCTAATGTTGCACGTGTGCTGCAGCTGCTAACGGTGAATTTGTTTCTGATTCTTTTTCCATTGATTAGGATAATTTAGACGAATAAAACTAGACTGTCATATGAATCATTATTGTTGTGTAGAGTTCCACGAAGGTGTCAGCAGATTATAGTCTATGGATTTATGATCTAGAGAGAAAAATGAGTTATTTTGTGTTCATTTTCATGCAGATATTTGTGGTTCAATTTGAGTTCATGTATGCAGTTTAAATGCAGCTTCAGTATTTCAAACCAAAATGAAATCCTGAACACCACCCATTCCAGATATGTTCGGACATTGTGCAAAAATATAATTTAAAGACAGATTTCACCTTAACTTTTAATTTAGCTGAAAACGGTGCAAAGAAAACAATTTGCATTCAATTTGCACCATAACTCTGATAACAGAGGGCAGCACCAGTCTACCAGAGTAAAGAGAAGAGCTCATCTGTGATTGAGCAGACTGAGGATTTTATCAAGTACAGGACAAAATATCCAGAAGAAGATACAGAGAATGTGGAGAAATCTCCGTGTCTTTAAAGGAGAGGGCTGAAAACCAGAACCAGACCTTGTGGTCTTCAGGCTCTCAGGTGGAACTGCATTAAAAAGAGACATGACTCTGCAGTCGAAGTCAACGCTTGGGCTCAAAATCACGAATGGAAACCATCGTTTCTAAACGCAGTTTGTTGCTACTTATGCAAATGTAAGTTAGGACTGTACCATGCAGAGGAAACCAAACCTAAACATGGTCCAGAAACACCAGAAACTTCTCCTCAGAGTCCATTTGAGATGGACTCAGACGGAGGAGGATGGAGGAGGATGGAGGAGGATTGACAAATCTGTATCCTTCAGGTCAATACACAACATCTGTGATGATACGGGGATCCCCTGTGTGTATTTCAGCAAGAATGACAAACCAGATTCTGACAACAGGGATCACAACAGCATGGCTCTGTAGTAGAAGAGTCCTTCACCTGTCACTCAAAACATCATATAGTCAAAATAGTCTAGACTGGAACGACATGAGTGACTCCAGAAACTGGTCTCTCTGGTTACCAAGTATTTACACAGTGTTGTTAAATGATTTTAAAGGATCTGATCCCACACTTGTTGGTTTAACATCTTGAGGAGATTGTGAATCTTGAAGACTGAAGATTGAAGATGATCGCAGTAATCCTGCTGTTATCTTAGCCTTTAGGGAGACATAAAGCAACAGTGGAGCGCTAAGTAATGACTAAGTCTGCAGCTGTGAAGAAGGTCCTAATTTTAACAGGCGGGCTGACAACTGTCCACACACTGATGTAAGGCGATAAGGGCCAGAGCCCCGAGCTTTGATGAGTTTCATCTGATGACGGAGGAGAGAGAGCAAACGGAGCGCCGCGGCGGAGCTGATTTATTTCAAAGAATAAAACAAGTTCACCCAAAGGACGGCCGGACTCTGCCAAAGCATTGTCTGCAGAGAGGTCACATCCGGTTAGGCTTGGCTCTGTCAGAGGGGGTTGTTAGGTAAGAGTCTGCTCCTGCTGGCTTTAGAGGAGTGGATAAGTTTAGACGGAGACTCCAATTGGCTGCTTCATGTCAGTCAATCAAACTCTACCTGCCCTGACCGTGTAAGTCGATCCACCAAACAATCAGACAAACACTGTTACTCAACTGCATTAAAAAGGTTGAATAATAGGGAGGACTATTACTGCAAGATTCGTGCACAGAGATTTAGTCAGAAGATGTCAGAGAGTCCGATAACAAACAGTACTCAACGTGAATTTTCAAACATGACTGCAAAAGTAAAAAGGATGCAGGGAAACATAATATCATGATATATTTCTGATGTATTTCCTACTTTTGCACAAATTTACATCCATTTATCTACATAAAACAATAACAAACCATTCAAACAATCTCTTGAGATCTGATTTTCAGGGATTCAGTGTCAGGAGTATGATCAAAATCAATTATAAACTACTTTTGTGACACATTTTTTGACAAATGGCCTCCTGATTCTTGAAAACTGTGACAATTAGCGTTCAGTAAGAATGTTAAGAATCACGAATCCCTGATCAGCTGCACTCTGATTGGTTTAAATGTCTTACAAACGGGTCAAATACCTGATTTCAAACCCGTATTGCTCAGTGATTGTGTGGTAAACTGTTGGGGAAACCATAGCAACCGTGGAGACCAAAGGATCTCTTACTGTCCTGCTTGTTTTCTATATAAAAATACATAAATAAGACCAGTTATTTGTGCCTACACAAAAGAACAAAAGTCCACTTGGTCCCGCAGATGCAAACATTAAACTCTGTTGCACAAGTTACATTTTCACCGTCAGTCAACTGAGCTCTAAAGAAGCGACATATGAAGGTGTTGCTTTTATGTAAAACTGGATTTAATTGGATTTATTTATTCATTTATCTTACTATACTGTGAAACATCTAAAATCATCCCACTTTCTCACTGACACACTTTGGTTTGCACGCAGCAGACTTCCTAGATGTCTCTCAGGTTTGCAGTGTCTGCTGCGTCTAATTTAAAAGCGCATCATTAATAGAAACACCAGTTGTGTGCGTAATAGAAAATAGTGACACTGAAACTCGACACTCATGTGACTACGCTCCACGCAGGGTGAGAAATACATGTGGAAATTACAAATGCATTTACGCCTCCACTTTCTAATTTGACTGACGGGGTCGGTCCTGGGTGTGACCCCGGGGTCGGGACCTTTGGCTGGACTTCAGCTTTATGATGTTCAGAGGCTCTAAGTGGAGCAGTCCTGATCTGTGATTGGCTGAGAGGCCCAGCAACGGACAGACCACACCCCTGAGATATCAGACACACCTGCTGGGCTATGTCAGGAGATAAACACATTTATACAGCGGGCCCCTCCCATCTGTTATACACCAGGCATGTAAAGATACAGTAAAGGACACAAGCTTTAAATGAGCAAAAGCTGCATCATCTGAAAGTTTAAAGGCAAAATTTGCTGCAAACACTGAGTTTCTTTGTATTTTTGGTTTACAACCAAGAAAGTTTTGCATGAAAACAATCCTAAAGAAAAACCTAAGAGCTCTGTTTGCATTAAAGTCCCAGGTAATACTCTCTGAGACATAATCGTGCCAAGTTTTAGACATCATGGATAATATGCAAAAAGTAAGATTGCTCTTTTTAAAACATTAAGAGCAGAAAAGCATGAAAATCTATGAAAACACACAGTTAAAATGCATTTATTTAACCTCACTTAGCATAAAATTTCACAGAATTAACAAGTTTTAGGTTCAATGTTGATTTTTTCGATAGTTCTCTGGTTGTTTTAGGCTCTTCTTTTAAATTACATCAGATAAACTTAATGTTTAAAGAATCCTCCTTTTAAAAAGTCAGCTCATCTTTAAGTATTTCAGGTTTTTTACTCCACTTGTGGTCAGAAAACTTCCCCTAATGAATTGTTATTGGCTGAAGTCTGACATGTAATAAAAGCGAGGATGGGTTTCTGGTGTATCAGTGTCTGGTGTGTCGGCGCTGTGATGAATGGGTCTAACAGGAATCCTGGGAGTCCAGGAGCACAAGTGTTGGCTGGGACTCAGCGCTCCCAGCCAGCCAGTATAAGAGCTGTTTGCATAAAGAGCAGGGATGAGACAGAGGCGCTGCAGCTCTGGGACTGTCGACAAGTCTGCCACTCTGCAGCCGGGGCGAGTCCACTATCTGGGAGAGGAAATCTACTCCTGCAGGTCAGACTCAGACTGTGGTCTTTGATTTGAAGCCGTGAGGGTCATCTTTGAGGCGTTTTTTAAGATTGAACATGTAAAATCTGTACTTGTTGTGATGTAACTTGGCTCTCTGTGTGGGTGCAGGTTCAGTTTAGGTCCTCTCTGTGCAGCTGCGGTCTTCACCAGTCGTTGTCTTTGAGTTTGGTCGTATTAATTAGATGCACAGTCACCAGTTTGAGCGAATAATACTCGCATATGTTCGGAGAAACGGATTTATGTGATATTTTGTGTGAAGGTTGTTTTTATATTTTCTTAAATACTGAAGGTCGGCGTTGTCTCTTATTGTTTGGGATTTTAGTAGGTTTAGAGCACATTTGAAAACAGGTTTAACTCAGTTTCAGTCAAAACCCTGAACGTGGCTCCTCCTAATGAATCATATATAAGAGTGAATCTCATTAAAGCTGGTTGGTTATGAATCAGGTCTGCATTAGAAGCCGATTTTTCATGCAAATTACCAAATGAGATCAGGTGAGCACCTTTGCATCAGTCAAAATGAAAGTCGCATGTTTCATCACATGTCAAATTCTGCATGTTTCTGACGAGAAAACAAAACCACAGAAATAGTAAAGGATTTAATATCAATGCTTGTTAATCAGTGAATGTTTTGGGGACTTTAGAGTTAAACTGTGAGCATGTTCATGAAAATTAGACATTTAGTAGGACGCCAGAGCTCACCGCGCTGTAACGGTAATATTAAGTCACCTTATGTAAGCAAACCAGCTGTGTTATATCAGAGTTTATGAGGTTTAGTTGTTGCGTTACAGTTAGAAAATCAAAATATGAGCTTATCACTTGAAGAAAGAGGAGCGGCACTAACGGAGGATGTGTGTTTGATTCATTTGCATGCTTTGGAAAGAGCTACATCTTACAGACAGTGGGTACAGACTTAATCTGAGAGAAACTTCAGATTTTGTCGCCGGTCTCACTTTATGGAAACTCTTCTAGGTGTTTTTAATATGCAAGTAAAGTTCAGCTTCACTCTGTATCTGTATTTGGCTCCAGCCTAAATCCACATGACTGGCCAAGAGGACAAAGATTTCTTCCCACTGAGCTCTCATCTGGCCTTTCTGAGATGTCGCCCACCAGGCTGGATGCACTAATACTCTTTTTTGACTCCTCTGTGGGTGTTAAGCGCTGTTAATGGAGCTTTTCCAGCCTTAAAGAGAATAAAATGTCCTGGGTGAAAAGTAAGACTCTGGGGTTTGCTGTGCAGAGCTGTCGGCTGGTCTTATAAGCTGCGACATCTGCTCCACACTGAGCGTGCTCTGCTGCCCAAAAATGTGTATTTGTGTTGCGCTGCCTTCATTTCGAGTGACAAATACAAAAACATGTACCGAGGGAACAGCAGGAGCTGGTTACGCAACGATGCCAGCGGTCGGAGAAGTGTGAGCGTGTTGTTGTTGAGGACTTTTTGAGTTTGAATCGGCATCTTTAAAGCCGTCAATCCAAGACACTTGAACAATTACAGACCGTCTTCTCTTTATTCGAGGTCCGCTTTAGTTCCCAAATCTGCTCTCCAGCTGCTACGACATGAATCATTCAAATCCAGGAAGAGCCGCTCGCTCAGAAAGTTTCGTTTTTAATTCATTGGGTTTTTCTTGGCCTTCCATTAGGGGGACACATTCAAATTTTAACACTGAGCTGAGAATAGAGTTTTTCTTATTTCTGTTTTGGAAGTGTCTTTTCTCTGTTTTACTAAAAGTATAACTCAGCTACACAAAAACACCGGTGGCATATGTCTTTGCTCAGTGCGGAGGGGGACAGGTGACTTTAGGACACTGGTCAGAATCCTAACGACTTGATTCCTGGACTTATTAGCGGTGAAAATATAAAATCTAACTGCTTTAATTTTACAGGAAATTACCGTATTTCTCATTAATGCACCTGCAGTTTTTTCTGTTTTGATTAAGACTTGTGTGTTTCTGTCCCCTGTCTTTCCAGGACTCTCCAAAGGGCATGTTATTGACTGACATACATCTCTGCAAAGGACTTAACCTAAGTCTGACTCCAACCTGACGGCCTCTGGTTATGAAAATCTGCACTCCCAGACTGAAACGGTACTTCTTCACTTAGTTTTCATCAGATCTGATACCGTATTTACTTTAAAACAGCTTCAGGGAATTAACATCTTTTTCTTTGTGTCTCCTCACAGGCCGGGGGTAAGATGTTTGTGGAGTCAGTGGTCCGATGGGGGGCGTGGAGCGTCCTGCTCCAGTTTGGACTGGGTGTATATGCAGGGAGCTGTCCTCCACGTTGTATGTGCCGACCTGAGTCTAAAGACGTGATCTGCTCTGGCAAACACTTGAACTCGGTCCCGGAGGGCTTTCCCAGTGATGCCAGGCGTTTGGATTTATCCCACAATAAGATTAAGACTGTTGGGCGCCGGCAGTTCTCTGGACTTCAGCAGCTTCAGGAGCTGGATCTCAGTGATAATCTGATCTCCATGATTGAGGTGGAGGCTTTCCAAGGCCTGCAGAATCTCAGGACACTTCGGATTAAGAATAACCGACTCAAGATCATCCCAGTTGGGGTGTTTTCTGGCTTGTCCGGTCTGCGCTTCCTGGATTTGAGCCAGAATGAGATTCTGGTCTTTCTGGACTACACCTTCAAAGAAATGGGGAACCTGCAGACGCTGGAAGCGGAGGAGAATGACTTGGTGTTCATCTCCCAGCGGGCTTTCTTTGGTCTGCAGAACCTGCAGGAGCTCAACATTGACCGCAGTAACCTCACCTCGGTTCCCTCTGAGGCGCTGTCCCAGCTTCAGAATCTCATTCGTCTCCGTATGCTCCGCCTGACCATTGCAACACTGCCCAACAACGCTTTCAGGCGACTCCACAGACTACGCAGCCTTGTGATCGCAAACTGGCCGGCGTTGGACACCATAGCCAGCAACAGTCTGATTGGTCTGAATCTGACCACCCTTGTTATCAGCAGCTGCAATCTAAGCACTGTTCCGTACTCAGCACTGCGTCACCTTGTGTACCTGCGCTTCCTGGACTTATCCTACAACCCCATCACTGTCATCCAAGGGAATCTGCTCGGAGACCTCCTGAGACTCCAGGAGTTACACCTTGCAGGTGGGAGCCTGCTGCGAATCGAGCCAGGGGCCTTTAGGGGACTAGCTTACTTCCGTATGCTGAATGTGACATCCAATCAGCTCACTACTTTGGAGGAGAGCGCCTTCCACTCGGTTGGGAACCTTCAGGTGTTGCGGTTAGATGGGAATCCCCTCGCATGTGACTGCCGCCTCCTTTGGGTTGTCCGCCGCAGACTGCGTTTGAACTTTGACGGACACCAGCCCACGTGTTCATCACCTGACACAGTGAGGCAGCGTGAGTTCAGAGACTTCTCCGAGAAGGAGCTCCCGAGGTTGTTCACCTGCCGTCCTGCTCGTATCATGGACCGCAGGCCTCAGGAGGCGAGAGTAGAGGAGGGCACCACAGTTCTCTTTTCCTGTAAGGCTGAGGGGGATCCAGCTCCAGACATCACCTGGATTTCATCCCACAGAAACGTGGTTACTCCAACGGGACGGATCAGAGTTTTACAAAATGGCACGCTAGAGGTGCGTTTTGCTCAGGTCCAGGACAGCGGCACGTATCAGTGTCTGGCGGGGAATGCAGCAGGCAATGACAGCCTGAGTGCAGGTCTATATGTGAAGGGGCTCCCTCGTAACAGAACCGCGTCTTTCCTCGCCGAAGAGGCCTGGGCCGAGCCTTCAAATCCCCAAGCGGCTAACTCTTCAGCTCAAATGGCCAAGCCGTACCCCTTTGACGCAAAGACCCTGATTATTGCCACCACCATGGGCTTCCTGTCGTTCCTCAGCTCTGTGGCCATATGTTTCGTCTTCATGTTCTTCTGGAGTCAGAGCAAAGGACAGATTAAACATACCGCAACTATTGACTTTGTTCCTCGCTCCTCCATGGGTGGAGGAGGGGATGGAGGTGATGGTGGCCGGTTCACCATGAAGCTTATTTAAAGCCAATTAGGAGAGGAATGGAGTTTTCTTAATGACTGTGACTCCTTCAGCTCTATGGACCCCTTTAGGGACTCTCAAGGACAGAGACCTCTATTCAGAGGCCCCTTTGGAAGGAAAATCAGAGCTGGTTTGTTCTCTTCTAAATTTAGAGTGGAAAGTTTCATCTCAGCACTCACTTTGCCGTGTTATCTAACTAATGAATATGTCATGATCCTGGAATAGAAAGATGTACAAAGATTGTAGGCAGGGCTGTCTCATGGTAGTAGCTGTGAATTTGTTTTCAACAACTTTCAGACTGAGAAAACAGATGACAGCTTCACTGGCACAGGCTGGTTTTTCTATGTAGCATGTACTTACATAAAAAGAAACTCTTAATTTTCACGTATTTTGGGTTTACACATGAAGGCAGTCTGAGTTTGACACTTTTATTGAAGGTTTCTTCATTGCTGAAACACAACAGGTGCTTGTTTTACCCATTACTGAACAAGTGTGCTCAGCTGGATGGCTTCAATTGCCAATACAAGGCTAAAAACAATTGCCCTTTGACCCCTCACTTGCTATTTCTGCTTACCCACAGGGGATCATGTCAAAGACTGCTAATTCAGTGTTGGCTTTAAGACTTTAACTCGAGACCTTGACCACAGAGCTTCTGGTACATGAAATTAAACGGACTAGCCAAATAAATCCTGTCCCGATCAATTTGTTTGACAGTTTGAAGCTGTGTCTGAAACTTGTTATGGGTATAAATGGATTGATAGTATTGCGTATTGTATATAGGAATGTATCTGTTCCCATTCATGCTCAAAACCAGTGCTTTAAGTGGGTCGGTACGCTCAGGTGCACGGTATGACCACTCCTGATTTTAACCCTCTGGACTTTTCTAGCATACTGGCGTACATGCAGTTCCACTAGAGTGCACCATAACGGATCTTTTACTCAACATGAGAAACTGTTTGAGTAATCTGGCTTCTCACTTGATTGAACAAATTTACAATCACATCCTCACAAACTTCACCCATCAGACTCAGTGAGAAGGTTTCTAGGAAATGAACAGTAAAGGTAGCAAAGCATCCTTCGATAGTATGCATCGTTTTTACTGCAGTCTCGTCCTCCTCCGGTCTGATGCCTCCAGGCATGACCTGCTATTCGTGATCTTAATGGGCAGTGCTGGCCTCTCTGTGAGTCCGCTGTGTGCCTTTGTGTATCCAGCTTTCCTCTCTCCTTATAGATTCTATGTGCGTTCCCTGGGTGAACGCTCGGTGATGTCCTCAGGCTCGTATACTGAACATAGTGCAAACAAGAATAATCCATGTGCATGCACCCCATTGGCTTCCGACTGAAGCGTTTTGCTAGGTGCGCCCTCACAGTTTATAACTTCATGTTCAGTCACGATGAGAGGCTCAACATGACTTTAGCTTTGGTTATGTGTTATTCAGTCGACTTACACAGAGCAAACGTGTGTTAAAGGGATATTTCAGCATTTTTAAGTGGGGCTGTCTGAGTTACATCCCACAAGTAAGTGTATTTGCCACAGTGGATGCTCCTTTAATGAGAAACTGCCTGAAGGAGCTTCAGGCTAGTTAGGCTGACAGTTCGCTGCAGATGGGGTCAACTCTACGATGTAAATTAGCCGATTTTGAGAGTTCCGACCAGGGGGCTAATCTCCGTTTAACCACACACTCCTCGGGGAATATTTCCACTGGTTTTTGTACTATTTGCAGACACAACACACAGATATTAATCTTCCACTTAGCCGAGCTATAACCTGCTGCTTCTCCGTGCAGCTTTTTATAAAAGGGGCAAAGCTGACCAGGATCCATTACTGCAAAAACACTTGTAAATGTAAACCTGCACACTTAGGGGTGCTGCACCACTGCATACCAGGACTTCTTACCTGAGTGCCAGGACCCTTTCCTTGCTCAGGTGAAGTCAAATTAGTTTGAGTTTTGGATAAATGAGGGAAATCAGAGTAAAAGGAAGACAACCAAGTTATGTTAGCCTGACTCTAAACATGCACAAAGAGGACATGAACCACAAACTTCGGAAATTAAAACATATTTTTAACACTTTGCATATAAAACACATGCCATCAAATGGAAAAATGCTGAACTTATTCCCACTCAAAGCACTGGTTACAGCAAGTTGGGTCCAAATTGGATCACTGTTTCCCTTGTAAGATAATATCATTTCATCAGATCATGCTGTGATTTCCTTTTTTTATATTTAAGAAACCACTTTTGTACATTTCCACCCTCACACACACTGAAAACATGTGCCTCAGTATCATTCTCACCGCTGACAGAGAGAATGCTCACCTGATCATTGTTATCTTGTAAATATTTAGGTCAAGGGCGTCAGTGTGCGCTGGCTTTATTTCCATCGTTTTATCCAGTTCTGGATTAGTGTCACTCAAACACGCCACTCGTGATGTGTAGAAAGGTAACTGTGCAGATGCGCCGCGCACCGAGCAACGCTTTAATTTCGCAGAGATGAAAATGATGCAGACAGGAAGCACTGTTGGCTTTGATTCTTTACTCTCATGTTAATATATGACTTCTTTTTTTTTTCATTTCAACTTTATTAAACGCCTAAATTTAAGCTTGGACTGTGTCTGTGTCTTTGAATCGTAGTATATCTGTAAAAGTGATCAAACAGGAGCAGACTCTGGAACTCTGCTGGATTATCTTGCATAACTTAAAAACCAAAATCTCTGAGCTGTGAGTTTATTATGAGGACTGGACAGAAACTGGCCTCTGTGCTCTTCAGTACGACAACAAAACCACAGCTGCCAGTTGGCCGCACACGTCTACGATGGAGGATTATGTACGCAGAGGAAAACCGCTGTGACTGTGTCTGCTTTCTCTCATGTTTACCTACGCTGAAATATGAATGAATCTCTCTAGACTTTTACTCACATGCCTACTCTCCATGCTGATTTGCAGTCGAAAACAGAAAAATGCACTTAAAGAGAGATAAATCAAGCAGCCGGTGAGGTTTGCTCGTGGAGCTCAGAGTGGATTCACTCATTTTTCTGTCTAATGCAGTTGCCTGGACTAACCCAAAGAGAAAAAAGGGAAAAAAAAACTGATAATCACGTGTACGAGCAGAGATTTAAACCCTTTTGGATTACCTCTGCATGTCTCAATCTGTTATATAGGTCTGTCTGGCGGGTGCTATCCCCCCGACCCAGCTTGGCCCGTCACATTATCTATTTTAATACAACTATTTGCTCCCAGTGGACAGAAAGCCAAAGGGGTAGATTAAAGTGGTGTTTATAAGCCACTCCCTTTCATGACTGACATGCACACACCACCCAGAACATTATGGTCTCCTCACATCTGCTGGTGGATTACCCTCAGTCCCCTCTTCAGGTTTGATGGTATGAAGATGGAGGAGGTTTCTTTACAACAGGCGATATATTTTCAATCTACGGTTTAGACGTTTGCCTGACACTGTTATCCAGAGCGGCCCGGGAATAGGCTTAAATGATTAAGTCGAATAAATAACAGCAGCAGCGGTGGCACAGCTTGGCTGTGGTTACCGTCACTGTTGGTTACAGTTCAGAGAAAAAGGCTGGGGAAAGAGAGGTAAGAGTCGCAGACGCTGGTGTCGATGAAAACAATAGAGAGCTCAAACTAGATTCAGATTCAGAAAACTGGAGGACAGTTAAAAGGGTGTGAAGCTTTGGAACAAAAAGAGAACAGAAACAGGTTTCTTTATAGAAACGACTGCAGTGGACTGAGCAACTTTCACCGATATTAGAGAAACTTTGGACCAGGAATACTGACGCTAACACAAACTGTAAAATTGAGAGTATAAGTAGGGCTGGACGATATGGGAAAAAGTTTATCATGACATATTTTTTTATATCAGTCAACATTCATATATAACATGATATAAAAAAATTACTTGTCAATCTTAAACGTTCCTGTTACTCTTAAATGAAATTTAACAGTGCTCATCGGTGGCATGTCTTTTGCGATACAATAATCTGCTGCATCGGTGAGGTCTTTGTGACGTTTTGTCGTAAGGTGTTGCGCTAGACAAAGCAGACTGAATGGTCAGTTCAGCATGGTGCGAGCACGAAGCAAGCACCCTTTTCATTGGCTATCTAGTCTACCAAAACATGGAATGGGCTATCAAAAAGCATATTAACCATGTTTCATATGGATATAGAGGAATATTAATTTCTGATAAACATTATTGTCATTTTATCCCAATGTATAAGACACACTTTTAAGACCTTCTTTCATCTTAAAGTGAAAAGATTTATAATATTTTACCCTGAAGATGGTGCTGTAGAGTCGAGTCTCCTCCAGGACGTCCAAAAGCCTCACACCAGTCTGGCTTATATTACAGATTTCAGGCTATGCTAATTAGCTGTAGCTTTTCCTAACTACCTTTGACCCGTTAAGCCAATCAGTTTATAGTGTATCACGTTCACGTCACTTCCCAGGTCTGTAAAGATTTTCAGACTTGACTCAAGCAGACGGTATCCTCCGGAAAAATGATGCAAAGGCAAGAAACTGCAGTTCCCTGAGTGTCCACTAGAGGCTGACTGTTAAAATGCGTTTTTCACAGCAGAATTCACTTCTTTCTTGCAAACAAATGAGTGAGTTTATTTTATAACTCGTCTGTTTGGATCATATTGATGTTTGTACTTTTGCATATTGGCCATAACTGGCTGATTGGTACGTCCAAACATGAATACAAACTGAACCTCAATGAAATATAATCACAATCATTTCTTTGATGCTATGGAAATAATTGAGTTCCCTGAATTGAATCAAGGTTTCTCATTATCATTTCTGTCATTCGAAGTGAAGGTCTTCTCTATTTCAACTTCAGCATGTCTCAATTAACTCTGAAACAGCTGTCTGGCTGTCTCCACCATTTCCCTGGCTGTGACTCATCTGAAACCGACCCGTATGGATGGAGGTGATCTCTGCAGCCGTCAGTGAGGAGACGAAGCGTGAAGAGAGGTCTTCACACGAGACGATGAAAGAGAAGAGGGGGAAAAAAAAAACCTTTCAAGCTGAATTACCCTCATGAATCTATATCTTAACTCCTGTTCTGAGAGCCTGTAAGAGCTGTCAGAGGCTTTTCTTTTCCAGTGTGATCACGAGACCGGCACTACGACTGCTGCCGAGTTCAAGAGTGAGCTGGATGATCAGTCACTTTACTTTGATTCAAACCTCTTAGAAAATAGAAAAGGTATACTATCAAATTTCGGTTTCAGCCTGGTGCCGGAGGATCAGCGTAAACCTGGTTCACTTCAATCAAAGTCGGACTAGATCGAGAACGGCGGTAGAGGCTTGATTTTAAACCTGTCTGAGGTTAAGTGGATGAAATAGTTGTCTGCACAAGAATCTGGAGCCAAAGGACCCAATTTCTGGTGCCAGAGGTGTTCTGGCTCGCAGCTCGTGTTTTAAACTGATTCATCACGTCTACACAGACTTTGGCTCCGTGCAGGAAAACAGTCGGAGCGAGGAGCCAACAGAGGCTCACCTCATCAGATGGAATAAAACCCACAGCCTCCAAAACTCCTCTCTGATGAAGCTGTTCCAGGGTTTTAGTTCAGGTAACTACTGCTGTAAACTCTTCAGGGTTTTTACATAACAGAGAGGACCTGAAGGGACACAATGATCCAAGATCTCAATGTCAAACAAAAGGTTCAATTTAAAGTCCAACTGAACAGGGAGGGGCCGGAGGTTTGGCAAACAGACTGATATAGAAGCAAAGGACACCAGAGACTGAACACACACTCCGTAATCTGAGAAAGGTTCAAAGAGGACAACAACAGAGGAAAACACACAAACCACCTGTCCGTCAAATCAGCCACGCCCCCTTATTATGTAACAACAAAACGAGCTGCAGGGTCCAAACAGGTTCAATTCTTGTCTCTTAGAGTCCTGGTTGATGATCTGAGAAGTAGTTGAAAAAAACTGAGTTGTTGAGGCAGATTCTCTTCACTTTGTGGAGATCGCACTATAGGACCATGATCGCCATAGAAACGAGGTTCATAATAATTCCCAACCTCTAAAATCGTCACCTATGACTTTAAAACGGCCCCTATTGGGTCCCCAGGCTTCTGGATCCAGCCTCAGGTGGATGTCCAAGGAACTGTAACTCTTAGGGCTGCATCACCAGCATCCTTAGACTTCTGTTGTTTGCACCAGCACCACTTTGTGTACCATCCAGAACCCGAACTGTGAGTGTCACAACAACACGAGGGTCCTGGAGATGCAGGATGGAGCAGAGCTGATGCAGTCCAACCTTCATCTGCTGTCACGTCTCATCTTCACAGAGATAAAATACACAAATGTTGTTAAAATATCGCAGCTACAGGAAAACAGAAAACCTGTTTGATGTTTTATTCATCTCATCGGGCTCATCTGGTTCAACTGGACCCCGTGATTGTGCCAAAAACCAAAAGCTGGATCAGTCTCTGTTATGAAATCCTTCAAAGGTTAATAAAAAATGACTCCTGTTTGTTTCTCCTTCTCTGGAATCGGTGAATGTTTACATGAAATCTCCACAAAACAATTTGGTTTAATCCTCTTCGGAGTGTCAAGGTCAGAACCAAATTTCCTGTCCGTCACATTTTCACCCCATCCACCGGGTTTAAAGATATTACTGTTTGTACCACAGAGTCAGGCTGACTGGCACGCCCATATACAGTCATACTGCAATATGCTGCTGGAATAATCTTTGACTCTCTGTGTGCATGTTGGCGAGTTTTGTTCACATCTCTGCAGAACGGAGGTCACATGTGAACAAAACAGTCACTGCACCTCTACAGTCCTCTGATTTCTGATTTCTATTAAATTTAACTGATTAATAACAGGATTCATTACATGTAACAAGAAAACTAATTTGCATCAAACATTTCTAAGTGATTTAGATCATTTCAGGATAATTAACCTGATTGAATTTGGAATAATAAAGCTGAAAATAAAAGACGAGGTTTTCTGCTGCCTGAGAGTGCACACAGAAGAAAAAACACAGTCTGAGCAGGTGTGTGAGTGTCTAATACCTAAAGAAAACACTGAATTATGCTGAAGAGTGTGGTGGCGTTATTATGCCTCCATTCAATCAATCTAATAGACTTTATTTGTCTGGGACTTTAATGCAACTAGAGGTAATCAAACCCGGGTTTATTTACAAGGTTTCAAAAAAAAATCAATGAATAAATACAAAAAAGAGGAATAAAGGAAACAGATCGAGGAAACGTTAGAATTAGTTTATAAAAAGGAAAAACTGCAGGTGAGTGTTATCAAAGAAGTCCAGGTATCACAGTTTCACGGTGTTTCAAGTCTCAGATTCCAAGTTTAGGAGGAAAAAGGATGAGTATGACAAAAAAAGACAAAAATAAAATCTTATTTTCAGAAATACGTTTTTTACTTGTTGTACTTGAGCTGGGACATAAATGCAAGGACCAACGCTGGCCCAAAGGGTGTCACAAATTCAACATTTTCCGACTTTGTTTACGTCACTAAAGATTAAAAAATGATGATTCCTGGACGACAAAAGCTCTCCCTGCAGCTGAAGCAGACAGCACACACACACCTCCCTGTCTTCATCATCATCATAAAAACACAACAGGAGGGGAAATCAGGAGCTCAGAGGGATCAGGCACTGATTGAAAATCTCGCTTCTGCTGCCATCTAGTGGCGGACGTTTCCTCCTGCCGGTTTTTGCACAGACTGCATAATGGCGAATGACATCACCGTGGAGTGAGGTCATCTGAGCAGCAGCAGCAGACTGGAAACTTCGAACACGCGGAGGTTTCATCAGCATGAAGGGGAGCTGATGAGAAGAGAGGAAATGCAGTGAGTCCAAACGCAGAGCAGATGAACACCAGCTGACCTCAAACTGAACCTCAGAAACAAGATTCAGGTCCACTTAACTGGACCAGGAGTCCTCTGAAAAAAGGGGACAGGGATGATCTGTCCTCACTCAGACTGAGGACCTAACCTCCATCATCAGTGTCCAGCTCCAGCTCCTCACCACATAATGTCTGTTATTCCACTCGCTCAAGTGTGAGATGTATGTCTTCAGATGTATTTATGGCTCTATTGCACCTCCTCTCAGCTGTGCAGATACAGAAGGAGAGAAACAGCGGCACAGAAACAAACCAGATCACGATGTCAGCTGACCTGGAGGACTCAGAGAGGAGGACTCAGTCCAGGGTGAGTCTCAGAGGACAAACAGAAGCGCCTCTAATGACGACAAAAACCTCCAGACTCTGACGCAGAGATGAGCTGAAGGTCCAAAGCGGTGGATTTAACCACCTTTCCCTCCAGGATCCTCGTCCTTCCTCTCAAGTTCACAGTTTTAACTCAGCAGCCTTTCACTCTGACGCTTTAACAAACTCGACATATAATTATAATAATTTCATAAAGTGCTTATTCAGAGACCCTCAAAGAGCTTTACACTGGATGCATGATTCATTCGCTCACACAGTCACACCTTGGTGGTGGTAAACTACCTTTGTGGTCACAGCTGCCAGTTTGTGCCTACGGCCTCTCCGACCACAACACAACACAACCCTCACAATCACACACCAGCGGAGGACACACACTGTTACCAAGGTGGGTTAAGTGTCTTAAGGACACAATGAACAGACTCTGGATAAGAGGGAATCGAACCACCAATGTTTCGGTTATTGGGCGACCGCTCTACCTCCTGAGCTCCTGCCACTCCATATAAACGCGACCACTTCTGTCTGAAAGTTTCCACCGTCTAGTTCGAGTTTTTTCCACAATGATGACATTTTAGCCACAGGGCTGCTGATGCTAACGCTGCTGCAGACTGTCCGCTGTTTGTGCTTTTTGCCTCGGAGCGATCTGTCTCTGGAGATTCACTGCAGGACGCTCGGTCACACCGACTCATTGACATGCTTTTTTCTTTTTGTGCAAATTGTTCCTGCTGACGGCTGACAGGAATGATCGGGTGAGATGATGATCGTTGATCAATAAAGATGGACCAAGATCAGCTCAGATCTGACTGTTGAGGTCAGGATCGTGACTTCCTTAAGAAAAAAAAACATCTGTACTCAAATGTGACGCACTGTTAGTCATGTGACTGATGAAGTTATCGAACCTTTATTAGTCGCCACAAGAAGCCAACTGTACGACGAGATCAGAGACCGCGAACACGCCGACAAGCCTCCTGCTCATCCTCCTCCTCACAGCCCAGAGATGAGAGGTTTGCTGAAGCAGCCAGGTGCAGCGAGGTGCAACTGAGCGAGGGTGAACCCGCATCTGACCTACACTAGACTCCATCGGAGGGGAGGAGGAGGTATCTGATCCTGATCTCAGCTTTTGTGAAGACGACAGGATAGTCGCCAAAGCACTGCAGACTCAGTCACATGTGATATTTTGACTCTTAAAGGAGTCTCTCCTGATTGGACTGATGTTGAATGTTTCTGCAGCTTTTACCGTTTTCTAAGTTCAGAGTCAGAACCTTGGTGTACGAGTTTGGAGATCACATTTAATAAAACGTTTAACTCTAAATCAACTGGGCAAACGACCCGGTCAAGGTAACAGAAACAAAGTGAGTCTGGGAAAAAACCACTAAACTCATTTCAACTCCGATTAAACCAATAAGACAAAACTCAAACCAACAACAAATCCCAGTCGAAAGACCACAATCCCAACCCCCAAAGTCTACCTCTGAGGACAGCAGGTGGGCTTTTGGATGCCCAAAGCCAGGTGGGCTTCAGGTTCCTCACCTGGACATGAGAAGGGGGAGGAGCCAACAAAACAGGGAAACCATACAGCTGTACCACGGAAAGTTTTTTTGGGGGGAAAGTCTAAAGTAAAATATCCAAGAACCCAGATGTTACACAAGTTAAAGAACGACCTGTTGCAGGATTAAAGCTGCGGCCCAATCCCCAACCGCCCCCTAAACACTCGCCCTCTGTTTGCGTGTCCCTGCGGAGGCTCCGCCATATTGAAGGCCGTTCCAAACCACAGAGTGCGGAGAGCGAGTGGACCGTTCAGCCTTTCAATAGCAAGTCTGCACCGATGCACACTTACAGCAGGACCTGCAGGTAGTGCACCGGAAAAATGGAGCAGGAGGAAACAACAGACAAACATGTGTCCACTTTTGTCTCACTGATAAAAAAATCACAAAAGACGTGGTTTGGAAAGATCAAACGGAAGTCAGAAATCTTCCTCTGTGCTGAGGTTTGATTTGATTGGTCAGGCACATGTCCAATAGTAAAGAGGTTTAAAGACGTGTGAAATCACTGACCATCTGAAGTTTAATTTATCTCCTGTCACTCTGATGGTTCCTGGGTTTATGATTTTACTGGGAGGATGAAGAAACGAGGCAGACGGAGCGGCTCAGAGCTGAACATGATGTCCGTTTACTTAAAAATAAACGCTGCCATGCACAGGACGCGTCTTTGTGTTGCTATGGCGATGAATCTTTCCGTTTTCCGGTGGAGTGAGGAGGGCGTCCCATACCGTCTCGTTTGTACCCTCCCATTTCAATCGAGGCACACTCCACAGCTGCGAGTGTCACTTCTTTAGGAGCGACACTCGGTAGTGAAGCACGAGTGTTTAGGGGTCGGTTTGGGATCGGGCCTTTGACTCAGACCACCTGCTGACACCCATCAGTGGTTTCAAATATCAAGAATAACTCACTCGTCTGCTATTTTAGGCCGTAAAGAAACATCAGAATTAACTGCAGTTTGTTTCCCCACAGGCTAAAAACTCCCTACAGGAGCTTTAAGACTCTGGAAAGATTTCCCCCTCAGCTTTTTTTCCTGCCAAATCTGCACCTACAGAACATCTGCTCCCTGATTGGAAATATCTCTCATACAACCTCACGCTGTTTTTCTTTCTTCCATTTCTGCGAAGGTGCTCGCTGCTTTCCCATAAAACCCATTCAACGCTGAAGATGGTTCCTAATGGAAGCATCTGTTTTTGGTTTCTCCTTCCACTGACAGACAGACGTTCATCCAGAGAGGTTCAATTATCTCAGATTTGACTCAATTAGCTCTGCGAATGCAAGCGCAGCAGAGCCAGACTGCTGATTCATTCCCATACAAGCACTCAAGCACTATTGACACGTATTGATTGGACATTACAGCAGGAGCAGTTGCTGAAGGCAAAGAGTGAGATTGGCTGTTTGGTGTGAGGGCTGGAGTGCAAACATAAAATGGATCAGAGATTAGGTTATATGTTCCCACATCATGTCAGGATTAGGAGAGTTGAGGCTGTTAACCTGCATCCGTGCACAAAGAGTGGGTTTGGATTGTTTTAAATGAGTAAAATTAACAGATTTTTAAAGCTGTAATATATGTGGGACTTATTTTAGTAAGAATGTAAAGTCGAAATAAGAAGAAAAATGAGGTAAAATGGTTTCAAAGCTGCAAAAAATCTGAAAATCATCAGCAACAGGTATGACGTTTGAGCCCAGCAGCCTATAATCCAGGAACAAAAACCCTGATGTGTTTCTGCTTTTATTTCCAATCCCACTTTCACTCCTGCGTCCCGCTCAAAGACTACACTCCCCCCTCGTTTTTCTTTTTTTCCTTTTGTTTCCGAGGTGGAGCCTGACACCCCGACTTCTCCAAACTGAACTAGCGGCGAAGCAGTCGGACAAGACAGGAGGAGGAGGACTGGGACCGAGCACAGATCCGGGACGCAGAAGATCGAAGGAGGGACCTTGGAGACGGCAGCGAGGAAGGAGAGGGATTTTGTGGAGAGCTTTTATCATTTCTACTAAAGCGGTTACACCCGAGAGAGAGAGGAAAAGGAAGATGAAGTCTCTCGTCCTGATGTCGCTTTTGGCCACGGTGATCGTCGGAAAGTCACCGCGGCTCAAATTCGTGGTGCACGGTAGGTCGGCAGAGCTGGATTTTTGTGGATGCTCTTATCATGTCACGTTATTAATTACATGTTTTACTAATCTGAGTTATGGGTAAATGACTGGATGAACGAGTGAATGAATGGAGGGAGAGTTTATGCGCCGTAAGGAGGATGTGGTCAGTGCGTTTTCCCCCCTCATGAGCTGCGTTATCTTGTCCCTTAGAAGAGCTGCACTAACAGTTCCTATGAAGCCATATTGACGGAGCTGCCTCTGGATTCATCTCCTAAAACACCGCCCTCCCCCCCTCAACCGGCTGAGTAGTAAATTACGCGCTCCATCATTCGGGCCCTGCATGGACACATGTTCACAGGGAAACCGATTCTTTGTGGTCTTATCTTCATATTCAGAGAGGGACGGTGCGCAAAAGATGTGCGTTTTTTTTTTTGGTTGAGATGCGTAAAATGTGCGGAGTGCAATCCGTGCACAATCACAACTGAACGGTTTGGATTTGATTTGTGCAACTTGTGGCTTTTCTCTGAGTCATTTCGACAACTTCTGCACTCCGATCTCACACTCCTCTGTCTTTTAACGCGCACAGCCGTTTGTTTCTCATGAACCAGGGGGACCTCAGCTCTGAACTGTCCGTCTCTGAACCACAGGCGCTCCAAAAGCAAACCTCTCTCTCCTCTCTTTTCGGATGAACATGGCGCCAGTTCACGAGCCTGTGCCCTTTAAACACCCGCCATCCTTCCTTCCTTCCTTCCTTCCCTCCTTCCTACGCCGAAAAGCATCGTTACAGTGAAATATGACTCTTAGGAGGTTGACACCGGCACTGGAGCTCTCGCGTCCTTGCGGAGCTGCAATGCGGGACACGGCAGCTGCTTCACACTGCAGCAGAAGACCCCGGATCCGGGAGAAGAGAGGCTCTGTTCGGGGCAGCAGACAAACATGTATGCTGTGTACAAACAGACATAGAGAGAGAGGAAGAAGAGGAGGAGGAAGAAGAAGAAGAAGAAGGGAGGGGAGAGCAATCAATGGAAAATTCCAAGCCGTCTCCTAGTTATTTATTCCACTCACGCCGTTTTACACACACACACACACACACACACACACACACACACACACACACACACACACACACACACACACACACCTAATGTATTCAGCAATCAGTGGAGATGGGGGCTGTGTGTGTGTGTGTCAAGTTATCTGTATCTGTATTCCTCCCCTCCCCGCGGATGAGCACAGTACAAAACGCACAAGATGACGGACCCGGACGTGCGCATCATATCAATCAAACTCCTTGTTATGCAATTGCACGCTGAGCTCTAAACGCTTGACGTGAGGGCACAAAAAAACGCGCACAGTTCACAGGTAGAAAGCTGTCAGGGAGTAATCCATCAGAGACACCGTCACGGAGCTGGCGCCGTTTCAGCACCACAGACAGCTCCAAAGAGGATCCAGGTCCGGACTTTGCCTGATTTTGCCGTGATAAATCCGGATTATTGGCGGGTTTGCATTACTCTAAAGACTCACAATCTGGTTTTAGGATTGAGGAGAATACTGGGTTTGTTTTAAGGCTAAAGGTCAGACATGCTGGGTGAGGTTTTTGGAGTAGAATTGGGTAAATATTAGTAGGCAGTGGTCCTTCCAGTGAATCTGTTTTTTTGCTGCCAAAATGAAGCTTTTCTTTCTGCTCTTGCAAAATGTTTCCAAATTGGCTTTCTTTGGACAGAATAACCAAGAACCGAGTCTAAATCTGCTGGTTTAAAGAGGCCTGTGTAGTCTAGATCAAGTCTCCGAGGGGTGAACTGCTGAACTACTGAGGATGTGTCCAATAGTTGATTGGTTGGTTGATATATTCATAATTCACTGTGGAGGTTTCTACAGCATCCAATCTGCATAATATGTGAATTCCAAGTCGGGCTGTCAAGATAGTGGAGTTTAATCTCACACAGATATCACAGATAAAACAGGATTAATGAGATATTAATACTGTTCATTAGTCTTTCAGTGTCTCGGTGACTCTGCTGCCAGGAAACACTTGGAAAAGAGATTTTTTAAAATCTCAGTGTGGTTTTTTTCCTGATTTAATAAAGGTTAAATAAAATAAATATTTTTGGTATTTGTGATGAATTTAGTTGCTTGATTTCCTGCAAATAAAAAGCTGGTTTTATTTTGAAATATAGAGGTAAGATTCTTCTGAATGGCAGTTTTAAAGTGTCGAATCATCTCTCAGATGAATGCTACAGCTAGTTAGCTAGCAGCTTCTTCTTCACTGCACAATTGTTTTGTTTTCATTCACACCAGCGATTCAAATCAACTGAAGCGTTGACATCAATCTTACCCGTTGGTATTATGAAGCCAATGTGGAAGCTCAAAAAACTGCAGTTCTATAAGTGTCCATGAGGGGCAGGCTGCAAAAATGCCAAAGTGCTCATGGTTATAACAACATTAAAGTAAAAAAAAAACACCCTTTTGTTCTGAGTAGCTCATGTCTTTACTCATACACACTTTGTAGGCTTGAATTTTTCTTAAACTCGACTGTTTTACACATATGTAGACCCTGAGTAATCCATGATTCACATAATTAGAGTTGAGTTACCAAACAGGCAGGTACAATGCAACTGCTAGATCTAACCTTAGCTCCAAAATGCAGTTTTAGATAAGAAGAGGCCCGGGGATAGCTTGACTGTTGTCCAAAATTGTCACAATAAGTGCGTCCAATCTTGGTGGGAACAAGTCGTGATAAATCTAGAAAGTTCAGAGCTCCAAAACAGACAACTAGCAGCAGAGCTGAGGCAGTAAATTACAGTTTTTGATGTGAATGCTGAAATCGATATGATTGGACTTACAGAACGGTTCATTCTCAAGTGTTGACCATGTGCAGTCTGGTCATACAGTGTCCAGTAGAAGCAGTAGTGTTAACATTAAGCAGTCATTTGGATAACTTAGTTTGTGGCGTATTAACATCCCATGTTAACTTGTCACCGCCCCACTTCTATGGCCTTCTGGTCCTAGCGATCATTGTGGCGTGAGGTTATCATCTTCCTAACGTCAAATATCAAAGATCATTCAGCAGCTCTGTTTGAACGCCAAGGCGGTAAAATAAACAAGTAACTATGCATGTGCATTAAAGACACTCCTTTTACATTGACTGCTGTAGTTGAAAGCTATGGAGATGCTCAGAGAGTGAAAGTTAGTGATGTATTTTAAAGCTCTTGTATGGAACTTTGAGAGTTTGTGTCAACTTTGGCGCCTCCTGTGGACAAATAAGTCATTGCTTTGCTCGCCATCTACATATAACAGTTGTGTGAACTGACAAAAATCTCACCCTGCTGACTTTAGACAGTAAAATTTCTGATTCATTGTGAAAATTTCATCTGTAAAATGACAGAACAGGTCCGCCTAACCCTCACACACTGGTTTCAGATATTAAAAACCACAAAATAATGGTCTTGTTGGTTTTTTTACATCATAAATAGGCTTCAATATGAATTTCAGCCCATTATAAAAACATCAAAAACTCACAGGAGCTTTAAGTGACTTGAGATTGGGTGACGGACTATAGGACAGTGTAGTAAACGAAAGGTCTTTGTTTTAATCTGAGACAGTTATGTCGATTGTCTTGTTTGTTTGCCGTTTACTGGTTTTGCAGACAGTTCAGTGTTAGAAACGAGTTTGTTTTAGGTGGAAAAATGAAGAGAGAGGCCAAAGAGAGGCTGTTTTTGCATCTCTGAGGAACCCCTTTGAGGCTCTGCAGGATTAGGATTTGGATTTTCAGTGAATAGGTTGAGAGAGAGAGAGAGAGAGAGAGAGAGAGAGAGGAAAGTCTGCTTCACTTCATCATACATTATCTGTAAACACTGTTTTTTAAATATGTCTGCCGGAGACCGATAAGGCTGGTCAAAAAGGCAGAGAGGCCACAGCAGGACAACCAAAGGGCAGAGGATCTAGATCTGGGACATGGAGGAGGTGAAAGAGGAGTGTGTCGGGACGACTGCAAAGTCAGAGTCGGAGATAAGACAACACCAGAAAGAAACAAGGATTTCAAGGATAATTTGACGTCTTTGGCTGCTTTCCTAAATATCAGAACATTTGGCCAAAGTTCAGCCTCCGTTTGCGCTGACCTTCTCTCTCCGTCTCAACACCTCACACAGAAACCAGGAGTCTGATAAGTTTTCATGTCCAGCTTACAAAAGAGGACACTGGAGTCTGGCCACAAAACGACTCTGGAATGAAAGAGTCTGTGTCAATAAATATGCAGCTATTATATGATCTGCAAAAGCCAAACAAAAAGGCATGAAAGGCTTAAAGATCAAATCCGTTCTGAAACTATTTCCAACAAAAGCCTCCCCGCTCCTCTGTTTCACTCTTTTAATTAGCATATTTATTAGCACAGTTGAAAAATGACGGAGACTCGCTGGTTTAAAAAAAAATGTGTTAAATTATTTTTGCGGTTGTATTCATTCAAGGATTTCGTGCTCCTGTTAGGATAAGGAAACTCTGAGCTTAATGAAAAAAAAAACAAACGAGGACATGAGGCTGTTTTTTTTCCTTGGATCATGAAGAGCTGACCTTTTGAAAATTCAAGGTTTCCAACCTGCGGCAACGATTAAGTGTCTAAAGAAGTGGAAGAATAAGAAAGAAAGGTTCACATTAAATTGGTGTGAGTGAGAAGTAAGGAGTCTGAAGTTGGACCCTGACATTTCAGCTGTTGCAGAGCGACCCCGCTGAAGGTGTACAAAGAAAGACGGAGGATAAGACTCTGCTCATTCAGATCCTCTCAAGGTTGTTTAAAGAGGAGGAGAAGCAGCTCCGACAGTCTCAGAGTTCATTAAGGAGAAGCCGAGGGAAGGTCGTGGTGGAGAGGTTCCTCCTGGAGAGGTCGGGTTCATCATTTAAGTTTGTTTTCAACATTTTCAGGTTTCCAGCTGAACATTATGAGTTTTTCTACCCTTGGTTATTAGTTTTAAGAAATTATCGCCAGGCTTTCTTGCTAATCTTAAATACTTGATTCTGATTGGTCCAAACTCTAGACAACCCTTTGACTTCATAACTAGAGCAATTGCTATTCTTTCATCCATGCCTGCAATTTTTAAATTAGATCATTTCTAAATCGGTGAAGAGGGTCAGTAGATTTATGACACCAGTTGGTAGCTGGGTAATAAGCTGGAAAATGAACGGTGAACTGGAAATTTGACCTTCAAAGAGTTGAGACTAGACGACACGAGACACTTAGAAAACTTAGTAATTTTTGGTAATGTTTAATCAAAGTTGATCTTTTTTCTATCAACTATCTCAAGGAAGTCAAAACCAGACATCCGTATTAGAGCTGGGCCATAAACCGAAAATTTACAGATACCAAAATTTAGAACAATAACCAACGTTATTTTGCCCATATTGGTATATTCGGTTTTTGGATCTGTGTAGGTAGGCTATGGTCTCATGTCCCTTTAACCCGGGATTCCCACCGCATCCAGAACGGCTGCAATTTCGCCTTACGCCAATTCCTACCGGTTCCATTTGTGAGGCGAATTTTGTGGCGGATTACAGACAGCAGGAATTGTGAGAACTCACAAGAACCTGCAGATTCACGTTCAATCGTGCGATAACAAGTTGTCTTTAGCCACAGAGGCTAACCATATAAGCAGTAGATTTTGTCCTTCCAGAGGAGGAAATCTACTTCTAGACTTCTAGAATCAGCATCTCCTCATCCATGGTGTCATCGGGGTGAAATGACGTCTAAAAACCTTTCACTTGTTCGACTCCGCCCGTTTGCATGGTGTGAAATACGATCCTCCTGAAACACGGAGTGTTTTATTTTGAAAAGAAGCCGGATGTTTTATTTTGTGTCTGTGCCCGACTTCCTTTCCAGCACGGGTTAATCTGTGCTGAATTTATCCGCCATGCTCCAGCATCTGAAAAAAAAGAGTTCTTATGATCAGCTGTGGAGTTCGGTGATCCAGAGGAGCGGAAAGAAGTCGGTGGAAATTGACACGTTAACTTGAATGAAAACTATCAGCTGCGATCGGCACATACGGCCTTTTTTAGCCGCTCTGGATGCGATGGAAATTGGGGGTAAGAAGTTGTCCTACCTCGTAGGCGTGACTCCACCCCATCCAGTCCATAACAAAGAGGGAAAGACAGGTGAGGAGATGGAGAACGGAGAGAAAGTTGGAGCAGCTGAAGTAGAAGAAGTTAATGTGGGAGGGGGTGAGCAGGTTGTGGAGAAGTTATCTTCCATTTATCGTTATCGAGGTGAACTGATCAATATATCGGGATATTGATTTGAGGCCATATCGCCCAGCCCTAATGTGAGCTTTGTAAAGTTATTTTTGGTGTTCTCCCAGTTAAACAAACCTGAAAAACCTCCAAACCAGCTCTACTCCATGCTGCTCTGAGCTCCTCATGTTGTTTCCACTCGTGCGTTTTGAGTAAACTCTGATCTATCACGTGTTTCCACGGCCAACCACACCCTTACTTAGAAAGCAGAGGCTGTGTGATATCAAAGCAGAGCGAAAGGTTATTTATAACAGCAATTATTAAAGAAATGTGGTCTGACAGAAAGTCTTTAGCGTTTAGACTTTGAGATAGAAGAATGACTGATGTGAGCGGCGGCAGGAAGGATGGAAATTGATGATTGTGCAGAGATGGTGTGAGGATGGAGGAGCGGAGGGGCGTGTATGTATCAGCATCAGAGGGCGAAAGGTAGAGGATGAACACAGACAGAAGAAATATGAGTTTGTGGATAAACAAGCTCCTAATGAAACAGCTGATTATGAAACAGAGGAGGATGTGGAGGCAGATAAAGACAATGGTGGACAGCCAGGATCTTTAACTCTGTCTTCTTGGCACTTGAGGACTTTTATGACCAATCAGAAGATTGCAGTGTGACTGGATCCATCCTTTAGGGTCAGATAGGGACAGTTGGTACCCCAGTAAAAGGGCGCCAAGAGAGAAGGGCGGTACACATCTGTTATTTTGGTTGGACAGGACCATCTGGTAGAAACAACAACAAGCTCTTTAAGATAAGATGATGCCTGACCACGAAGAAGATATTAAAATCTACCCTTAATTCAACAGAGAGCCTCGTGTTAGGGCTGGGCGATATAGCCTTAAATCAATATCACGATATATTGATCAGTTCACCTCGATAACGATAAATGGATGATAACTACTCCACAAGCTGCTCACCCCCTCCCACATTAACTTCGTCTACTTCAGCCGCTACAACTTCTGAACCGTCCTCCATCTCCTCACCTGTCTTTCCCTCTTTGTTACTGACTGGATGGGGTGGAGTCACGTCTCTGACGTAGGACAGCGTCTTAAAGGGACATGAGACCATAGCCTACCTACACACATCCAAAAACAACTTTGATTTGTTTATTTTTTTGACACCGAATATACTGATATGGGCAAAATTACGTTGGTTATTGTCATACATTTCAGTATCTGTAAATTTTCTGTTTATCGCCCAGCCCTAACTCAGGCTGCCGAGTCTTGCTGAAAGGGACTTACAGTAATCTGACCAGTGCATGGACTGGTTTTTCAGGGACAGGATGTGTCAGATTTTTGCACGGTGATTAAAGTGTGGGAGTTTGAGGATACATCCTTAAACTAGATCAAAATCAGTAGCTCAGGAGTTGAAATATCAGTTCTGGATCATAAAGAGAAAAGAGAGGAACAGTGAGTCCTGCAGGGGAGGATATATAGACTGTAATACAGCAAATACTGAACTCCTGATCTGTTGCCCACACTCAGCTGAATGCCTAATGAGCTGCATACTTCACCCGTGCAGCGAGAGCACGATCCCTCCCGTCAACCCGGCGATCCGTTTCACCCCCACAGGTCGACACGCGTCAATAAGAGATACTTGAACTCCTCCACTTAAGGACAAAGTCATGCTTCCCAAACTCAGAGATTTCTTAAACGGTTGAGTCAGACCAAATGTAATAGGCGCAGCCACGCTTTTCACTCCGGCTTTTAGCATTTAATTTCTGTTATCTGAAAACCTGACAAATCCCGGCTGTCGGCTTCTCAAAGAAATATTCCTGCTGATCTGTCCGAGCGCTCAGAAGACACAGAAGCATGCATCTCTGCCCGCCGCAGACATCAGCCACATTGGCTTCCTTGTGCACAGCAGACTTCCATGTGAGGTGCAGGCTCCATCAGTTCGAGTATGAGAAGGCGACTGTTTCCATAGAAACTTGGAGAGCAGCCTACATCAACGGTTACCATCACTTCATCCTGGCTTTGCTGTCAGACTGGATGTCTTTTTCCTTTTTTTCCTGCACAGACACGGTCACATAAGCACGACCTTTCTTCATCAGCTCATTTATTTGATTGTTTTTGGATCTTCCTTGTATCAGTGCAGGTTTTTTTGTTTTATGTTTCTAACTCTCAGGACTCGTCTTGATGTCGTCGGTGCACAAAGCTCAAAAACATCTCGACAAAATGACGCAGAAATGTTTGGAGCCCGATCAAAAGGTGTCTGACTGTGACGTTTATGAGCCCCTCTTCGATACGGAGCATTTGTCATTAGACATGCCAGCTTTTCTGCAGGACTCTAATATCTTCTAGATGACTTTTTGCTCATGCTTCACAGCCTTTCTAATCTATTTTTAAAGCACAGGCTCAGTTTCAGTGTAGGTACATGCGAGTGTGATTAAATGAGTGAATCAGAAATGCCAAAATGTACTTTTAAGCCTTCTGGGGGTGTCCTGAGTGTAATTCAAACAAACATTCATGGTGGAGTTTGCCCACATGATGATTTCAGTGATATTTATGCTCCCACCTGATGGCCTTTTCCTCCAACAGCCCAGATTTCTTTAAAGGCTCCGTGTTCAATCTAAAAACTATAAAGGGCAGAGATGTAGGATCGGGTGTTTGGGTAAATCAAACCACTTCACAGCAGGAGTTCTCAGGCTGGTCCTCATATAGACATCAAATTAAAGTCAGCGAGTCTGGCTCTCAGCCATCAGGGTTTCTAGACTTCAATCAAACCTGCATGAGAAACCGAGGAACCAATCTCACTTTTACCAACATCATACCGGTCTGTTAGTCCTTGAATTCATGACTGTTTCTGTCTTATTCCCTGGTCCTCCAGTCCCTGTTTACTCAATGGTGTTGCTGGTTTTATGAGTCAGCGTTTTAGCTCCCATCAGGAGTTTTGAGCTGGTGAGATTACTTGGGCTGAAACGATTCTTCAGGTAGCTCAATTCAAAAATATGATAGAGGAATTTTCTCTGCCTCAAGTACTTCTTTGTAAACTCAAATCGTCACTTTTGGTTTTGCAGAGCGGAAAAAACGAATGATGAGACGAGCTTTTCTTCTGCAGAGCTCTAGTCGCTCATTAGCAATTCGCCTGTGAGCCCTGTACACTCCTCTTCACGCTAACTTGCAGCCTAACATTGCCGGTGTAGTAGAAGTAGCAGGTAACATAGGAGATATTCAGCTCTCAGACACTGATGTCTTTAAGGACATAATGAAAGTTAATATCATAATCAACTTTCTTACGAGCATTACAATCACTTGTTCCATGATAATTGCACTTTTTGCACAAAAAAATATGTTTTATCCGATTACTCAATTAATTGATGGAATATTAGGTAGAAAACTCGATTACTAAAATATTCAACAGCACAAATAGTAAAAGGAGAGTCTCTGTTATTCCATATGACTGTCCAATTGTAAAGCATGTCATCAATGCTAACTCAATCGACTTTCAGTCAAACCTAGCATGACGTAAAGATTATGAGTTCAGAAATCGGCACTTAAATTAACATGTTATTGATGGAGGGGCTTGTTTTTTCTATGGGTGTGTATGTGGCTTGCAAGGCTTTTGGAGCTAGCCTCAAGTGGACACTCGAGGAACTGCAGTGCTAGATAGGCAAAGAATAAAAGCTGTCATGTGCCACATGTCAATCAATCAATCAATCTGTATTTATGTAGCGCCAATCATCACAAGATGCTTATACATAAAGTTGTTCCAGACTCTGTTTTTAACGACCCTGATGGGATCAGACCGACTCCCCTCCCTTCTTAAACAAAACAAAGAACTTCCTGTAACAGGCAGAAACCTCGAGCAGAACCAGACTGACGTTAGACAGTCATCTGCTGAGAGTGAGCTGGTTTAGAGAGAGAGGTGCAGATTTGTTTTAAGGTAATGTCATGTAGCCATTACTAATTACAGTCTCATCCACAGGGGGGCGCCAAAATCAACACAGCCCCAGGATCATTTTAGTCAGAAAACTTCATTAATGTTTGTTTTCTTGGATCTGAATTATTCAGCTCACTTCTCTCCATTTCAATTAGGGAAACTTTCCCCTCGAGTCACCTTCTCATTGCACAAACAAAAACATACATTAAACAATTAAAAACAGCAGTAATGCGCCGGAGCTCGGCTCTTGACTACCACTTTGCCTCTCTCATATATTACTTTGTTATGCTCCACAGAGCCCTCCAGGTTCCACTTCAACAAGCCGGAGAACTACATCAGCATGTATCACCAGGAGGGGAGCGATACGCTGTACGTGGGCGGCCAGGCCATGGTCTATGTGTTGACGTTTACCAACAGAGGGGTCCGCGACCTGCAGGTACGCTTAACTCCCGTGGATTTTGCTGACTTGCATGCAGACGTTGTTAGGAGGTTGTTTGGGGGGATTTAATCTCTTTGCTCCAGATGGTGTGTTTTTATTGAGGAACCAGGAAAGAGCGGTTTTAAAAGATCGTTTGCAACAACCAGTTGAAGCCCTTAATGCTGTTCACTCAATAACACTTAGATGAACTCACTTACTGATGTGTTTTCAGTGTCTCCTGATTAATGATCCTCGTCTGAGGAGTGTTTGGTTATGTACAAAATGAGCTTTTCCATTTTCCGTCTTCCTAACTCTCTTATTGCTCCTGATAAAATTAGAATAACACCTCTGCATATGCGCCCCTCTCAGTCTGTTGTACGTTTGGTTTCCTTGGTGTCACATATTTCCAAGAATAGCTCGGCCCACCTTCAGCCTGAGCAGAGGTCTAATCAGGCAAACTAACGAAAATAACCTGTCTGGGTGTTCAGGGCTCTCAAGTCAAGTCAATTACATTTTCTTAATAAAGGCCAAAATTGCAAAATGTCCCAGAAGATTAAGATTTGACTGTCGGATGAGCAACCTGGAGCCTGTTAACCCTTTAGAGGGCCTGTCTGAGTGCAGACCAGCAGACCGATGCACCTTCATGTCTGTGCATTCAGCATGCAGGAGGCAGCAGGCAATTAGCATAGCTTAGCATGAAACTGTAGGCAGGAGAACAGCTTGTCTGTTGTTGCTAGAGGTAAAACTGTGCCTACAGACTCCTCTGAAGCTCACTAATGAACATGTTGTTTCATATTCATTCAATTTGTAGAAAAACGAGGACGGTAAAAACAGCAGATTTACTTCCAGAGGTTGTGTCGCTCCTTTGTGATTGATGAAACGTGTCTTAAATTTAGCAGAGGCAGAGCTAGTTCAGGCAGGCACCAGTCCAAAGTACACCTGCTGATCTCAAAACCAGCCCTGGTCGCTCAGCTGATTACCTCCTACTTTTTAACCTTCCTCTGCACCAGCTCCTCCTGTATTTTTCCTCCTGTACCTCGGTGGTCTTTGCTGCTGCTCTCCCTGCCTTGGCTTGTAATGTATGCTGATGATGCAGAGGGAGGTCTGCTCTTTCCTCTGCTGGCTTTGACGTCCCACGTACACTCGTGGAAGGGCGGGACCTCTCAGAACAGAGCCACACCGTTAACTAGAACTTAATGCATGCAAAAATGAATCCTCCTTGACTTTGTGGGCCTGACTGAAATAAAAGTTGTATAAAAGTGAACCACTGAGTATTAGCCAATTACAGCACAGCAAGCTGGATCTTTGAGAGCTTAAGGCCCCGTTTATACATACCCGGTTATTTTTAAAAACAGACATTAACCATGATTTGCACCCTTAGTTTAGATGCAAACGGTGCATTTTACCCCTGAAAATGATGCTTTTTAAAAAATCTGTCCAGAGTGGAGATTTTGGAAAACTTCATTTACACATTTGTATGTAAATGGAGGTACACAGAGATTTGGGTAGCTGACAGCAGATAGCGCTCCGGAAACTGGGTTAAACGCGACGTTGTTTACAAACTATGGTGATCATGGATGCATGCAGAATAGCAGTCGCATTTATGCTGGTGCACTCCCTTTATATTTGTTTCCCTGCTATGCGGGATTCTGATTGGCTAACATGGGCTTGAGCTTCTCACTACACTGCCACCTACAGGTTTGGCATGCTCTTGACAGCAAAAATACATGTGTTAGTATAAATGAAAACTTTTCTGGAAATGTAGTGGTGTACATGTGGTTTTTTTCGTAAACGGAGAGGGTAAAAGGTCCGTTTATGACAATAGCGAGGCACGTGTAAACATAGTCTGGAGGTGGATCTTCTTGTCCCTGGATAAAGACTCCTGCTCCTGGTTTGGTTCTTCTACTTTCATAACTTTGCTGCTAGAGTCCACCAGAGTCTAAAAAAACAACTGAACTGAGCAGAAGCAGATCAGCTCGTCCTCAGGATAAAGTACAATAGGTGATAACTTGAGCTGTCCCTCTTTCATGCCTCCTGCACCGTTTTAAACCCTAAGTAGCTGAGAAAGATGTTAAGCTCAGAGTGCATGTACTACCAGAAAAAAGAGTGATCTGACATGAATCACAAGTAGCAGGTTTAACTGAGCGTATTACTCTTAAATATATTCCTCTCTGCAGGTTTGGTCCGATTCTGCAGCATGAAAACAAATACAGCTGCCCTCCTGCTGTGAGGGCCACACAGAGAGCCAGAGAGGTCAGAGAGAGAGAGAGAGGGGCGAGCTAACCGGCCTGCAGCTGACCCGCTTCAGCGGCTCAGGGTGAAAAAAGTCAGGTCATGCATACATTAGACATTCCTCTTCCTGTGAGGAAAGAGGACATATTTCATAGAGCTAATAATGTCAGCAGAGGCTCAGGATTACACACCGTGTGGGATCCAGCGTCAGAGCCACTGACTGCTCTGACAAATTGAAGCGACCGCTCACTCGCTCACTCAGTGCTTCATCCGAATGTGACGACAGCCTGTTTTCAGAATAATTGAGGGCTTTGAGATGTTGTTCTCTCAGTGGAGGCAGAAAGAATGGAAGAAAAACACCAGTTGGGTTTTCTGTCTTATGGCATTGATGGACTATTAGGATGTTTAATGGTGTGTTTTTCTTCTGCACATATTTAAGAGACATTTTGTCAGGATAGCAGCAGGTTTGGTGAAGCAAAGACGTTAAAAACGCTTTTTTAATACAGCAAGAGCAAAAATGTTCTCTCTGCGTCAGTCAAGCAGGATGAAAGAGTGAGAGAGACGTTTCTACCATTGAGAAATTACAGTGGGAGTCGTTCATTATTAAAGGGTCAGCAGAGTCAGATATCTAACTTTTACAATGTTTGTTTGACTGAAGGGCAAAACGCTCAGATGAATTCATTCTGCCTCTTTTCACCAGTTTTCTACCGACGTACAAAAAGAACAGATTGGTTTAGGCAGGGCTGGACACTAACTTTACTCACAAGGAGCACATGAAGAACTTTAGAGGCACAATGAAAACTGATCAAACAATGTGAGTCTTATTGGTCGACATAAGTACTATTATTTAAATCAATTTTAGGTCTTTTGGTCATGTGACATTGAAGCTCTGAGAACATCAACCGGTAATTTATTGACGGTCCCTTATTTAACACCCAACGTTGACAGTGAGGGTGTTGAGTAGACTTAACCGTGCTGCTGGTCTTATGATCTTGTGTAGCTCTATCGGAGAAGTTTAGCTAAAACTGACACTTAACGTCCTTAGTTTGGATCTAATTTAGTTTCACATTAAAGTAAAATTAAGAAAATGTTTGATTGTGGTAAAAACCTGCAGATGAATTGTGCAAAAACAGCTAAAGATGCAGAAAGACGATACAGACAAGATCAACATCTATCAGCTCTCTGTTTGAAACTTAGTTCTGAATTAAAGAGGGTTTAATGACGGAGGTTTCTTAATCTCATTTTGTTCTCGGGAATTAAAGCTCCTGTGAAGAGTTTTAGCTGCTTATGAAACAGACTGAAAATAATACCAACGTCTCTTGATAACCTAAAAAGCAAACAAGACCATCAGGGGGAGTTTTATCATTCCTGCAGAGCAATCTTTAACTGAACCGCCACGAGGGATGTCAGACAAGAAGATTAACAACCAGCAGCCGAGACGAGGAAAACAAGGCAGAGGAGAACTTCTTTTCTGCATTTATAATCACTGCATTTCAAACTTTGTCTGTCTGAAAAAAACTCCTCACAGGTGTTTTAGAGGGATCCTGGGAAATGTGGCGTACATAAAAAAGAGTAAATGATAAATAAATGCAGCTGAAGTCAGTGTCTGCTGGCTGTGAGGATTGTGTTTCAGGGTCGCCGCCGCCGTCTTCATGCTGAAACCGAGAACTTGGCACAAACTAAACCCTCCTTCCTCCCACAGATCCCAGCGGCTTCTGATCAGACTGCGATTGATACCTGCAAGGCGAAGGCGGCACCGCTCGAGGTAGAAGCTCATCTTCACTGTCAGCACCTCCATCACTCCTGCAACGCTCTCTCCATCAGTGGATCATCATCAGCACCATCCTGTTCGCTCATCACCATTCCCATCATCATCATCTTCATCAAAGTCATCAGCTCTCGAACCGCGCCGAGGTTAGCGCTTTAGTTTTGATCGGCTGGTTTAGACTCATGTTGTTTCTGTAGGACTTGTGAGACTAAATGTTATGAATAAATGCAACAAAAACCTGCAATTACCAGAAGCGGACATAAAAAATGCTAATGTATACAGAGCAGAGCACACAGGAGACAGCTGCACCTCAAAATGAGCAGAGCAAACAAAGCAAACACGAGCGAGATGTTAATAACTGAAGTCAATAATTCCACCAGGTTTCACAGAGAGGCTGAGGGGAAAAAACAGGATTTAATCCAATATTTATCTTTTAATAAGTCTTAAATGTTGGAGAGCTTCATTTTAATGTGAAACGCTCCAAGGCTAATGAATAATCTTAACAAGCTGAGGAAGCGGAGCTCCTTAATATCCTGAAAACAAAGAAAACCGACGACAGAAACAGTCGATTCGGGCAGAAGAGTCAAAGGCCTCCAGACTTTAAGGGTCCTTTCAGATACCGAGACTCCCAGAGACATCAGTCAGTAATTCCAACATCCATCTGACACATTTTTATAATTACAGGAAATTAACAAGACCCTGAAATCATGTTTCATCTACACTCGGTTAATTTTATGCATTTTCTCGACCCAAAAAAGACGGGAATTAATTTTATGCCGCTTTAATTAGCCGGATTTGAAACTGGAGATGCTTCACATATGGCTCCGATCTCCATCATCTCCAAGTAGGACTCTCTGAGGGTGCACATGACTTCAGTTTGTCTCATGAAGGATTTGGTCGAGAGTACTGAAAATATTTAAACAGAGGATGGTTTGCTCCCCTGAAATGTGAAGATTCAGATCCAAAATTCAGACCACGTTCTCGATCCTGAGCGGCGATCAGACCCGACGTACAGTATTTACAAAAACACTGTACAGTTGCGTGACAGATGCGGACTGTAAACTCACAGAAATGAAGGCTAACGAAAAGATTTCAGTTACACATTTGAGGTCCGACTTGCACATATCGGCTCCAGAAAAACGGTCTCTCTCGAGCAGGAGAGGCAGAAGGCGAAGTGGATCTTGGCGTACAGGAATCCAAGAATAAATATGTTATCATCTGACAACTGTTTAGCTTTAATGAATCTCTGCTAACAGATATTTGCATGCTAGTACAGTAACACCCTCTTCTCAGATCTGGTCTCTTTCATTTCTTGAACTGCACGGACCAGAAAACCTTTGGGTTTCACTGGAAGCTCTAAAGACTTCTTTCTGGACCCTGAGATTTGGGTCCACGATCAAAAAAAAGCAGCTGGCATCTGGACGTGGACTGCAATCCATCCTGCTGAATAAAAATGCTTATTTAAAGGGATTAAAGAGCTGAGCAGTTGTCTAATCGAGGCTGAACGCTGCAGGGTTGGATTTACTTCTCCTAGTTTTCCAGCACCACTGAAACTGAGTGTATGATACCACTTGGACTCCATCCATCCATTTGTTTCTGCTGATCTGGGGGTGGAAAACAGTGGCAGCGAACTAACTCGGTCTCTGCGAGCATCTCTTTACCTGCTCCTCCTGAGGGATTCAGGCGTGGATGTAAAATACGTCTAACCTCTGAGTTTGACATGCTGAGAAAACCTGCGAAGGATGGCGCCTCAACTGGCGAGGGGTGGTGGTGGCTTTGGTCTGAGTTCATGACCATACTTCCTTCAGAGGAAACTCCAAATTTCATTCAGACCGCTTAAAGACTCACTTTCAGACGAAGCAACCTGCTGCAAAACGAGGCCTTGAACTGGACTCAAAGGCTGCGGTTCACTTACTCAAATCAGAATTCATCTGTTAATAGATCCCGTCTTGAAATGTCGAGTGAACGCCCAGAACTCTGCCAGGAGGCCTCTCTTCTTGGCAGATCTACTTGAAAGTCCAAAACCCTGCCCTCAAACACATTTGTCACCGGGTCTGAGGAAGAGAATCAGTCCATCAAAACATTACCGCACAAATCCAGAGATGATTGCATTTCCTGAAACAGGTCAGACCTCGCTCGGAGACAATGTCAATAGGTTACTTAAAGAAACGTAAGCGATTTAAAAGCTTTCACTTCTTTCTTATTCTGCTGTCCATCACTCTGAAGCATCCAAGGCTCAGACTCGACAGTCTGCAGTCCGATAATCTCCCGTCTGATGGCACTGAAGGACTGATATTCATCTTTTTTTCACACATAATGTGCACTCTGCAGAAGCCGGATGTCTAATGGACTCCAACCATGAGTATGTTTTCATCAGGGCAAGAGCTCTCACCGAAATTAACTGGCCAAGAAACTCCATCATTTCAGTTTCGCCTCTCAAATCCGACTGTACAAAGTTTGAAAAGAGTGTTACTGGAGTTATGGCACAGAACAAAGAGGGCACTGTCTGCTCTGCATAAACAGAGCTGAAGCTTCCAGGGAGTCTGGCAGCGGCAGATGGTGGAAAATAAGAACGCTCTCTGACTGACGCAGTAAATCTCCCCCAATAAAACCCCCCAGTGCTGGGAAGGAGAGTGAAGGACAGAGGCAGCATCCCTCAATGACAGGTTTCTGGAGAACATTACCTGTGTGTGCTCGAGTGGAGATGGTGTAACAGTATGTAGCACACATAACATGATGGGCATATTTCCAACCATCGCTGAGCTAGACGTGTCATTGGACTGACTGTTCGAGTCAGCTTCAAGTTGTCCAGAGCGCCCACGGTTTCTGAAAACTGAGTCCAACCAGCAACTTTAAACAATGAGTAAACTCAGAAAATCCATCGTCTTCAATAATCTTCAACTCTCTCTTGGATTTTCAGGGTTAGCGTTTGAGAGTTTTGCAAAACAAGGCGCCCCATAAAGCCGTTTCTAAGGTGACCATACATCCTCTTTTACCTGGACATGTCCTCTTTTTGGGGGGCTGTCCAGGAAGTTTATAAAAATCCTTCAAATGTCTGCGGTTTTGTACGCAAGTTTCGAGTTTGTGTCGGGTGGAATTACTGAGTTAGAAGCGCGTAAAAGACACTTGATCCAAACTGAAAAACTCAAAATTTTTCATCGCAAAATATTAGTCACCTGCAAATGACTTGGCAAAGATAGAATAAAGACACAAATCCAATATCCCAGAAAAAAACCCAAACACAGCGCCAAGTGTGGCCAACCCACCGACTATGTTGATAGATTTAGCGACTTTCAGACACTCCTAGCGACGTATTTTCAAAATAGTGCCTAGAGACAAATCTAGCGAGTTATCTGGAGTTTAGAGACTCTAACATGGAAGCAGGTTTCGATGTTACTCTTCTCAGCGGGTAGCTGGTGTGCATCAAAACCACAGACACGTACAGACACTCCTCCTCGGTGGGTTTGACTAAAAAATTATGCAAATTAGGCGATGACGTCATCTAGCGACTTTTGGGACAGCCACTAGTGACTTTCCTTACTGAGGAGCTGGCAACACTGACAGTGCCCTTATGAGGCAGCTACAGCTAAAAACTGCAGTTCTTCAAGTGTCCACAAGAGGCTAGGTCTGATAGCACCACATGCTACATATACATTTATAGCGAAATATGATTACTATAGAAACCAGCAGGAGACGTCAGTGAGATTCAGTCCGTGTTTTACACCATCTATGACTTACTGCACCGCCGTTTCCTCGGGATAGTAGTTAATTATTACAGAGATTACAGTTTCAGCTCGCAGCATGTCGCCCACCAGGAGCAGCCATGCCTTTAATTACAAACTTTAAAATAGGACAAACAAATATCCTCTGTGGCTGCAGATATTAAAGGTTATCATGGAGCTCTGTGGGGATTTGCTCACCTGTGAAGCTGGCCCCAAGTGGCGCTTTGTGGAACTGCAGATGCATAAATCTACTGCCTTCTGCCACTCGGTGATAAAATCAACTTATCTCAGAGTGAGAGAGCAAACCTGGAGTCTAAACTGAACATGTCTTTCTAAAGATGAAATAAAACATACAAACTTGCATATACACGCCAAAAACTACCAACCCGCCTACCCGTCCACCTACATATCCACCTACTCATCCACTTACACAAGCTCCGGCCTTGATTTTAGGACTTGCTGATCTTCTTCCTCCATCTCCAGTTTCTTTTCTAACCTCGTTTCCATCAGAGTTTGTGATTTGATTGTTTTCTAAAGAGCTCCCTTCTTAGTTTAAGACTCTCCGCTGCGACTTAAGCCCGAAAAGGCGGCCCTTGAGGATGTACTCTGAATTCATTTTCCTCCTCCATCTGCTAATGTCTCGGAGGTGGAAGTCCATTTTCTGTACTCAGTGAATAAGTGATGCATATGGAGTGATGCGGCGCTGTACTGCAGGGCCAAGCCTCCACGTGTGCTGTCTGCCAAAAATGTTTATATCATGGATCGCCTCCAAATTCTCTTGAATCGCCCCCTCTCTCTCTCTCTCTCTCCTCAGTAATCTGTTTAGTCTTGTACTCTCGCTTTGTTTCCCAATCCTTCTTTTCCACCTTCCTCCCCTCTGCTCTTGTTTTTCCTCATTCCGGTAGTTTTCCTCTCTCCCTCTGCGCTCCGTCTCCCTCTAATCTTTGCTTCTCAAATGCCTGAGTTTGTTATTTTCCCCCATTTTTGCCTCTCTGTCTCTCTGCATCTTTTATCCCTCTCTGAATTCCTGTTTTTTTTCCCTCCTGCCTCATTTTCTCCTGCCTTTGTACCTCTCTCTCCTCTTGTCTCTTTATCACAGCTGGAGTGTGATAATTTCATCACCGTCATTCAGAAAGTAAATGACACACTCATCGTATGCGGGACAAACGCTGGGAGCCCCAGGTGCTGGATGCTGGTAAGAGTTCTTCGTATAAATTCCTTGAAATGCTTCTTGATAGTCTCATGTAGCTCGTACAAATGCCCAGAGTTTATGGTTTGCAGCTGCGGCTGCTGCTCCTCGAGTGTAAACGGTCTGTAATCGTGATTGGCCTTTATTTATTCGCTCACTTGTTTCAGATGAAGGCCTGGAGTTATTTATTCCCATAGAGGATGTTTAATGAATGGGTAATAAAATTAAGCACCCAAGAATTAGAAGAAATTTCTCCAATCCACTTTATTCACTAATTGAAAGTGTTGGATATTTGGTGAGAAGCTGTAAGTTTATAATTCATCGAATGGTTTCAAACGCGGGGCCACCCCCAGGCTAAGTCTTTCCCTCCTCTCCTGTCAGGTGAACGACACCGTGCTGACTGACGTTCAAGGGAACGGGCAGATAGCTTCGGCCTCTGACATCTCACCAGCCTACCCTTCCCAGAAGTCCATCAACCTGCCTGCAGGTAAGAAATGCAAAGAGGAAACCAAAGGTGTGCTGGCAGAGTTCATGATTCACTGAAGGAGGAGGAGGAGGAGGAAGAAATAAAACCTTGAAAAAGCACAAAAATCTTCAGTGGAGCTTCTCAACAAAGGAGAGTCTTACTTATGAAAACCAGCATCAGCAGCTGGAAGAGGACTGCAGGTTAATGAGCTCCTGTGTGACCACGAGCAGAGCACTGAGAGTTCAAAGTTCACAGGATTAGAAGACCTGGACCAGCTGGATCTTCTCCTGGTGGGAGTTTGGTCAAACCGGCAACACGATACACAACTACTCACAATCTGCTGATTGGATGAAGCCGACGAACAGGCTACATGCAGCTAGCTAATGTAAAAGTTTGATCCCATGACGACAAAAAGAAAACGTGAAGTGACCAAATTTTAACCAGCGGTCAAAGAAACGGACAGCAGAAAAGTTTCTGAGCAGTCTGGATGAGGGCTGCAACGATGAGTCGACATTGTTGACAAAAATCAATCATGAAAAAAGTCGACGGTGAATCCGATTGTCGACTATCGCCAGACGTGGAGTGAGACATCTTACTTCATTACAAAATCTGCCCAGAGTCACACACGCGCAATAGCATCTTCGCCAAGTGGTAGGGTATTCAAACATGGCGGCGCCGGCGTCCCATACAGCAGCTACGAGTACGCACTCAAAAACCTCCAAAGTTTGGGAGAACTTCAGCCTAGATAAGATGAAAATGTTCAAATCAGAAGAAAATTCATGACCATCAAATTAATCGGCTAATCGTTTCAATAGTCAGTGATGAGTCGGAAAATAGTCGTTATTATTAGTTATAATAATAATGTTATATTAGTTGCGGTATGTCAGACGAAGAATTAAAAAGACTGAATTTTGAGGTTGACTAGAAAAGTTTGAGTGACGTCTTATGTCTGTGGAGTTGAAGGTAGTTTGGTTGAATTACAGCGGCGTCGCTAACATGATGGTTGGGGATGATGGTTCCCCTCTGGTCTGTAGTCCTGGTGTACTTGTTTTACCTCATGGACCTTGCCTAAGGGTCCACCCTGGATATGGGTTCTTATGCATCTATCCAAACAACATGACCAGGAAAAAGAAATGACTTGTTTGATGGCGTGTTTGATTGAAGTCGCAGTGATTTAATGATGTTTGAGGACGTGTCACAGTCTGAACCGAATCGCCGTCACTCTCCATACGGTTATTTCTGCACAAAGACGTCTCCTCTTATGTAAACTTTGAAGCAGGAACACTTGTGAGTGTTTGGCTCTCAGGAGAGACACGGCTCTTACGATCGCTCTCTATTCATAACATGCAAATAAGAAATATGAAGACGCTTTTATCTGAAGTATCTCAGTTCTTCAAAGACACACCGGGGTTCGTGGATTTGGATTTAAAGGTGGTCTTCAAGAACAAGATACAATACAGCGGAGTTCGCCCCACACATACTAGTCTATATCTAGAACTAGGACCTATCTCACCTTTGCTTGGAGTAAATATTGGGTTTTTGGCTCCATGTTTGTTCAAGTGCACGGATCAAATTCAGGGAAAAAATATTTCAGCCTCACTACAAACAGAATTGGATCACAGCGAGAGTAACTTTTTCATCAATTTTACAATAAAAGAGACTTTTTAAGTCGGTTATAGAGAAGTGAAGTGATTCCCAGCACCGCTGAATCAAAGTCTTAATCTATCAGTGTCAGGGTCGGGCTCTGCCTGCAGTGTGAGGCTTCAGAGAGAGACGAGAATCAGAGTTTGAAGCATGACTACAAAGTCAGGAGACATGAGATGTGTTTGACTTAATTAGCCCCAAACCACAAATCTGTATCACAGGAGGGAAAAACCCAAACCAGGACTGTTTAATTACTGCTTTTAGAAAAACAGACCTTAAAACAATAACCGGATGGACCTCCAGGTGTTGGAGTAAAGTCCTCAGAGTTCTGTGTTTGGCCTCCTCTTGTGTACGAAGGAATTAACAGATCTTGTTTGACATTTGGAAAGTGTATCATCACTAGAAGATCACATCACACCGCCCTGAATGTCAAACACGTGAGAGCCGCCCATCTGTGGTCCTGCCCTCTGATTGTTACTGGATGTAAAACTTGGAGCATTAACAGACTCGGAGGTTTCAGGATGGTAGAAGTTCCCAAACATAAACCCAGCTGTTGTCCACGTCCAGAATATCCTGGTGATTTAGATCAGGATACCTAACCGGGCGTATGTTTTATCTACTCTAAAGATTTTATGTACCCTCAGCACTCTCCCTGCGTCGACATAGATTTCTCAGGAAACTCGATATTTGGCCACATTTCAACATCCACAGACCGCTGACTGTCTGCTGCATTGTTCCAGTCAACGGAGACGCCGGTGGCAAATCTTCTTCATGAGTCTCGCTGTTTTCCTCCTGATTCTTCACAGTTGGATCCTTTTACTGCAAAAATGACCACCTGTTTATCTGGATCTCAAAATGTAAAGTAGGGAAAAACAAAACACCTCCTCATCTCTGCATCACCGTGCTCCTATCCTAACCCATCCTGTAGCTGAGCTCCCACATCTCTGCAGGTGCACACTTCATTAGATCACGCTCACCTCCGTGGAAAACAGCATGAAGTGCAGAAGGATTTAGAGTCGCTGCAGACCGGCTTAACTCGGCGTCTTCCTTTTCTTTGCAGTTTGCTGGAGCTGCACGCTCGTCTTCTTTAATCCTGACATACCGCCCTTTCTGCACGCTCTGATGTTTGCACAGATAGACAGTCGACTCTACAAAGTTCTCCAACTTTTACTTTTTAAATTCAACACTATCCGACACACACAAAAAAATCCATTTATTAGCGACGCTCCTGTCCTAGACCTTCATCAGGAAAAACCGTTTAGCAGCTTGAATCTCCTCCTGAAGGTCTGAACCCAACAGGGACAACCCCATCGATGAAAATCCTCTTTTTAGAGCGTCTGATGCTGTAGGTGTGTTTGACGCTCGTCAGGGGGGCTGTGATTGGACGTCCGCTCAATGGTCTGCTCTGGTTTAGCGATTACATGGAGGAAATGTCAATATAAAGGAGGATGAGGATGGTCCCGTCAAGGACAAATCAGTTCAGTTTGCAGTCAGGAGAGCGATGTTAGGGGGATGTTTGTATCTTTACGAGTCCTTTTCTCAATGTTATCAGAAACCATCACAGCTTGTTTACTTACCTGTATCTCACCTTGATGGAGTGTATTTGTCCCGGTGAACTACACTGCATATACTAGCTGTTAAAGCCGCTCTTATTTACACCTGAAAACCTCCTGAAAACAGCGCCTTGATTCCAAAATACCAGATTTCTATTAATACCATGTCTTCCTTCGCCGGTGAGGCCCCCATGACCCGAGTAAAAAGCAGTTAAGGGTGTAATTTGTCGATTTCATCACATGGGACTCCAGAGGTGCGCACCTCTCCGCGGGGAAGTGAACCTTCAGTTGTTTGATCGTTAAGAAGTGCGGAGAGCAGCTGACTTAAAAGAGATGTTTCCAATTAAAGCGACCTTTCAGCAGTCGCTGCGTAATAATGAGGGACGGACGAATTTGTGAAGCCATCTGCCGCAGATGGATTGTTTGTGGAGACAATCAGAAATTAGTGCGAGGTTAGTTTGCTCTGCGGGAGGCTTCCCCAGATGAGCATCGATTGTTGGAGCAACGACGCGAGCCTTTACTGGAGTTTAGCAGCGTCCTAATAACGATCAGTTCTAATTGAGATGTTGCTGCCATCACCGCACATGCTTCTCCTCTGCATCGCTATGGAGACAGACGGCTTTAAGAGGGGTTATAGGAACACGGCGGTGGTGGCTGCTCATCAGTGCAGCAGCCCGTCTGCCTCGATGTCTTCTTTGCTATTTCTTCTTTTTTTTCTCTCTCTCCCTCTTTATCCTGTCTGCGGCCTCCTGGGCCCTCCCTTCTTTCCATCTCCACCCCCCTCTCTGTGTTTAATGTTCTCTCTGTGTTTCTTCTTCCTTTCCAGCTTCAATCAATCCCCTTCTGTTTCTTCAATCTATCATCCTTCCCCCTGTGAATACTCTGAATACCCGGCATTGCCTTTTTCTTTTTTTTTACTCACTGTTTTTCTTTTCTTCTTACCTTTTTTTCCCCTCTTGTTTTTTCCTCAGATGGGAATCTGTATTCTGCGATGTCGTCGGTGGCAGGTCACGCCGGCTCGATCCGGCGTACGTTTGGCTCCCAGAAACTCCTGAAGACAGAGAACATTTGGCTGCTGAGTGAGTAGGAGGAACACAGTTACAGAAAATTTTACAGGTTCAGACTGAAGGAAACGGAGATTGTTGGTTTCAAATCCCCTAATGCAGTTCCCATGGGAATACTGAGTGCATGTATTATCATTGTTGCATGTTATTTTCAGCAGCAAGTAATTAGCCTTCTCCAACAGTCTTCATAGAATTACATATTTCTGCTGAAATATACATTATCCAGTACACCAGAAACATGATCTGCTTTGTACAACACACAGAGCACATTAGCTCTTATTTAATATGCATTATCTGGCGTGCACTAAACATTATCTTGTGTGCAAGATATCAAGAATACAATAAAAATTAAGAGTGCATTATCAGTTATCAGCCTTCAGTGTACATTATCTACCATGCACACATTCAGTATCTCACATGCAATATGCATCATCTGCAAAGAGACAGCATGCATATACAGATGTAGAATGTGATATACATTATCTGGTTTGTAAAACACACCATCGAACATCTAATATACATTATCTGGAATGTAATATACATTGTCTAGTAGGCAATATACATTATCTACATTACAACTCTAATTACCTAGAATGCACTACACATTCTAACTATCCAGTAAACATTATCTAACATACACACATCCATTATCTAGGTTGCACTTCATATGATTCAACATGCATTACAACATTATCTAGCGTGCAGAAACAAAACTTAGCATGTCATACTCTCTATCAAATGTTCTTGTATACATTATCTAGAATTAATACACCTTATCTGTTTTGCAGTATACATTCTTAGTACAACTGTCGTATGCAACTTGTGTATTATTATTCTATGCTATAGTACAGATACTGCATTCTTAATAATGTATATTGAAAACTAGATAATGTGTGATTCAGGAGATAATGTAAACTTGACAATACGATCATGTATATTTAACAGTAGATAAGGTCTGCTGGATGCTTGTTTATGTTGTTATCTGGAATGAAATATGCATTATTAAGTTATCAATACAGATCATCTATAATCTAACATACATTATCTGATTTGCAATATGCATTATTAATTATTAAAATATTAAAATAGTGTACAATACACATTTCCTGAATGCAAAATTCATTATCTAAAAAGTTATAGATATATTTTATCAGATATGAAATTTATCTAGTTGGTAATAAACATTTTCTGACATGTAATTAACATTATCAGACATGTTATATACATTACCCGTCTTGCAGTCTACATTCCCTTCATTGTAATATCCTTAAAATAATGGGCAAAACACATTCTAACAATTGTTTGATTTACATTATTTAGCATATTTGTGTTATGCATTAACATCACTAGCTTGCCACAAACATTTCTTACAATGTAATATATACTATTCACCATGCACAGTTCATTATATGCTGTGCAAACATGCATTATTTTCCCGTAGAGCGTCTTGTGTGCAGAGTTAGCTCAGCCTAGTCGTCCCTCACTCTCTCTTCACAGTTTCCTTCTCTTCCCACTCTCCTCTCCTCCAAATAAAGCCGTTGAAAGTTTAAAAAGTAATCTTTTAAAAGCACCTTTTCTCCATTACGGTGGGAGCCTGTAAGTCGCACACTCAGGCTGAAGCGTTTCTCAATTTCATTGTGCATTATGTAATGATTACGGAGGCACTCTCTGTTCCAAATACAGCTTCACTGGAAGCTGATATCGCCTGAGTCACAAGAAGTCTTGAAGGTAAATTGAAAACAAAGTGACTATATCTCAAGAGACACTTGCTATTCTCATCACCAGATCCGCAGTTTGCCGGCGCAGCAATAATCCCGTCTTCACAAAAGTTTAAAGAGGAGATCTACTTTTTCTTCAGCGAGATCAACAAGACCGCCAGAGTGGATGAGGAGCCTTACAGGGCGCGCATCGGCCGGATCTGCACGGTAACGTCAAACCTCTCTGCTTTCATTTAAGTAAATCTGCTTTTTCTGTTTACAACCTCAAAATGATTGATTTCACAACACTAAATGTACAAGTTACTGATGTACTGATGTTGCAGCGTTGACTCCACACTGACAGAAGGGAGCTGTGTTAAATGATCGGTGACCAAAACCCTCTCCTCTCCTCTCCTCTCCTCCCTCGGCGTGACGCTGCTCTGCTGCTGCTGCTGCGTTGCATTTGTTTACACTAACAGCTCGACTTTCCTCTCCACACCATTGATTTTGGCGAACACAACTATATTGAATTTAATCCACTCAATGTTACATCAAGAAACTTCCAACTAAAGCACTATCAGTCAGTTATCACGTGCGGAGCACTGCATGGTGATCCTGCAGATGCTGCATCAGATCTGAAGCAGCGCCTCAGTCTTCTCTGCAGCTCTGTCCATGATGGAGCTCATGGGTGGTCTAACCTGGACCTGCAGCTCTGTCCATGATGGAGCTCATGTGTGGTCTAACCTGGACCTGACATCCACACAGAGAGTTAAACTCCGGGACTGATCTGTGCAGTACTGCTCTTTGGAGAAACGTGTACGCACATTTCTTAACACTTTCTAATTAGAGACATTAAAGCTGGAACAGCTGCTGCTCAGTCTGAATCCTGACTTATCTGAAGAGTTAATCTCAGACTTTAATCCCAAAAAAGACCCAAATTAAAAGATTAATCATTGACGATGAAAGGTAAGGTCTAGTGTGATGATTACTTATCTTAAGTTTCTTCATTTTTTATCCAAAGAAAAGTCTTTTTTTCTCTCTTACATATTTAACCGGGACGAGGGGAGAGCGGGTTCAAACTAACACATTTTAGGTTTGGATGAATAATCTTGAAAATACTAAAATTAGATTAAACATATTTTTAAACAACAAACAAACACAAATATCTTGTTTTTATGCTTTACCATTTCTGCAGAGTTACGCTGAAAGTCGTGAACATGAAACGTTAAAATGACTCTAAACACGGTTGACTGGGAAATCAGCAGGGCTGCTTTTAAATATGTCTTGAACACAACTTATTCAATACAATTATTGATATACGCTTTTGTAAAATGATAGTATTTGTGGACTTTTGAGAAGATGCATATTTAAATATCTCTGCACCTATCCTTTAAAGAGGTTGTGTGTTTGCGCTGCACACCGGAGGAGAGTTTTCAGACCTCAGAAGTCTCTCTCTTTACTTATTCATGTTTGCGTCAAATTAGAGTCGCCTCGATATCAGAATTTTCATCTTATGATTATTGTGGCCATAAAATATCAAAATTATATCAAGATAATTATAGAAATCTTTACAATAAAACAACTACATCAGTCAATTTAAGGAAAGGCAACCAGTGAGTGTGAATACTGGATAATCTTTGCTAACAGGTGCATTTATGAGCTGTTTCTGATGATGCTCAAATCTAAGATTTATCCACATACTTCGCCCCGTGAGCGACACTTTTGAAAGAGGATGTTGCCTTAATGGATGATTAGCCGTCATGCTTTCATTTTGAAAAGTACATCTTCTAGTAGGTTGTAAATTGCAGAACTGAATGAAAATAGCTGTAAAAAAATACAGTCAGAGAGTTTATATCTAATTGATGAGTAACCTGAAGATACACAGGCTCTAATCCTGTTTTAAAAGTGTAAAATCACGTCTAAATGAGCTGCTAAAACGAGCTTAAAATGAAAATACTTTTCAGAGCTTCAACTAAATGATTGCAGTTTGTTGGATCTGTGAATTGAAAAAACTTGGAACTACTCCTTTAATTGTTAAATCCACAGTTAATCTCTGACGTCTTATTGGCCTCCTTTAAACTCTGAACCTGGTCGTGTGCAGCTGCAGCATCAGCTGTGTTTGTAGTTGATTTGTCTCCAGCTGATGTTGTTTGGTAACCATGACGTCCCTCATGCTGGTTAATCCATAATGTGAACTCGTTTAAACTCACATACTTATATACTTATATATATAAACACATATATATGTATTCATAAGGTAACTTCAGGGAGCGTTTCACAGACTTAGATTAAACACACCACGGAGCGCTCTCTCTGGGCTCTGCACTCGTTGCTCATTAAATCACTTGATTAATGTGTGTGCTAGCTCCTTGTTGAACCACTGTGGCTTATTTCCTGTTTCAGCGAGCACACGGCGGCGTGTAAATTGAATCGCTGCGGGGCTCCTTTAAGAGAGCCGCTCACATTGACCTGTTACTGTTACTGCGCTGAGACCGGTCCAGTCCGGGTCCCCAGAGACAGAAGGAGCAAAGCCTGTCCTCTAAAATGTCAGAGTCCTCATTGGAGGGGGAGCGTGTTCTGTGTCGGGGTTAAGGGTCGGCGTCACGTCTTGGCAGTGAACACAGCGAGCTCAGAGTAAGTCGGGTCGCCTCGTTGACCTCGTGTGGTTTTCTGTGCTGCTTCCAGGTGGATGAGGGCGGCATCAAAGCCCTGCTGGAGAACTCGTGGACCACGTTCATGAAGGCTCGGGTGATGTGCGGCGCAGGAAACACTCAGCAGCAGTACAACAACATGAAGCAGGCGGTGGTGCTGACAGCTCAGGACAAGAGGGCGGGGGTCATGTACGGCCTCTTCTCCAACGCTTGGTGAGCTCAGACGTGAAACATCCCGACAGTTTAAACGACACTTTACCGTTTTCTGACAAACTGGCTTGTTGTTTTTGTTTTAACTTGAATTATTATTCCCTGAACTCACCTGCAAACGTCTCCATGAAGGGAGTTTTGTGTGACCTTTAGCTGACAGCAGCGTGAAGAGAAATCGATGTGCGCAGCGTCTGAATCTCAGTAAAGCGCTGTGTTCAGCTGCTGCGTGTTGTCAGGAGGAGGTTTCTAAACATTCACTAATTTACTGTTTGTGTTTCTATCGACTCAAAGTTACACACTACAGCGAGTGTCTGACCCCGGGATTGTGAGTCACTTTGAACCCATTCGAGGCAATTTCAGACGCAGAGATTAACAGCTCCAAGAGTCTGAGAGGTGAGGGAGGAAGTAGCTTAAAGCCGGGTCTACACTCTGTGAGTCGACTCTGTGGAGGATCATGGAGGACGATCACTGACCAAACAGCTGATCTTGACGGACAGGATTAGGGATGGGAATCGTTAAGAATTTAGCGATCTCAATTCCATTTTCGATACGGCTAATCGATACAATTCCTTATTGATTCTTATTGAGTGAGAAATAAAATAATACAAATGGGTTTGTTTGCAATAACTCCTTAATATTGTCACCTTTGGACAGAAGATATGACATATCCATGCACTAATAGTTTGCTATGTGACCTTCCCTTGGACCACAAATCTGCTCACAGCTCGGTGGCATTCGTTTATCTTCGCCTCTGTCATTTTACTCTTCCCTTCCTTAATGAAAGGGGCCACTAAAGGTGCGTGAGAGCTACCCGCCGCAGCCTCTGAGCAAGCATGACTTTGACGGTCATCGTCAACTAAATATAATTTAAGGGGATGAAGAGTATTTATATAGTGAAAGAGGGTTAACATGGCGCTAACATCTACACAACAGGCAGGACCTGGAGGAGTTAAACGTTAGCTTGATGACACTGAGATGTTAGCTCCGCTCCTGTTTTTGCCTGCACCAGTCTCGCCTTCGCTACGTAGCGTATCAAACACGTTACCGCAAATTAATTGCATTTTGGGTTGACAAATGTTTCTGCATATCAGAAGTATTTCCAAGTGTTGCAAGAAGCCCCGGTACCATCTTTGCTGGAAAGTTCTGAACCAAAACACACTCCTCACGTACTACGCCATCACGCATAGAGACGCAAGAGGAACCGATAAGAAGAATCGTCAAGGAGGCAAACAAACAATTCTTAGGAACCGGTTCTTAAAAAGAACTTCTAGAAAGAAAGATTCTAGACAGGATGAATTTCTTGTATGTTATGTGTATGTGGTTCCTCATCTTCAGGGCTTTATGTCCTGATTTAGCCTTTGAACAATAACTCGTCATCTTCTGACTGCAAACTGCAGGGGCGATACCACGGAGTCAAAAGTGTCTCAATACTGTCCAAGTCTCATCCAAAGTCAGCTGAGAAATGTGTCCTACTTTTCTGGAGCTGCAGCGGTGCGTCCTTAGCTGGTTATCCACTTGTTTCTGAGCAACAAGAGAGGTGCTCCAACGCCATAATCACGATAGAGACACAAGCACGCCGTCCTCTCCAGATCTGGAGAGAATGGCGTCCTTTGTCCTCGACTCCCTGCGTCAGAAAAAGTGGCAGACGATGAGTCACAAGGATCGTAGAGGCGATTTTGAAAACTCCTGCAGCTGAAGCATCATCTGCAGTTTCCCCGTGTCAGAAAAAGGGGAAAAGAGAAAAAGTGACAGACGTATAAAAAACAATAAAGACTCGGTGAGGCTGCAGTGACCGGCTCGTCAGGGTCAGCGCTCGAAACTTTGAGGGATAGAAGTGACTCGATAAAAAACATCGAATATCTTTGAAATCGAAGGATTCTGACGGGAAAACGACCTTTTGGTGTTTGTTCTCTTCTTGTTGTCAAACATTTTGACACGATTTAAAACTTTTACACCACAGTCTCGTCAGTCAAAATAGACTTCTGCCTCCTTTTTTTAAAATTACATAATAAATAGTGAAAAAAGGCGAAGAACAGCTTTAATAAAGACCCCCAGGACATCTCATAGGTCTTCTGTCATCTTCTGAAACAGCAGAGTCCTTCCACAGTTTAATTTTTCTGCAGGTTTTGCATCAATATTTTATATTTTATTTAATTTTAATGCAAGAAACCAATAATTAAAATTGAAGCGTGCAGGTTTGCAGAGAGAAGTTGAGGATTTATTTAAGCGGCTCTGATATAGAGTTAAAAAACTGAACTGTAGCTTTGAGCTGAATTAAAAACTGGAGCACAGACATGATCCGAGTTTCCAAAGTGACTTCATCAGACTCGATGTTTACTGACATCAGAAATTCTGACAGTCTGTTCAGCCCGACGGAAACAGATCATGTCAATATTTCACTGGAGACAAAGTGATAACAAAGTAAACTAAACCGAAGGAGAAGAACACAGTAACCGACACTGATCCACCCACACGGCAGTAAACATGCAGCACACCACCTCCTGACACACACACATAATACACACACCCACACACACACACGAGTTACATATCAGATTTGGAATAAATCAAGTTTCTCGTCCGTGTCTTTATTCTTTCGCAGTTTTCTGAGGGGAGAAGGAGCGAGGCAGACGATCGGAGGCAAAGTTTGCAGCATCTGCTGCAGAAATATCAGCTGGTTAATCCGCTGATTCCAGAACAGAACAGATTGGGGTGTCATCTTCTGCAAGACGTAGCCCAAGATTTTCCTAATTGCTAAAGAAATTCTGACTCGCTCCGATTATTAACAACAGAACACAGGTCAGACTTCTTTAAACTGCAGAACAGACAGGACATTAGGTCGACTAACAGCATTTATTTCCAGTTTTAGTTTTATTATCGAGTACAGAGTAGTTTTGGAGTCCACACGCTCTGATTCAGGTCTTATATCAGGGTTTATGAACAGTCTTCCTGTACAGGTGGGTCTCTGAAAAACCAGAATATCATGTTAAAGTTTAATAACGTCCGACAGTTTTTAAGAGACTGTACGAGATAAACTCCAGACTCATTATTCTGCATCTCAAAATATTAGAATATCTCATTTTAAGTTTCAGCTCCTCGCCGTTCGAACATTTAAATACTGAGTATCACAGTCGTGGTGCAGACTGCTGAGGAGGTTCTTCACAGAGAAGCAGACTCATGAAAGTGGACTGAGGAGTAAAGGGGTTGGAGTAAAAAAGGGGGACAATCAACGGGGATGAGCGCAGCCTTGGGGGGCCGTCAAGAAAACCTGATTCAAGAACTCAGGGGAGCTTCATGTGGAGTGGACTGAGGAGAGCCACTCCAGGAACGAGACCGAAACCACCGCAGTCCTGATATCAAGACACTCAAGAACCAGAGACAATGACAGAAGGGTCTCACCCGGATAAAGAGACAAAGAACTGGACTAATGCTCGAGGTCCAAAGTCCTGACACAGAGATCTATCATCCTCTAGGAGCAGAGTTTAGATCAGTCTAAATAAAAATCTATAAATAGAGTTACAACAACTCCGACAATTCAACGTTTCATGTCAAAATCAAGCTCCTAAAGTCTGGAGGAAGATCAGAGAGGCCCAGAATCCAAAGAGTCCTCAGTCTATGATGGTTTGAGGGGCCGTGTGATCTGCTGCTGTTGGTCTACTGAGTCTTTTCAAGTCCAGAGTCAAGACAGCCTAAAGTCTACCAGGAGGTTTTAGAGATCTTCATGCTTCCACCCGCCCACAACGCCAAAACCACCACCAGACGGTTTGCTAACTGAGGTGTTACTGTGTTTGATAGACCAGCCGACTCACCTGAGAACCTGAATTATTAAGCAGTGACTGGACCTGTGCAGGTAACTCTTCAAAACAAATCACCCAAACTAGGATAACGTTTATTTTTTATTCATGGCGAGGAGCGGCGAATAGAACATCGTGTAGTGAGTAATTTCCAGCGATGCTCCCGCTGTCCTTCGTACCGTTTTGTCCTGTTTTTTCCACGCTGTAATTACTCCGTCCTTCTCCTTTTATTCAGGGGCAGAACGGTGATCTGTGCGTACTCCATCGAAGATATTGACCAAGCTTTCTCCACGTCTAAACTGAAGGGCTACAGCAGTCCATTCATCGGCAGCCGCCCTGGGATGGTAAGATAAACCGCCGAGGTTTTCCTTCCTTTAATTTGTTTCAGAAAAAAAAAAACACACAGCTCTTAAACGGGAAGAGAAAAGCATGAACAGGCCTTCACTTCAGACCAGAATGCGTCTTTTGAGAGGCACGAGTTTATGAAAGAAAAGCAATTTTGAGCTCTATTGTCCAAGGGCGTTTTGTTTATTCAAGAGCGCGGGCCGCTCTGAATCCATTACATCACTTCTCCTTCTCAGTGTGTTCGCAAAAACGCCACAGCGGCTGGAGGTCACAACGACATCAAGAACCTCGGGGTGATCAGATACCACCCGGAAATAGAGGACGTGATCCGGCCTGTCGGCGTGGCTCCACTCGACCTGCCCACAGATGACCAGATCACACACGCCGTGGCGGATATTGTCCTGGCGGTCAACGACGAGCACTACAGCGTCCTGTACCTGGGAACAGGTGAGTTTGCACACTGATAGGGACTCTCTGTTTTAGTCCAGTCTGAGGCCACGCCTCCTTGTTGATATGACGCCGTTTGACTCCAAACCAACAGCTGTCAGTGGGTTTGCAGAAGCCTCGGTGCGTAGCCTGAGGCCCGCCCCCTCTAAAGTGTCTCTATATGTTGAAACAACACGGACCACAAGTCCTGTGATTGGTCGGCTCGGCGGCTGACATCGCTGGTATCACCTCCGCCCCCTCATCTTCTGCTTCAGCAGCTGCAAAGTCCATTTCCTCTGAGTCGTCTTTGCACTGATGGTGAATGATCAACAACAGAAATCAACTCAAACTTCATGCTCTCAGATTAAGTCGTCGTGGTCTCCTGTTGAGACTGTTGAGGGGAACTTTACAGGTTTGTAAACCGGAGCACAGACATCCCACTACCAGCTCATGACTTGGCGTTGGATTGCAGAAATTGAAGTCATAGATCAGTATAAACGTTAAATTTTTATAGCCTATAAAATATAATTTGTACAATTTCAGACTTTCTCTCCGCTCCTCTGCTCTCCACTCGCTCCACTCTCTATCTGACAACATACATGCGTTCTGACATGCCACGCCGCATAGTTCAGAGACGCAGCATTTCAGCACCGCTGATTCTGGTATTCTGGTCGCGAGCGCTTGCCGCTTAAACCTGCCACGTTTATGCAGGATGGTTTTTACAACCCGGGGTTCTGGCTCCTTTCCATCGTGTTTACCGCCAACAAAACAAAAATCTGGTCATGAAGCACCGAACTGTCCCCGAACATTCAGCAACTCAATTAAAATATCTGCATTCTTGATGCTAGCTTCAGCATCTCTCCCAGCCCCCAAAACAGCGCTGGCTCCTCTCCTGCAACCCTGTATGATGTAGACATTCGTCATACCAGGTGACATTTGTCTACGTCAAAGGTCCTCCCCCCCCGTCCGCCAAAGCGAAAAAGCTAGTAGAAACACCGAGTGTGTATTGTTTGCAGTTGTGTAATCTGGCATAGAGTCGTGTCCGTGATACCTCTCTTGACATCATGGCAGAAACTGTTTCTGAACAAGATCTGAATGTCGAACTCCAAAGCTGAGCTCCTTGAATCTTCCACGTCTCGTTTGCTTCTCCTCATTTTTGCCTCACAGCTGTTAAATTCTGGACAGACAGCATCAGATCTGTCTTTACTTCAACAGCAGACCTGTTGATATCTGAACCAGACATAAAAATGTGCTTTACAACCCAAAAACGTGAGCTGAAGAGCGGCTGAAAAGCTCTGTCGAGCTGCAGAAACGATGAGAATTCTCTGTGGGTTTGTCCCTATGACAACCACTTTGACAAAAACACACAGAGAGAGAGAGCTGGTTAATAAAAAATACAGGCTGATGCTGTTTTAAATGAAAGGCTCTATTCACAACCCATGATTGCCTCTGTGCTCTTCTTTGCAGCCATAAAGCCTCAATCCCAGATCTGAGAGATTAAACAGGCAGTTAAAAAGTCATCGGAGCTGAGTGAGGTCCAAAATTTGAGAATTCAATTAAAAAAGAGCACACGAGGGGACGACTCTTCTGAAGATTATCTCCCACATCCGTGCCTCTACCTGCTCTCTAATGCATGTTGGTGAAGGGAACAGTAAATGTGAGAAAAGAGAGGAGAGAAAATCCTGTTTTCTGCAGCTACTTATGATGCCGGTTATTAGTGTTTGCTCTGTATATCAAGGGGAGTGACTCATGCAACCCAAGGGTGGGTCAGCTTAGCAGTGCAACACCGCCAACTTGCAGAATAATACAATACGATGAAAATGCTCTTTCTCTCATTCTCATTAGAGCCTTAAATTAAGGTCAAACTCATATTTCCAACCCTGGATGGGAGGAAATCTGCAGAATCGGCGTCACGACTGATTTCGATGATTCCTGCTCCTTTTGCACGACTGTCTCTATTTGATCAAAGCGGCAACGCTGAGGTGCTGCCGGTGCCCATAGCAGTTACTCCAAAAATTGCCTTGTGCCTCGGGGAGATTACTATGGCAACCATCAGCAGTCATATGATGGAGCGTGTATCAGCATCTCAGCATCGCTGAAGTTCACAGAAAGACGAGTCGGTGTCGTCTTCCCCGGGTACAGTTTCTCTGACTCCTGCAGAGCGTCATTCATCAGACGTTTCTGGGTCTGCTCCTTTAATAGCTCGGAGGAAAACAATCGAGCGTTCAAAAAGAAACAGTGTGATGGCCGCTCGCTAACTGTGTCATTAAGGATGGAGGGCTGTGTGGTGGCCTAAAAAGAAACTGGAGCACTTTGAGTCAGAGCAGCGTCTGAGGAACAGGTTGTACCGGCGATCTGCCGCTCCTCAATCATTCAGCCTCTCCGGTTAATTTTTCATTTTCAAGCACCTGGAAGAACACGATGATATTCATCTCCTCCTGATTTATGAAAAGAAACATTTGAGACGCAGCGAACACCTCTGAACTTTTCTGAATCCTGCTCTGATTGCACCTCTTTAGTATCGCCTCCACCTCCAAATATTCACAGGCTCATCAATCTGCATAATTAATCCAAACATGCTCTCCTCTGTCTGCTCAGCTGATTGAGAGTGACTCACACCTTGAAATAATCCAATCTGGTGAGTGAGTGAGGGAGTGAGTGACGCGGCAGACGGGCGTTTCCTCCTGATGGATCGCTGCATTAGGGAAGTTTAAACCAATCAGAGGAGCATGAGAGGTGAGACAGGATCTACCTCCGGACCGGTGGCAGAGAAATGGAAACCGATGCATTCTGGGTAGCCGGGGGATATTACTCTTCCCCGGTGACAGAAATTCCAATAAATATCCTTCTCGGAGATGCTGCTCGGAGACAAAAACCGCGCCGTTAATCTTCGAGCAAGACAAACAGAAAGCCGATATTAGTGTGAAAGCCCGGAGAGCAAATATTACTGCGAGTGTCGGGACGATAAATATCTGTGAGGGGGATGATCTCACCTTTGGTGGAAAACTCTGAACCCTCATCTTATGTATTTATTGCCTTTTAATTCGGAAAATGAAGGAGGGCAAACGAGGAGAGGACAAACTCCTCAGAAGGACACACGAGTAGACTTCCTCTTTGAACGTATGGGTGGGCGGCACCTCGGCGCCCCCTACTGACTCGGCAGCTTGCAAATCATTTCCTTCTGAAATAAGACGGTCTATTTTGAGTCCAGCTGAGAGTCCTGACAGGCGTTTTTGGGTAAAAGAAGGGAAGATGGTGTATTTTTAGACGGTCGGTGTAATTACTAAGATTGGTTTCTAAAAATAGTTTCCTGCAGGAAACCTGTGGAGCTCCTGACCTCCAGAAGAGCTTCTGTCTGAGCAGATCTCCTGTTTTTATCTCCTCGCTCTCGTCTGATCTTTGGCCGCTCGACACTCCAGCTCCTCCAGTTGAATGACTAGACAGTGGGTGTCGTGCAGAAGGGCACCTTGATGGCGGCTGTTACGAAAGCACATTACTCATCTAATTTCCTCCCCTCCCACAGAGGCGCACGTCTTGTTTATTCTAGTCACTGCTGTCTGGAGAGGAGACTAAAGGAGTCCACTTTATAACGGTGACCCAGACCAAAGTGACGGGGCGGTACCTCGCCATTTGCAGAGTCCTAATTAGCTAAACATCTTGTGGTGAACTCTGGGTTTAGGACCGTCTAACTGGTCTCTGAGGGACCTTCCTGACAGCAGGCTGCAGGATTTGACAGAGCGAGTTTCTGCGTCTTTTGATCACCAGCCAGAAAATAATTCAGGAGAATATGGATTTCTTTTATCTTTAAAACATGTCAGACGGTTCAGTCAAACAGAAGTATGTCGTCGCTCTTTGATTCTTAAATCTGTGTGACCTGATTTCGACCACTGCGACGACTCTGATCAGGACATGCTGGGGTTTGATGTCCCAGTTAGTATTTTAAGTCTTCTCTGGTGGGGCTTGTTTGTTTAATTGGAGGATCCTTCTGGTCACAGAGTTTAGGAGATCTTACTGTCGCAGGTAGAAGTTGTGGCGTTTCTTTTTAGATGATGATAACTTAGAAAGATTCGTCCTGAACTTGACGTTAAAATTTTACTGCAGGTTTTCTTTTGGTTGTGACGTAAGGGGATAGCTAATTTATCGTCTTTGAGTCTAAGGCGAGTACGAGATAGTTTTACATCTCCACGCTCAGATCGACCAGCTTTAAAGCTTCTATGGGGAGTTTTTTTAACATTAATGAAATAGGATGAGATTCATATTGATGCTTTTTCATGATTTCCAAAAGCAAAAAAGATCATAAGGGACAAAGAGGAAAATTTGGATGTTGTCATTTTTAATGCCCCAAACTGAGGTGAGAGGGTAGGCGTCAACCAAGCGGCTAAATTAGGGATTTGACTTTCAATATTAGACAGGATGAGATATTTTGTTAAAAGACTCAGAGGATAGAATCAGCAAACACTGCTTTGTCCACAGGGGATGAGATCAGATTAGCATGAGATTAGTTTGAGATTATTTTAAAATGAGATGATATTATCTTGAGATGAGATTATTTTGAGATTAGTGTGAGATAAATTTGAAATGAGAGGAGAAGCGTGAGTAAATGTTTGTTTGAAATAAAATTAGATTATTTTAAAATGACATTAGTTTGAGATGAAATAAGTTTTAAATTGTCTTGAAATGAGATGAGATTATTTTGAGATTAGCATAAAATCAGTTTGAGCTGAGATAAATTTGAGATGAGATAAACTTAAAGTAAAATTAGATAATTTTGAGATTAGATTAGTTTGAGATTAGTGTGAGATAAATATAAGATTATCATGAGATTATTATGAGATTATCTTGAGATGAGATTATTTGAAGATAAAATATGATTAGTTTGAAACGATATTAGATTATATTGAAATAGATTAGATTTAGATGAGATTATCTTGAGATATGATGACCTTGAGATGAGCTTGACATGAGATAAGTTTAGTTTGACATGAGATTAGTTTAGTTTGAAATCAGATTAGTTTAGTTTGAAATTAGATAAGATTATCTTCAGATGAGATTAGATTAGTTTGAGATAAAATGAGCTGCGGTGCATCCCACAGTGGGGACATTTGCTTTGTTACAGCAGAAAAGCAAACAGAAGAATAAGTAAACTCAGCGTTTACACAGATTATTATTATAAAAAAAGTGAATTTAAACCTAATCAGAAATGTTTTATACAAAAAGAGAAAAAAAGAAGCAACAACAACAAAACAAAAACGGTTCCACACAAGAGCGAGCATGGAGGTCGAAGAGACAAAATCTACAGCTGTACTCTGATGTTCAGCCGCCCAAAGACATCAGATACTCGTCTGTGTGATAAAGACGGGAGGATAAACAGCCCAGAAAAAGGTTACAGACTCCTATTAGCCAGAGTAAAACTGGAGCAATTAGTCTCTGAGGCCGGCATCTGTGAGAAATGAAAGAAGGGAATCAGTGAGGAGTGAAAGATTTCTCTCTCCCACAGTGACTCACTGACAGATTGACCACCAGAAGAAGAAAAGCTGCTGGGTCTGGTTCAGTCATGGAGGCGATACAACAGAAAGCTCCCCCTCAGGGCCAGCAGAAATGCCAGAGCTGTACACTTGTTCGGAGCCGACTTTATGTCCCAGATCAGAGGCTCTTTCTTCTCACAGTGTGACATCCGAGGTGGCAGCAGCTCAGAGGTTAGGGAGGGAGACCGACGCCGCTCCTGACTGCTAAAAAATACGACTTCTGGAGGTAAATGACTCTAACTCAGAGTTTACACCTGAGAGAGGAGTGGAGCAGAGCTGCTTAGTACAAGACCACGAGGTTTAGCTCAGCTGGAGAGTATTTACCCGTGGTGGTCTTTAGTCCAACGATGGTCCGAGCTTTTATAGGGACTAAGTGTGTTTATTAAACGGTACAATGGGAGCTGTGCAGCGTGGAGGAAATGTATCTGCTCAGCAAACTCTCCCCGGATAAATAAGCTAAAAAGAGATTCTCTCAGCACATGCAGTTCAGCGTTGTCACCCTTTTTCCTCCCAGAACGTCTTGCTGCTATTTTTGTGCTGACACATCGTTTTTGATCAGAGAGCCGGAAATAGCCGTGGACGGGATTAAAGAATCACACAAGAATAAACTGGTAGAAACGAGTAAAAGTTATTTTTGACAACAGAAAGAAGAAAAAAAAGACAAAGTTTAAAGAGACACGCAGGTGACAGCGAGAACCTGAGAGCGTGATTACAAACGCTGGGAGGATTCAGGAAATGAAGATGTTGGATAAAAAGGTTTCACTGTAATCACATTTTCACAGCGGGAGGGGGCGCGGATAATCCAGGAGCGTGACGAAAGACCAAACAAGTCAGGACATGTTTCTGCAGAGTCATTATCTGGAAGGTAAGGAGCCGTCTGAAAACTGGGATTAAGGTTCGCAAACAAAAACTGAGATTAACATTTTCATCGGACTGAAGAGACAGCGAGAATAACGCTGTACTCGGCTGTCTGCTCCAGTCAAATCCAAACACAGAAAACACAGAAGATACTCAGAGGAAGATGAACGACTCCCTTTTTAGCACACAGCGAGACAGAACTATTGACCAAGGGTGAAAAACTGAGCGAAAATGTAAATAAGACCTGCAGAAAAACTGGAAATCATGACACTGACTTCATTTTGAGCGACTGATAACTGCTGCAGATATTCACACTGACACTGAACAATGACAGGAGATAACACAGAGTTTTAAAAAAGTTATTTTACTCTTACAAACTAAAAAAAAAGATGTTAAAAATCTGAAACCATGACATGCAAATCTGGTGTTTTTTGTACAAATTAAAAAGCAGGTTTTTTTTCTTTTCTTGCGCAGTAGTTTGTCTACTTTTGGAAATATCAGTGATTTAAAACTCAGGATTGAAGCAGAAGAGGCTCTTCAGTTCATATTAGGACCATAAAGTTCATCTAAAATTTGCTCTAATGAACTTTAAACTTGAATCTGTGTAAACTTAATTCTGAACTTGGGTTGTGAAGCATAATGACACGGTTGGAGATGCTGTTTTTTACTCTGTTTAGTGTTCGGAGAGGAGGAGGATAAAGAGATGAGAGTAAAGATGAAGTGCTCCAGGGGAAAAATGTCAAGGTGAGGGAGTGAAAATGTAAATGAGAGGAAACTCGGCGAGTCTTCGGACCGTGAAGATGAATGTCACAGTTGATGTTTAAAGAAGAGACGCCGTGTGCTCTAACCTGAACATGAAGGTCTGTTTTAAACCCAGGCAGCTCTTTATTTCTGCAGCACTGTGGGAAAAACACACCTGGACTTCTATCAGCTGCAGCTTGTTTGTTCTATTTTGTTTACCTGACATTTCCTGGTGTTTTGCACGTGCAACACTGAAGACATCTCGCCTCTCTCAGCTCCGGAAAACGTCATTTCTGAGAATTAAATCCATCTGGTTTTGTCGACACTGTTGTTTGTGTGCCGGTTGAATACTGCAGAATAAACACTTAATTGCTATTCATGCTCAAAGGGCATTTTATTGATATTAATGTCAAACGGTCTGATCCGGTTTGACCTCCACAGAATACATGAATAAAATGAAAACGAGCGCTCTAATGATCCGCTCTGACTCTCAATACTGCACCATGAAACCAGAGCAGCGTATGGAATTATATCCACCCCCTATGGAGAACAGGGATGGGGATCGACAACCGGCTCCCAGATAAAAACCGGTTCCAACCAGTTGCAGCCATCACCATTATCTGCCTCTGCCCTTCCGGGCTCTTTAGATTGACTTCCCTCTAAAGTCCCTCGTGGCCGAAAAAAGCCACTTTTTTTGTCTGCTGTAAAATCATATTGGATTAATATTTTTTTCTGATTTTTTTTCACACATCTTTTATTTTACTTCTGCCCTGTTCGAAACTAGCAAATGTTTCATTGAAAACAATTTTTTTTAACCCTTTAAGTGCCAATTTAAGACAAAAAGTCACTAATAGGGCAAAAAATTAAAGGAAAATGACCCATTTTTTTATAAAACATGATCAGAAACTGGTAATCTCTTGCAGGGTATCAGAGTCTTGAATAGGTCAGAGATTAGTAATATAATTGACTTAGATGCCTTTTAGGTTTTTCTGTAGCATCAGATTTAATGAAAAACTGCGTTTGGCGCCCCTCAGTGGCCAAAACTACTTTGACTGCTGTAAAATGATATTGGATTAATATTTTTTTCTGATTTTTTTTTCATACATTTCTTATTTTACTTCTGCCCTGTTCAAAACTAGCAAATGTTTCATTGAAAATAAAAATTTTAACACTTTAAGGGCCAATTTAAGACATAAAGTCACTTAAAAAGAAAAAAAAAATGGAAGGAAAATTTTAAGGAAAATGACCCATTTTTTTATAAAACATGATCAGAAACTGGTAATCTCTTGCAGGGTATTTAAGTCTTGAATATGTCAGAGATTAGTAATATAATTGACTTCAATGCATTTTAAGTTTTTCTTTAGCATCAGATTTAATAAAAAACTGCCTTTGGCGCCTCCCAGTGGCCAAAACTACTTTGTCTGCTGTAAAATCATATTGGATTAATATTTTTTTCAGATTTTTTTTCATACATTTCTTATTTTACTTCTGCCCTGTTCAAAACTAGCAAATGTTCCATTGAAAATAAAAAATTTTAACCCTTTAAGGGCCAATTTAAGACATAAAGTCACTTAAAAAGCAAAAAAAATGGAAGGAAAATGAAGGAAAACGACCCATTTTTTTAATAAAACATGATCAGAAACTGGTAATCTCTAGCAGGGTATCAGAGTCTTGAATATGTCAGAGATTAGTAATATCATTGACTTAGATGCCTTTTAGGTTTTTCTGTAGCATCAGATTTAATGAAAAACTGCGTTTGGCGCCCCTCAGTGGCCAAAACTACTTTGTCTGCTGTAAAATCATATTGGATTAATATTTTTTTCAGATTTTTTTTCATACATTTCTTATTTTACTTCTACCCTGTTCAAAACTAGCAAATGTTTCTTTGAAAAAAAAATTTTCACCCTTTAAGGGCCAATTTAAGACAAAAAGTCTCTTATGAAGCAAAAAAATGGAAGGAAAATGGAAGGAAAATGACCTTATTTGCTTCATAAGAGACTTTTTGTCTTAAATTGGCCCTTAAAGGGTGAAAAATTTTATTTTCAAAGAAACATTTGCTAGTTTTGAACAGGGCAGAAGTAAAATAAGAAATGTATGAAAAAATCTGAAAAAAATATTAATCCAATATGATTTTACAGCAGACAAAGTAGTTTTGGCCACTGAGGGGCGCCAAACGCAGTTTTTCATTAAATCTGATGCTACAGAAAAACCTAAAAGGCATCTAAGTCAATTATATTACTAATCTCTGACATATTCAAGACTTAAATACCCTGCAAGAGATTACCAGTTTCTGATTATGTTTTATTAAAAAAATTGGTCATTTTCCTTCATTTTCCTTCCATTTTTTTTGCTTTTTAAGTGACTTTATGGCTAAAATTGGCCCTTAAAGGGTTAAAATTTTTATTTTCAATGAAACATTTGCTAGTTTTGAACAGGGCAGAAGTAAAATAAGAAATGTATGAAAAAAATCTGAAAAAAATATTAATCCAATATGATTTTACAGCAGAAAAAGTAGTTTTGGCCACTGGGAGGCGCCAAAGGCAGTTTTTTATTAAATCTGATGCTAAAGAAAAGCTTAAAATGCATTGAAGTCAATTATATTACTAATCTTTGACATATTCAAGACTTAAATACCCTGCAAGAGATTACCAGTTTCTGATCATGTTTTATAAAAAAAATTGGTCATTTTCCTTAAATTTTTCCTTCCATTTTTTTTTGCTTTTTAAGTGACTTTATGTCTTAAATTGGCCCTTAAAGGGTTAAAATTTTATTTTCAATGAAACATTTGCTAGTTTTGAACAGGGCAGAAGTAAAATAAGAGATGTATGAAAAAAAATCAGAAAAAAATATTAATCCAATATGATTTTACAGCAGACAAAGTAGTTTTGGCCACTGGGAGGCGCCAAACGCAGTTTTTCATTAAATCTGATGCTACAGAAAAACTTAAAATGCATCAAAGCCAATGATATTACTAATCTCTGACATATTCATGACTTTGATACCCTGCAAGAGATAACCAGTTTCTGATCATGTTTTATAAAAAAAATGGGTCATTTTCCTTAAATTTTTGCTATATTTGTGACTTTTTGTCTTAAATTGGCACTTAAAGGGTTAAAAAAAATTGTTTTCAATGAAACATTTGCTAGTTTCGAACAGGGCAGAAGTAAAATAAGAGATGTGTGAAAAAAAATCAGAAAAAAATATTAATCCAATATGATTTTACAGCCGACAAAAAAAGTGGCTTTTTTCGGCCACGAGGGACTCTGGAGGGTGAAAATTTGTCCTGGCTTTATTATTGACCTGGTGAAAATGTTGAATTCATGTTTTCGAGTAGAATTTCAAATTAAGCTTAGAAAAAAAAATTCATCACATTTGCTGCAGTAAAAAAAAAAATATATCCAAATAAGTCTCTTGTTTTTTCGTCAAATGGCCGAATTCGGCCACAGGGACCCGGAAGGGTTACGGTTCCCTGATCGATTCTTTTCGCTCGGGTCTGCGTGCCTCGCACAATAATCACAAGAGGAAGATAACGGTGCAAAAGACGTCAGAGAGGAGACAGGAGCAGTTCAAAACTGTGTCGGAACAGCTAAATACGAGGGCGGGGCGATGAACCCAAAATTTATTACAGTAACCAACGTCATTTTTCCCATATCGGTATATTCAGTGTCAAAATAATAAATCTATCAATAATAAATCTTTTTGGATGTGTGTAGGTAGGCTATGGTCTCATGTCCCTTTAAGACGCTGTCCTACATCAGAGACGTGACTCCACCCCATCCAGTCTGTAATAAAGAGGGAAAGACAGGTGAGGAGATGGAGGACGGAGAGAAAGTTGGAGCGGCTGAAGTAGACAAAGTTAATGTGGGAGGGGGAGAGCAGCTGGTGGAGTAGTTATCGTCCATTTATCGTTATCGAGGTGAACTGATCGATATATCATGATATTGATTTGAGGCCATATCACCCAGCTCTACTAAATACTGTTGATTACAGAATCAGCACTTAAAGCAGAACGGTGCAACGTACGGATTTATCGTAAAATCCACTCACTCTGTGAGGCCGACAGTTTTACAGTAAGAAGACTGTAGTTAAGACTGTCCTGATCCAATCCTTTACATATGAAGTTTCTAAGACCTGTTACTGATCCCCTAAAAGACATACTGATTCATGGTGAAGACTCAGTGTGGAATCTAGAACATAATTCACACAGCTGTGTTTTTTAGGAGGTCACTTTTGAGGGTTAAAGTTCTGCCGATGTGACATTTCCCTGCAAAGTTAAGCAACTTTCAGTTTCTGTGCAGCTGTGTAGCTCTTCCTAGTTCAACATGTGAAGTTTGTAATCCTGCTGTAGTTACTAGTAGATAAACTGAGCTCAGTATATGATCACTTTGATATGTAAGTTATAGATGAGCTGACTGTCTGTAAACAGGGTTCCTATGCAAGTATGGAAAAGTATAAAAGTAGTTTGATCAATTTCCAGGTCTTAAAAAGTATGGTAAATGAGAAATAAAGTATGGGAAAATATTTATGTTTCCAGAATATTACCACAGTTCTAAAAAACTGTTTTCTAAAAAAAGAAACGCAGGTGTATCCAAAAATAATTCTAAAAAGTAGGGTATGGAAAAGTATGGAAATTCCAACTGTGTAGGAACCCTGTGTAAACAATTTACTAAGAGATGCAGCGCTAACCTCCACTGGTCACAAACCAGAACTCCACAGAGTGTTTTGACTCACTGGTGAAACATTGAAAATGGACAAATACACGCTCATGTTCCAGGAAGCTGAAACCCAAAATCTCATCTGGTTTTTGCATCATAATTAATGTTAAAATTTCATCTCATGTAACTGCTAATATATTTATTAAACGAGGTCGAAATCTTGACACGAAGCCTCTCCTGTTCCGCCCACTCTCTGTTTTTCCAGCTTAAATATCGGAGGTTTGTTTGTTTTAATGACAGAAAAGAAAAAGCACGCTCTGTTGGGATGTCTTGGCATCCTTATTAAACTGTCAAGAAGACCAGGCGTCTATAAAACCAGTAAGACTGAGCTCTGATGGCGTCTATTCCACGGTTAATTATTATTAAACAACCACGAATAAAAACTTGAACTTCATACAGCAAAGAGGATCGATTTCCAAACTGTTCTCCGCATATTTTTCCAAATGCGTTTAAGGAGTTTTATCTTGAACTCCTTGTTTCTCAGATGTTTAACTGAAGTCAGTGCTGCAGTTTTGGCTCCATCCACCGGAGGTTAAACGAGCACAGAGCGGCTCCGCTCTCACAAACGCCTGTTCAAAAAAAACTCAAAAGCACAAGTCGACCGTTTTTGCCTTCTGCTCTCCAAGGGTATGTGGGGAATGAATGGAAGCTGTCCAAGTCAAATCCATATATTTAGAAAAACGCTTTGGACAGCGCAGGGAGGGCGGCATCTCGGCCGACAAGAGAGAAAAACTGAATCCACAAGTTTGAACATATGAAACTGAAGATCTGGAGTCTGTGAGAGACGTTCAGAGGAGTCCACTTCATTTACGATGTCTTCTCCCTTTATTCCCACAGATCAAGGAAAAGTCCTGAAGGTCCTCCACAGCAGTGAGGGGGTCTTCATCGTGTCCCAGTACTCCCTGTTTCACAACGAGGGTCCAGTTCTAAACATGGCGATTGATTCCCAGAAGGTACGTGAAGTTTAGAGGTGATTTTTAACGTATTTCTGCTCAAAGGAAACATGGAAACAGCGAAGTGACTAAACTCCAGGAGAAAAAGATGTAAAATTGAACATTTCAGCGTTTGTCTGGAGTTCATTTAAAATACAGTCTTTCTTTGTATAATAGAGAATTTCAGCTTCATAAATCTGAGCTCTGCTCACGGCTCGAACACAAAAGGTACAAAGAGTCCTGATTACTCTATTGAATCCATTCCCCAGGTAGGATCCTATTGCAGCTGTTAGATGGGCTGTGAGTAATAACCATGAGGTGAGACAATAATGAAGCAGGTTACAGCCCCAGGTGTGGACCGTGATCATGAATATGAAACTTGAAGCAGTTAAAACAGTGTATGAAGGAGTAACCCCCAATTTCCACCACATCCTGATTGTCTCCTAAAAGGTCGTATCCTCCGATCGTAGCTGATCGTTTCCATTTAAGGTAACGAGTCAATTTACACCGACTTCTTTCCGTTCCTCTGCGGATCGCCGGACTCCTCAGCTGATCACAAGAGTTCTATTTTTTACGGACGCCGAAGCATGGCGGATAAATTCAGCACAGATTAACCCGTCGTTTCACCGCGATGACACCATGGATGAGGAGATGCTGATTCTAGAAGTAGATTTCCTCCTCTGGAAGGACACAATCTACTGCTTATATGTCTATGTGTCTGTCTTTATAGAGACAACTCGTCATCGCGCGATTTAACGTGAATCTGCAGGTTCTTGTGAGTTCTTGCGATTCCCGCTGTCCGTAATCCACCACGAAATTCGCCTAACAAACTGATCCAGTAAGAAACCGTGGACGGCGAAAATCACTGCCGTTCCGGATGCGGTAGAAATTCAGGGAACAGTTACTTCCTGTTTGATAAAAAGACACCAACACATCGACCCTGCGGCGCTTCTTTATTCGTTTGCCGTCTAACAAACACAAAACCGGACTGTGAGGTTCCATCACTTCTTTATATCACATGAATCTCCTCCAGTCACGTCATAAGTATGGCCTTCTTGTCTTATTGATGTTTCTGTGGAGATGATTTCACCGTCCCATTTCTCAGTCTGTGTCGCAGTGAGCGCTTGTAATTTCTTTTATAAGTAGCATCCAATAACCGCGCCGCCCTGCATGACTTACTCCTGTAATATTGTGTTGTTGTTATTGAGTCATAAAACACATACCTGATTGCATATTTCCCTCCTCAGGGACACCTGTACGTCGGCACGGCCATGGAGGTCCAGAGACTGCCGCTGGCTGACTGCGGTCGCTATGGCGACACATGCAGAGAGTGCATCCTGTCCAGGGATCCTTACTGCGGCTGGGACCGGGCCAGGAGGAAGTGCATCGCCATCCCGCCTGGATACAACGTCACGACTGGGTATGATTGGACATGATGTCACCGCTGCAGAGCCGGCGTCTGTTTTTGAGCTGATAGAGGGAGGGAAGGAGGACGCTCATTAGCAATTCAAGGAACGCTCTGGATTAGTGCTGCCAGATCGAAAACATTAACCCACTTAACTCCACGACAACAAGGAGTCCTCTAGTGCATTAACTGGTACTCCAGCTAATTGTACTTTGATTTCTCTGAGTTTTCATGTTGGTACAGCTGGTACAACCCAAGCTAAAACAATAATGACCAACCGAGTATAGAAATGTAATAAACAGAACACAAGAGAGCAGATCTAGGAGCAGTAACAACAGAGTCCTTTGACTGATGGCGCACTTAAACTTTACACACTCACACCTGTAAGCTGCACATCACTTCCTCTCTGACATCTGCCCTCAGGCGTGTTCTCCACCGAGTCGTTGTTTTCTGATGTGCAGGATGTAACCTCCCCACGAAGAACAGAATATATCCATAAACTGCTCAGATTTTGTTGTTTTATCTCTATATTTAGTCACTTTTTCTGCAGTTCTCCACATGTTGTATTGTTTCTGCTTAATGTGGTGGAATCTAAATTTCTTAAACACTTCATATCCAGAAATAAACGCAGCAAACTGAGGTCGATCCTGGACTGATTTTCATTTTGATTCCACTGTGTCCTGTGGAGAGTACAGGGGTCAGCCAAACACGACCTAATCAGCTGCTCCCAGCTCGGGCCGCTCTGATGAATTTCTGGCATGTTAGAAATTCTGGCTGGCCAACTGCAAACTCAGGAGAACGAGCCGATTCTCCAAGATCAGCTTTTTTTTCTGTTTGCAGCTCCATAAATGACGGAAAGTGTCTGAAGGCACCAAGTCAACTGAAACACACATTAACTCATTCAGTGCCAGGTTCATTTATGCACATTTTACCCAGTGCCACTATTGACCGCAATAAAAATTTCCCTGTCTTTCGTATCGGCAAAGATGGTCAAATCATCTTTGCCGATCTGGAAAAAGAAACCTGAGAAAAACACGTTTTTTATGAAGGAGAGACTTTCAAGCAGAACTCTGATCATCTATTAAACTTCACTTTAAACTACTTTACCGGTGGCATCAAGGTCCTCCCTCTTCCAACACCACTCTACTTCACTCTCGAGATCCGATTGTGATAGGTCGCTTTGTGATGGCTGAGAGTCACATTGGCTCTCAAGAACCTGACACCACGGCATAAACCACACCGATTGCTCTCGTCCTACTCGCCGGGACTGTCGCTGAATTCCAGCGCAGTCTCACTCACCAGTATCACAGTAGCACAATAACACACCGGAAAACTGTTTCTTTGATTGTCTGCTGACGACGTGAAGGTCCAGTACTGGGATCTCCACTGGATCCAGAGACGGTAGCACCACTTCCACGGGAGCCGATGTGCCGAGACCGTTTGCTCTTGGCCAATGACTTTGGCATTTTCCTCCTCTCCTTGTAGAGAAAAAAACACTCCGCAGCTAGGCTAATTGGCACACTTGATGGCACCCTTCTCACTGGCCAGTACTTGTTTTTGTTACTATAACATGGTTATGACGTGTTTGTCGACTTTTTTTGTGCTCAGAACGACCCCAAACTTAGTTGCATGTTGGGGAGGAGCGCCCTCTGGTGAAAAACAAACAATAAAAAATGGAAAAATCCGTCAGAATCCGTCATTGGCACTGAATGAGTTAATCTGTAATAATCAACTAAAACATTACGACCACTAGGACCAGTCCAGTACAACAGCTCTGCCACAAATTCCTGTGTGCCTTACGAAGCTTCTGCATTTTCCACTCGCACAGCTTGTGTTCATGTATATTTCTGGTACATTTGTATAATTGCACGGAGCATTTCCAGCCTCAAGGGTTTGGATTTCATATAAGTTATGCTCTTTTCATTATTGCCGTGTTTTCCATCATTTGAACCAGGAGCCATAATTCAAACAGTAAACCAAATCAATACGTTGCTCCACCTAACAGAGAATTACAATGCAATGAGAATTCAAAAGCACTGACTTCAGCTTGCAGAAGGCTTGAAGGCTTCAGCTCTTACAGCTTGTTAAGATCAGTTCAAACAGATTTATGCAAACAAGGACGTCCTGCAGCCAAACGTGTCCGTCCTCCTGCTGTCTGGGTTTTTAGTTTCATGCAACATGATGTGCAAGAAAGTGAGACCGTCAAGGAAAGTAGAGATCAAAAAAGTTGCAGAAACATGTGTAGTTCAGAAAACAACTTCATTAAACCAACTCCCTTTGGCTTGTGGCCCGTCAGGGTTAGGGTTAGGGTTGTGGCCGAAGGTTTGGGGTTTCTGAATGACTTTCTGTCATTTATGGAGCTGCAAACAGAAAAAAAAGCTGATCTCAGAGAATCGTCTCGTCCTCCTGAGTTTGCAGTTGGCCAGCGAGAGTTTCTAACATGCCAGAAATTCATCAGAGCGGCCCGAGCTGAGAGCAGCTGATTGGGTCATGTTTGGCTGACCCCTGTACGTGTTGGTCTCATAAAGTTGTTTCCTGAACTACAAGTGTTTCTGGAGCTCTTTTGATCTCTCCAAGCATCTTGGATGTTGGTGAAGTTAAGCCAGAACTTCTGACCGTCAAGGAAAGTGCAACATGATCACGTAGAAGACCAAAGCCCTTACTTCGTATCGCAAAAGGCGTCCCAGTCATTTGTTTTTTACTAGAATTTTCTCCAACCCTTTTAAACCACCTTACAAATTGTGACGAATCATAAAACGATGACAGAGGATGTAAAAACCTGCCCCTGAGTTTCAGCTTCCAGCAGCAGACTGGTTGTAAAAAGCTTCATCTGCAACTAATAATACGGTAATATCTCCTGTTCTGACTGACAGTCATTAGCTGTGGGGTGATGAAACGTTGGTAAAAATACATTCAGCTCATCAGTGATGCATTTTGCACTTGGACTGCATCGGTTAAAGAAGTGCTTTAGCTTTAATGGATCTTTGGTTTTCTAATTTTAAGGCCGAATATAAAAATCAATCATGTGCTGTAATGAGCCTCCGACTCCTTTCTTTGCCTTCTCTCTCTCTGACTTCACTGATTGATTTGTCTCTGCATGTTTTCATTTGTATGTAACAGTCAGTTGATGTGAAAGTGTTTAAAGCGGCTAATTTGTCCTCTCTATTATTTTTCCGACAGGGGGCTCATTCAGAATCTGGACTATTCCAACTCCTCGGTTTGTGGGGAAGCTGCTGGTGAGCCCTTATCTGCTCTCTCCCACTCTCTCTCTCTTAATTAAACCAGAATAGGAACCTTTCTGAGCAGCTACAGTAAAAAGATGATTATCATATAATTGAGTCCAAGAAGCCCGCAGGGAGAGACTCTTTTCCCCCCACATCTTGCCCCGTCTCAGCGCTGAAAACCCAGTTTTAACCTCAAATAACCGTGACAATGACCCCGCCTTATCTCTCTGAAGTGATCAGACTTTAACATTTCATTTATTTTCATTTGTGTCAAAGGTGGCACATGACCTTTCCGCTGATCCGGCGACAGGTTTGATCCTTTCACTCAGACAATTACACTGTGATCTTAAAACAGAGAAAAATCCTCCAACAAAAGGCTGTTTTTAAATCGACCTCATTCTATTTAAGCTGGATAAACTCCGAACCAGAATATGACTTGATGTTTTCACTTGAAAAAGCTCTTTTCAGTCACTGCCAAGCTTTTCAATGCAGCACCACGGGAGCCGAGATGACAATCATTGGAAATACGTTTCCCTTTTTTTCACAGTCAAAGCAGCTTCTCAGATCGAGTCGGCAAACATTCATTTCTTTGTTTGACAACTACAGCAGGTTAAGTGGCGTAATAATAACTCTATGGTGTGGCTCTGTTGAAAACTCATTTCAACTATATCTTCTTTTTGAGTTTGTTCACCTTACTAATGAAAAAAAATGATAAGGCCAAAACTTCAGGTCCAGACGGTCACGTTTGTTTTTGGTCAGAGTTAGCAGCACGAGTCAATCATTGACTTTGTTTTACACTCCCAATTTAAAAAACAGATTTAGATGGTTTCCAATTCATTTAAACTCTATATATTTAATTGGAAAATGTGCAAGGACAATATATCAATGTTTGAAACTAACAAGTTTGTTATTAAATGAAAAAATGCTCATTTGAAGTTTTTGTACCTGCAAAATGTTTCAAAAAGTTGGGGAAGCTGCTGATGCTGAAAGGTAAAAACCTAGAGGAACATCGACCTCTTATCTGCAAGGTTCAGTAACATTATTGTGTATAAAAACAGGTATTTCAGAGAGGCCATGTCCCTCAGGAGTGAAAATGGGAACAGGGTCTGTGAGAGTCTGAGTGAGCAAATAGTTCAACAATTTCAGGTTTTTGTTCCTCAGCGTAAAACTGCAAAGAATTTCAGGATTTCATCATCTAAAAGAAACAGGAGAAATCTTTGTACAAAAGGTTTAAAAACCAGGACTGGATGGTTATGATCTTCAGGTCCTCACATTCAAAAGAGACAGGACTCTGTAGTTGAGTCACTGCATGGGCTTAAAATCATAGAAACCACAAACTCTGCTCTAAAGAAGAGAAGTACGAGTCTGTCTGCAAATCAATCAACACTTTAAATTTTAACATCTTTTTTAATGATGTTTGAAGATTCAAAGAAACTTCTGTACAAGAGCGGTTGAGGCCAAAAACCAACAACAGACGGCCCCTTATCTCCGGGTGTTAAAAACAGACTTGACTCTAAAGTGGAAATCCCTGCATGAACTCAAAAACCATCGTCTGTGAATGAAGTTGGATTTGTGCTTCCAGATTTATGCAGAGAGGGAATATCAGTAACATCTTCAGGCCCGAGATCATTAAAGATGGACTGAAGTAATTAAACTAAACTATGATTAAAATTAATGATATTCAGCTTTAACAAATCAAGTAACTCCAGTCTCAACTTTTACTGACAAGATTCCCAGAAATTCAACGCTATAATTGGACTTCAGCGTCATGACTAATCTGAGAAAAGGAAACCGTTCTTATTAAGATCTCCAAACGGGATAATTATCATTGTGATAAAAAAAAATAAAGTTTCTCAAAGTTTTTCCCATGACCCCTCGGGCAGAGTTCACTCCCGGTGTTAGACTGCAGACGCTCGGACAGAATTCTTAATGGTGAAGATTCAATTTGGCGTGCAGCTGTCTTTATTTCCGTCCATCCTCAGGGACCTGACTACCCAGGTTTGCTTCAATTTATTCTAACTTAGTGAGGAAATTCAAATGCAGCTCCTCCGTGTGACTTCCTCTCTCTCTAAAAGAGATCATGATTGGATTAACCTGTGAGGGAGCCTCAAGCCAGAACTCAGCCATAGGTCTCACTTGACAACTTGGCACATGGCCTGTTTAAAAGACAGACGATAATGTGGGACCTGCCTTCAGGCTCGGAGAATTCCTCTTGGTGATATACTATAACGGAGCATATTCCCAAATTCATCAGCTGCTAATCAAATAACCACAAACTTGCTTACACACATAATGAATAGGAGGACTTTGGGTCCCTGATGATCCAGGGCCTTGAGGCAGTTCCCTGCTTTTCCAGGCTGGTAATCCTGCCTTGTTAAATTCGACAAAACAACCGATGTGCAGAGCAGCATGAGGATGAGCTAGACCGTAGTGAGGTAGGGCAGAGAGTCTGTTTAACGGCTAAAGCTGCTTCAGACTAAAGCGAATGTACAGTACAGGCCAAAAGTTTGGACACACCTTCTCATTCAATGCATTTTCTTTGTTTTCATTACTATTTAAATTGTAGATTCTCAAAACTATAAATGAACACATGTGGAATCATGTGCTTAAGAAAAAAGTGTGAAATAACTGAAAACATGTTTTGTATTTTAGATTTCTCAAAGTAGCCACCCTTTGCTTTTTTGATAGCGCTGCAAACTTTAGCTGTTCTCTCAATGAGCTTCATGGGGTAGTCACCTGAAATGGTTTTTACTTCACAGGAGTGCCTGAAGTAACCCTGACAAGGTACTTCTGTCATCAAGAGCAAAGGGTGGCTATTTTAAAGAAACTAGAATATAAAACATGTTTTCGGTTATTTCACACTTTTTTTATAAGTACAAAATTCTACATGTGTTCATTCATAGTTTTAATGCCTTCAGTAATAATCTACAATGTAAATAGTCATATAAAAAAATAAAGAAAAGACATTGGATGAGAAGGTGTGTCCAAACTTTTGGCCTGTACTGTACGTACACACAGGTTAGTCCACACAGAACAACAACAAACATCACCTCGACTGATCTCAACCACCGTAACTGTAACAGGATAGTGGAAAAAAACGGTCCAACAAGGAGCTTCAAAGGCAGAAGAAGTAAAAGTTTAAACTGACCCCCAAACCTTCAGACTTGACCCCCAAATCTGACAGCATCTTATAAACAAGTGCAACGTATTTTCTGGATTTTGCATCAAGTGTATTCTACTGTAGCCAAACACCCCGTTTATCTATCTGCACATGCTATGGTATCTCATCACACCATCTCATACTTGTATCCTATCACATCGTCTCATGTTGTCTCATATCGTATCGACTGGTACTGTATCGTCTCATATCATCTCATCATATTGTATCGTTTCATTTCGTATCGTATCGTCTAGTCTTGTCTCGTCTGTTTATGTCGCCTCATATTTTATCATATCATCTCGTTTTGTCTAATTGTATTCTCATATCATATCGTATCATCTCATATTTTCTTGTCATCTCATATCGCATTGTATTGTGTTGAATAGTCTTGTATCATTTTGTATAATCTCATATCTTCTCATCTCATATTGTCTAGTCTTGTCTGGTTTGTCTCGTATCATACCGTATCATCTCGTATTGTCTCATATTGTAGTATCTCATATCATATCGTTCCGTATCATCTTATATCGTGAGGTCTTCTACTGTATCGTCTCATATTGCATCATTTCATATTGTATAGTCTCCCATCATCTCATGTAGTACTGTCTCATATCATCTCATAGTGTATCGTCTCACCTCATTATTGAAGCTCGATCTTTGAAACCTTATCACAAAACCTCCATGATCCCTTCACTTTTAAACTTGTCACAGGCTGATTGAACTACCTTTAACTGGTCATATTAATGTTTTTGATCCCTGTCTTCGCAGCTCTGAAACTGCGTCGCACCTCCCCAAGAGAGGTACTGGTGCAGAAAAACACCACCATCTTCCTCCCTTGCCCTGTGCGCTCCTTCCACGCCACCTATCGCTGGGAGAAAGACAACTGCGTCAAAAACTATCCCTGCCTTTTCTCTGGGGACTTCTGCGTCCTGGGGCCGGTTGTTGACACGCCCCTGAAGGAAGGCGTTTTCCGCTGCATGGCCACCGAGGACGGATTCAAGGTGGAGGTGATCTCCTTCAGGCTGGTGAACAACGGCAGACTCCTCGCCGCCTCCCTGGCCTCCACCTTGGGGCTGTCGCTCCTGCTGGCTGTGGCCACCTTGTGGCTTCATTAACTGCAGCTAACGCTAAGGCTAACCCCTCATCCTTACTGGCTCCCTATGACAGGAAAGGCGAGGAGCCGATGTTAGGAGGTGAGGTTTGCAGAGCATTCAAGTACGCGGTTGGGTTGGATGATGAAAATTCACCCAAATGATTTTTAGAGACACAATCTGATTTCAGAGAATGATGGATTGATGAAGGATCCATATTTTTGCATAAATATACATAACTTAGTAATATCAGATCTAGAAAACAGTTCAATTGATATTCAGAGCGAGGAGATACTGTTCATGAACGGACACGTCTCGATTCAGCCATATTTGGGTGCTTTGCTAACCTTTCCTCACTGACTCAAAGAGATAAACATATCGTATGAGTTGGGCAAAAAAAACACCAATACCAGGCCAATTCTTTTCCTCATTTCTCTACTTCTTTTGACTTGATTGTGCTTATTTGTGAATCTATAAACCTTTAATACCCTTACATCCATCCATCCATTCATCTCGTTAAACTTCATCGATAAAGCTCATTAGTACTTAGAAAAATGTCTGGTATTGAGATTCAAAAGCCTTAACACTTCTGGGACATAGACTCCTAAGCACAATTTTGCAGTCGAGGCAGAATACTGCAGGCTCGGTTGGACTTGGCGCTATAATTACTGCAGCCGAGTCTAACAACATCGCTGGGAGGAAGTGTCAGCTATTTGACAGGAAGTAGGCGTATGGGCTAAAGCTCATTTTCGAACATCACTGTGTCTCAGCACCTCCTCCTCAGACGAGGCAGTTTTCTTGCATCTTTTTATCAGATGGTATCAGACGCCGTTATGACGCCTTGTTCACAGCTTTGTCCGTTGTTCTTTGTTTCCCATCGTCTTTCCTCCTCCCCAGAGCACTAGAACAAAAACCCTCAAGTGAACGCCTACAGGTCCTTTGGATAAAAGTTACTTTTTTTTTTTAGCATTTAAGAGCAAAACCACCTCAGAATTTATCAGGATAAGGGAAAAGTTTGATTTAGGTATCAAATTTAGGTCAAATGGACAAAATGTAAGTTTGATTTTGTTATTTTTCTGTTTGGATGTTCGTTGTGAGGAGACGATGGTTGCAAACGCCATAAAAAGGTTCCCTTTGCGCATCTCATTGGTCCAGAAGTCCAAGTATCCATCCTTTTACAACAAGAGGAGCCAAAATGCTGCAAACATCATGTAATCTATTCAAACCTGACAATGTGTAAAGATGTGAACAAGGTGTTAAAGCAATTTCGACAAACGTGCATCAACAAAAGGGCAGATGGAGCTAAATGGAACTGCGTATTCGGCTTGCATTTCATAGTTTTGAGAAAAAAAAGGCTTGTATTTAGATCCGTGAAGTATGTTCTGTATTTAATTGCTCTGCAGATGCTGATTTCTACCATTGCTGCCTACGTATATGTCTTGATTGTTTGGGTTTTTACGCCATAGTTAAAACGTGATATGTAACCATTGAATGCTTTGCCTCTTCTCCGCAGGGACATCAGTGCAAATATACAAGAAAAACGGTTCTCTCTCTTTTTCATACTCGTATCTCTATGCTGTGAAACATAAGGCGTGACAGATTCCTGCAGAGATGCTTCACCGACGTATAGCGGCAACCACAACCGGAGGCGAGAGCGCCGTTTTAACAGTACATTATCTCCTCTCATAATGCAAAAGTTATTGGCTGATTAATGCTGAATGTAAGAAGAACCAGGAGTAGTGAATGTAGCTGCAGTTGGACAGCCATGAAATGCCAAAAAACTACAGCCGAACCTTATGAATACTGATCAGCTGACTGGGGAAGCAGGCTGGAGCGCTGGTGAATTATGCAGCGGATTAGTTTGTTCTCCAGAGCATTGAGAATTATCGTTCTGTAATGTAACATAGCTTTGGCCGTGCACAGTGGTGGAGATGTCATTAATAGCTAATTAGACATTAGAGCCGCTCATCATGGTCCACATTAAGGAATTATTTCACACCAACAGGAACACAAGCAGCGAGCATGTTCTCAGCTAGGATGATGATCTCGAGGTAACGCCGTCTTTCTCGCTCCGCTCGGTTGTGCGTTGCTGCTCTGGGATCTGCTCACTTTCTGCATTGCACTGACGCGGCCTACTGACTGTGCCAAAAAAAAAAAAAAAGAAAAAGAAAAGAAAAACAAAGCTGTGTTGAGCCAAGTCATCTGCCCGATGCTTATTGCCTCTTTTGACATCCGCTCGCTCCTCACCTCATGTAATATTTTCTAGCAGAGACACCCTGAGTGCGAGTACAACGCCGATCTCTCCTGAAGCCAGAATCACAAACACAAAGCTGCTGCAGGTCTAACATGCATATTAATCTTCTTTGTGTCTCTGTGCTGCCACCAGGGTGGGAAATTAACACCAGCCAAGTGCTGCTGAGCATTTAGTAGAGGCTGTTAATGAAGTTCATGCAGCCAAAGACACTTGCCAGAAAAACTAACTCAACATCCTCAGACATTTCCCTGTATAACCTTCTTTGTACTGTACCTATAACTGCTGTGTATGTGTCGTTGTGATTTGACCCAGAGAGCTCTTATAATTACCACTATGAGAGGGGAGGCCTGTGCTATTTCAGAGGGCATCAAACCAAGTGTACGCTTGTGCACCGAGTCCCAAATCCAGACTATATAGAGCTGTAGGAGACTGTCTTCAGGGAACAGAGTGCAGCTGAGTCTTTCAGACACTTGACACAACCGACTGTGTGTTCAGCTTTGCCTATAAGTGACCTTTAACGATTAAGGTGCTACTCGAAAGGAGGGGTTGAGCGGTCAGCTGGCTTGTGGGAATATAAAAAGGTTTGTAATCGCTACATAACGATGAGTGGGTTTACTAAAACATTTTTTTTATTAACCAAGCGCTTTTATTCGCCAAAGCATGGCCTCACAGTCTCATGGGAAGGTCTCTTTTTCAAATTAGTAAAATTTGCTCTACTAGTGGACTCAGAGAAGGACACGAGGAGGGCTAAACATGCTAAAATATGCCCATTTGAATAGTGACAGAATACAGAATTTTAAAAATGCTGTCCTCGGTATCATTCAAGCAGAGAAAACTTGATGCCGTGCTCTCTGCTGCTGGTTAAGTACTCCTAAAGTCACCTCTCAGTGAACATTATGTTATAAAGTCATCAGTCAATCAATCAGACCTGTCTAGTAGAGAAAACCATACATGACAAAATGCATTGAGGGGATATCCAGAGTAGCGCTGTAGTGGAGAAAACACAGTATGGTTCCAACTCTGCTGCCATAAAAATAAAGAAAAGCTAACTAGTGGAGAAAATGTTAAACAGCATCATCAAAACTGGCTTCATATTGGACAAGATGTGATAAAGGGCTGTCCAGAGTGTTCATGCAGTGGAGAAAACACATTAAAGTGCCAACTCAGCTGCTTTTTAAATGAAGAAAAAGTTATGAAATGCCAAACAGTGCCATCATGACTGGTCTCACACTGTAAAACATGCAATGAAAGTCCATCTAGAGTAGCACTGTAGCGGAGAAAACAGTTCAGTACTATCTCAGCTGCCATAAAAATAGAGGAAGTGCCCTTTGGGTCACCCTGGTGGAGAAAACTTGATGCTGTGCTCTTGAGCATGTCCTGAAATCGGAGTAAATCCTATGAAATGTCCTTAGGTTTGCTTCCAAGGTGCCCTATTAGTGGAGAAAACAGGATAGATTGCCACAAAGGCTGACTATGGAGCAAAGTGTGCTCTGAGTTATGTGTGTAGTGTCGTTGGGGAACCATTCCAGTGGAGAAAATGGGCCGAATCAGCTGCCCTTCTTACTATGAAACCTTTACAGCCTGGTCCAGCTTCAGTGGTTTCATCTGGGGTCCCCTCAGACTACCGACATCTGTTACTGCTGTGCTCCACTTTTAAATCTGACTTCCTCTTTTTCTGTAAAGATATTTTTTCCTTCTTCAGATGTTTTTTTTTCAGGTATTTATTATTATCTCCTCGGTCTTGGTTGTTGGATGACAGTGTCTATTGACGCTAATATACCCAGAGATGTTAGCATGTAAGATGCTATTCCTGGAACACACGAGGACTAAGTGTGAGTTATAGTTTGGATTTGGGACGTGGTTTGTTTTCTCATGGGGGTAGATGACCTTGCGTCATAGATATCATTGAGTGTTAGATAGTTGTTGCTGTTCATAGCTGACGGAGCGCCCCTCTTCTGTCCTAAAGAAGACGGATTCATCATCCGATCACCATCTTCAACTCAACAAGGCTTTGCTTTTACTCCCACACTCTTGAGACTGACCGTGTGAAATCAAGATTTGAAGCATTTACCAACACACTGTTCAAGCCCTTGCTTTGATGCCGATATCCACACGGCCGCTTTATCCAAATTCAGTTATCGCTCGTTGCATTCGCCATCGTCAGCTCGTTTGATAAAGGCCAATCTCCTTCAAAGCAAGCTCTTGATCTGCCTTCAGGAAACCATTTTAACGGATTACGCTATCTGCTGTAAGAGAATCGATGTTGAGCGAAGCGGGTCGCTGTTTTGTTTGCTCTGGGGTTTTGAGTGTCAAGTACTGTACATGATGTGTGCCCACGATTCTGTGTCTTGATATATCTAATTTTAAAAGTAACATGCCAAACTATGATGAAAAAAGAGATTTATATTGGTGCCATGCCAGTCTAATGCCATCTCATAACATGTATTTTTAAAAGAAAGATATCTATAGTGCAATAGATATTCATGTAACAAATCCATATTGACATGTGTTTCCCTGAACATGTGCGGTGAAAATTAATAAAATATAAGTATAAAGAAAGGATTGGTTGTGTTGATTTGAGTGGGAAAAAATCCACAATGTGTATTTTGTTTGGCGTAAAAGAGAATCGGAGAAAACAAACGAGTATTTAATGAGTTTTTACAGCGATAAAAACAGGGTTCCTCATATTAAAGCTCAAGTGAGGAGTTTCTGGACCGAGTGAAAAAAGAGAGCAGTAATTACACATTCCAGGACAAATACCGCAGAGATGTGTGTTGTCCACAGAGGGCGCCAAAATCAACACAGAGAGAAAATTCCTGACAGGAGCTTTAAATCTGCGTGTTTTTAAACTGTAAGTATAACCATTTCAAGAGGCTTTGGATACACAATATATTTACATAATATGGTAATTCTGCTTGGTATTTGAAATGAAGCATAAATAAAAATCTCCATTCAGCTCTCGATAAAATCCGGATATTAAAACGACCCTGTGGATTTTGGGGTTTTTGGCACAGGGATCCATTTTTTTAAGTGTGACATCTCTGGGGACCTGAAATCCATTCGTGGGTCTAAATGCTGCTTCATTCCTCAGTAAACACTTTCTTTACTGGTGAATTCTGGGAGACGCTGAGGTTGTTAACCCGAGTAAGAAGACGGATCCAAACCCTAACTCTGCTCTTACATGTTAAAATGGATTAGACAGTCTTTGTAGACTTGTGGATCTTAGTGGGATAAAATGTGTTTGGATTAAAGCTTCCCTCTCTGTTAAAGCAGAAAGTGGGCGGACCTCAGGATTTTCAGAAGTTTTTAATTATATTAATTTGTGTAAAGTTATGGAAAGTTTGGTGGAATAATAACTGATTCATGGTTAACTATGACTTTGGAGAACTTGATAAAAGTTTTCTTTCTAGTCATTTATGAATGTTAGACAGGGGAACAGCACTACAGCATAAGTTAGTGTGATCTGTGGCATCAGCTCAGACCTGGAAACAGTTTTATGGAGCGGTGTGACGTCACCTTTGAAGGGCTGGATAACTCAAGTAAAACCGCTTATTTGTTGGATCCTCCTGAATTCATTCTCTCATAGACAGTTACTAATTCTTCTCTAAGTTTGTGCTTTGTTTTATGATACAGGGGATACGTCATTTTTATCAGTTATCTCAGGGTGCTGGTTTGGCTCAGAGGTCCCTCTGTGCACTTGGTTCACAAAGGCTGCAGCTCTGGAGGCGGAACAGGAACATTTGGCTCTACGCCGTCAAATTTCCCACTCCTCTCCCACTCCATCTAATGTCCTCTCTCAACAAAAGAGCCTAAAAATGAAACTCGACATAGAAAATAACATCCTCTCCACTTAAAAGCCAATTTTTGAAGAGCGATCAATGACTACAAATCATGATTTTACCTCTATTTGATTATTAACCTGATGATCACGTCAAGTAATCACTTCCTTTCTGAAACTTAAAGAGGAACATGCTGATCCTGGAGTTCATCTGAAGCTGGGGTCCCCCAACACCTCAGACTGGTTCTTGGCCTGAGGTGGTTTCTAAACAGGCTGCAAAGACTGAGTGAGAACTAAGAGGGTGGATGTAAGCGCTCAGTTTAACATCAGATATGATGACAGCTACAGAAATCCAGTTTCATCACTTCACAGAAGAAAACAGGAGGACAGCTCTAAGGTGTGCAATAATCCCCTGTAATCCCCTGATTTAGACTCAAACAAGGACTTCTTTTAACACAATAAGACCGGAGTGTAAGTCTGGACACACAAGATCACAAAATGGTTGACACTCAGTCTTGTTGTCCGTCCAGAAACTCATGTTTCATCACCATCTGCTGGACGATCTTTGGTGTATTCATCCAGACTCCATAACTCACTGAAACCTTTGAGCCTAAACTTAAAATCCGTTTTTAACTGGGTATCAGTTTAGATCACAGGATTAATCACAATCATCTTGTAAAGTTCTGCAATAAATCACTATTAAAAATATACATAATCGGACATCCCAAAAAACTAAAAAATATAAACTAATTTATGCACAAGTTCACCAAGGCTCAGTCGTGTCATTCCTCCAGAAAATAAACACAAAAATCTTCCAAATTTAAAAAGAAAAATCCTTCAACTTCAATCAAATCAAACAAAAATAAAGATTTTTATGTTTTGTGTTTAAGAGTAAACTGAGACACCAGTCAATCATCTCCTGAAGTTTCCACGCTGGAATAAAGCGCCTATCTCAGCCGGCACGCTCAGTGTTTTCCTCCAAACCTCGTTCATGTTTTTCTGGCTGCAATTAGACACACATTAGACACGAGGAACCATTAAATACAAATCCCTCTTTTCTCCTCAGTGGCTTTGGCACGGCCATTCTTCCGCAGTTATCAGAAAAACACAGACCCCCGTTTCTTTTTCCAGACACACACCCGGCTAAGACGCTGTCAGTCATCTCAGAGGTTTTATTGGCACAAACAGACAGAAATAAAAAACACAATGAGAAATCGAGATAGTTAGAGGGCAAGCCGAGCGCGGCAAATAACACCATCTGTTCACGCAGAAGAGTTTCTACATTTTCTCCACAAACCAGAGGAGGCGGTTTGATCTGGACGCGCTCAGGGTTTGACGTCTGTCCCCTGGAGATATCCTCCACCATAGAATACAGTCATCACCGTTATAATGAGGACTGCTGACTTCATGTTCTGCTTATTCTGAGCAGTGAATGAATCGAGCAGGTGTATCCGCTCTTTGCAACCACAACAGACAGCCGTGCAAACTTCTGACTGCCTGAACCTCGCTCTGAGCTAAAGAGGTCTTCAGAGGAGTCCAAATCCTCCAGGTCAGTCCAGGTCTTTAACATGTCAAAGAGGAGAGGAACCAAATTAAGTCCAAATGAGATGCACTGCAGACGGCGCTCTAGAACCAAGACTCTGATGGTTTTAAACGTGCAGATCTGGACGCCGTTTCAACGCTCGTCAGTGGGTCTGGGGAGGAGGGTGGAGGGGCTAAACTGCTGCATCTGCAGAATTCAAACTCTACGTGGTTAAGACGATTATATTCTGAATCCCAAAAAAAGGGGACAGGACTGTAAAGGGGCGGAGTCATGTAGTCATGCATGGTTAATTTTGAGATTTTTTCTGGTCAGATCGAGTGTTTCTGTACGCGCTAAAAACTCGATAAGTCCACGTGACACAAACTCAAAACTACCATAAAAAAACCACGGACATTTGAAGGATTTTATAGACTCCCCCAGTCAGAGCCGGACAGCCCCCCAAGAAGAGGACATGTCCGGGTAAAAGAGGACGTATGGTCACCTTACACATGGTGGACTTCGCAGAGCCAAACAACCGTGCAGACACTTCCCAAGACAACACAAGTTTCCTCTAGTGTTGGGCGATACGACGGTGTAAAAAAGGGAGACCTCATCTGGACGACCTTCACCTCTGAGTTCAGACACTTAGCGTGACTGACCTCAGACACAGTCTCCACTGAAATCAGTGCTGGAAGTGTTGAAATAAATCGCCAATGAGACTCAATTCCTGCCAACTGCACCAACCAACATCCTGCACAGATTTCTCAATCCTGTTAAAGTCTGTTTCTGCATTTTAGTTTTGTAATGAACCAAAGAAATGACGGCATTGATGCAGCAGACTTACACACTGCATGAAAAATGACGCCTGCTTTTGTAATCGCAGGTGAACACAATATCTGGAAAGTTGGCCTGGTGATATCTTCAGGGACCGTTGAACAAACAGTTTGTGTTTAAATACCATTTATGTGCAGGATATGTTTCACAAAGCACAACATGACCTCGCAGATTTCCCGTCTGTTACTCAACCAAAGCTTTGTGACTCATTTCATAAATGGTCATTGTGTTTTTTTCCTCATTGAAAGAGTCTGAATCATATATCCAACCATAGGAACGTAGAGCTGAAAATAACAACGCCAGGCACTTCATTAAAAACAGAAATATCAGACGGGTGAATTGGCCTGATCTGCAGAGATATGTTGGAAGATTTATAACACGCTTGCAGGGCGGATAAAAGAAGAGATCTGGCGAGGATAGCAGATGTTGAAATTCAGATGGACGTGCACGCGCATAATAAGAGCGGGCTCTGAATAAACAAGGAGGAGGGATAGACAGATCGATGTAAAGCTTATCAGAGACCCTAAAGCAAGGAGAGTTTGCAAACTCAACTCTTAGCAAGTGTTTCTGTCTCTTATTCGGAATAATCTGAGCAGCTGAGAGGATCTGGTGGTGCTGGAGTAAGATCTGATCGGCGAGAATTACGACCCGATAAAGTCCAGAAACATTCCTGAAAGCAGCTCCTCTCCGAAAAAAAGGCTTTTCAGTCAAAACAGCAAAAACAACATTTACACACACACACACACACACACACACACACACACACACACACACACACATGCTGAGTAACTGAGCCGAGGGAAAACTTCCTCTGACATTTTTCACATTCCGGAGAGTTACACACACACACAAAGAGAGAGAGAGAGAGAGAGAGAGAGAGTGTGTGTGTGTGTGTGTGTGTGTGTGTGTGTGTGTGTGTGTGTGTGTGTGTGTGTGTGTGTATAAAACACAGACAGACTGACAGACTGACACAGAGTTGCTGCAGGCGGACTCCGTCAGTGTTGAGTCACTTCTCTCAGAGCGTCAAAAACACAGCAGAGGTTAAATGTGCAGCGAGGAGTCGGGCTGATGAAGAGGAGCTGAATCTGAGCGCCCGGGTGTTTCAGGTGAGGTACATGACGCTTCTCTCTTTTATGTCCTTTTCTAACCCTCTGTTTTGTCTCTTTGTAGTTTTTTTTAATATTTATATATATACATTTTAGGACCGTAAACGAGCTCTACTCTCATCCATGATATCAGGGGTTTTAGGACCGAAGCTTCAAACTTTTTTGGGATGTGACAGTAAACCTCTGAAACTTCAGACTCTTTAAAAAAAAGGCTGATTTGCTGCTCATCATTTGGCAGAATTGGGTCACAAACAGTTTTTCTTCAGGAAGGACTGCTCTGAAATCTTTCCAACCTAGAGCCGAGTTACTCAGAGGGAAAGTGCAGAAGTTCATCAACTATCAGATGTTGTATGTTTGAACTCTTGACCTATTTCTATGTCGTTTAGCTGGGAGGTTTAAACCTTCAGTGAGTCGCTGCAAACCTGCATGATCAGAGAGGGCCTTCAGACTGTATAAAAAAGGTCTTTCTGGGGGGAATGAAAGGTTACAGCTTCCTGTCTTGATCATACTTCCTCTGTTTTAATAGAAATCTGCTCACTCTATCTGTACAAAAATTACGTTTAAGAAAAGGAGGGTGGAAAAAAACTCATGAGTATAATTCCTTCAGGGATGAACCTCTTTGAGGGGAACTGTGAGTCTGTATTAGAAACCAGGATCCACCGTCACAACAAAACTTCATTACAAATATCTGTAATTTTCCCTCCATGATGAAGTTGCTGCTGTAATTCAGACTCAGTCAGTCATGCAAGAACCCAAACAAACAGACAAACCCGCGTCACTCCTCTGTAAGGTGAAATTACTGCCTTCCCTTTCTGTTGAGTGTGCGGGCTCAGAATTGTCTGGGTGGAGTTTCAAAACAAAACATCTTCAGCTGCTGCTCTTACTCGTCTTTTTATCCCAATTTGGATATTTGCAGCAAAATAGTCAGATAAATTCCTTGTATGATTTCAAAGTCTTAGTTTAAACCCTCAAAAATATGGAAAAACAACCAAAATTATCCACTAAACCAAAATCTTATTGCATGTTTCAGCCTTTAATTTTGTTTTTTTATCAACACTTACAGCTCAGTTTTCTCACCTATAACTCGGCTATGTTAACGTCACTGTGGCGTCTCCTTGTCCACCCTATTGGTCACCCTGAACCATGACTGGATATTTGCCTAATAGGAGCTAGCACTAATAATTAACCGAACTATTCAGGTTGTATTTTGACAATCTGAAACCAGTTCCTTTTCTTTGTCCAGTGGTGAATTTGGACAGTCGTCTTCATAGTTTTAATGGTTCACCTTAACATTTCTTTTAATTTAAAGTAGTTGAAGTAGTTGTGATTAGTTGCAAGACAACTCTCCAAGGTTTGGGATAAGCCTGTGGCGTTTGGGTGCCTGGTCACAAAGGCTGTCTGTTTTTCAAAAAATCAACTTTGAATGAAAATCAAACATGACAAGCAAATGTTCAGATACTTTTGAAATTTTCTTCCTAGCAGTGATAGTTTTATCCGAAGCCTCTGGCGTAGAAAAGAGAGCCATATAGGGTTGAACATTTGCTTTTACGCTGCGTTTGAAGCCATCAAGCGAGATACTCTGTACAACATCCACATACAGCTCTCTCCCTTTGTCTTTATTTACATTATAGATCTATAAGTCTATTAACCATTTTCTCCATTTTTGTAGAATAATATCACTTTATAAGTTAACTGAGGTCAAGTTAACTGAGAGAAGTCGCTATCCATTTTCCGATTTTGGATTCTAAAACGGATATGGAATGAACGAATGATACACTGATAACAAACACACATATTAGGGTATTGTGCAGGTTGTATGTTGAACCAGAAGGAGTGAACTGCCGCTTCAGTTGAACTCATGAGATTCACTTTGATTGAAAACACTCATGAACTGAATGAGTCACATCCTTGATGGGGAAGTGAAAGAGCCAAACTCTGAATCCTGTGCCCAAGTTTAGTTTGGCACAGATATACGAGGTTAAACCAGATTAAGCTTCCTTCCTCATGACACTCGATTACCCAGCAGCACTTCACTGCAGAGCACTGCGGTCAAACTGAGATGCATTGAGGAAAAGGACAGGGTGAATAAAGATGCTCACGACTCTACAAGCCTCTGATAGTACCTGAAACTCTTATCTGGTAATTTTAGTTTTACGCCCACCTCTTCTTACCTGCAGGTGAGGAGTTGACTGACAAGTCTCAGGAGGAAATAAGTGCTCTCTGATGACTTTGGAGGGAGGATTATTTATAAGAATAACAAGAATCGTTACACAAGTTTGTTTCTGGTCCAAGGACATCATTTCAAAACAAAGGTGTGAAATCCAACAGGTGTTGTGACCTAATTATTTGAGAACATTTTTAAGCTCTCAGGGTTTAAAGGACGAAGACATTTAAAGTTTCATTATGTTTATTATGAGCAAATAAAAGTGTGTGTCAGGGTCCTGACCACCGTAAAAAAAACTAAAATTTAACTTTCAAAACTAACCTACTTTACTACATTACATTAAATTGATCATTTTGATGAATAAAATCGAGATATTTGACAGTAAAAATTTTCACTTCTTGTAAAAACAGAACTTTTTGTTCAGCTGCTCCTGGCGCTGGTTTCAGGCATAAAAAGTTAAGATATAGATACACTCGGTCGTGTTTGCTTTTAGGCAACATAAAAGTAGTTTTAGTCAATTTCATAAAGGTCAAAAAACTCCTCATTGAAGCTTTAAATCTGACATTAAAATTAAAATCAACATTTCTAACTCTCACTGAAGTCTAAATTATTCACTTTTTTCCAGCAGAAATCCTCAGTAGTCTTGTAAACTCAACCAGATTTTGGCTCTGTTAGGGAACGGATCATCTGTTTAGTTTTTATTTTGCATTCAGTTACTGCTAAATACTGATAAGCATTAATTTACTGCCAACAAAACACATCTCACTCTACCTTTAGACAATTAAAAGTGATTAAATTTGAGTCATTAGTTTTAATCACAACATTTTCTCTCTTTAAACCACTTGAACACGTTTCAGCTGATCGAGGTCATTCAGAGTTTTTAACTCTCTGGACACTTTTACTTCTTAACTATTATCTTAGTGAGTCATTCAGCCTTAATAACCTCCCACACGATTCGCTGCTGCTTTTCTTCCTCCAGGATCTTCAGTTCTGATTCGCCGAGGTTGTTTTTTTTTGGAGCATGTGAATAATCGGACCAAAATCGACCCAAGTGACCCAGTACTGCAGCCAAAAACTCCTTTTTTTTAAACTAATTCCCTGAGAAGGCCAAAAAATAACCTCCGAGCGTCCCATGTACGAGTGTTTCCTGTGAGACTAAACCCTGATGCAGCTTTTTCTGTTCCCCCAAACTCCAGCATTGAGCAACATGCTATTTTAATCATCCGGCAAACATACCTTTGGGAAGCACACTTCCTCATTGCTGCTGCCCGTAGTTTTTTGGTGACAATGAAGCTTTGTGCTGCAGAGGCGTGATTCATCACAGCTACAAAAGGAGACACACACAGTCATTGTTGGTTTTGGTATCATGCGGGGATTAGTTAATGAGAAAAACAGAACTAATCCTGGTCTTACCTTTGAAGACACCTGTATCCTCGGGCAATCGAAGGCTTAGCTGTTGGCCTTTTTGCAGCTTAAGGTTTTCAGCAGTGAGTCCGTACTGCCAGGATGGAAACTGTTTTAGTTTTACTCCTGAACAACTGCAAAGCGTGGAGCCTGTGCATACTCTCCGCAGAATCAGCTCCGCTCAGGGAGTCACAAACTGCAGGTTTTATTTGGAGTAAACTCGAGCCGAAGCCGAGGCTCCTGAGATTTGTTGGGATTTGTTTGTGTTCTGAAGTCAGCAGATCCCAGCTGCTGTTTGGCCTTTCCAGACCCCTCAGACTGTTTGATCTGTAAGGTGTAGCTCAGTCTCTGAGTTTTGTGTTGTAAACTTTTTGCAGATGTATGTGTCAAACTCAGACAGGAAACCCATTTTTTTATATTTCATTTTGTTTTTCCTGGAAATGTGTGTAGGCAGGGCTCCCTCTGCCAGGCATGCTTAAGTCTGACACCTCTTCATATTAAAAAGAAATAGATTTGGTTTGTCGATGCAGGAAATCTTGCTGAGTCACTGTGAGACTACAGCTCGACTCCTGTTGAGGTTATTTCCTTTTCTCAGGATGAAAATTTGTCAAAACAACAGAATGAAGCAGAAACAGGAGCAGCTTCTGGTTTTAGTAGACTCTGTATGAGCAGGTATTTAATCACCCCATCGTGATACATTACAGTATGATCCAATATACGATGATCCAAGATACGATGCGATACAATACAACTAGGAATGGTCATTTTAAGAAAGTCCCTCAATAGATTAATCATGTGTATTAATTATCGATCATCAATTTTGATCTTTTTTATGGGAATAGCAGAAAATACACAAAAAAACTGCACGCTACATTCTCACTCGCACCTCATACCTGCCTGGCTGCCCTAACAACTTTTGTTCAAGTCTCCTCACAACTTACTTTTTTATTTTTTGTTCATTCTTGAAATGCTAAAATCGGGGACATTTCCGGGGACATCTTTAGTCAGAGACAGGTCATCCAAAAACAAGGACTGTCCCCCGGAATCAGAGACATCTGGTCACCCAACAGTTCTGTTTTTCTAGCAAGGGGCTGAGAGGGCTCGGAGGATTCATTAACCTCAGTCAGATGTACTTGGTTAAAATGGTCCATCATTGGGGTCGTTGTCGTGTTGTACTTGTACACGACATCGAAGTGTTCGCAGCGAACCTCATCATTTTTCTGCTCGAAATGGTCCCACACCACAGAGGATGGACGCACGCTCTCAGACCTTTTTCAATAACGTTAGATCGATTTAAATTTTGCCGGGTTGATGTAATTTTTAACGATCAATTAATCGCTCATCGATTAATCGTTCCCATTCCTAGATACAACACAACAAGATACGATACTACATGATACGACAAGATATGATGAGATACAATAAAACACGATACTATGCCATGCGATTCCATGATACAATACGACATGACATGAAATGATATATGATAGGACACGATACAACAAGATATCGTGTCCTACAACAAGATACAACATGATACGATATGATGTAATCCAATTTGTCATGATGCAATATAATATACGATAGGACAGGAATGACATGAGACAATTATACCCATGATTCCCAGCATTTCCGGTGATTTCCTGTCATTCTTTCTGAGGAGTGAAGGTCTGTGACGGTTCGGCTGCACTTGTTTTGTCTCAGCAGCAAACGTCAAACTCTTGCGTCACGTCCACTCTACAGGCGGTGAAAGCAGCCCGTGTTTGTGCAACGGCTCGTCTCTGCTCAGTGTTTACTATCTGGGTGGTTTTCTGTTTCCTTGTTTGGTGCTTCAGAGAGATCACTCTCCAGTTTTTAAGAGTTTGTGTCTTGAGTCAAGACTCACAACTTCTACAGATAAGTGTTTCAGGTTTTTCCAGAAGGTCCAAACTTGAAACAAAGACGACACAGATGATAGATCTGATCTGTCATGACCTGTGCAGTGTCAGTTGTTGGTGATGGTTTTAGCACATTTAACTTAAAGCCTCTATACTTTACACACAAACCTTTACTGGTTTCCTCTGCTGGGTTAGGAAAATGAATTTACTCACACTGTTACGTTGGCTCCTGAGTCGCGTCATAAAACAGCTGTTAATTTACACAACAAACCCACCAGTCATGAATTTCCCGTTGACCACAAAGCAGACATGCCCAGACATGCATCACATTTACTGTAAGACGTTGACTTGCTGCTTTCTGAAAGTGAAACCAAAACTTCTATGATATAAATCGGGAATCTACAGTATCTCAACAAGAAAGGATTTGTCGTCTGATTCAAGACATTAATCACTGAAAATAAAACCTAAACTTTGGGTTTAAACTTTCTTGAAGTTTGACTCAATTCCCTTCAAAAAGAGAAACGTCTTGTTTATTCTTTATTTCATTTGCAGATTTGTTTTTACTCACTACAAGAAGCTCATGTCTTATTCTTGGCATGTGAGCGTTTAATAAGACATTTTTCTGAACTTGATGGGTACATGTGGTTAAATCATTGCAGAGATCTTAGATTTTGCACGGTAGTTTGGTGTCCAGATTTGAGGGGAGCTGCATTAGGAGGAGAAAAAAAGCATCCTAAATAACATTAAAATGCTCCTGAGAGCTCAGGAAATTGCACTCTTTCTACAGGGAAGCTTTAATTTGCAGCACCTCGATGAATAGAGAATTAAACTGTAACTAATAACAGCTCAGACAAATATAATTAGAGTTTGGTTTCCACACCGCTGAATACTTTCCTAGACGAGCCTGAAGCTGAGAGCAGCAGCTTCACTGAATAAATGTACAAAAGACAAAACAAGACCATGTAGTCCAATCAGGAGAGTCACTGTTCAGATTTTAGAGTCCTGAAAGATAAGGATGTTTTCAAAGTTTGGATTTGGCCAGGAACCAACAACCTTTGGCTGCCCTTGTCTTTTCAGTGTTACTCATTAACAGGACAATAGCATGTAGGTGCAGTCAGAGCACGTTAAAACAGTAGGCATTGTTTGAGCTCAATAAGTGTTGAAAATCCTCCCTTAGACTCACAACTTTACTGGTTTATCCATAAAACTGCAATTACCTTTTTTCAAATACAATCAACAACTGAAACAGAGTCGTTAAGTCGAACAGAAGGTGGAAATTTCTTCTGTGTACCATGAAATTGAGCTTCCACACCGAGGATGATGCGACATGTCGAAGCAGGAGAAGCCCCGGGTGAAACGGATCACATTAACCGCGGCTCTGTTCCAAGTAAACGCAGCAAAAAGCCGTAACTGTGCGACAGCATGTGCAACGCTGAGGCCCAGATGAAATTTACACACAGCGAGTGACGCTGTTAATCAGACCTGTTTAACGTGTCAAATGTCCGTGACGAGAAAAAGAAATTGCTTCATGCTGGATGAAAGCAAGAGTCAGATTTTCCATCTGTCGTCCTCATGAGTCAGCGGACGAGTGTGAAAAAAAGAAACAGGTGTGACTAAGAATGTCACAGCTCATTTGTTTGAGCTTGTCCTGCTGTGACGAGTCAAAATATCTGCTGTGACTGGAACATTAAGAAAGAAACGGCTTCTGCAGGTTCGATGAGGAGGACATTTCTGAGGAGACGTCAAGAGGTTCATGTGACCTTCACCTTTCCAGAGATGGTATCTGCACCGTACTTTCCTGTTAGTAAACAATAAAGGTTATCAGTTATATCTGAGACATTTTACTTTCTTTATCTTCAGTTTATGATTAACGGTCTGAGAATGACACGTGATGACAGATCGATGTAGAGTGCGTGTTCAAAAGGTGCTTTACTCCTGCTGCAAACTGCAGTTCCTCGAGTGTCCACTTGAGGCTGATCACGGACATCCACATCCATTCAAAACTGCGCGTCTTTTAGGGCTGCAGCTATTAAATATTTTATTAACCGAGTTTTCTATCGAATATTCGATCGATTACTAGAGTAATCGGACCCAAACTGCAGACTCACACACAGTGAGATTTCCTACGTCACAAATCCAAGCTCCGCCCCCGGATTCCCGCTACGCAGGCCAGACTTGGAGAAGTAGAGAGGACGATCACGGAACAAACATGTGCGTTAGCGGATTGCAGAGCTCGTAACAAAGCTAATTATGATATTAACTTTCATCATGTCCATAAAGACATCTATAGAGCTCTTTAAATACGACCACAGCTGACACTAAGTGCTGTACGTAATAACATAAAACAAAAATAAATAGTTGTTTTAAAATATGATAAAAAGCGATAAAACAAATGCCGTCTCATGCTGGGTCAAAAGCCAAGGAGTAAAAGAGGGATTTTAGACGGGTTTTAAAAACGGACAGTGAGGGAGCGTGTCACCTTGAAAATAATCCGTGCGAAACAGTGACGATTTCAGCTTATAAACAAGTACTCAAGAACTCGAAAATTCCTCAATCTTTATTTTTAAAAGCGGTATTCGAGGAACGGTTTCAGCCCGAGAATATTTACAGCAAAAATAAACATGTTCGCAGCTGGATACTATAAACGTTAAAAGTTACTGTTAAAAGTTTGGAAATTTTGAGGCAAGGCTGGGGACACTGCAGCTAATAGTTCGGAGGCTCAAGAACTCAAAAATTAGGCTGAGTCAGCGTTTACAGCTCTGACGCTGCTTCAAAACCCTGAGCGTGTTTTACCAGTTAAACATGAGGAAAAATCTGCAGTTTTGAAACATATTTAACTTTAATCTCTCGGCTCAAGGCACCGACTTTAAAATCCAAATCGCCTTTTAAAAGATGACGTGGGTGGAGTAGTTTTTATTTCCTCTAAAACAAAAGGACTAACACGTAAAAACTGGTTTAGTCTCCTTGTCAAGTTAGTGTATTTCTTTACAACCATTTGAGGTTTTAGCATGTAGCATGATTTAGTAAAATATATAATTCATAATTTCATGACATAGAATCTTAAATTTAGCAGCTTTGTCTTAGAGCACTATTAGAGACTTAGATAAACAGTTTACGGACATGATGTGCTCCTGTAACACCAGCTGAACTGTCCCTGAAAGTGTCCTGATGTGGTTTAAACACGTGATGACGTTAACCGATGTTGTTTGGTTCCACTCCTGACTTTTTCCTGTATATGGAGTTAAAAGTACTGAATAGTTAGAGATCACTCGATGTAAGACGTAAACAGATCAGCTCGGGAACATGCGGAGGAGGGACTGAATGACCTGGGAGCAGAGTAAGTGGAGCTGTGTTTGTGTGTAACATATATAAACACTGAGCATCATTAAACAGGAGGAAAGGACGGATTAATGTGCAGAACGGACACGACGGCAGAGCGGTTTCCACCATTTATCGACTGTTAGGTAAATATCAGAGGTCGTAATCGAGCCTCGCTCGTCATCCATATCAGAGAGATGTCAGAGTTTAATCAATACGAGTCATTTATTCTTCGGTTATTTAGTTCAGCATCACCTGTTCACACCACAGAAGAGAGAGAGAGAGAGAGAGAGAGAGAGCAGCTCACATGTGTCTGAAAAACACTGAGACGACACCTGCTGAAACACCTTCAGTCCTGCTGAATACAGTATGTACACTTTCTTTCTTTAGCATCTGGTGACTGTTGTGTTGTACAGTTAATGCAGGCTTAATTAAGTCAGACAATACAGAGTAGAGCTTTGCAGGGCTGAGCACGGGCGGTGCAGAGATATCACCAAGCTTGTTTTTGATGATCTCACTGCACTATGTAGGTCATGAGGAGGCATCAGTGAGAGTGAGGCTGTGAAACACTCAGTTCAAAACTCCTCTAAGGTGTGCTGGACTTCATCGAGAGAGCATGTTAAAGGCGAACTAAGACCTTTATCTGTTCGGGGTGAGCAGAGGCGTCTTATTGGGGGTCAAAGCACTGATGTGAGATCCCTAAAGGAGTCTGCCTACAGGGGTCTGAACTCAGGGGTCGTAACATGCCCCTAAAAAACTTTTCTAAAGTTTGATATTTTATGAGATTGGTGAAATCTCTGTCTCAATAGCGCCCCCACTACTTTAACTTCCCAGTATGTTTTACGCTCAGTAAATGTGTAATGCCAAGACCTGCAAAAACGACAATTTGAGGCCATTAAAGATTAAAGATATTACAAGATTTTCGGTGCGTTAAAAGGTGTGACTGTACCTTCATGTAACCGAGCTTGTAGCTTCAGTCTGTTTCCAACACAAATCATCTGAATATTTATGCAGTTTTATTGGATAAATCTTTAATGGATGTCAATCAACTGAAATACAAGATATGACCTTTAACTTTGCTTTTTTTAAATCCCTCATTTTTAATATCATATTTATGCTAATGCACTGTTTTAAAAGGAGATATGGACTTACACATGCGTCACAAACATCTAGCAAATTTCACCAAAGAATTCTTGAACTTCTGCACAAAGTCAGAGAATCATATATTTACAAATCATTCATATTAATGTGTTTTAACTGTTAGTGCTGGGAGTTTGTGATTTGGCAGATATGGTAAGTTTCTCAGACAAACACCGAAGTTTCATCACCTCTATTCACTGCAGAATAAACTGGATTCAATGCTGCTCACGTCCCATTTGACAGGACTTCTTTAGAGCGAGGAAGGGCCTGAATACATGCACACAACGATTTGCATTCAGAGGTTTCGATATATTTGACGGTTAAAAAGAAAAAAACATTGTGTACTTTGTGTGTGTGTGTGTGTGTTGTTTCCGAGAAAAAGGAGTGTATCTGTTAAACAATAAGACTTGGAGGAAAGCTGAAACATTTCCTTCCTCTCTGTTTAGTTATTCATTTCCCACGGCTGACTGTGCTGCAGCACCTGCTCAGCTGGGTCTGAGGATGAACAGCGTCTCTGTTGCCAGGCAGCGCCAGTATTTACACTTTCAACATGACAGGGTTTGTAAAAATAATAATGTCTCTTGGGTGCAAAGAAAACAAATGTTTTCCCTCCTCAGTGGCTGTGGGGGAAATTCCCACTCGTATTTCCGGCTCAGAGCTGGCAGTAGGTCAAACACACGTGAGTAATAACACTCTGGGAATGAGACGTATACTCAGCATGTAAACACACAGAGCTGCATGAGTAGTTGTTGCAGACAAGCTTACACATCATAAACCCTGCAAACACACCTGTATTTGATCAGCACAGCAATAGCAACATACCTCCCCTCGGACGCTGCACAGATAAACCTCCTCCAGGATCAAATAGATAACAGGATATTTCTGACCCTTTATTAATTTACAGGTAGGTCTGCCGACGACACAGAGCAGGGAGGTTTTTACAAAGACAGAGCTGCTCGTTCATCAACCGCCAACCTCTCCGGTATGCAACTCCTAACCTCTCACAGTTTTTCAGCTCCCTTCAAAACAAGTCAGCGACGAGATCTGTGTGGATCTCTGATTAATCACAGCGTCTCTAATTAGGCTCACCTGTCTCTCATTACTTACCTACCTAAAGTATTCAGTCTGTGCTGTCCCTGTTTCTGTACCAATCCATCTCAAACCATCTTATGAGGGGGAGGGGGACAGTTGTGTAGTTTATGTCTTCTGTATTTTTCATTCCTGACTTTGATAGATATCTGTTAAAGGTGGGGTCGGCAGGAATCCGTTAAAGAAGCATCTTTTTTGTGGTGTATAAACAAAAAAACTTTTACTATCAGTCAACAGTTATTAGTTATTGATGACATTTGGGAATATCACGATATCGCTGTGTTTTGTTATGTCTAAGTAGTCAACATTTTAAATTTTCAGAGCGCTCTGCACTTTCTGACTGTAAACAAAGCCGTTCTTCGCCTCCCCCAACCTGATTGGTGGTGAGGCAGACGCTGCTCCCCCGTGTCGTTCAGGAGCCCAATCAAAGTTAGCGTGCTACAATATCGGACAGTAGAAACCAACCAGAAAGTTCGGAAAATTGTCTGAATCCTCCTTTGGCCACGACTGCCGACACAAGCAAGAAAACACTCAAACATAAACAGTCAGCAAGAAAACAGTCAGCAAAAAAACAGTCAACACCAAAACAGTCAACAAAAAACAGTCAACACCAAACCAGTCAACAGGAAAACGGTCAGCAAGAAAACAGTCGACAAGATAACAGTCAACAAGAAAACAGTCGACAAGATAACAGTCAACCATAAACAGTCAACAAGAAAACAGTCAAACATAAACAGTCAGCAAGAAAACAGTCAGCAAGATAACAGTCAACAAAAAACAGTCAGCAAGAAAACAGTCGACAAGATAACAGTCAACAAGAAAACAGTCGACAAGATAACAGTCAACCACAAACAGTGAACACCAAAACAGTCAGCAAGAAAACAGTCAGCAAGAAAACAGTCAACCATTAACAGTCAACAAGAAAACAGTCAACAAGAAAACAGTCAACAAGAAAACAGTCGACAAGATAACAGTCAACCACAAACAGTGAACACCAAAACAGTCAGCAAGAAAACAGTCCACACCAAAACAGGCAACAAGAAAACAGTCAGCAAGAAAACAGTCAACACCAAAACAGTCAACAAGAAAACAGTCAACAAGAAAACAGTCGACAAGATAACAGTCAACCACAAACAGTGAACACCAAAACACTCAGCAAAAAAACAGTCATCAAGAAAACAGTCAACAAGAAAATGCTGCTCCCCCGTGTCGTTCAGGAGCCCAAACAAAGTTAGCGTGCTACAATATCGGACAGTAGAAACCAACCAGAAAGTTCGGAAAATTGTCTGAATCCTCCTTTGGCCACGACTGCCGACACAAGCGAGAAAACAAAGTAAATACCGGAGACTCTGGAGGAATAACGGGCGCTTAAAACGGAGGTAGACCGGACAAGAGCTAAAAAGCCGGGTCAACATAAACGATGGGGGACGCTTGGGGATCTTGGTGACCCTGTAACCTTTCTGCTGGACAGGTAAACCGCTTTAACAAAGTAAGACAAGTGTCTGTAACAGAAGTGTTTCTTGTCAAACGGACCTGCTGTAGCGTGTTGTAGCGCCATCGCTAAACTGTCCTCCCTCGGGTCCTGGACTATGTCACTTTATCCTAGTTGTAGAAGTCCTGCAAACATTGTGTTTGCTGGTAGTCTGTTGGCATCTACAGTAGCACCAATGCTTTTGACTTTCACCTTGTATTTATGTGCATTATATCTGAATTTAATTGGAACGATACGGGCGAGCAGGAGCGTCTGTTTGTGGGCGGGGCTTGAGGAGAGAGGAGGAGCTGAGGGGTAGAGTTTACATTCAAGATTTCTCCTAAAAACTGTCACTTCCTCAGATCCTGCCTACCCCACCTTTAAGTTGATATATTTCCATTTCTTGTATTCGTCACCCCAGGCTCAAAATCTTGTAGCTTCCAAATTGTTCAGTGTTAAAAAAAAGTTACTGGATTGTGAAAAATATGAGCTCACTGTAAGTTTAACTCAAGCAACAAGTTTAAAAAGTTACGACGTTTTTACTTTTGTAATTCATCACCTCTTCTTTAAAAATCGATCAGTTAACGTTTGGAGAGCAAGGAGACAAGTTTCTAGAGTTTCTGAGGTGAAATCCTCTCTGATATTAGATTTACGACTTCAGCAGGTGTAACATTAACCTCACAGGCTTTAGGGTAAAGGATAAAACCAAATACCAGAGGATAAAAATAGGTACGCATCCTTGAAAACATGTCGGTGACTTTGACCCATAAACTTGACGAATGCACCGAATAGGCAGCTTGTATTTTTTTGTCTCTTGAGTCCCGATTAGAGTGTCTATAAACTCAGATAAGACGGTCTTGACTTTAATATCTGCAGAGCTCTGGGTGACCTGCGGTTGAGAGTTCGTTTGAGGGCGAGCCTTTAGTTAAATAGTCACCACGCTCAGACTCGAGCCTGCCGAGAACATGCAGCAGTTAGAGAGAAATGACCCCTGACGTGACTGTTGGGAAATGCAGCTTTGAGGGAAAGTCCAGAGCTTTTAACCTGGGCTTGTCAGGATGATGGAGAGTGGGATTTACTCGAAGACCTGAGGGTATCTAAAAGTGACAGAGAGGTAACTGCAAAAATCACGTGATTGGATGGAAGAAGAGGAGAAACAACCAACTAAGAAACTCCCTTTACTAAATAAGACCAAATAAGATTGGTTTGTAGACCAATTACCATAAACTGAAAAAAAAGCTTTACTGCATCTGAGACAACATTCGGTCGGCTCTGTTACTGCCTGGCACTGCTATGTTATTATTTTACAACAGCTCCATCCGCAGGAAGAGTTTCACTAAATCAATATTGTTGATGTTAATTTAATCTGATGCCAATTTCCAGGAACAGCTGTCTACTGTTGACCAGATTAGATAGCCAAGAAGTGTCTCTGGTTTCCTCAGTCAAACAGCATCACAGCTGCTGTTTTCTCACCCAAACAATGTCGCTATGTGAAGACAGGAAGACGCCGGGTTTACATACAGTAAATCAATTCTGAGAGCCGAGACGTAATTTGACCTATTAGCCTAAATATTAGACACAATCAGAGCACACGGCTGTTAGGAGGACAACAGATGAGGCATACAACATGAAGTCATAACAGCCCATAAAGTCATGACGAAGAATTATTTAATCGTGATAAATAATAACAGTAACAATGACTTTATCTCAGGGGTGCAGTGAGTTATCCTCTCTGGGAAAGCCGTACTCACCCTAACCCGTCAAACTTCATCAAAAGTTTGAGCTGCGCTCTTCCTCTCAGTCCATCATGTTTACAGTTTGTTCACTGAAAGTAGTTTTTGGGAGCGATTCTGAGCCCATGCAGTGATTTCCACTACAGAGCCATGTCTCTTTTTAACCCAGTGCTGCTCTGGGGCCACAGAGATTTCAGTTTCTGAGAATCTTTCAAAGATATCATGAACCGTCGATGTTGAAATCCCTAAAATCTTCGTAATTGTTGGACTTGTTGCTCACGCAGTCTCTCACAGTACACTGAATTTTTTCCTCGTTTCTGATGCTGCGTTTGAGTTACCTCGGAAGTCAGATGTCGGAGCTGAAAATGACGTCACACCCGAGTTACCAGCGTTTCAGTTACTAAGTCGGAACAAAGTAAAATCGGAGGCAGAATCAAAATGGCCACATCTACTTAAGTTATTTTAGTGCTTGCCTTGTCCTTGTTATATTCGGACAAGACAAGCACTAAAATAACTTTTGTTTCCGCCTCCGATTTTACTTTTTTCCGACGTACGGAAACTAAAACGCTGGTAACTCGAGTGTGACTTAATTTCTTTCAGAGTGTGACATCTGACTTGGAGGAAACTTAAAAGCAGCATCAGTCTCTTAAATGACCTTTCTATACCTGCCTATGTTGCGATCCTGTTGCACATTAACCTTCTTAGCTGAAGGATGTTCCTCTGGGGTATTTTTGTTTAGCATTGCTCTACTTGTTCAACATTTGGTTGTCCCTGGTGCAACTTTTTGAAAACTTGTTTCTGGCGACAAAGTTGAAGTGAGCATCGATTTCAAAGCGAGTTATAAAAGTTTCCCGTTTCCTTAAATCTACTGTCAGTTAAATGCTGGTTGTAAATGTTTTAGTGGATCGTTAATTTCCAGAGTTTTCGCTCTTTAAAACACACTGGTGTCGTGACCTGTTATAAATTAAACTGCTGTTAAATATTTCAATCTAGCGCCCATATTTTATAGGATGAGATAAAGTTTTATTGATCCTTTGTTTTGGTTTATTTTTGGTGATGGGCCAAGCTGTCAAAGATTAACTTCGATTAACAGACAATGTAATGATAATACAAAACCCGTATTCATACAGACATAAATATTTATTTAAGAAACGTCACTTCTAAAATAAACAGTGTTTGTTTAACGCGGCTGTAAAGCTTTACAGCTCCTCCACGTGAGGACACAAACAGCGAGCCGGCTCGGAGCGGCATATAAATAAAGGTTTAGGAGAGGAGGACTGAGAGAGTCCACATCAGGAGCTTTAAGCAGAGAACCAGTCTTCAGAGGGTGAGTACTGTGCAGTGTCTAATGCTCTCCCTGAGTGCTGTTCTATGAAGGGGGACCAGTGAAAATGTCTTTTTCTATGGATGAGGCTTATGTCTTTTTCAGTGCAGATTTTCAGCTGGAGAGCACACGAGGACTGTAAAGGACTGTGTGTAGTCTGTTGTGTATTGAAACGTTCGCTTACCCTGCAAGAACTCAATTTCAGTTTATTCTGCAAAGGGGCGCTAATGATTCAATAGATGAAGATCGAAAACAGATAAAAAAACTCTAATTTACTTCTTTGCTCCATCATATCGTGCATCACTCTTCTTTATATCCTGGTTGTCTCTGAATGCGTTATTTAGCGACTGAAATTGCAGAGCCGTTTATATTGTTCAGTTTAGCTTTTTTTTTATCTCCCAGTTTACGCTCTGTAACTTTTGATATCATTGAATGAACCACAGAGCAAAAAGTGAGTTTCAAAGAGAGCGTGAGTAAAAGGGAAAAGGATGGTGCGCTCATTTAACCAGACCCTTCCCTCAGAGCATCTTAATTGGTCTCAGCTCAAAGGAGGCGCAAGCATTTCTGGATCATCTTTAGAAGTGGTTTCCTGTTTTAACCTGCATGCACGTAGATGTTATATATACAGCAACAAACTGGGTTCACAGACTGTGGGTTTTGGAAGGGAATTTAACCGCACATGCAGTCGCAAGGGACTGGCTCAACCGGCAAACCAGCGTATTTCCAAGTGTTTCACTGCATAACATGGCTGCCCGGTCGGTTTGCCGGAACGGGTAACTCGGACAAAGTTGTATAGCAACAAATTTTGTGTCTTTTGTTGAAAAATGTTGATGCTGTTCACAAAAAATCTGGTTCTCCCTCGGTGGGGATCGTTCAAACCTAAGAGTCATGTCTCTTTTTAATGTCCAAAGGCTCCTAAAACTGCAGAAACTCTTAACCCATTAATGTATGTGGGTAATGTAATCTCTAAATTCTGTGCCATTTTTCGAGAAGTGTTGGACTTTTGCTCACACAGTTCCTCACAGAGTGTTAAATTTCTTCTTTATTTGACGTTTGAGTGACTCAGCCTCTCTGAAATGTTCATTTTTACCCACTTATGTTACAAACGTGTCACTAATTATTGCCTCTCAAAGTTTTGTCACTGTCTCTTTTTTATTTCTCTGTTTCTGTTTCTTTCCAGTCTGCCATGATGATTTGGAAATGGATTTGTCTTACGGTCCTCTTCCATGGGGCACTCACACATCCAACCCCATCCTCACCCCCCAACACGACCACTGCCAGCGGACCCTGTCGGATCTTCAACTCGGGCCGCTCCGCAGACTGCAAGGGACGACAGCTGGACAGCGTCCCTTGGAAACAATTTCCATCCACGGTTGAAGACATAGATCTGTCCTACAATAAACTCCAAGCTGTCCGTGACGATGACTTCCTCCACCTTCCTCAGCTCCGCAGCCTCCTGCTCAGCTACAATAATATTTCATACATTGACAGTGAAGCCTTCCAAAACAACAATTTGCTGGAGCATCTTGACATCTTTAATAACTCCCTCCAGGAAATTCCTGCCAAAGCTTTGACTCCTCTATTGAATCTGAAGCAGCTATACATGTCAAATAATCTCTATAAACATGCCACTCTGGATCAGAGCTTCTCCAAATTTAGCAAACTACAAGTTTTGTCCATGGGCGGCCCGCTTGTGATGGGTCTAAAGAGAGCAGATTTTCAGCCCCTGAAGAACCTCAGGTTATACGGTTTTGCAATTAAATGCTCCTCTAATCTGAGTTACTACGAGCCTGGAAGTTTAGAAGTCATCCAGACGTCACAGATGGGCTTCGACATGGCAATAGATCAACGACCAAACGCTCTTCATTCGATGCTGCAGGACATCGCCAACAAGACCTTCAGTGTCCTGCAATTCCGCAACCTGTTTGAGTTCATGTACTACATGAGAGAGGATGACATATTTCAGGGTTTAAAATACGTCACAGCTGAACAGCTCATCTTCCACCGAGGAAAATTCAATGAGAACCTCATGAGGATGGTTCTGATGAACCTACAATCCGCATCCATCAAGAACTTGAGGCTCCAGTACATCGACTTTGCCCGTTCACCTAAGTTTGGCGACACCAGTGGAGATTCCAGTATCACAGATCTGGCTCTGGACAAGCTGGATCTTTGGTGAGTGTCTTCTAACTACTCTATCGTACTTCCACGACATGTGTTTGGGACTCAGGCTGGTCACATGCTAGAAAACTTTTGGACATCAACAGAATTTTAAAACCAAAACCACAACAACAACTTCATCAGATTTTTACCATTACTCTAAACACAGAGTGAATTTTGGAAACACCACAGTCAACATGCCCTCGAGTAAACTTTTCCTAAAGCAAAACACCTTTTCAGTTCCAACATATGCTTAGAATTAACTTTTCATTACGACCACAATTTCCGCCCCGACTCATTCAACTCAAATCTCATTTTCTCTTAGGTATATCAGCAACCCTGACATTCTGCGCTTCGACTGGCGCTTCACCTGGTTCAACAAAATAAAGCACCTGTCCATCCAGTATGTTTACTTCACCTCTGTGCCCTGCGATTCCTGGGTTGAGATGACTGGCGTGGAGGTTCTGGATGTCTCCAATAATCGGCTAAAGGACGACGTGCTCTTTAATCAGCGTTGTGATTATAAGGGCACCATGCCAAACCTCCACACTTTCATACTGAGCACTAATGAACTCACCAGCTTAAAAGACCTGTCATCACTCACGAGGGAGTTCGAGCAGCTGCAGGAGTTGGACGTGAGCAACAACTATCTGGGATCTGCTGGAAAAAGTCAGCGCTGCGTTTGGCAAAAAAGTATAACCCGGCTTATCGCTCACCACAATCAGTTTGAAGTCGACTCCCTCAGCTGTCTGCCCACCACAGTGCAGTACTTAGATCTGTCGTACTGCAACCTGGACCAGCTGGACATGTCGTATTTCGAAAAAGCCGCCGACCTGAAAGAGCTCCATCTTAGCGGCAATAAAATCAAGTTCATCCCCTCTAGGTGGGTAAGTCCATCCCTACAGACGCTAGCTTTGGATGGGAATTCATTTGGTCTCATCAGTAAGGAGTCCTTCCAACACATGCCTCGGCTTTCAAACCTGAGAGCGGGGAACAACCCTTACCACTGCACCTGTGAGCTCCATGCTTTCGTCCAGGACACGACGTCAAAGGGAAAGGTCAACCTCACGGACTGGCCGGAGAACTACAGGTGTTACCACCCCGAGCCTTTCCTCAACACGGTCGTTTCCAAATACCTACCAAGTCAAGTGGCCTGTGATATCAGGCTCGTTATCATCATCTGCGTTTCAACCACGGCACTGGTGGTCTTCATACTGATGCTGATATGCTATCTGTTTGACCTGCCGTGGTACACTAAAGCTACATTCCAGATCATCAGGGCCAAATACAGAGCTCACAAAGAACTGGCAGCAAGAGACCCGGGAAGTTTTGAGTATCATGCCTTCATTTCCTACAGCCACTCTGACGCAGACTGGGTGAGGGATCAGCTCTTACCCTGTTTGGAGAGTAACAAGAACCCCTACCGGCTTTGTATTCATGAGAGAGACTTCATGCCAGGGAGGTGGATCATTGATAACATCATTGACAACATTGAAAACAGTCGCAAGGTAAGAGACTCGTGCACGGCAGGGTTCTGCATGACTCACACATCCAGCAGTTCCACTCTGTGATATAAACGCTTGCACAAAAAAAGGTCGTCTTGCAGAGATATTCAACGTCAAGGTTTGGGGGGAAATAGTCATTGTGAAACCTGGCAGCTAGTTTGGCAAGCAGCTTTTGAGGAACTTGAGGTTAGATTGGGTGAGGTCTTGGGTAAGGTGGGTTTCCGATGGAAAAATCCCCGACCAGGCCTTGATTGTACCCTCTTTAGTATCGTCTCATGTCTGTGTTTCACTAGATCACCTCAGAAACTAAGATTTAATCCTTGCTTCTGGTCAAGATCAGTGGCCCCGACATCGCATCTGCATCCAAAAAAAGAAGACAGAGTTTCTGACACACCCCTGAGGTTTAGCGAGTCTTTTGTAGTACAGTATAAAAGTGTTTTACTGGTAAATCTGTCTTGCATGATAAATTGTTTGACGAAGAAAAACCGTCAAACAAAACCTCAGATAATCATGAGGATAAGGAGGCTAACAAGTCGACCCTCACGTAGATAATACTGATAACAGCTTGACCGTGACGTGGCCCGGCTTTGTAGATCCTTTAAAAGGGATATTTAAGCAGAACTTATGGAGTGTGTCGCAGAGATAAAAGATGATATTGATTTAGAAATCAGTGCATTAAAAATCACGCCTGGATCAGATGAAATAAAGCTCTATGATCGACTGCCGGGCTTTGAGGATTTGTAGTTTTATTGATTCGGAGCAGTGAAGTGCGGAAGGATGAGGAACGCTTCAGGAGTCTGAGGGATTTAAAAATGATGACGGTACAAAAAACTGTTTCTGTTGGGGTCAGAATCATTCAGTGTCCATCAGATCTAAAGCATGCTCTCACCTGTGGTGTCCCCATGACTTTGACTGACACAAGATCTAAGAGGTCTTTACGGGTATGAGTGGACACACACTGAACAGTATTTATTTTCCTTTTTGACTCTACATTCAGAGGAACAGACTTAGTGGAAATGGACATCTTAATCCAGGTTTCCTTTCTCTTTATCCGTCTCCGTCCTCAGGTGATATTCGTCCTCTCTCGGCACTTTGTCAACAGCGAGTGGTGCAACTATGAGCTGTACTTTGCCCAGCAGAGGGCGATGGGGAAGACCTTCAGTGACGTCATACTGGTGGTGAAGGAGCCAATCGATCCCAGCTCTCTGCCCAGCAAGTACTGCAAACTGAAGAAGATGCTGAGCACCAAGACGTACCTGGAGTGGCCCCAGCAGTCCAACCAGCAGGCCTTTTTCTGGGCACAGCTCAAGAGCGTTCTGGGGAAGCCGACGACCACGACCCGAGACAGCGTGAGAAGCAGGATCTCATCTGCGGGAGGCATTTCTGTGATTGGACCCTTGATAGACGACAAGATGATCGATGAAGCTCGACCTGATGTTGACAAAGACGCGCAACCCGATGCTGACATTATTTGGCGGAATAAAGGTGAGATGTCAAACCTGAGACAGATCCCAGTTGCGGCATTTTAACCAAAAGGTTAAAAAGATGGAAAACTGTTCAACAGAGTTTCTTCACTGAGGGTCTGAACTCAGGTAACCTTTTATGTGTGGCTATGTCAAGCTGGGAGCAAAAGCCACCGTCTCATTATGATGACAGACATTAACATGATCCCTTTCGGTTCCTGGCATTCTGTCATGTTATCCCCGAGCGCCGAGCCGATGCCCTCTGTGCCACTCTCCCTCTGAGCGACTCGGGCCCAGTGCCCCGCTGACAGGCGCTGAAAGGCCAAAAAACTCAACGGCTCAAATGAGATCTCCCATGTCGCTCGCTGGATAACAAGAGATGAGCCAGGACGATGTGGTGACAGGAGTGACGATGTGAAAGGACGGGCTCTGTTACAGCCTGGCCCTCTAAGGTACGAGACCATGAAAGTTCAGACTCTGATGTTTCAGGACGGAGACTCCAGGGCATCACATGAATTACATGTTTTGGGGAGATTAACCCAAAGCCGAACCACTAAGGATCATGAAAATCCAAACAAAATCATCCTTGGAGCTCGTAGATTCAGAAGACTCTTGAGAAAAGACGATGGTTGCAGTCTGTCGAGCTCTAGCTCAATATTTTAATCAGCTTTTAAGTGTCAAATAACAAACTGTTAGTGCAAAGAAGCTTTCAATCCAGCTCTCCAGTATAAGTCAAAATGAAATTGGGACGCTGCCCAAAATGTTGATTCAAACAGATTTCAAAAGGGTTGAAAATTACTCAAAGTCTCTATTTTATCAGAAAATGGTGCGAAGACAACAAATCAGATGTTTAAAATAGAAAAAACAAACCTCCAAGAATGTATGTTAAAGCTTCACTGCGCAAAATAGGAACTATATATGATCCAGAGAGGCAGGGGAACTATCCTGTGGTCTGAAAGTCAAATTGGACATTTGTTTTGGAAATCGTAGCCCAAACAAGCGACTCAAGACTTCACCATTTAAGTTTTCAGGCCTGCAGAAAGAAGAGCACAAAGAATGATCTATCTAGTGTGAACGTTTAGTTTGTCCTTTGTGGGCTACAGTAGAATAAACAGGCGCAGCATCACCTACACAGCGTATGAAACCCAATTCCTCCACATCACAAGAAAAGCTTTTCTCAGGTAACAAAAATACAAATATGTTTTTGTACTAATGCAGCCGACCCCCCTGTGAATATTATATCCTATTTCTGTCACTTACTATGCAAATTAATCCCTTGGATTATACACTTGAGCTTCAAACGATATGTTACAAGTGCTTTAATCATCCCATTAGACACAGGCTCTCCTAAATCTTTGAAGTTTAAACCTTTAATTTCTCAGAGCAGGTAGGCTGTGTGAACAACTCTCCAACAAGAATCTTTAAACTTTGAAGTATCTCTCTGAACTTCAAAAATAAAACAATCAAACTTCATTCAGAAGAGGTTTTAGAGGTTAATACTGAGAGGAGAGACAAGAGCGCTGGGCGGATATTAAAATTGTAAATGCTAATTGGTGAATATTTTGAGGAACTTGAATAATTTTGTCCTGAAAAAAAAGGCTCCTGTTTTATATTTTACACAGTACTGACCCAGTATTGTCAAGGTTAAAAAAACAAGTGTACACAGTAAAATGTCTGAAACCACATCACAAAAGCCTGCAGAAGTGTTTACTTTGAAATGTGTGGATCTGAAACTGGACTGTGTGTTCATATCATTAAACTCCAAAAACAAGCGGATGGTACAAACTTCTATAGTATCATCAATAATATGTATTTAAAAACTGTTTTGAAGTGAAAAATAATGAAATACTTTTTTGTGTCTGGATTAAAATGACAGGCCTTGATGATTTTCTAACGGGTACAAATGCAACAAACAAAATGTTCTTTAGAAGTTTGTCGCAAAAAGATTTTAAACACATTTTTATTCAGATATTCTGACACAGACAGTCTGTTAAATTTGACTATTTTTGTCCTGAATTGTTTATTTTTGTAGATGATCCGGGTCTTAATGTGAAGTCATTTGTAGAGTTTGCAAACGGCCAGCAGATGACACTCTTGAACTTATTGTTCCCAGACTAATGAGATAATGTTTTGCTCACAGAGTGACAATAAGACCTGCATGTTGATTTGACACCAAATTGCTCTGTTTTTTGACCTAATGTGTAAACCAGCTGCATCTTCCTTCACTGTGCGCTGTATATATGTGAAATATAAATATGCACTTTGTGGATCACAGGGATAAGCTTTTTTTTTTAAAGCATGTCGTGTTTTCTTCTGTTGGTTCAGGCTACTGTGATGAAAAACTTTACTCTAATGATCCGACTTCAAATACAGTTTGTGCTTTGTTTTTATGACATGAGAAATGCTGGACATTTATAGTTCTTGTATCGATGAATAAAAAAGTCTGATAAGAACGTGTTTGCACTATGTGACCTCTTTAGCCACTTTCAGTCATTTGAGTTTTTTAATAATCAAAGTCAGTCAAAGAAAGTCGCTCCTTGTTTAGACGAGCACACGGTGGATAAAACACTTCTTACTTTGAGGCCAAAATGTTATTCAAATGATGTCCAAACCGCTGTGACACATTACTCTGCAGCAACGTATGAGGAGCACCTCTGCTGGTTTAATGTTTAACCAGAGGAATGGAAATATGAGACCAGAGATACTGATGTTAATCAACCAGTGGTTTGCATCCAGTGAAAGGAGGATTTCATTTGGCCGGTCTATCACTGTTCAAGTAGCACTCTTCAACCCCAACCATTCCCTTAATTGGAAATGATATTGCAGGAAAGCATTAGTCACAGCTCATAAGTGTGAGTGAGGCCTGATGAAACGAACTCGAACAGAGCTCAGGGAGAAACTCTTCAAGGAAAAATAAAAGACGAATGCTCTTTAACAGCGTTTCAGGCAAATATCACTTCAGAGGTTTGAAAAATTTGAGATGGTTTTGGGATACTGAAAACAGAGGTTTAGAAAAACAGCTGAGATCAGATCACGGTGATTATCAGTGGTTAAAAAGACTGATGGAGCGTACAATCGAGTTTCTAAAACATGAAACACTTTATAAAACGGAGCACAACTCTGCATGGTCACACAGCCATTAAATAACGGGTAGATAGTGAGAAACTCCTCATTAAATTCCTCAGAGGGGCTGATTATTACTTAATAGGGAACAAAGTGAGGCATCATTAGGAGTAATGAATCGTTACTCACTGATTACCCGATCATTAGTTACTTATTTTATGTAGTGTCAAGACTGCATACATCAGGCTATTTTGCATGTATAAAGCAGATTTTGCAGCAGTGGTGGACTCAGAGGAGGGGGAAGTGTAACCCCATCACACACACTCCCATCTAAAGATGCTGCATAAGTGCCCTCCTGGAGGCCTTTGTAAACATAATGTGCTCTCTCTGTGACGTCTTAACATGAAAGTGGACTCTTAGACGTCCCTTTAATGGACAAAATGCAGCGGAGTGTCCTGTTGATGACCTTATTCTGCACATTTGGTTGTTATGCAAGGTTTGTGACCTAAATTCAAGACTTTAACCGAGAGTTGAATCAGTAAACAGGGTCTTATGTGTGTTATCTGCATGTGGCACACAGCACTGTTCAGCTTTAAGACGATCATGTGATAAATGACAGATTAAGTCTTACTAAAATATGTGTTTCAATAGTTTTTTTAATCTTTTGCATGATTACATCCTTGTATAAATATTCATCATATTGCAGGAATTTCGTTTGAAATCCTCAAACTTCCTCTTATTGATCTTGCCTCTAATTATGTGAGTATCAAAGACACAGACATCGATTAATGTTCATGCTGATGGGTTCTCTAAACATGACTTGTTTGTTGTTTTGAAAAAGCAGTGAAATGTACATGTTTTAGAAAAGTAGATCTCTAACAGCACAGCCCGGCATAAATGCAGCAAGCACGCACAAACACCCACTACTGATACACATCACTTCAGCGATGCCAGAGGCTCACATAAGCAAAAAATCGTGACCAAATTCACAATCAGACACCACAGAGACTGGATGCCTCCCGAGCTGCAGACTGTACTCTGTGGGCTGACATGAGTGCGTGAACACAGCGCTGAAAGTCATTAAACCACGTCCCAGTCTACTTTACTGCACCTGCTCCTGTCAATTACTACACGCTCCAGGAAAGTCATCAAACCACGGCCATCAAAACTATACAAAAGGCTCATTAATCGTTCAGCAACTGCTCCTAATTAGCACCTATTTAAAGGAGATCTAAGTGTAATAGTTAACAGGCTTGTATATCCATGTTATGATCGGCTATATCAGCATTACACGAGATAACAGTCGGCCCACATCCAATCAAGAGAGATTGATCACTCACCTTTGCTGTCACTTGTTGATAACGGAGGTGTCGCTCCTTGAAATCATGGACTTCATGAACTTGTCTGTGATTGAATCCACGTCCCTGTTTCATCGACAAACACAAAAAGACATTTAGACAAAGAGAAATGTTGTTTTCTGTAATTGTGGACGATGTGAAAGTTAAACAGGAGCTTAACTTTGTTTTTATCAGTGAAACTGTTATCAATATGTCAACTGTGTATGCTGGCGTAGGAGGGAGGTGAGTTCAGTTCTTCTAACACAGGAATTATAAATGACATTTAGGTTTGTGGGAGGAAAAAATACAGATTTAAAAAAACAACATTATGTGATCAAAAGTGGTGGAACATTTTAACCTGCTCCTTTTAGCAAAATTATTTTACAACCTGTTTAACATTGATTTCATTTTCAAATTGTACATTTGCAGCAGCTCGGTCACAAATATCACAAAAGCAGTTTATTAAAGTCGAAATAGAGGTTCCTTTTTTCCAAGTAATTGCAAATTTTTAATATATAATTCATCTGGTTTGAAAGCTGTTAATGTAATTCTCATGGGACAGATGTCATGGGGAAATTTAGTGGACAACAACTGCAATCTTTTCAAATTTAATGTATTACTTTAAAAAAAACATAGCACTTAAGTGCTTTGATCACAGTGTTTTGTTAAACTTGGTGTTTTTAAAGGGATATTCCGCCATAAAATTAATTTAGGGTCAAACCCACCGTAACACCGAGTTAGACCCCCCCTCCAGAGATGAATGTTGTCGACCGCTTTCTTCTCTAGTTACACCAACTTTAGTAACGACCACAGGATAGAAATACAGAGAGCCACGCCCCCAACCAAAACGCCACTCTATAGCCACAAATAATGCTCAGAACAGCACCTAACTTCATCAACAGGACATATAGGGTCACAGACATAGTACTAGACACCAAACATCTTTTTAACTTTGACTGATTTCTTTAACAAAGAGACTAAACACAACTCACCTACTCTCTTCCAGCAGCCGCTTGTTTGTAGTGAGACCTCAGGCCAGTCCATTACAGACTACAGCGGGGTGCCGCAGCTCAAGGAAGAACATTTATGATCATTTCTTTATCATAGGACGTATCCTTCATGAGCCGAGAAAAGAAAGAGGAAAAAGAGAAAAACGTTTGTTTGCATGTCATGGATGTTAATCAAAGAGATCTGTGTAGGTGTGTGAATGATCAACAATCAATATTATTGGCAGAAATAGAGGGACCCAAAATCCAAATTTTGCTTAGGGCCCCACTGAGGCCTGGGCGGCTCTGGTTAACAGAGAACTTCCTGAAGACCTGAGGACTCTGCCTGACTCATGAGGTAAAAGCAGATCAGATAGATAAGAGGGAACAAAGTCATTAAGAGCTTTAAAAACCGATAAAACAAACTTAAAATCGGTTCTAAAAGAGCCGGATGTGACGAAGCGGCGTCCTCACTGACTGCGGGCGGCGCGTGGACACACGTACCGACATCTGCGCCAAACATTTCCCGCCAGCGTCGCTATTTACCCACCAAACAACTAAACAGCGCTACTTTCCCTTCTCTGTTGGATCACAGGGTAGCTAAGGGTGCACAGTTGGAACTCCATCAGTGAACTTAAACATTCATTCACACAGATATTCATCCCTTCACTTACTTACCGAGCGTCCATTTATTCACGCCATCATGCCGGATCATGTGTCCAAATAAGGAAACAGAGCGCGTGATTTCCGGGTGTAAAGTAGGCGTGTATGGAGGGTTAAAATGGTCACATGATGCAAGAAAAATTAATTCTCGTTGTTTTTTATGAATCCCTAAAAATTAATGCTCTTTTGATTTCTGTACAAACTTAGTTAAAATGGATAAAAACTCACAGAAAAAGGTCTGAAGGTTAAAAATGGTAAAAATGGTTTAAATGTGAATAAATATGTTTATTTTTCTAAAGTTATGTAATCGATAACGACCACTGGGCGGGGCTAGAGGGGTTTAAAAGAAGGCTGTCTGAGTGGGTCTGTAAGTCTGGAGTTTGTTGTTTGGAAGGAAACTGACAAACGGACTTTTTAGTGCTGCTGTGTTTCTGGTTTTCTCTTGAGTCGTAGTGGAAATCCCGCCCTGTCCGCATTTTCTTTTGTAAAACATATTTGACCACTTTTTTGCACTTTTGTACATATTTTTGCACTGCACCTTGAAAGACCGGCTGTAAATCCTGTCACCATCACCGCGTTTTCCACCACGCCTGTGTTTTACCTCTATATTGTTATTGTTTGAGTGAAAACCATGGGACAGGGGGCTTCCTGCATATTTAGTGAAATACTCTGTAGGTGAGGCGTCAGGTGTGAAAATGACAAAATTTCCCCCTTTTTCTAAAAAAAAAGCGACATCAGTGAGCAGCAGCAGTATCGTGGCCAAGTGACATGGACAGCTCGATCTGAGGGATAATGTAAAATAATAATTATCTTTGTGCTTTAGTAACGATAAAATAGATACACCGTTGGTTTCCCACCATGTCCACTGTCATCAGAACAAAATATCTGTCCTGAACAATAAAATCCACCACCCCTGATTTTTTTTCACAGTTCGACTCCTGGTTATGTGTCATATCTGCGCACAGCTGGGTTTACCTGTCGTAATAAGGTGAAATTATCCAGGGATACTGAGGTGAATTGTGCTCAACAGTCGCCATAAACTCCCTGCTGCAGCCTTACATGGCCTGGACTCTCACCTGTGCTGCTGCTGTCCGGGGGGGGAGGCGCCTCTGAGATCCTGATCTGTTTGCGCACAGGTGAGAGGAGCGCATATAACCGGTGAGATGATGAGAGCTGCAGCCACTTCCATCAGACCTTCACCTGTCAGCGGCTGTGTTCAGGTGAGTTCCTGCAGCTTTTTTTTACTTCCACAGTTTTAAAGATCTAAGAGGAGAGACTCACTTGTTGTTGTTTCCGTGTGGATCTGCTCCTGAAGTCTGACTCTCTCCACATGTTCGTGCAGAAGCTGCTCCTCCGTTAATTAACAGCAGCTCTGACTCTGACATTCAAAGGCGTTTAATGAGCTCCCTGATCGCGGCGGGAATAAATGATTAACGGCAATTACGGAGACTAATGAAGGCAACGTGGAGCAGCATCAGTCAGGGAAGGAGATGCAACATCTCTCAGCTCTCAGATATATCAGATTTAAAGTTATTTATTCACACAGCCCCGCACAGACAGGTAGAGAGCAGGATACATTATTGATGAGAGCACCTCTCGATATCAATAAACACGAATCTGACAGCCTGAGTGATGGAGGGAGAGCAGCTCTCACAGGTAAACCTCAGCAGGTAGTTAATGTAAGGTAAGGTAAGCCGGAGATCCAAATCAGTTTGAGGTGCAGCTCGCCCAGCTGGAGGTCTGTCCTTTTGTCCTCTGCTGCTTCATGGAGGTGGGGGGTGAGAGACTCAGACCCCCCATGGAGCAGCCTCTCAGGTGTCAGGTGTTAGGTTATAGATTTAACTGATTTGACTTCCAGACTGACCTGGGCATTTACATCAACTCGGCACAAATATCAGCTCCACTTGTCACAAAGAGAAAGTGGACTGAGATATCCTGATTGACACGATCGGAGTCTGAACCCCTAAAAACAAATATTAGTCTAATAACAGATCCCATTTATTTCTTTGTGCAAATTTTTATTGTTGCTTATTTATAACTTCCTGAAATTAATGCCCCCCATGGACCAGAGACCCAAATTAATCTTCATTATAAAAACATTAGAGAACGCTGTTAAGGCCAATAAGACACTCATTAAACTGTTTTTGAATTACAACAAATAAAAACTATTTACACAACCTTCTTCCAAATAAAAACATGTATTTTTTTTAATAAATGATAATAAATGCTCTTCAGCAGGAGGTGATTATTAATTGCCTTTATCATTAACTTTCTGCAGCAGTGGAAGGGATCCTCATTATCAAAGTAAAATAATAATTTCAGTCACATCAGCTCATTTATCCAAATATAAAACAACCCTGATAATGAAATGAAACCCTTATACTTTAAAATACCAAATATGTTTTGTATATAAAGTATAGAAACAGCAAGATAATAGAATAATCGACTCAGAGCAGTTCTATCTTTTATATTTCTATGTCGAGGCCAGTCTGTGTCATCTGTTTCAGGTTGACCTTGTTTCTAGATTGACCCCTACAGGTCAGCCGAGTGCAAACACAACCATTGATTGGTCAGGAGACTTGCACTGTCATCTTACGATAAAAATAATAATAATTATTTTCACATAAATCTCCAAATGTGACTTAAGTTTATGAGAAAGTGGATCCAGACAGTCTCTGGAAATACACTGATCTCTCCTGTGGGATAGAAAAGTCTCTGGAGTTCATCCCCTAAAAGCTGACGGTCTCACAAAGCGAGTGGATTTTACTGTAAGTCTTCATGTTGTCGTGATGGACAGAGCAGTTCTTTTAGATATACTGAATCACTAGAATCAGTTCACTAAAAACATTTGTTCAAAAGATTTGTTCACCAAATCACCGAATCATTCAGCTCTTGGTGGGAGGAGCCTGTGACTTCGACCTCCTAAACTGACACACAGCTGAACAGCTCAGATCAAAGCTTCTGGGACCAGGAGACGAGGGTGTTTGTCTGTGTTGCTTTGGCAAACAGATTTGTAAGTCATAATGTTTTAAGTGTACTCTCCTTTGGTATGCTGTTTTTCAGGTCTGCTCAATAAATCGTTCTCAGTGAGTGATTCGTTCACTGAACGTTTAGAAGAATTCACACTGAACATGAACCGTTCCCTCACAAACCGCTGCAGTGGTAAGATGCTGCGGGTTTGATGCACGACTTGTTACATGCTGTGTTCTACTGTATACGAGTTGTTGTGGTGGTTAAAGTTAACTTTGTCCGACAAAAATGATTCCAGAGAGTGTAGTTCAATGCGTAGTTCACAGGCGTCGGTGCATGTGGTCCCTCGTTCACTGGCTGCTCGCCTGGCAACACTGTGTGCTATAACAGCTGACAGCTCAACTGAAGTGGAAAACGAACGAATCACTTGAGGAAGTGATTCAGTTCAGTACGTTCACTTAAAAGATTTGGTTCTTTTGAACAAATCGTTCACTAATGACACAACACATACCTTTTTTTTATTTTTAGAGCTGACATAATAAACACAACAATAACACGTTGTATACACCGGTGTTGACCCGAGCTCTGGCTTAAGTTGTCTGTGATCCATCTTAAGGTGAAAAAAGCATAATTTAGATCCGTCTTGTTCATCTGGGAAACATGATTTTTGGTGTCAACCTCAAACTCTAGAGAAACTGCATTTTTCTGACAGTCTGCATCGGCTTCCTTTAACAACACTGTGGGTTTCAGCTCTGTGCAATTCTATACAGTATAAGCCCACGTCTGTCTCATAATATCTGCTTACCTATATATATCTATTTATATATATGTCAGGTCACCCCTGTAAAAGAGATGTGGATCTCAGTGGGTTATTAACCGAGCTAAATGGATGACCTACTTCTCCCAGATGCAGCCGGTCGGGTATCATGAGCCGTCAGGGAATCTGTCCTGCTGTCTGCATTAAATCAGCCAGTTAGAGGACGAATACTTCACTTAAATGAAAGTAAAGGTAGAAATGATTCATTTCCTCTTAGGTTCACTGTTATCAAAAGAGTAATTTGCAGTTTTCTCCTCTTGCCTTGAGTGTTTCCTCTCACCCACCTGTCTGTGAAAGTGGAGGTGTGCACAAGTCAAAAATAGAGGATCTGCAGTTGCACTGAAATGGATAAAACTCAAAGTATTAGAAACCTCAGATCCAGTTTCTGAGTATTTTCATTCCAGCGTTATAAAGTTTTTGAGACTCTTCCAGAAGTGAGCTCAGATTTAGATATTTCAGATTCGTCCCAGTTTCGTCTGGGCTGTCAGGAGGAAGATGATCAACCTCAAAGCAGGAACATAACTCTGATGAAGACGGGGTTCAGACTGCAGCGGAGCATCTGAGAAGATGTTTGCTCTGAGCGACTGTACGCCTCTCAAATGTCTGCTCTTGAAATTTCCACTTTCCTTTTAAAATTTTTGTCCCACTTTCTTCAGAGTTTTGTCACAAGTGTCGATTAGACGAGTGGATCCCAACCTTCTTTCCTTGGAGCGATCCTTTCTTCTATTGTAGAAAAACAGGGGCCCCTGAAGGCCCTCACAGAAGAGGAACGATGCATCACTGTCAAGAAGTACATCAGTTTTCATCAAGGAAGTGAGGAGGAAAGTACTTTTACAGTTTTATCTCCAGGCAGAGCTATCCAAAGTTTCCTGCGAGTGAGTCAGAGTGATTTTAGTTAACGAACAAATTGAATTTTGACGACCTCAGAGTCGATCTCAGTGTCTTCAACGTTTCCAAGACACAAACCTGTGAAGTCCACGTGGGCTTGAGGCTGTCTCACTGTCAAATGTCAAGTGCATGTGGGATCGTTTCCAGACTTTTCTTGCCTTTTTATGAACCCTTTCACAAAGTGAGCATATCTGCAGACTGAGCATGATGGAATTACCCATAGTTCAGCATTTTAACGCTATAAAGTGGAAATGAAAACAAAAAAAGGGGCCGTAAAGGTGCAGCTTCAGCTCTTCAGATGCGTGCAAAGAAATCACCCTTCGAGTGGTGTCGGTTACGTCCTCGAGAGGTCAGGGCTTTGGGTTCAGGAAGGACATCGAGCTCCAGACAAAGCCTCACTTGGGTCCTGGTTAAGACCCGATGTTTTCCATTCGTCTTTTTGAAACCTGATAAAAGCAGAAATAGTGACACGAGGATTTCTTCTGCAGATTTCCTTGAATGTCTGGGTTCCTAAAACCTTGCCTGAGTTTATGATAAAGTATTTACTTGAATTCTAACCCTTCTGATTTGTCTTTTCAGGCATCAACATGTGCTCCGGTCTGCAATCCGCCATGGAGGAACTCATCAAAGTCTTCCACTGCTATTCTGGAAAAGAAGGTGACAAGTACAAGCTGAGCAAAGCTGAGCTGAAGAACCTCCTACAGGGAGAACTCGGCGATTTTATGGCTGTAGGTATCTCGTTGACTCGCCACGTTTTACTCAACATGCAGAAAGAAAAGGCTTGTGCAATTAATTCAGTGAAAAGTGTTCATTAAAGTGGAAACTCTTGGAAACTTCAAACTCAAGAAGTCTATGAGCTCCAGTAAGCAATCTGTGTTTCCTGCCATCCTGCACAGCAACTCAGCTGCTTCCTGCTGAGCGTGACGGCAGCATGTGAAGCTGGAGTTAAGATGTTAGACAGCAGGGGTCTAAAGGGTCATGTATTTGGATTGAATCGTTTGGGTTCAGTGCTGAACTGAGAGTAATCCATATCAAGCTTCCTAGAGAACAAAACTTTAGGACCTGTAAGTAGTCGTGCTGTCATTAGGTCTCAAAAACATGTTTTGGGAGCTAGCTAGCTAGCTAACTGTATGAGAGCATATGTATGTGGACTGAGAGGCTACGGCTAGCAGTGAGCACAGGGGTCGGAGGAAGACATTGAGCCATCTTAAAAAAACGTCTTTCAAATATGTAAAATATTAGTACTATATGACTTTACAGCAGTTGTCCTTTACTCTGGTTTCAACACATTATAAAATTAAGCATAGACGAAGAAGAAGAAGTAGCAAAATGCTAGCTAACTAACGCTAGCAGTCTTCTGAGAGATGATTCAGCGCTTTAAAATCTGACGTTTTAAGGTTTGTTGTGAGTCAATGAATCATTCTTTCCCCTGTTTTCATTCAGTTCGGTAACTTATGCTGCGTTCGTGTTACCTCGGAAGTCAGATGTCCGAGCTGGGAATGACGTCATACCCGAGTTACCAGTGTTTCAGTTACCAAGTCAGAAAAAAGCAAAGTGCGAGGAGGAAACAAGATAGCTACATCTACAAAAGGGGATGCTAAAATAACTTAAAATAACTAAAAATAACTTTCGTAGATGTAGCCATCTTGTTTCCGCCTCCCATTTTGCTTTTTTCCGACTTGGTAACTGAAACGCTGGGAACTCTGGTGTGACGTCATTCCCAGCTCAGACATCTGACGTCTGAGGTAACACGAACGCAGCATTACTATCAACCAGAAGTTGTGTACTTCAAAATAAAAGCATGATTTGGCAATTCAGGAAATAAAGCAGCCCAAAATATATCAAAATAAAAGCATGATAAAGCTTATAATTAGCTAATGCGATGCTCTCTTGTCTTGCCTTTTACTAAATTAATTTTTCCACCAATATCGTGATAGTCTTGTTATTGTGATATCTTTGATAACTGACAGGAGAAAATCTGAAATGGTAACAGCTTCAGTTTAATTTGAGATCAAGATAAAAGAAATCTGAGCAGGTCTACAGCCTGAACTGTCTGTGAAAATGAGAAAAATTGAGTTTGTTTTCCTCACTATACTGAAAATTTACCCAACAGGGACGTGGTCAGATTTATCTAAAGTTAGGTTTTAATTTAGGTAGAGTGTACACCTCTTACCTGGAGTTTCTACCCTGCGGCCGTCTCGTCTGAACACACCTTTATTTTTGCTCTAAAAATGTCTCTCCTGAATTAGTGTGTATGTAGTTGCCTGTGCTTCTGCAGACAGCCTCAAGTGGACACTTGAGGAACTGCAGCTTTTAGCACTTCAAAATAAAATCACCCCAATCAGAGCAGTGAAGCCCATAGTTGAGCATTTTCACAGTTTTTAGCTTTGGAGGGTAAATTTTAAATCCAGGATTCAGCTTTATGAGGATTTTATGCTTCTGTTTTTCAGGCCACCAAGGACCCCAAGGTAGTGGATCGGATTTTGACCGACCTGGATGAAAACAAAGATGGAGAGGTGGAGTTCCAGGAGTTTGTGGTCCTGGTTGCTGCTCTCACTGTCGCCTGTAACGAGTTCTTCATTGAATTAAACGAAAAAAAAAATGCAAATAAGGCCTGAAATCCACTCTCACCATCCATTAACCTTCTCTTTGACATAATTCAAGTCTTACTCGATGTAATGTTTTGGATGAATCACTGATAACCACTTCATCTGAATAAAGATGTTACACTCTTTATAAATGTCTGTCACTTTCTGAGACACTGTTTTTACGTCTCCAATCATTTCACAGAGATCATTGAAAGCAGAAAAGGCTTCACTTGTCAGACTCAGATGCAGACATCTTACTCAGACTTCACAGTAAATCAGAGGGAATCAAAAAGACGACTGACATGGTGAGAACGGCGGCAGGCTTGAGCACCACCCAGTGTCTGATGCAGGTAACCCCCTGACACACAGATGATGAGGTTTTGACGTCATCTCTTCCTCCCAACCAGAGTCTCTCCTGCCGTTCAGCCCTGAAAGGAGAGACGTTTCTCAGGGACATGAGCTGACGTCAGCGCCGAGGCCTCAGAGACACATTCATTCATTCATCGGACACTTTATAGCTCTGCGTTTCAAAGGGAGGACGACAATAAGTCACTGTAACTGGCAGATATAACAGACGTTTATTTATGCAAATCAATTCAGACATCTGAGGCTTCCTGTCTCTGAATAAAGAGGTGCAGCACATTTACATACATCAGATACCTAATGACTCCGAATTTCATCTATTTCACCGGCTAATTAAATCGTGCATTTGCTCTCAAATTAGACGCCCACCAGTCACAACATTAGAAGCGCTGAGCTACCTGTGAGTTCTGTAAATTATAATTATCTCTGTAGAAAAACAGCTGCACACTCTGGCATTTTCAGACCCTCTTTAAACAGAGATTATTCAAACCAAAGTGGAGTTTTTGTTAAAGTAGAAATGCATAATAGTTAGAGATCCAAGCCTACAATCTACATGTTTATTTTCAGCTATTTTGGATCATTAATGAGCTTTGAACGGTAAATATGATCAATAACTGAAGCTGGGATCGAAAGACTCGTGATTTTTCTTTGTGATTTTAAAACCGAGGAATATAAAGTCAATTAAGTGCGAAAGTAAAGTCTTTTAAAACTTAAATCAAAAATGGATTTTACAGGAAATTGACTGACTCTCATGTCCATATATTCAAAAGTACAACAGGTGTAATTTTGCAATGTTTTATGTATTGAAAGTGCATCTAGTGGTCAATTATCTATATTTTTACACTAGAAGGACCCCCAGATGCCACTATTTTATATTTCATACACTGAGAAAGCAACATTTTATACACTATGTCCACTGTTTTTTTACATTTCATGAGAGCAACAGGGCTCCTTGTCGTGTATTTTATCTAAAAAGTCAACAACATGCAGATTTACATGCATTATCCATAAAAAGGACACCACAGACGGCCTTTTTTCAAGGTTTAGGAGCATCCGTGACGACTATTATGTTGTTTTTTGGAGACATGACAGCACAGTTTGTTTTATTGTCGACATTTTACACCAGGAACATGTAAAAGAAAGATTAAAGAGAAGTTAGCCCTGAAGTTTAAAGTGTTTTTTGGAATCTAGAGCGTCTATTTAGGGTCTAAATCAGAGATACAAAAACTTTTCAGCCCCTAAATACACAAGAGAAAACCGCACTAATGTTTCTCACAGGACGGTTCAGAGACAGACATCAGAATAACACAAAACAACACAACAGCAGCACACATATCACACAAATATATATGTACCCCTCTTTAAAAGACCAGACCTGACATGTAACTCATACAACCCCACTATAAAATACTGAAATATCCCTTTAAAATGACAAAACCTGCTTTTAAAAGAAACCCTGTTCTTGTGTATTGTGTTGAAACTCCGACTCAAATGACTCACAAAGTCGCAGCGCCGCAGAGAGGCCGTCTTACATGATTTGTCTTCATTAATAGAAGCGGGACAACTCATCATTCAAGGTTAATACGCTCCCCTGATAGGAGGGCACACAGTACGGTCTGGAGAAATCCAATACGACCCTTTTGAGTTTGTAAAGCTCCTTAAATTATGTAACAGCAGCTAGTCTGACAGGCCTTTACAAACACAGAAACTCCGTAGAAACTCTGAGGTGTCATGATACTGCAGCTGGTGGACAACAGACTGATTTACTACTGTGAGCAAAGGTCCAACCTGCAGAGAAAACAAGACTGAAGTGAGCATCTTCAGCTGCTTCAGTCCATGTCTGCTCCTTCCTCTCCCCCGTTCTCCCAGCAGCTCTGTTTCTTTCTTTCCTGTTTGGAGGAGCCATAAAAACCCTCTACAGAAACATAAAGCTGTGAGACGTCAGCCCTCATTCATCAGATACATTATGGATTCTCATTTAAAGGAAGCGATAATGCAAAGTCGCTCCGCCTCGTTGATAAAACCCGCATTTATGGGAGCAACCAGCTGCACCCAACTGAGCCTTTTATTCCATAATGAGTGCATTTGCAAACCATTTGAATGCCTCTCTGAATCGGTGCCGTCTTTGTATACATGGGGTCGCATTAGGTGTTTGATGACATAATTTCCTGAGTGATTCAATAATGCAGTTCCTCTGAAATGAGTCAGGGAAACAGGACTGAGCTGCCTGTAAATTACATGACGTCTCATAAAGACATTTCACACATACAGCAGCTCCTAACCCCTCCACTGGTTCCAGTTGGAAATGTTGCTTTCCATCAAAATAAACATCTCAGATTTGACACCAGAATCACACACCCTGAAGTTTTCCAGTCGAGCACAAAGAAAAGAAATAGACTCGCACTTTTATGTGACACGAGTGTTGGTGTTTGCTGACAGGTGCAACAGAAACTAGAGAAAAGGTGGGAAACTTTTTGTGAGGTATCACACACTTTGTTCCACTTTTACAAAAGTCAAACTTCAGGACACCGAGTCATGGACTTTTTATTTTTTTCCTGAAGAGAAATGTCAGAATTTGAAAGCTCTCCTGAAGGACGTTTGCTGACATTTCTCTCTTGAAAGATACATTTTTCAAACGGGCAGAAAAGGTGAAACTGGTCACTTCACAGCTGGTCAGTTTAATGAAAAGCACAGCTTGACTCAGACTGTGGCGCAGACTTGTGACAGGGTCCCTGAACCCGGCTGAGGCGGCCTCACATCCTTTCAACTCAACAGACGTGTGTGCTGGAGATGCATCCAACGTGTCCCCCCGTCAGGACTCGCTGCACACAATACAGTCTGGAGAAACTCAATGCAGGACCTTACAAAGTCCTGCAGCTTCTTCAATTATGTAAGAGCAGCTTGTCTGACAGGCTTTTATGCTCAAACTCGTCAGAAACACAAGCTCCCGTGGCCTGATACTGCAGCAGCCGTGAGCAGGGACTGTGAAATGCAAAGCAGAGATACGCTTTGGTGGACAGAGATAGAGAGAGAGCTGACACAGAGGAAAGTCAAGAGTCATAAAAGCAGCTTGAAAACCGCAGCACACTTCAAGAGTGCCATCAAGTGTCTGCAGGAGGCAGCTGCAGTAAGACGACTCTATCCCCTCTGTGAACTGTGTTTAAGAGCCGCTCACAGCCTCAGATAACACCGAAAAGTGCAGCCGAGTGCAAAACGGCTCCGGAGGCTTCTGTTTAAGACGGGACATGAGGGGATTACTCTTTTATCAGTGCTGCAATCAGGGGAGAGAGAGCAACACTGACGTCATCTTCGGCTGTAGAAAAGATGACTGTGTTTCATACAAACTTCTAACCGCCATTCATGATCATGAAACCGGTGGTCCTCTTGAACACCTGGTTCCAGTATTGCCAAAAACGTACCAAAGTGGACCCCTGATGTCCTAAAAACTACCTCAGTGTTGTGTCGTTTGCGAACGATTCATTCAAAAGAACCAATTCTTTTAAGTGAACGTACTGAACTGAATCATTTCCTCGAGTGATTCATTCGTTTCTCACTTTAGTTGAGTGAGAAACAGCATTACCAGGGCAGCAGCCAGTGAACGAGGGACCACATGCACCGACACCTGAATCACTTGTTGAACGAATCACGCATTGAACTACACTCTCTGGACTCCCTTTTGTCGGACAAAACTATTTTTTTTTTCTAACTGCTGAATTGCCACCACAACAACTCACATACAACAGGACACAACATGTAACAAACAGTGCATTAAACCTGCAGCATCCTATCACTGCAGCGGTTTGCGAGGGAACGGTGCATGTTCAGTGAACGAATCACTCACTGACCCCAACCCAGCAGACTTGATAAATAGCATACCATAAGACAGTACACTTAAAACATCATAAATTATAAACAAGTTCATTTTTACAAACCTGTTTGCTAAAGTAACACGGACAAACCCTCTGGTCTCCCGGTCCCAGAAGCCGTGAATTGAACTGAATCCTGAACTGTTCAGCTGTGTATCAGTTCAGGAGGATGGAGTCGCAGGCTCCTCCCCTTAAATGACTCAGTGATTTGGTGAACAAATCTTTTGAACGAATCTTTTTAGTGAACTGATTCAAGTGATTCAGTTCATATAAAAGAACTGCTGTGCCCATCACTGATATACCTGGAAGTTATTTGTAAGATCCTGCGGATTTTTATCCTTCTAAAGGAGTGGATGGACTTTGTGTTTTTTTTTTCCCAATAATTAAAAGAAGCATCAAGTCGCCCTCATTGCTTCATGACTCGTTTTTTTAACAATTGCACATTTTAGCAGTATGCAAAAATTTCTGTGCCTGACAGATCTGAAACCCCAAACTCAGAGGGCTAAGACCTTACTAACACCTCAACTTCTTGTTTTTTTGTTTCACTTTTTCTAGACGAGTTGGAAATTTGTTGGGGTCAGCATTTCCAATCAGCGATGGCTGCCATCTTTAGACTACATAAGAAACCGTTCGTTCAGTAATCTGAGACTGTTTCTACAGACCTGCTTTTTCTCCTGTTTTGCAGTTTGTGTTTTCACAAGGTTAAAAATCTTCATGTCTGGTCCGTCTGCCTGAGCGTAAATGAAAACAAGATCAGCTCAGACAGACTGGTGGTGTCTTATCAGCATGTCTGGAGTCACA